ACATCCACGGCGCGCTCGCCAACGCCCGGGCGTCCGCGGCGCGCGGCGACGCCGCGGGCCCCGGCGGCGACGGCGACGACGACGACGAGCCCGGGTCCGCCGCGTCGCTCGCGGCCGTCGCCGCGGACCTCGTGTCCTGGTGCGCGCTCGAGGCGGAGCTCGGCACGGTCCAGAAGCGTCTGAACGGCATGCTCGGCGAGGACGGCGACGCGGCGTCGGAGCAGGCCAAGGCCGCCGCGCTGTGGAAGCTCGCCGCGGCGCGGGGCGCCGCGGAGGAAGAGGCGCCGGCGGCGGCGGCGGAGGACGACCACGCGTGGCACGAGCTGCTGGATCTCAACACGAACTATTTGTACTACCACAACTCGGAGACGGGCGAGTCGTCGTGGGAGGCGCCGGAGCGCTTCCTGCCGCTCGACGAGGCCGTCAATGCCGCGGCGATCCAGGCCGAGGAGCGGGCCGCGGCGTACCACGACGCGGCGGGCGTGGACTTCTTCGACGACGACCCGACCGCCGACAACGGGAATTCGTTCAGCTGGAGCGGCTACGTCGCGCACGGGACCGTCGTCTCGGAGGCCGCGGAGGCCAAGGACGCCAAGGACGAGCCGCCGGCGTCCAAGGCGCCCGAGAGCTTCCGCGGCCTGTCCGTCGACACGCGCGAGCTGCCGCCGTCGCCGAAGCGCGTCGCGCCGCCGCCGCCGATCGGGCTCCCGTCGCCGTCGCCCGCCGCGGGCCGCAAGATGTCCACCTGGGGCAAGCGGCTCCCGTCGCTCCCGCCGGCGACGGGGATGGCCTGCCTCAGCCCGAAGGCGTTCTCCCGGCTCCAGGGCGCGCTGCCCAAGTGGGAGAACGGCGACTCCGCGAAGGAAGGTTAGGCTATCTATCGTCCTCGTCGTCCGACTCGTCGTCGTCGCTGTCGTACTCGTCGTCGTCGCTGTCGTACTCGTCGTCGTCGCTGTCGTACTCGTCGTCGTCGTCGTCGTCGTACTCGTCGTCGTACTCGTCGTCGTCGTCGTCACGCAGACGATGAAGCCCCATCGCGCCTTCGTCCTCGTCGTCCTCGTCGTCCTCGTCGTCCTCGTCGTACTCGTCGTCGTCCTCGTCGTCGTCGTCATCCTCGTCGTACTCGTCGTCGTCCTCGTCATCGTCGTCGTACTCGTCGTCGTCGTCCTCCTCCTCCTCCTCTTCGTCGTCGTCGTCCTCTTCGTCGTCCTCCTCCTCTTCGTCGTCCTCTTCGTCGTCCTCGTCCTCTTCGTCGTCGTCGTCCTCGTCATCATCGTCATCGTCCTCCTCATCGTCCTCTTCATCGTCCTCTTCATCGTCCTCTTCGTCGTCCTCGTCGTCCTCTTCGTCGTCCTCGTCATCTTCCTCCTCCTCTTCGTCGTCCTCGTCATCTTCCTCCTCCTCATCGTCCTCCTCGTCGTCATCCTCGTCGTCCTCCTCGTCGAAGTCGCGCTGCATCTGCGCGGAGTCGAGAGCGGCGCGCCGGAGGCTCCCGCGGTCGGCCTTGAGCGTCTTCCCCGCCATCAACGCGTCGACGTCCTTGGAGCTCGACGCGCCGGCCGCGTAGGCCCCGAGGCGCTCGCGGCGCATGAAGGACTCGGAGAGCCGCGCGTACTTGTCGAAGGGCGTCGCGAGGATCGCGTCGGCCTCCGCCGGCGCGAGGCCGTGGTAGCGGTGCTTGGCCTGGAACTCCACGGACCGCGGGTCCGCGGCGCGCCGCGCGGCGGCGACGTTGCGCTCGCGGCGCTCGGCGCCGCGGACCCAGCGCGGCGCGAGGAAGCCCTCGCAGAGCCGGCCCCACGCGTAGCGGCCCGCGACGCCGAGCGGCGGGCAGTACGTGTCGGCGGCGTCGAGCGCCTCGAGCGCCGACAGCGCGAGCCAGCGGCCGCGGCCCGTCGACAGGAGCCGCAGGTGGACGGCGTCGACCGGGCCCCGCGGCGGCGGCGGCGCGGCGCTCGGCGGCGCGCCGGCGGCGTCGCCGTCGTCGCCGCCGCCGCCGCGGAGCGAGAGCAGCGAGCGAGACCGCAGCGGCGCCAGCGCGCGCGCCGCGCAGCACGTGATGACGACCAGTAAGTGGTGGCGGCGCATCGTTGCAAACTTGTTCAAGCGACGTCGGCGCGGCTGTTCTCAAGAGCGAGGCGCCATCGCGATCTGCTCAGGCCGTGAGTGCCCTGCTCGCTCCGAAGTGTTGACCTTCGCGCTCGGCGCCAAACTGCTTCGCGGGCTGCCCTCGACCATCGTCGTCGTCGCCGGCGCGCGCCGCCCGGCACAACAACATGACGCAATTCGGCAAGCCGCCGGAGAAGCGGCAGGACGGGTCGCGGCGCGTGCGGCGCAGCGACAAGTCCGGCGCGTCGCGCCGCGACCGCGCCCAGTACGCGCAGACGCCTCCGAAGCCGCGGACGCCGCGGCCGCTGCCGGACTTCGACGTCGCCGCCGCCATGCGCGACGTCGCCGACGTGCTCGCGCGCCTGCGGACGGACGAGCCGCGCGGCGCCGCCGATCTGGACGGCGACGAGGCCGCGGAGGTCGACGCGCACCGGCGGCTCCGGGGCGACATCGAAACGCTGGCGGCGGAGATCGCCGCGAACCAGAAGATGCTCGACGACCTCAAGCGGGAGCCGGCCTTCTCCGGCGACGCGCCGGTGCCGACGACCACGGAGCTCGTGCCGGAGCGCACGGGCGACGACGTCGTCGACTACTTTCGGAGCCGGCCGGACGACGTCGGCGGCCTGAAGATCGGCGAGCGCGCGGACCGCGTCGCGGCGCTGAAGCGCGAGCTCAAGGACCTCGCGGCGGCGCGCGAGCGGCCCGAGCGGCCGCGGAGCGCGCAGCGGCCGCGGAGCCGGCCGGAGCCGCGGCGGAGCGAGCCGCGCGAGCCGACCCGGAACAGCATCGACCGCGACTTCGCGGACGACGGCCCGACGCGGAGCTTCGACCGCGAGGCCGAGGCCCGCAGGGGCCCCCGGGCGCGCCGCGAGGAGGAGCGCCGCCGCGACGAGGAGCGCCGCCGCGACGAGGAGCCGTCGGAGCGACGACGGCCGCGGCGCGGGAGCGCCGCGGAGGCCCGGCGCGAGCAGCGGCGCGCGTGGGGCGTCGAGGAGTCCAAGGAGGTGTGGTAACGGGCGCCCGGCGAATTCGTGTTAGTAGCGCGGCGTCCGCGACGCGCGCGACCCCGGGGAGACGCGGGGCGTGAAGTCGGGCCCCGGCGACGACGCGTAGCGCTTGATGTCGCGGATCGTCTCCGTGAGCCCCTCGACGGACGCCGCGAGGGGCGACGGCGCCGCGTAGCTCGCGGCGTCCGTCGCCGCGTCCCGCCGGATCTCGCCCGGCTCGGCGCCCGGGGGCCGCGGCGAGAAGGACCGCGACGGCGGCGGCGGCGGGCGCCGCGGCGTGCCCGAGTCGCCCGGCACGGACCAGCGGAGGTCGTGCCAGCCGTCGGGCGAGCCGCTCAACACGCGCGCGACGTCCGGGTCGGCGACGTGGACCCGCGACTTGCGGTAGGTCGCGAGCTCCGGCGTGAGCGGCTTCGGCGGCGGCGGCGCGTACGCGTACCTGAGCTCCTCGGCGGCGCGCGTCCGCGGCGTCGCCGGCGGCGGCGCGTAGAAGTCGTCGCCGTCGTCCTCGAGCTTGACCCAGTGGCTCGGCAGGTCGTCGCGGTCCCAGGACTTTTGCAGGATGTCGTAGAGGGGCCGCGTCGCGTCCGACCGGCGGTGGAAGCCGTTGCCCCGGAGGTCGCACCGGAGCCGCGACGACCGCCGGCTCCTCGGCGCGTCGGCGTCGAAGAAGCGGACCATGATGCCCGACGCGAGGGGGTCCACGGCGCGGGGGCCGAGGTTGTTGTCCGACAGGTTGAGCACCTCGAGGTCCGCCCTCGCGAGGTCCCGGAGCGCCGCGGCCGCGAGCGGGCCGTCGGGCGAGTTCGCGGCCTCGCCCAGGCCGCAGCACTGCAGGGCCAGGGCCATGCGGCCGTCGGCGTCGTCCATGGTCTTCGCCAGCGCCCGCAGCGCCGTCAGGGCCTTGCGCGCGTCCCCCTCGAAGAACGCGTTCTCCGAGAGGTCGAGCTCGAACTTTGGCGGCCGCGTCCGCCGCATCGACAGGAACTGGGAGCTCGCGGCCTGAAGCGTCTTCTCCGCCACCAAGACCGCCACCCCCTCGACTAGAACGTCCAGCGCCTCGGGCCCGAGCTCGTTCCGCGCGACGTCGAGCCGCTCGAGGCGCGGCGCGCGGCAGCCGTCCGGCGCCAGAAACAGCGACTGGCACAAGATGAACGCCCCGCGGTCCCCCAGCCCGCAGGAATAGCAGCGCAGCTCCCGCAGGCAGGCCAGCCGGCACGCCACGCCGCCGCGCGCCTCGAAGAGCGCGCGGTCCGCGAGCGCGGAGGCGACGGTCCTCGCGGCCCGGTCCCCGAGGAACGTGCCGTCGAGCACGAGCGCCTCCAGAGGCACGCGGCAGTTCGCCAGGACGCGCGCGACGGCGTGGCCGTCGAGCGCCGCGCCGCCGTAGGACAGGTCGACGCGGCCGTCGTCGACCGGCGGGTCCGGCGCCTCGTCCGCGTAGTGCGGGCTGTCCGGCGCGGGCGGCCCGCGCGGCATCCAGCTCGGCGACTCCGACGGCGGCGCCTCCTGGGGCTCGCGGAAGAAGTAGTCGTTCGGCGGCGCCTTGGCCTCGTCGTCGTCGTAGCCGTCGCCGACGCCCGGCGACTCGAGCGCGTAGCGGCCGTCGACGGAGCTCCCGCGGCCCCGGACGAGCTCCTCCGTGAAGCAGCGCAGGAGCGCCGTGCGCTTCGCGCCCGTGCTCGACGAGGAGCCGACCTTGACGATCGTGTCGTGGGCGTGCTTCGCCAGCGCGAGGATCGCGTCGTTGAACTTGACGTGCGCGGCCTCGCCCTCGTCGCCCTCGTCCATGTCCTGCTCCCCGAGCTCGAAGATCTCCAGCTCCAGGCTCTGGATCTTCGCCTGGATGATGCGCCGCGACGGCGGCGGCGTGTCGTCGCCCAGGCTGTAGCCCCAGGGCGGCGGCAGGTCCGCTAAGAGCGCCTCGAAGTGGCCCAGCGAGATCTTCCCGTCGCCGTTCGTGTCGAAGCGCACCCAGCCGTCCCGGAACCGCTGGTAGTCCTCGTCGCTGATCATGAGGTCGTCGTCCGCGTCCGCGCTGTTGAAGCCCTCGAGCACGACGCCGATGAACAGGTTCACGAAGACGAACGCGACGACGATCGAGAACGACAGCAGGTACGGATAAATCAGCGTCGACCCGCAGCCGTCGACGGGCACGCAGCCCGGCGCGTCCCCGTTGAAGGCGCAGACGTCGTCGTCGTACTCCGGGTCGTCCGCGCAGTGCGCGGGCCGCCGCGCGACGTCGTGCATGAACCCGTTCCAGTTCTCGCCCGTCGCGAACCGCAGCAGGCTCAGCATCGCGCGGCCCAGGCTCCGGAAGTTCACGTGCTCGTCGTGGGCGCCGTAATACGCGACCTTGCTGAAGAGGTTCACGCCGATCACCGCGAAGACGAAGAACATGAGCACCATGAGCAGCGCGATGTTCGCCAACCCCGGCACCGTCGCCACCAACGTCAGGCACAGCTTCTGCATCGTCTTGTGGCGCTTGATGAGCCGCGCGAGCCGCACCGTGCGCGCCAGCCGGAGCATGCGCGCGAAGCCGCCGATGCCCGACGCGCCGGACCCCGTGAATTCCAGCGGCAGCCCCACGAGCGTGATCGTCACCAACCCGAAGTCGAAGCGGTTCCAGTTCGACGTGAAGTACGCCATTCCGAACGCGAGCAGCTTCAGCACCATCTCCACGAAGAAGATGAACGAGAAGCAGTGGCCCAGCACGTAGGTCCCCAGCGTGTAGCCGTCGGGCTGCCCGAAGTAGGGCAGCGCGAGCGACACGCCGTTCAGCAAGATGCAGCCGCCGATGACGTTGTCGAACGCCTCGCCCGCGACGAAGCCGAGCGCGGGCGTCGACGACACGGCGAGCTGCTTGGGCCTCAGGCGCACGATGACCTGGGCCATCTTGACCCAGTCCTGCTGCGCGTCCGTGACGAGGATGTCGCCGCCCTTGTCGCCGCGCATCTTCTCGAAGGAGTCGCAGACGACGCCGACGAAGAGGTTCAGGAACAGGAAGCTGCCCACGAGCATGAAGATGAGGAACACGGCGTACCAGCCCGGGTTCTCGTCGCGCCGGGGCATGTTCGCGCGGCCCGTCGAGTCGACGGCGGCGTACATGACGTCGATCCAGCCCTCGGTCGTCGCCATCTCGAAGAGGCTGAGCGTGGCGACGAAGACGTTGTCGAAGGACTGGGACACGACGGGCGTCCAGCGGTAGCCCCAGCACCGGCACAGCTCCTTGGCCGTCGGCACCGTCGCGTTCCAGCCGCCGCCCGCGGGCCACGCGCCGCAGCACGGGTACGGGTCGTCGGCCCAGGCCGCCGCGCCCGCGCCGCAGCCCGCGGCGACGTCGCCGACGCCCGAGCTCGGGCCGAAGTAGGCCTGCTCGTCCGAGGACATGTCGACCCAGGCCTTGGGCCGGTCCAGGAGCCCGAAGACCGTGTCGTCGCCCGCGTCCTCCAGCGACGCGTACGTCGGCGGCTCCGACGCTTCCCAGAACCGCGCGTCGCCGCAGTGGCGCAGCCGCCCCTTGAGGAAGCTCACGAGGAAGATCGCGAACACGAGGAAGAACAGCATGCACACGGCGCAGACCTCCAGCACGGAGGGAATGCAGCCCAGGAGCGCGTCGATGAGCGCGCGGAGGCCCGCCGCGCGCTTCATCGCCCGGAGGGGCTTGAACGCGCGCATGGCCCGCAGCGCCTTGAGCGACGCCACGCTCGAGCCGCCGCCCGTGCACGTGAGCGTCGGCGCGCCCGTCGTGAGGCCGTAGGTCGACGTCGCGACGACGAGGAAGTCCAACTGGTTCCACCCGTTTCCGATGTAGGGCTTCGCGCCCACCGCGATGACCTTCAGCACCATCTCCATGATGAAGATGGGCGTGAAGAACCAGTCGCTCAGCGCCAGGAACAGGGACAGCGTCGAGCACGGCGCGTTGAGCGGCGAGTCGATGGCGAGGAACGCCGTCGACACGAGGATGAGGAGCAGGATGACCTGGTCGAAGCGCGGGTGGTCCACGAGCAGCGCGACCCGCAGCCGAAATTCGTTGTCCGGCCCCAGGCAGCCGAGCGCCCGAATATCCGGCAGCGGGAAGATGGAGTCGGACCGCTGGAGCGCGCTCTCGAGCGCCCGCCTGCGCAGGCCCGTCGCGTCCGCGGCCTCGCGCTTCCTCCGCTCCTCGTCCGCGAGGCGCGACGCCTGCGCCGCCTTCACCTTCTCCCGGCCCGTGTCGCTGCGGTCGCGCGTCTCCGGCTCGTGGACCGTCATGATGTTCGACAGCAGAATGGCGAGGAAGATCTGCATGACGACGAACGCGCCGACGACGACCACGAAGAAGAAGAAGACGAACGCCGCGGGCCCCGTCGCGCGCCAGCCGTCGTACATGACCGTGTTCCAGTTCTCGCCCGTCAAAATTTGAAAGATGGTCACGAAGGCCGTGCCCAGGTCGTCGAAGTGGGCCCGCGGCACGTCCGCGGCCGCGTACGCGGCGCGCCCGCTCGAGCCCGGCGCCGCGAGCGGCACGGCGAAGCCCGTCGCGCCGTCGAACCTGAAACGGTTCGCGAAGAGCTGCATGCCCAGGAGCGCGCAGATGTACATGAAGAGCATCAAGATGCCCGCGATGTTCGCGACGTCGCCGAGCGTCTTCTGCAGCAGCGCGAGCAGCTTCGCCATGTTTTTCCAGGACTTGGCCAGCTTGAAGACCCGAAAGATGCGCAGCGCCCGCAGGGCCGAGAGCACGCCCGCGTTGCCGTCGTTGGCGATGGCCGCCTTCCCCAAAAACCGCGGCGGCGCCAACAGCACCTCTAAAACGCTCAGGAACACGATGAACGCGTCGAAGCGGTTGAACGACACCGCAAAGTAGGGCGCGAGCCCCAGCGCGGCGATCTTCAACACCATCTCCACGGCGAAGAGGACGCCCAACACAAACAGAATGAGCTCGTGGAGCCGCTCCTCCGCCGGGTCGATGCCCTTGTGGTCCATCGCGAGGACGATCGTGTTGCCGACGATCAGGAGCGTGAAGAAGTAGTCGAAGCCCTCGCTGAGCACGGCCTTCTGGAAGGGCGACTTGTACTTGCCCGCCTCGTGGAGCTCGTCCGCGCGCCGGCAGGCGGCCTCGTACTCCGGGTCCGGTGCCTCCGCGCCGTCGTCCTCCTCCTCGAGCGAGTTCTCGAGCACGGCCAGCACGAGATTCAGAAGAATGAAGGACCCGAAGATGACCATGCACGTGAAGAAGAGCGCGGCGACCGTCGGATCGCCCGCGTCCTCGTACATGAACATGACGTCGGACCACCCCTCGAGCGTGATCGTCTGGAAGATCGTCACGAGCCCGAGGAGGTAGTTGTCGAAGGACGTGTAGCCGAAATTCAGGTCCTCGCTCCAGACGCCCGAGTCGTCGCCCTGCTTCGCGCCCGCGTGGAACCAGGACTCGATGGGGCCGTCGCCGTCGCCCGCGTCCCTCTTCTTCAGCGGTGTGAAGCGCAGGTTGCCCAGCGCGTCGTAGTTCGAGCCGCACCAGCGCCACTCGTCCGGCGCCAGCTTCGACGTCGCGTGCGCGCACTTGTGGAGGCCCGGCCCGCCCGTGTGGAGCGCGCAGAAGCGGCCGTCGTCCTCGTCCAGCGGCCAGTAGCAGTCCTTGGCGTCGTACCAGACGCTGTCCCGCTGCCGCGTCCAATCGCGGTCGCTCCGGACGTCGAAGTTGTTCCGCCGCGGGTTCGCGACGCACGCGAAGTCCGCGTAGTTCGTGCCGTTGCCGTAGAGCGAGTAGTTGGCGACGACGGGGTAGGGCGTCGTGCGGCAGCGGCCGTGGAGCTGGCCCATGAAGAGCTGGACGCCGACGATGCCGAAGAGCAGGAACGGGAAGCTGAAGAAGAGGCCGACGTCGACGAGCTTCGGCCCCGCGGACAGGATGCCCTCGACGAGCTTCTTCAGCCCGGGGACGCGCGTCAGCGTGCGCAGCGGCCGGAGCAGGCGCATGGCCCGCAGCGCGCCGAGGCCGCCCGCGCCGCCGCCGATCGGCAGGAGTTCGACGACGGACGTGAGCACGACGACAAAGTCCACGAGGTTCCAGTTGTCCGAGAGGTACGCGCCCTCCTCGCCCGCGAAGCCCATGGCGAAGACCTTGAGGACGAACTCCACCAAGAATAGCGCCGTGAACGGGATCTCCGCCCGCTCGATGAGATCGTTGCGCCAGCCGCCCTTGGGCTTGTAGTACATCTCGAGGTCCGGGTCCTCGCCGACGGAGCCGTAGTCGACCATGCCCATGAAGGCCGCGTTCACGAGGATGGCCACCAGGATGACGGCGTCGAAGGCCGGGTGCACGACGACGGCCACGGCCCGCTTCCGCGGCTCGCTCGACGGCGGCACGCAGCCGAGCGCGCGGTCCGCGAAGCGGTACGCGACGCCGTCGACGAAGAAGTTCGGCGCCGCGACGGTCTCCGGCTCCTCGTCGTCGAGCGCGCGCGTGTACTGCACGGGCGTGCCCTGGTCGTCGAGGCTCCGCCGCTCGTCGAGCAGCGGCTTCGCGGCGGATCCCGGGGCCTCGCGCGGCGGCTCCGGCTCCGCGGCGGGCAGGCGCGGCGTCACCATCTCCCGCTCGCCGTAGGCGCGGCTCTCCGCATCGCTCTCGAAGGTCGCGAGGTCCTCGCCGTCGCCGTCCATGGGCGCGTCGAGCCGGGTCGTGGCCGGGGCCCGGGCAGCCCCTGCGGTCTCGGTTCGAGAGGACCTGCCAGCCCGGCGGCGGAGACCGACGGCACACCAGCGAGACCAACGCGATCACCCAGGCCGGGCTGCCGACGGCACCGACACCTCGCCGTCCTTCCAAAGGCGAGGCGCACTGCAGGCGCTCCTATGCTCGGTTGTCCGGCTCAAAAATAGATTCCGGTTATTGTTGAACCACTCCTTGATGGAGCAGCCCGACGCGCGAGCTTGCTCGCACACATATTATTTTGTGCGCCGTCGGCGCGCGCCGTCGGCCGCCATGCGGCCGGTGCTCCCGCTGCTGGCGTGCGTGCCGGCCGCCGCCGCGTTGAGCTGCGCGGCGCGGCTCGAGCCGGGCCTCGTCATCTTCAACCGGCTGCCCTGGTTCGAGAGCCTGGCGTGGTCCGAGGTCGTGAGCAACCAGAGCGCGGCGCTCGACTTCGAGTACCTGCGCTGGGGCGGCGACCGCGACGTCTTCCGCGCGGCGCACGCCATGGACGCGCGCGACGTGGGCCTGAGCCACGGCGACGGGCTGCGCCTGGCGAAGACGATCCGCGAGATCCAGCACCGGTCGCTGCCGCGGCCGAAGCAGCGCGTCGTGCTCTGGGAGCGGAGCTTTAGTTTTATCGAGGTGCCCGACGTCGAGGAGGGCCGCGTGGCGTGGATCAACTTCGTCGAGGACCCCGTCGCGCGCGCGACGCGGTCGTGGCGCGGTTCGGCCGGCGAGTTGGATCGATGCGTCGCGAAGAAGGGCGCGGAGCACTGCGTGCCCTGCGAGTCGATGACGGCCTGGTTCTGCGGCGGCGGCGCCATGTGCGACCTCGCGGGCAAGGGCGAGGCGGCGCTCGTGCGCGCGAAGCTCGTCCTCGGCCGCGACTTTTCGTTCGTCGGCGTCCGGGAGCGCTGGGCCGACTCGCTGCTCGTGCTGGAGAAGTTCGTGCCGCACCTCTTCGAGGGCGTCGCCGGCGTCGCGCGCGCGCGGACGCCCACGTCGGCGGACTTCTTCTTCGGCGGCGGCGCGGGCCTCGCGGCGGACCTCGAGCCGGAAACCGTCAGAAAGATCCGCGACGCGAACGGCCTCGACGCGGAGCTCTACGACCACGCGGTGGCGCACCTCGAGATCCACGCCCAGGCCTGCCTCGGCCGGCCCCTCGTCGCCGCGCCGTCGCCGACGGAGCGGCGGCCCCTCGAGCCCGTCGCGTTCCCGACGGGTCTCGACGACCTCGCGCCGCTGCCCGCGCTCGACGGCGCGAAGGCCGGCGCGTGCTACTCCGGCGAGGAGGCGCGGCGCACGGCGCCCAAGAGCAAGGGCTGGTTCGCCAAGCCCAAGGGCAAGGGCCGCAAGAAGCAGGACGACGACGACGCGGCGCACTGCTTCCCGTCGGCGCTCGGCGTCGGCGCGACGCGCGCGGGCGTGGGCTTGGTCGCGCGCCTGCTCAAGATGCACCCCATGGTCCACGGGCCGGGCGCGAGCCTGCGGTTCTTCGGCGGGCGCGACGAGCGGCACCCGCTCGACTACGCGATGCACCCGTCGTTCGCGCTGTCGAAGGCGCAGCGGCGGTCGTCGCACGTGACCTTCGAGGCGTCGCCGGAGTACGGCGTGCGGCCCGGCGCGTTGCGGGAGATCCGGGCGCTCCTGCCCGACGCGCGCCTCGTCTTCGTGCTCCGCGAACCCGTCGCGCGCGCGTACGACGAGTTCTGGGCCCACGTGCGCCGGGGCAAGCTCTTCCGCCGCGACAAGGAGCTCTTCGTCTGCCACGGCGCCGACGTCGTCGGCAAGGAGGCGGCGACGAACGCGGAGCGCCTCGGCGGCGGGCCGGGCGCCGTCGCGGCCGCGCGCGCGGGCTGCGTCGCGCGCGGCTCGCGCGTGCCGCCGACGGTCGCGTCGCCTCTCGTCTTCGACGCGTACGCGCGCCAGCTCGTCTTCGACGCCTGGGAGCCGGACCGGCGGGCCGTCATGAAGCGCGCCGCGCTCAACGACAGCCTGCCGCTCGACTGGGAGCTCGGCGCGCTCAACGACAACGCGCGCGGCCGCGTTTCTCACGGGTCCGGAACTCCGATGATGCGACCCCACCGTAGGTCTTCGCGCGGTCGCTCTACGCGCCGCAGCTCGCCGCGCTCTTCTCGCGCTTCGACCGGAAGCAGGTCCACGTGCTCGTCTACGAGCAGCTGCTGGCGCCGGACACGGGCCCGAGGGTCGTCGCGGGCCTCGTCAAGTTCCTCAAGCTCAAGGGCCTGAAGTACCAGCCGGACCGCATCGCCGCCGCGGCCAAGTCGCAGGAGAAGCGGCGCTACGGCGACGGCGCGAGCACGAACGAGAACGGCGCCGTGACGAACGACTACCGGCCGCTCCTCCGGAAGACGCGGCGCCTCCTGGAGGCGTTCTTCACCGTCGACGCGGAGCTCGTCAAGCGCATGCTCCCGGACCTCCAGATACCCTGGTAGTCCGTAAATTCAGAGTGGGAAGCGGTTTAGTTGAGGAGGAGGAGCTTCTTGAGGACGCGGACGAGCGCGCGGAGCGCCTTCAGGGGCGCGAAGAGGTCCGCGAGGCCGCGGCGGACGATGCCGAAGGGCGTCGACGCCGCGGGCTCGCGCACGGCGGCGGAATTCGGGTCGAGGGCCGCGAGGACGCTCTGGAGCTCGTCGACGAGGTCCGCCTTCGCGTCCGGCGCGCCGAGGAGTCGGGGCGCGGCGCACGTCGCGTCGCGCGCGCCGTAGTTCGCGAGGGAGACGGCGACGACGACGGAGAAGGCGACGACGAAGAGGCCCAACAGGACGTCGCGGCGCTGCAGCGACAGCGTGGCCCGCTTCGCCGGGCGCTCGAGCGCCGGGAGCGGCGACGGCGCGTCGCGCGCCTCCTCGACCTCGCGCACGCCCTCGTCGTCGACCCAGACGCCGGAGCTCGGCGGCTCCCAGGAGCTCGTGCCGTCGGCGTCGTTGTGGTAGTAGAACGTGTCGTACTGGGCGTCGTAGCACCGCGTCCAGGTCGCCTTCTCCGGCGACCGCACGTCGTCCCACGCCGACTCGTACTCGGCCAGCAGGTCCAGCTGGCGCGCGGCGGCCTCGGCCGTCTCCGGGTCGAGCGTCGCCTGGATCGCCTCGATCTCCGCGCGGATCGCGTCGACGGACGGCTCCGGCGAGCCCGTCGGCTCGGCGACGGGCGCGCCCGTCGGCTCGGCGACGGGCGCGCCCGTCCACGCGCCGTCCGCGTCGCGCGTCATGCGGCGCACGACGGGCGCGTCGTCGACGACGGGTATTTCGGCGGCGACGGCGGGTTTCTGCTGCAACGGCGGCGGCGCGTTCGTGTTCACGGGCGCAAAGGGCGCGCGGGCCTTGCGCGCGCTCTCGGCGCGCGCGGCTTTGTAATGATTCGCGAGGCCGCCGTTTGGTTTGGCGTTGGATTTGCGCACCGGCGGGCGCAAATCGATCTTCGTTGCGGTCTCCATGCGTGGCGCGCGACGATAAGCGGCACCGTTGGTGGTGGCGCGGCGACAGCGGCAACGACCTCGAACGTCGTCCGGACGCGTACGCGTCCGCGCGCATCGCACACACGCCCGTCTTGGCGCGTCGACACCATCAAAACAGCCAAAACCACAATACAAACACCTTACTTCCGCTGCATGGTCCCGCCGTTGAGGCTCGACTTGAACGGGTCGAAGGGCGCGGCGGCGGTTTCGCGCGGCGGCTCCGCGGCCGCTTCCGCGGCCGCGAGCTCGCGCGCCGTCTCCGCGGCGAGCGACGCGGCGAGCGCGGCGTCGCGCGCCGGGTCCGGCGGCGCCGGCGCCAGGCTCGCGGCCAGCGCGGCGTCGCGCGCCGTGTCCGGCGCCGGCGGCGCCAACGACGCGGCCAGCGCGGCGTCGCGCGCCGTGTCCGCGGGTAACGGCTCGGCCAGACTCGCGGCCAGCGCGGCGTCGCGCGCGGCCTCGCGCGGCGCGGCGCAGACGGCGCAGGCGTCGGCGTCGGCGGCGTTGCTCAGCGTGCAGCGGTCGCAGGTCCAGGGGCCGGCGCCGCCGTCCGAGTCCGAGTCCTCGGCCGTCAGGTCGATGCAGGCGTCGTCGACGCGCGGCTTCTTCGCCGGCGGACTCGGCGACCGGAGGTCCACGGGCTCCGCGGGCGGCTCGGGCTTCGGGGCCGCGGCGGGCTTCGGGGCCGCGGCGGGCTCCTCCTCCGGCGCTTCGTCGTCGTCGTCGGAGAGGACCTCGGCGTGGGCGCGCTTGTCCTCGCAGACGGGCCCGCAGACGGGGCAGATGGCGCGCCAGTTGCCGTCCCAGAGGCCGCCGAGGCCCGGCCGCTCGGCGGCGATGTCGAGCTCCTCGTCGCCGAGGCCGTTGCGCGCGTCGGCCGCGCGGCGCTCCGCGGCGCGCGCGGCGGCCTCGCGCGGCGGGAGCTTGGCCCAGGCGCCGCCGCCGCCGCCGCCGCCGAGGCGGCCGCCGCCCATGACCTTCTGCTTCGTCGCGCGCTTCTCCGCGGCGCGGAGGCCCGCCGCGCGGCCCTCGGCCGCGGACCTGGGGTCGTGGCGGCCCGCGTCGGCCTTGCGGCCGCCCTCGATGGGGAAGCCGTCGACGTCGACGACCTGGCCCTTCTCGCGGATGAGCTCGTACTGCTTCTTGAGCTCGTCCATCAGCGCGTAAAAGTTCGCGCTGTGGTTCCCGTGGACGATGTGGCTCATCTCGTGGATCATGACCGCCAGGTTGTGCTCGAAGGGGTAGAGGTCGTGGCTCTTGGGCCGCCGGAGCCGCAGCGCGATCGTCGCCGCGCCCCGGCCAGTGCCGTCGCTCCGGCACCAGCCGCCGACGCCCAATTTCGTGCCCATGTTCTTCCGCTCGCAGCAGCAGATCTCGATGAGGTTCTTCACGCGCCAGCCCCGCGCCTTGAGCAGCGCGTCGGCGTGCGTCTTCACCTCCAGGAGCATGGCGCGCGCCTTGTCGCTGTCGGGAAGCCGCTCGATCTCCTGCACCTTCCAGACGTTGTTGGCGCCGGCCCCGAGGTCGCCGCGCTTCGGGGGCATCGCTACCGGTCGAGTGCGGTTCGGCGGCGCGGCGCGGCAGCGCGGTCGCGCGGTCAGCGTCGACGGGCGGTCAGTAAGACTCGACCTCAGAGGCTGGTCACATGCCGGCGCCGAGCTCGACCGCTCCTCGACCGCTCCTTGCGAGTTCGCGGTGGACCCGGGGGGTTGGGCGGCGGCCGCGGCGAACCTGCTGCGTGCCGCTGAGGGCAGCGGCGTGCAAATCTTCCGCATCGATGACGCGTCCTACGGGACGTGCCGGCAGCAGGTCTTGGACGCGCTCCACGGCCACGCATGCCAGTGCCCGGGCCACATTTTCAAGTTCGGCGACGGACTTCGCACTCAAGCTTCAAGCCGGGCCAACGACAGGAGCGTCTTGGTGCCGTATGTCAGCACTCTCCACCACACCTTGAGCCGCGCGTCTATCATCTCCTTGGTCGCCTTGCGCGCCCGCAGCTTCTTCTCGAAGCCGAGGCCGATGGCCGCGCACGCGCGCGCGCGCCGCGTCGTCGTCGCGGTTGCCAAGTCGCGTCCAAGGGCGTCCCCGTCATGATCGATCTCGGCATCAAGGCCAGCGAAGACGACGCGACCTACAATTTCACCGTGCGAGAGATTTCCGTCGTGCCGCCACCGCCGCGGCGCACCCACATCGTCGACGGCCGCGTCGCCTTAAACAAATTCGGTGCTCGCCGCGCACGCGCACAAATGCGCAGCCACGAAAACCCCAGTGACACTCCAAAGAATTACCCTCCAAGAAGCCTAGTCCGGGCTGCAGTCGAAGCGGCGGAGCGCGGCGGTGCGGATGCGGTCGCGCTTCGCCGCCGCGGCGTCGCCGTCGCGGTCCTCGATGCGCGGCGGCGTCGAGGGCGCGAGGCTGTAGCCCGCGCCGGCGAAGCTGCGCTGCGGCGCCGGCGCGGCCGGCCGCCGCGCGCCGTGCTCGATGGCCGTCGGGTCGCGGTCGCGCGGCACGAGGCAGGCGACGCAGGAGCCCAGCAGCGCCGCGCGGTTCACCCAGGCGGGGATGTGCTTTTTCAGGAGCGCGAAGACGAGCGCGTCGGCGAAGTGGTTGCAGTTCTTGCCGACGAGGTCGTAGCCGCCGTTCGGGAACGACGCGCGGAGGTCGTCGATCGCGCGCGCGACGCCCCGCGCGCCGCCGTCGTAGCTGCCCATGTCGATGGACGCGCGGAACACGGCGTTCGGCGCCGTCCGCGGCGGCACGTCGCCGATGCCCTGGCCGCTGCCGAACACGTACTCGCGGCCGTCGATCTCGACGCCGCTGTGGTACAATCCAAAACCCATGGCTTCGACGAAGGCGTTGGCCTGGTGCAGGTCGTAGACGTTCAGTCGCACCGTCGAGCTCGTCGTCGTCCGCAGCGAGCTCGAAAACATCGTGCTGCGGCGCGCCCGCGGCTGCCACCGCGCGTCGCTGGTGCTAGTGAGATTTTTGTCACAATTTCCCGGCGAGGGCAAGGTCTGTGCAAGAACGCATAATTACCCGCGCAGCCCGACCGGGAATGATGGAGCAACGGTAGCACAGCCCCCTGGGACTGTCGCGCTGCCACAAACCGTGAACTACCGGTAGCACACAAAAAACACAGCATGCAAAACGCACCAACCAACGTCGCGAGCGTGACCTTCATCGAGTGCAAGGAGGAGCAGCCGAAGCGGCCCGGCCGCGGCTGCGGCGAGGCCGTCTGCGCCGCGGCCGTGGTCCTGGTCCTCGTGGCCCTCTTCGTCGTCGGCGCGCGGACCATGGCGCGCGCCCGGGACGGCGGCGTCGTCGACGACGACGGCGCCGCGTCGGGCTACGTCGCCATCTTCGGGTCGTCGGTCGCGCGCGGCTGCTGCGCGGTCAACGACCTCGGCTGGTGGTACCACCTCGCCGACGCGCTCGAGCCCGTCGCCGTGGAGAACTACGCCATCGGCGGCTTCACGGCCGCGGCGACGCTGAGCGTCGTCGTGACCACGCTCGAGAGCGTGCTCGTCGCGAACCGCACCGCGGCCACGTCCGCGATCATCTCGCTGTCGCTCGCGAACGAGGGCCTCTTCGACGCGGACGACGCGGCCGAGGCGGAGGCCATCGCGGACCGCTACGTCGCCGACCTGCGCGACGTCGCGGACGCGGCCGCGGCGCGCGTCGGCGGCGCCGTCGTCGTCGGCAGCGCCTACGCCAACGACTACGCGCAGGACCTCCACCGCCGCGTCCTCGAGGACGTCAACGCGCGGCTCCGGACCTGGCCCTACCCGACGATCGACTTCTACAACGCGACCGCGGCGCCGGCGACGGGCCGCTGGCGCGCGGGCTACGCCGCGGACCCGGGCCACCCCAACGACCTCGGCCACCGCCGCATGTTCGAGGCCATCGACCTCGGGCCCTACGTAACGTGAATTCTGTTTTACGGCGGGAGCGCGTCGTTGAGCTCCTTGGCCCGCGCCTGGAGCGCGTCGAACGCGGCCTTGTCCTGCTTCTTGAAGAGCACGAACTGCTTCGCGAGGTCCTTCGTCGCCCGGGCGCGGTCCGCGCCGGCGGCGACGAGGGCCGGCAGCCGCGCGTCGCGGAAGAGGCTCAGCGCGCTGTGCCGCGTTTTGGGAACCGCTTTGTACGCGAGCATGACCGGCTCGGGCTCAGGCTCCTCCTCCTCCTTCTCGTACTCGAAGACGTCGCAGAGCTTGTCTTCTCGGAACGAGACGCGTCGTTTCAACGGTGGCGGCGGCGGCGCATCGCAGGCCCGCGGCGCATCGCAGGCCCGCTCAGCCTCCAGCCGCTGCGCCTCGGTCCACGCCGCCGGCCAGTTCGGTCCGCGGCACCAGCCAGCGGGCCAGCTCATGGTTTTGGCTCTTTGCGATGCGCTAGGTGTGCTTCTATGCGGCTGCAACCAGTCCCAGTCCAAGGACCATCGAGGCAGCCCGAGGGCAACAAGGTAACCTGCTTGCTTGAAGATTGCTCAAGCCGCTCGCTGAACGCGAGGAGATTCACCTCTCGCACTGGCAGCCTGCACCACCCTGGCAGCGCGCTGAACAACGACAACGATGGACGCCGACCTGTCGAAACCGGCGATCGCGCAGCTCGGCTTCTGGCACCTCGTGGCCTGCGGCGCGCTGCTCGCCGTCGTCGTCGCCGCGTCGAAGACGCTCGAGCTCGGCCTGGAGTCGCGGCTCGTCGTGTCCGCGCTGCGCTGCGCGGGCCAGCTCATGCTGCTCTGCGCCTTCGTCCTCGAGCCGCTCTTCGAGCGCAATTCGCCGCCGCTCATCGCGGCCTACCTGTGCCTCATCGTCGCGCTCGCGTCGCGCGAGGCGTCGAGCCGGCTGAACTACGACTACGCGAGCGTCTACTACCACTTCTCCGTCGCCTTCGCCGTCGGCGCGGGGTCCGTCATCATGTACGCGACGTGCCTCGTGCTGGACCTGACGCCCTTTTACGACGCCAAGTACATCGTGCCCGTGTCCGGCATGGTCGTCGGCAACGTGCTCACGTCCACGGCGCTGGGCGCGAACGCGTTCCTCACGGACGTCGCCGAGGGCAGCGACCGCGTCGAGCTCTGCCTGAGCCGGGGCGCGTCGTGGCGCGAGGCGGCGCTGCCGGCGCTGCGCAAGGCGATGACGGCCGCGCTCACGCCGACGTTGAATTCGATGGCCGTCATGGGCCTCGTCATGATGCCGGGCATGATGACGGGCCAGATGCTCGGCGGCCAGCCGCCGCTCGTCGCCGGGGGCTACCAGGTCATGATCATGTACCTGGTGTCCGCGGCGGGCTGCATCACGACGGGGCTCCTGCTCTTCTTCGCGGCGTTCTCCGTCTTCGACGCGCGGACGCACGTGCTCCGCCGCGACCTCATCCGCCGCCGCACGAAGGCCCAGAAGAAGGACATACTCCTGGCGCTCGCGGGCGCCGCGCGCGCCGCGTTCGCGCGCGCCGTCGAAGCAAAGCCGGCGGCGAGCTCGGACTACGGCCTCGTCGGCGCGTCCGACGCCGCCGCCGTGCCCAAGGGCCCGCGCTACGCGCTCGAGGGCGGCGACGGGCCCTACGTCGCCGGCGCGTGGCTCATCGCCGACGGGCTCACCTCGAAGCGCACGGGCATCGAGTGCTCGCTCGCGCTGAAGCCCGGCGAGCCGACGTCGATCACGGGCGAGACGGGCGCCGGCCAGGGCAGGAAAAGAGAGCGAAATTCCCAACTTCAAAGGCTCCGATCTCGGCCGTTTTCCACTCGTTTCGGCTGATTTTTGGACGAGCGATCATCTCTCGGAACGGTCTCGAAGCGTGAATGCTTTTTCCGGAACGCGCGCGCGCGGAACACTCATGTTGAAGCGACGTTGAATCACCCTTGTCCTGCCCAGGCGCCGGCAAGTCGCAGCTCCTGAAGACGCTCGCGAAGCTCGTCCCGTCCACGGGCGGGTCCCTGTCCTCCGTCGTCGTCGACGCCGCCCTGCCGGCGCCGGCCTGGCGCTGCGCGGTCGCCTACGTGCCCCAGGACCGGCCGACGCTGCCCGGGTCGCCGCGCGACCTCCTCGCGAAGTGCCGGGCCTACGCGGCGCAGCGGGACCGCGACGTCGCCGACGACGCGGCCTTCGAGGCCCTCGCCGGCGCCTGGGGCCTCGCCGCGGACAAGCTCGACGAGCCCTGGTACACGCTCTCCGGCGGCGAAGCGCAGCGCGCGAACCTCGCCATCGCCATCGCGCTCAAGCCCAAAATCCTCCTCCTCGACGAGCCGACGTCGGCGTGCGATTCCGAGACGACGGCCCTCGTCGAGGTGACGCTCCGCAAGTTCACGGGCGCGCTGCTCCTCGTGACCCACGACGCGGAGCAGGCCGCGCGGCTCTGCGACCACCATCTCTGCCTCGCGAAGTCGGCCTCCTCCGCGTCCTTGGCGGAGTTGGTGTGACGCCGGCGACGCTGCTGTGCTTGTTGTGGTGTTAAGCGTGTGTTCGTCGAGTCTAATGCCTGGCGTGTCTCGTTCGCGTCTGCTGAGCGCCGTCGGCGGGTCATCGCAGACAGGATCGCAGAGGCTATCGGCCGACGCCGCAGGCGACGCCGTCCGCGCGCGCGCGCCGGCGAACGACGCGCACCCCCGCCCACAGCGACCGTTCCATGCCGGCCGCGCGCTCTCCCGAGCAGCATGGTCGAGCAAACATTCAACGACATCTTGAACGACTGGGACGACGACGCGCTCCTCGCCTCCGTGCTCGAGGCCAAGGCGTCGCAGTCGTCGCACACGCAGACGGAGACGTCGTCACCGTCGCCGGCGCCGCCGTTCCTCACCGCGCCGCCGACGACGCACGCCGACGGCGGCGCGCTCCTGCGCTTCGTGGGCTGCGCGAATTCGCCGGCGCCGACGCCCGTCGAGGACGACGCCGAGGCGGCGGCGCTGGAAGCGCACGAGCAAGAGGCGCTCGACGCCGCTGCGGAGGCGGCCGTGTGTGGTGCCGAGGCGCCGGCGACGCAGGTGCTCAGCCAGGACGCGGCCGTGCCCCTGAGCGCGCCGGGCCCGCCGTCGAACACGCCCTTCCGCGCGCCGCGGCCCGGCGCCCCGCCCGTCAAGGCGCTCTTCCAGACGGGCGTCAAGCGCGCGCCGCCGCCGGATCCCGACGCGACGGAGTCGTCCGAGGACGAGGCCGACGAGAAGCCGCCGCGGGCGCTGGCGACGCCCGGGGCCACCGTCGCGAGCACGGTCAGCTCGCTCACGGCGGCGTCCCAGCGCGCGTCCGCGGCCTTCTGGCCCGCGGACGACTCCGCGCGCGAGTTCCGCACGGCCGCCGCCGCCGCCAAGGCCGCGGCCGCGGACGCGCCGGAGGCCGACGACTGGGGCGACGCCGTCGCGCCGGCGAAATCGAACGCCGCCAAACCGCCTGCCGACGACTGGGGCGACGCCATCGCGCCGCCGCAGCCGGACGGCGCCGCGAAAGCGGGCCGCGCGTTGCCCTGGGCCGGCGACGCGAAGCGCATCCCCGCGGCGAAGAAGGCGAAGCGCGCGCTGCCCTGGGAGGCCGGCGGCGCCTCCGCCGCCCCGCAGAAGACGCTCAAGTTCCTCGGGCGCGTCGAGTACGCCGCGACGCCCAAGCAGGTCGACGAGGCGTGCGGCCTCCTCGAGCGCGCGGTGCAGGCGCAGCGGGGCCGCTGGAAGAAGCGGAGCTGGACCGCCGTGCTCGGCTTCGACGTCGAGTGGCGCGTGACCTTCGAGGCGGGCAAGCCGCCGCGCAAGGTCGCCACGGTCCAGCTCGCGGCCCACGACCTCGCCGTCGTCTTCCACGTGAGCAAGCTCGGCGCGATCCCCGACCGGCTCCACGCGCTGCTCTGCGACCCGCAGGCCGTCAAGGTCGGCGTGGGCTGCGGCAACGACGCTCTCAAGCTCCAGAACGACTACCCGGGCTGCGCCGTGTCGCCCGTCGTCGACTGCCGCGACCTCGCGGGGCCCCTCGGCCTGTCGTGCGGCGGCTCGCTCGCCGCGCTCGCGGCGGCCGCGCTCCGCTGCGCGCTCCCGAAGCCGCCCGCGACGCGCTGCGGCAACTGGGAGCAGTACCCGCTGAGCGCGCAGCAGCGCGAGTACGCGGCCCTCGACGCCTACGCGGGCTTCCGCGTCTTCTGCGCGCTGAGCGCGCGGTCCGACGAGCGGTCGCTCCGCGACGCGACGAACAAGCCGCCGCCGGCACCGCGGCGCCCGCGAAGCCGCCGCCGCCGCGGGACGGCGGCGCGCCGTCCGTCGCCGGAGCCGTCGCCGTGCAAGCCGAAGCGCCGCGGCTCCGCGCCGTGGCGCCACCGCGTCGACGCGCGGCCCGAGATCGGCCGCGTGCAGCCCGCGAAGCAGCGGGCCTACGACGCCTACTTCGTCGACGGCCGGTCCGCGCGGGCCATCGCCGAGGAGCGCGGCGTCAAGGAGACGACGGTCTACAACTACGTCGCCGACGCGATGCACGCGGGCCTCGCGTACGACTGGGCGCGCGTCGAGGACGACGTCGGCGTCGACCGCGCGGGCCGCATCCTCGCCGCGCTCGCGGAGTACGGCCACCACGGCGCGGTGAAGAAGGCCGTCGACGACAGCGAGTACTGGATGATCCGCCTCTGCCAGGTCCACGCGGACCGCGTCGCCGTCGGCCCCGCGGACTCCATCGCCGCGTCGTCGCGGACGAGCCTCTCGGACCTGACGCCGCTCCGCGACGACGACGCGCCGACCGTGTCCGAGTTCCGCCTCTTCTTCATCGACTAAACACACTTAGATGATGTCGTCGGCGCCGTCGCCGTCGCCGCCGGCCCACGCGGCCTTGACCGCGCTCTGCTGGAGGATCTTCTGCGCCTCCTGCGCCGCGGCCTGCGCGGACACGCGCGGCGGCGGCGGCAGGTCCGGGTCCGCCTTCGCCGCCTCCTGGGCGCGCTTGACGCGGCTCCGCGCGAGGCTCGCGGCCGACGGGCGGCAGATCGCCTCCTCCTCGTCGACGGCCGCGTAGCCGAGCTTGTCCAGCAGCGCCATGACGCGCTCGTACTTGGGATTGCGCACGATGTTGTAGCTCTCGAGGTCCGCCTTGGCCATGACCTCCCAGGCGAGCTTCACGTCGCCCGCGCGCCGCTTGTGGCCGTTGGACGACAGCGCGTCGGCCTCCCAGCGCCGGTAGAACGTGCAGCCGTGCGCCAGATGCAGATCGCCGTCGTCGTGGCCCACGCGCTTCGCCGCCGTCGCCTTGAGCCGGAGCGCCTTCGACGCGGCGACGGACGTCCAGGGCTTGGAGTAGGGCGCCTGCCGGTGGACGTGCGCGAGGTCCCTGATGGCGCCGCCGCCGCACAAACTCTTGAGGAACAGCAGGAACGGCCGTCCCAGGATCGCCCAGAGCAGCAGCACGGCGACGTAGGCGAAGAACGCGAGCCACAGAGGCACGACGTTGCGCTTCGCCATGCGCCGCAGCGCGAAGCGGACGAGCCCGGAGCGCTTCTCCGCGTAGGTCGCGATCGCCTCCACGTCCGGCGCGTGGACGAGCTCGTCCTCCGACAGCGCGTAGACGGCCATGAGGAAGTGGAGCGCGGCCATGACGTAGAGTCGATTCGAAAACTGTTTCCCCAGTGTCTCGTCGTAGTTCGGCGGCTGCTCGCAGAACTTGAAGACGAGGACCTTGTTGAGCGCGTAGGCGACGCCGCAGGCCACCGTGGCGAAGGCCGCGAGCACTGGAAGACCCGGCGCGTAGAGCGTCGTCACGAAGAGCGTCGTGAGCGCGATGGCGTAGGAGCGCTCGATCTGCCAGGGCGTCGGCGTGTAGAGCCGGTCGAGCGCGGACTGCGTCTTCACCCAACTCCGCAGCGCCGTCCGCTTCAGCTCCTTCACCACAACCTTCTGGACGAAGGAGATCTGGGGGACGACGACGTTCGTGAGCATGGTCAGCGTCAGCGACGCGCCCACGGTGGCGTACCACGCCTTGCCCATGGACCGGTGCGACCTACCAAGCATGTCGGTAACGATTTCTCTTCGTTTTCCCGGTCAACATCTCTCGAAATCGTCGCCGCCACAGGACGCCGGGTGCGACCCGCCGAGCAGGTTCGTCCGATCCGCGCCCTCGTCGACGCCGTCGGGCGACTCGTCCCGCTTCAGGCTCGCGTTGATCGCCAGCGCCAGCAGCGCCGTGTTGACGATCTGCGCGTTGGACAGCTTCGTTACCAACGATGTCAGCCGCGTCGTCTGCGAGGAGTGGCGCTCGAAGTCCGTGAGCGCGTAGAGCGCGACGCGCACGAGCTCGTTGACGAGAACGACGAGCAGCGCCACGGCGATCTTGAGCAGGAAGGCGACCATGACGTTGCGCAGCGTCTTGGCGCAGACGTCCGCCTCGGCCGGCTTCCGGCGCCCCGCGAGGATGAGCGCGGCCTTCTTCGCGCCTAGATTGAAGCGGCAGAAGCACGCGGCGAGCAGGCTCGGGTGGTACTCGAAGCAGCTGTAGCCCGGGTCGTCGATCCAGCCCGGCGCGCCGGACTCGGACCGGCCGTAGCAGGGCAGCGTGTAGCAGACGTCGTCCTCGTTGTCGCGCGACCGGTCGCCCGGCGCGCAGGGGTCGTCGCAGACGCCGCAGCGCGGCGCCGCGCAGGTCACGGCGAGCGTGTCGCAGGTGGCGTTCGCGCCGCAGGGGAAGAGGGCGTGGGCCTGCTTGTCGTCGCTCCTGCCGCCGCGGCTCCGGCAGACCTTGGGGGACCGCTTCGACGCGCCCGCGGGATGCTCGCAGCGGAGGCCGCCGTCGACGTCCCGGAGGACGTCGAGGCCCGCGTCGCCCCTCGGCAGCGGCGATATGTCGCCGTAGGCGTCGAGCTCGAGCGGCGGCAACTGGTCGTAGTCCAGGCCGTCGTAGGCGAGGTGGTACGCGTCGCCGCCGCAGTCGACGGTTTCGTTGTACCTCAACTCCCGGAGCGTGCTGTTGAAGGTGCCGACGACCGCGGCCTCGAGCGCGCGGCACTGGAGCGAGTCGGGGATCGACTCGACGGCGTCGCGCGCCGCGACGGCGGCCTTGTTGATGGCCAGCGCCGACGCCGCGAGCAGCGCGAGCGTCACGGCGCGCGCGGCGGCCGCGCGGCGCACCCTGCTGCCCCAGGACTGCTCCAGGTTCTCCCAGACGACGTTCGACGGCGCCGGGGCGCGCTTCACGATGAGGCGGCGCCGCGTCTTCTCGCCGTCGGGGAAGCGGAGCGCGCGCGGCTGGAAGCGGCGCCGGTACCAACTCCCGGACGCGCGGTAGTCGTCGAGGCAGCGAAAACAGCTCTCCTCGTGCTCGAAGGTCACGAAGGCGACGCGGCCGCAGGGCCGCATGGTCCGCTCGGGCGCGTAGCGCTTCCGCAGCTTCGTCGCCGACTTTTCAAACCGCTTCCGCGTCTTCGCGATCTTCCTCTCGAGCCGCGCGATCGTCCGGGGCCGCGCCCGGTCGGACCGCTCGCGCGCCAGCAGCGCGTTGAGCGTCTCGGCCTTCTCGTCGACCTTGAGCATCTTCCGCGCCCGTCGAATCAAATTGCCGAAGGGGTGGCTGAGCTGGACGTCCGCGACCCACGACCCGAGGAAGTTCGGGTTGCCGTTGACGTGGTCCGCGTTGTCGCAGGGCTCCGCGGCGCCCGGATCGTCGGCGCAGAGCACGCGGCTCATGGCGTCCAAGCCGTCCAACGCGACGGCGTCGGAGTCGTCGCTCGGCGCGACGCGCGACGACCGCTTCCTCCGTCGCCGTCTCTTGGCCGCGTACTTGAGCGCCGCGGCGCGCTCCGCCTCCCACGCCGCGCGCGGCGACGCGCGCGGCCGCGGGGTCCCCGCGCCGCGGCAAGCTAAAAAGCACCAAAACAAGAAGCCGACGAGCAGCGCGCCGCCGCCGACCAACGCCGCCCGCCTTTTGTAGCCGCCGCCGAGCTCGTCCGCTCGCGGGATCTTCGAGGACGCGTAGGGCAGCACGACAAAGTGCGTCGCGGCCGCGGCGAGCGCCGTCGCCAGCGCGGCGCCGTGCAGACGCACGCCCCCCGCGTCGACGCCGGCGACGGGCGCGTGGCGGTACGCGGGGCCCTTGAGGTCGTAGAGGCTCGAGAAATGCTCCCGGACCGACGCGATCGTCGCCGTCGGCGGCAGGCCCTTGACGATGATCGTGTAGTCCGCGGGCTCCGCCTGGATCGTGCGCCGCCGCGCGACGACCTTGCCGAGGGTCCGGTCGAAGTAGAACGCGGCGACCACGAGGACGATCGACGCCGCCAGCGCGGACCCCGCCAGCGCGTAGGCGACCCGGTGGTCCCGGTAGCGTCGTCCCCAGATGCTCAAGTACCGCCAGCCGTCGCAGAACCGCACCTTGTCGACGCCCTTGTCGCTGCAGGCGCAGTCGACGCCGCCGCCGTCGACGCAGCCGACGGCGTCGACGACCTGCGACGGCACCGACGCGCAGTCGCAGCGGCCGCGCCGCGACGAGATCGCGTCGCGGTCGAGGCCCTCGTTGCCGAGGCCGTAGCGCACGAAGCCCAGGTCGCCCGCGGCGACGATCTTCGGCGTCGACAGCGCGTAGCCGTCGTTGCCCGCGCGGTGGATCGCGAGCGCCGGGCCGTAGCACAGGGCCATGGCGCACATGGCCCAGAAGGACACGCGCAGCGCCCGGAAGAAGAGCTCGACCTACCAAGCATGTCGGTAACGATTTCTCTTCGTCTGCCCGGTCGAAATCTCTCGAAAATTGTCGCCGCCACAGGACGCTGAGCTCGACGCCGACGCCCAACTCGCCGAGCGGCGCGGCCGCGCGGACCGAGTTCTCGCCGCCCTCGAAGAGGAGGCCCGCGCGGTGCCGCTCCGCGGCCTCGCGCCGCGGGAGCGCGTAGCGCGCGAGCTCCCGCGTCGACGCGCCCTCGGCGGCGAGCTGGGACGCGCGCGCGAGCGTGTGGCGCCGCCGCTTCGTCGGAGACTCGGGATCGTCGCCGCCGTCGAGGAACTCGCGGTAGACGCTCTCGCGGCCGAGCCGCCGCTGCGCGAGGAGCACGGCCTCGTCGGGGAGGCCGCGCATGTCGCTCAGCGCGCCCGACGCGCCCGCCGGCTGCCAGTTGCGCTCCGCGAGCAGGGACGCCGACGACGACGCCGTGGACCGCGGCACGCCGGCGCCCCGGAGCCACTGCTCGATGGCGTCGCGCGGGTTCGGCAGCCGCGCCGTGTCCATCTCCTTCTGCTCCTCGTGCATCGCGGTTGGTCCCGGCCCCGACTCGGCTGCCGGTTTACATCGTGTTGCTCGTCGTGGCGTGGGGCAGCTCTGGACGATGTTGCCCCTCGCAGTTGACAGAGCCGCTCATCAAGGACCGCCGCCTCCGCCGCCGCCCCGCTCCGCCGCCATGTCGGCCCCCAAGGGCACGCTGAACGTCGAGCGCCGCGGGTGGGACAAGGACAAGTACGAGCAGCGCGCGAAGGACCGCGAGGAGTACGGCGACGAGTACGTCGACGGCAAGGGCGCCGAGGCGGAGATCCGGGACCGGCAGGAGTTCCGCGCCGCCGAGGCCGGCGCCGCGGGCCCCGCCGGGTCGAAGCGGAGTTGGCTGACGCACCGCACGGGCGGCTTCGGCTTCGACAAGTCCGCCGGGTGCACGAAGGTGCTCACGGAGCCAGAGGTGCAGAAGAAGGCGACGGGCTGGTACTGCGACGTCTGCGAGTGCCTGCTGCGCGACAGCGCGTCGTACCTGGACCACATCAACGGCAAGAAGCACCAGCGGAAGCTGGGCTACTCCATGCGCGTCGAGCGCGTCGGCGTCGACGCGGTCCGCGACCGCTTCGCGGACCAGACCGAGAAGCGCGCGGCGGCGGCGGCGGCCGTCGAGCGCCACAAGACGCTCGACGTCGGCGAGGAGTACGAGCGGCGCCTCCAGCAGCGCGACGAGGACGACGCCGCGGAGAAGGCCGCGCGGCGCGAGGCGAAGCGCCAGCGCAAGGAGGAGCGGGCCGCGGCGGACCAGGCCGAGGACCCGGACTTCGACGCGGAGATGAACGCCATGATGGGCTTCGGCGGCTTCGGCAGCTCCAAGAAGCAACGATAGGATTCTAAGATATCGCGCTTCGTCTAGGCGCGCTTGCACGTCTTCTTGACCATGAGCTCCGAGTGGCCGAGGTGGAGCGCGCCCCGCTTGCCGCCGCAGAGGGAGCCGTAGGCGTGCTTCACCTCCTTGACCTCGTAGCCCCGGTGCTCGGCCCACTGGATGCCGTAGGCCATCCAGCACTGGGGCGTCGACGGCTTCGCGTTGCTCGGCAGCGCGATCTGGTCGTCGCTGTCGCTGAGGAAGAGGATCCCGCCGCAGGCGAGGTGGCGGTCGAAGTTGTCGAAGGCGCGGCGCCAGAGGACCAAGGCGCAGGGGAGCCGGTTCGACGACTGGGACAGCTGCGCGTCGCCGTATTTCGAGTTGTGCTTCTGGCCCTTGCGTTGCCGCCCCCGGAGCCGGCGCGTCTCGTTGCGGAAGGGCGACGCCAGCGCGGCGGCCGTGTTCGAGTCCTCGGCGTCGAGGCGGCGGAAGGGCGACGCCAGCGCGGCCTTGTTCGAGTCCTTGTCGCACAGGCCCAGATCGCCCGACGTGTCGATGCTCAGCGACGTGTGGTGGATGCCCTCCGCCTGGAAGATCAGTTCGAACTTGCACTGCGAGCACAGCGGCAGCCACGCGAGCCAGGTCCAGTCCAGGATGGGCGACCCGCGCTCCGCGGCGACGCGGGCCATGGAGCAGTCGTAGAAGCCGAAGGAGACCAGCGACGTCAGCGACTTCCGCACGCCCGAGCTCCGGAGCGTCGCGTCGAGCGAGCACGTGCCCGCGCCCGCGTCGAGGACGCGCTTAATGTAGCCGGCCTCGATCCACTTCGTGAACTGGGTGCGCCACTCCTTCTTCTTCGCGTGGGGCGTCACGTAGTTGTTGCGCCACGCGGTCGGCGACTTTCGCGCGTAGGTCCCCGCCCAGGAGTTCGGGCCGTAGGTGTTGAGCACGCCCTTGGAGTCCCAGCCGGCGAGGCGGCCCTTGTTCACGTCGCCGCCGACGGCCTGCTGCCGCCGAGCGTTGCCGATGGTCTGGTAGCTCTTGGGCGTCGCCGGGAAGCGGGGGCACACGGGCGCCGTCTTCTCGCACGCCGCCGACGCCTTCCCGCGGCGGTAGACGTTCGTGAAGCCGTCGACTTTGAGGAGGAGCTCGTCGAGCGCGACGCAGCGCTTCTTGTTATCGCCTTCGCACTTGGGCGCGCGCGCCGGCGGCGAGCACAAATCCGCGGCGACGTGCGCGCCGCCCTCGAGCGCGACGACGGGTCGCTTCTCGGCGCCCACGAGCACGACGACGCCGTCGGCGGCGACGACGCGCGCGCACTCGACCAAGAATCGAACCCGCTCGTCGTCGGACAGGCTCTCGAACCGCGGCGCGGCGACGTCGAGGACCAACGCGTCGACGGCGAACGCGGCGAACGGGAGCGACGGGTCCGACGGGTCGAGCACGATGGACGTCTTCTCCAGGTTCCAGAGCGCGTAGGCCCGGCCGTCGTCGTAGGTCACGTACAAGGGGTCCCACGACTGGGGCAGGTTCGCCGGCGCGGCGACGTCGACGAGGAGCAGGGACCGCAGGATCGGGCCGGCGGTCTTGGGGAGGTCCTCGCGCAGCGTGCTGATGGTCGTTTCCTTCTCCGCGACCGCGGCGCCCGCGATGAGTAGGAGGAGTGCCCTCGGAGAGGGCATGATGCTCGCGAGACGCGTGAGCTAGGTCGAGGACTCGACGGCTTGCTGGTCACTGCTCGCAGATCGTCGGCGAGCGCTGCGCGCTGCAGCGCTGCCACAACAACAGCGGCGCCGTCGGAAGACAAGAGCGCTGCGCGCCGTGGTCGTCGCGTGCGCGGTGTGGCACAGCGCGGTCCTTGCTCTCGGAAGACAAGTGCACGTCGTCGCGCGCCGCTGCATGCGCCTGCAGTTCTTCCTGGTCACCGGCTTCTGGGGCGCGACGATGCTCGTCTTTTGGTTCGCCTTCGTGTCGCTACGGCGCGCGCTGGCGACGCCGTCGCTGCGCCTCGGCCACGGCCGCCGCTTCGTCGTCGAGGACGACCGCTTCGTCAAGGACGGCGCGCCCTTCGTGCTGCGGTCCGGCAGCGTGCACTACTCGCGCGTGCCGCGGGCCTACTGGCGCGACCGGCTGCTGCGCGTCCGCGCGCTCGGGCTCAACGCGGTGACGACGTACGTGCCGTGGAACCTGCACGAGACCGAGCCGAACGCCTTCGACTTCGCCGGCGCGAAGCACGTCGGCGCCTTCCTGGACGAAGCGAAGGACGCGGGGCTCCTCGCGATCCTGCGCGTCGGCCCCTACATGTGCGGCGAGTGGGAGTTCGGCGGCTTCCCCGCGTGGCTCCTCCGGGAGAACGCGACGCTCCGCACCTACGACCCCGCCTACCTCTCCTACGTCGACCGCTACTGGCGCCAACTCCTGCCGCAGTTCCGAAACCGCCTCTATTCCGCGGGCGGCAACGTCGTCGTGATACAGCTGGAGAACGAGTTCGGCGACTACGGCGACTGCTCGAAGAACGAGAACGACGCGCGCTACATGCGGCACCTCTACGACCTCGCGACGCAACACCTCGGCACGGACGTCATCTATTCCACGGTGTCGCCCGCGCGGAACCTCGACCGCGCGTCGCCGTGGCGCGACGACTCGCGCGTGCTCGCGACGGTCGACGGCGGCCTCGCGGAGGGCTACGCCGCGGACTTTGCTTTGCAAAAGGCCTTCAACGCGCCGGGCCACTCGCCGAAGATGTGGACCGAGCTCTGGACGGGCTGGTACACGCACTGGGTCGACGCGAGGGCGGCGAACAAGACGGCGGAGGAGTACGGCTCCGGCGTCGCCGCGATGGCGCGCGAGCCGAACGCGTCGTTCTCGCTCTACATGGCGCACGGCGGCACGTCCTACGGCTACTGGAGCGGCGCCAACGACCTCGCGCCCGGCGGGCCGACCTTCGCCGCGGACGTGACGTCCTACGATTACAACGCGCCCGTCGGCGAGGCGGGCGACCACACCGTCGGCGCCGACGGCGGCGACACCTTCGCCGCGATCCGCGACGCCATCGCCGCCGTCTACGGCGCGCCGCCGGACGAGCCGCCGGCCGTGCCGAAGCGGGCCTACGGCGCCGTCGCGCTCGCCGAGGCCGCGAAGCTCCTCGACCACGTCGACGCGCTCGCGACGTGCGCCGAGACGCTGCCGAGCGGCGGCGCCTGGCCCTCGATGGAGGATCTGGGACAAAACTACGGGTTCCTGCTCTACTCGCAGGCGACGCCATCGCCATCGCCGCAGACGCTCGCGTTCGACGAAGAGTCCCTGCACGATCGCGTCCACGTCTTCGTCGACGGCGAGCTCTCCGGCGTGCCCCGGTTCCGCCCGGACTGCGGCGCGTCGTGCGCCGTCGACGTCCCCGGGGGCTCGGACCTGCGGCTCCTCGTGGAGAACATGGGCCGCATCAATTATGGCGCTCGAGCCGCGGAGCGCCGGGACCGCAAGGGCCTGCTGAAGCGCGTGGGAGACCTGGACCGCGTGACGTGCCTGCCCCTCGACCCCGCCGCGGTCGCCGGGCTGCCCTTCCGGCCGCTGGACGGCGCGGCCACGGCGTCGCCCGTGTTCCTTCGCGGCGTCCTGACCATCGACGGCGCGCCCGCGGACACGTACCTCGACACGCGCGGCCTCTCCAAGGGCATCATCTGGCTCAACGGCCGCATGCTCGGGCGCTTCTGGGAGACCGCGGGGCCGCAGCACGCGCTCTACGCGCCGGCGCCCTTCTTGAACTCGGGCAAAAACGACGTCATCGTCCTCGACCTCGACGGGAAGCAGCCGCCGGCGCTCCAGTCGCGCGCGAGCCAGCGCTGGGCTTCCTAAAACGCGGCACCTTGCATCGCTCCTTGAACATGTATGACGAGGCTGCCCCGCGCGTCGACGGCAGCATGCCTGCGAGCCCGCGGCAGGCGACGCAGCGCAAGTCGGCGGGCGCCGACGAGGATGACCTCGAGGGCGGCGGCGGCGGCGGCGACGACGAGTCGAAGAAGGCGCGCGGCGCCGGCGGCGACGTGCGGCTGCGGCTGCGCCTCGCCGGCGACGCCGTCCAGCGGCGCTGCGCGGGCTGGTGCGGCGGCGCGCTCGGCGCCTGCGGCCGGCGCCTCGACGACGGCCGGGCGGGGAACCTGCTTGTCGCCGCCGTCGGCGGCTGGGTCGCGCTCGCGTCGGCGTCGCTGGTCCTCGGCTTCGGCCGCGGCAAGGACTTCGCGCTCTGTTGCGGCGTGCTCGCCGGGTGCGTCGTCGCGCTCGTGCACCACCCGGCGGGCCGCGGGCTCCGCGCCCGGCTCTGGGCCTGGAACGCGGCGAACGGGTGGCTGCGGCCGACGGTCGTCGACGTCGCGGAGCGCGCGATGCGCGCGGGCGACGCCGCGGGCGCGCTCGCGGCCGTGGACGCGATGCGCCGCGACGGCGACGTCGTGCTGGAGACCTTCGGCGACGCCCAGGGCGCCGTCGTCGACCGCGTCTTCGGCGACGGCTTCGTGGCGCACGTCGAGGAGGGCGCCTACCGGCCCCGGGTCTGCGTCGAGTTCGCGCGCGGGTCCGCGGGCTACAGCGCCGCGCGCGTCGCGCGCTGGCTCGCGCGCGACGCCGTGCTCCACGCCGTCGACGACGACGCCCTCGGCCAGAGCGTGCGCATGGCCGTCGCGGCGGCCGCGGGCGTCGCGGACCGCGTCCGGCCCGCGCTGGCCGCGCCCGCGGACTGGCTCCGGGCCTTCGAGCGGTCGGGCCAGAGCCGGTGTATCGACTTCCTGCTCATCGCCCACGGCGACGCGTACAAGGCGCTCCTCGAGCTCGCGCTGAAGCTCGACCTGCTGAACCGCGGCTGCGTCGTCGTCGCGGACGGCGGCGGGGCGGACTACGCGCGCTTCGTCAAGAACGACGCGCGCTTCCGGACGACGGCCCACGCGAGCGACGCCGGCGAGCTCCTCGTCGCCGCCTACCAGGGGCGGCGGAGCGACGCGTATGCGGCGTAAAAAAATGGGGGAATGAGCTTAGGGCCAGGCGCTTAGCGGGGAGGGAATTGGCGAGGCTAGGCGACCGAGCCCCACATTTTGCTCAGCCTGAGGCATTTTGCAGGAGAGCGAAATACGTGTCGCAATTGCGTCGCAACACCACCGCGCTCCAGCAAGACGCGCAGGCGCAGGCCTTGTCGCCCAAGCAGCTGGCGTAGCGCACGCCGATTGCGGCAGGTTCATTACATGCTTTTTCAGTGCAGCGCGGCTGCTTTCCGCGAAGCCGGCCGTTCGCTTTAAATGACGGTTCCTTGATCGCGAGCCCGCCGGCGATGGCTTCGGCTGCATTTTTGACGAAATGACGATTCTGGCGGCGTCCCGGAACATAGGTGAACTTTTGTTCCTTGATCTGATCGAGCACCAGCTTCGTAGGCCCGCACAGACGACGATGTCCCGCGGTCCCAAGCCTGCCGCTGGCATTTTTTGGAGCAGAAGCGCGCGATAAGGCATCCCTCGCAGACCAAAGTGGTCTTCTGACCACAGACACGGCAGCAATGGTTGGCGTCGCGTTCGGCCTTTTGTATTTCGCGGTCTAACGCGCGGTCGAACCGCGGGTCCATCCCGACAGCTCGGCCTCACGACTCTATAGTCCACGAGTCGGCGCCGACGACCCGGGCTGCGCGGGCAAAGACCGGGCAAAGAAGCCGGAAGAGCAGCGTTGCCACAGCCACGCGGCCTCGACCTCTGGTGCGTCGCAAAAGCCAGCGGCGCGACCGCTCACAGCGTCGACGATGATGCGCGCGCTGGCCTCGCTCGTCGCGCTGCTCGTCGCGCGCGCCGCGGCCATCGAGGAGGACGGCGTGCTCGTGCTGACGGCGAGCAACTTCCAGAACAAGGTCAACGAGCAGTACGACACGGGCATGATGGTCGAGTTCTACGCGCCGTGGTGCAAGCACTGCCAGGCGCTGGCGCCGGTCTACGCCGAGGCGGCGCAGGCCCTGAAGGGCGACGTCGTGCTCGCGAAGATCGACGCGACGCAGGCGCAGGCGCTCGCGCAGCAGCACGGCGTCACGGGCTACCCGTCGGTCAAGTTCTTCAAGCAGGGCCGCGTCATCGACGCCCAGGGCGTGGGCATGGAGGCGGAGCAGATCGTCAAGGCCGCCCAGCGCCTCTCGCAGGAGCGCTGCGGCTACCTCGGCGACGCCGCCGCGGTCGAGGCGGCGGCGACGGGCCCCGGCGTGCGCGTGCTGGCCTTCTTCAAGACGAACAAGACCAAGGCCGCGCGGAGCTTCCTGAACGCCGTCGACGAATTCCGGTACCCCATCGACTTCTTCATCGGCACGGACGAGGCGCTAAAGTCGAAGGCGTTCGACGTCGCGGAGCGGCGGTTCCTCAACGAGGGCAAGGCGGACGAGTCGTCGCTCCTCGACGACCCGCTGGCGAAGCTGAAGCCGCTGAGCTTGGGCGCCGTGCCCAAGGGCCCCGTCGCGCTGCTCGTCAAGCCCTACGACGAGCGCGTGGCCTTTTTGAAGCTCGGCGACGGCAAGGACGGGCGCAAGAAGCTCGAGAAGTGGCTCGAGGAGCAGATGATGCCCCTCGTCGTGCCCTTTTTGCCGGAGTACGTCGACATGATCTTCGGCGGCCCGCTCCAGATGCACGCCGTGCTCGCCGTGGACCCCCAGAGCGACTTCGCGGCCGAGCGCGACGCCTTCTACGGCGCGGCCATCGCGAACCGGGGCAAGGTGCTCCACATCATCATGTTCAAGCCGCCGGACGACGACGGCGACGCCGACGAGGACGAGGTCGCCGCGCGCGACGAGCTCCGGGCCGTGCTGAGCTTCCTGAAGATCGACCGGACGCCCGCGCTCGTCATGTCGGACATGACCGTGGCCACGGAGGCGGAGCCGCGCGGCAAGCAGGAGACCTTCGCCGGCGATTTACGGGACAAGGCCGCGGTCCTCGAGTTCCAGCAGACCTACGCGGCCAAGGCCGTCGCGCGCAAGGCGGGCCTCGACCCGAAGATGGCCGAGATCATGAGCGACCCGAAGATGCAGGAGATGATCAAGGACGAGAAGATGAGCTCCATGTTCTCCATCATGGGCATGCCCCAGCAGCTCGTCGACATCTACAAGTCCGAGCTGTAGGTGGTTTTTTGGGCGTAAGCGTGGGGGCAAATGTCGATTGTTGATGCTCGCTTGAAGCACGCTTGTCGGGAGCTCAGCCGCCAGCTCGAGCATCTCCGAGCGCGGCGCGCGCGCGCGCGCCCGTGTCGCATCGAGCGACCGCGTCGACAGCGCCGCATCGAAAGCGCTGCGTCGCCTGCGCTATGGTCGTCGCCGAGAAAAAGTCGCCGACCTGGAAGCCAGAGAGAGAGAAGAAAGAGCGTCAGCCTGGCGCACCGATGACGCGGCGGGATCTCATAAAAGCGATCTCCATGGGCAAAGCGAGCGAGGTCGAGGAGTGGTTCTCGAGCGGCGACCGCGACCCGAACGACGCGGAAACGGATAACTCAACCACGCTCCTCTCGCGTGCCATGACGTGCTCTTGGAGCCATTGGACATTTGGACCGAAAGGCGCGGCGGCGAGGAAGGGCGGAATTCAGATCGCGCGCGGCCTCATCGCGCGCGGTGCGGACGTGAACCGTCCCACAACTCGTAGCTACGAAACGGTGCTTCACATTGCCGCGCGATTGGGCACCGCTGAATCGGTAAACTTCCTCCTCGACAACGGCGCTGAATTAGAATCTGCTGATAAATATGGTATTACGCCGCTGATGAACTCCTGCCGTGCTTGCGTAGAGCGCGACTGCATCGACACCGTGCTCGCGCTTCTCAAACGCGGCGCATCGCTGGACGCCGTCAACAACGAAGGCGACGGCGTCTTGGACTTCCTGGTGGGTGAGAACTTCTATGATCCTGAGGACCGTCGTTATGGTGACGGCTTTTACACCTTCGAAGAGGCCAAGGCGGCGCTCGCGGAAATCAAAGACGCGGGCGGCTGGAAGTCCTACGCGCGCGAGCCGCGCCGCGAACTGCTCGCGCTGCGGGTCCTCTGCGAGCAAGGACGCGCGTCGCCGCCCGAGGCCTTCATGCCTGTGGAGCTGCTGGCGTCGGGCGTGCTCTCGGCGGAGACGTTCGACGACGCCAAGTCGCTCGCGCGCTCGGCGACGTGCGCGCCGCTGCCCATCCTCAAGCGGCTATTTCCTGCGGCGGCGGCGCCGCCGGAGCTCGACGAGGCCCAAGGCGCCAAGCGCTACCGCGTGCGCGACGGCGCCGATGCCGGAGTCTTTTCCAAGGAGCTGTTCTGGCACATCCTGTCGTATTGGCACACCCTCACCGACGACGCTGTGGTGCTGCGCGACGCAGTCCGCCGCGACCACGAGGATCACGTGCGGCGTAGCGAAAACGGAGGAGACTACTAAGATGAAGTAACGTGCGTTGGGTTTGCGAATAGGCGATGCCCTCGCCAAGGGCCTCGGGCCGAGGCTCAGGCTAGCCGGTAGGCTCGGCGATGTCATTTTTGCCTCAGGACTTGGCGACGATCGAGTCGCAAGACGCTCGCGCTGGCGACGCCCATCGCCTCAAAAAGCGTGCGCGCGTCCGTGCCCCTCCTCCGCCGCCGGAAAGTGTCGCCGCGCTCGGCTTGGCGCACGATGCCGTCGCCAGAGGACGCGTTCGACGCAATAATCAGTTTATTACAAAAGAATCCCGCTGATCGGGATCGAGCTGATCTCCTATCAGTCATTCGCATCGCCGACGCACGCGACAGTATGGGACACACACTGTTATATCTCTTGATCACGGACGCATCGAAGCATCATGACGAGGGCCAATATCAGATCGCGCGCGTCCTCATATTACTCCGCGCCGACATCAACGCGAAACAAGGTCAGGACGGTTCTAGTCAGACGATCCTTCATGCCGTCGCGTATGTGGGCTCCGTCGCAGCGGTGAACTTCTGCCTTGATAATGGCGCCGACCTGGAAGCACTTGATGGAAACGGCGAGACGCCGCTGATGAATTGTTTTGCGAACATGGCGTACATCTTTTGTACTTCCCCAGACTCGGCGCTTGCGCTCCTCAAAGCTGGTGCGTCGCTCGACCACGTGGACAGAAACGGCTATGGCATCGAGGACTACCTGAGGCTGCACGCCGACGAGTTTCTCGAGGAACCGTTCGACCTCGAAGAAACGCGGCTCTTCATCGCAAAAGTGAAACGTGCTGGCGGTTGGAAGCCCTTCGCGCTCGAACCTCGCCTGGGATTACTCGTGCTACGGGCGCTCTGTGAACAGGGCCGCGCGGCGCCGCCCGAGAAATCAGTGGATACGGAGCAGCCGGCGACGGCCGCTTCCGCCTCCGTCGTCGCGCGCTTGTTCGGCGTGCCGAAAGAAGTATTCTGGATCGTACTTTCTTACTGGAACCCGTTCAGAGACGATGGCGAGGAGCTGCGCGTCGCGATTTTGAATGACGAAGAACGCATGCGGGAAGAAATCCGGCGAGAACGCGGCGGCGACTCAGAGACGGAGCCAGAGACCGACGTCAGCGATGAGGAGGAGGAGGAGACCGACGCCAGCGACGAGGAGGAGGAAACCGACGTCAGCGATGACGAGGGCGCGTAAGCGAACTAAAAGCAATTTAACCCCCCCTCACGGCGTCGCGCGGCGGGGCTTCGTCTCGACGCGGCCGTCGGGGTACTTGGCGAAGCGCTGGTCGTCGCGCTTGTGGACGACGCCGTCCGAGGGCCAGGGCCAGCTGCCGAACTGGGTCATCTGGTAGTCCCGGAAGGCCTTGGTGATGTCCTCGCGCGTGTTGCCGACGAAGGGCCCGTGCTGGACCACGGGCTCGTTGAGGTCGTTGCCCTGGAGCACGAGGAGCCCGATCTCCTGCGCGCCCGCGGCGACCTCGAGGTCCTTGGACGCGTCGACCTTGATGCGGTGCGTCGCCGTGAGCCGCTTGCCGCCGACCGTGAGCTCGCCGCCCTCGTACTTGTAGAGGTTCCGGTGCGTGTCGCGGCCCGCTCCGGGCGCGCCCGGGATGACGTAGGACGCGCCCGGTTTCAACTTGATCGTCATGACGAGCAGCTGCGAGTTCGGGTCGCGCGCGTAGCTGTCCGGCGGCGGCGGCAGCGCGGGCTTGTTGAAGCCCTCGGCCGCACCGGCGACGAGCTTGACGAGCGCGCCGCCGCGGTCGAGCGTCGGGATGTCCTCGCCCCAGAACATGAGGAAGTTCGGCGGCGACATCTTCTTCGCCCGCGGCAGGTTCAGCCAGATCTGGAAGAACTCCATGTGATTCTCCTCGGCGCGCGCGAGGCACGGGAACATCTCCGCGTGCGAGATGCCCGCGCCGGCCGTCATCCACTGCACGTCGCCGTCGCCGAAGCGGCCCGCCGCGCCGAGGCTGTCGACGTGGTCCACGAAGCCGCGCACGGACACGGAGATGGTCTCGAAGCCCCGGTGCGGGTGCTTGGGGAAGCCCGGGATGCCGCCCTCGCCGTGGTACATGGACCAGCCCGCGGGGTTGCCGAAATCCGCGCCGATGTTGTGGCCCCGGAGGCTCGCGTCCGGTCCCATCTTCGCGTTGCCCTTGGGGTACTTGTCGTTGTGGAACACGCCGAAGAGGAACGGGCTGTCCGTGTCGAAGGGAAAGGTCAGCGGGTCCACGCGGAGCACGGCCATGGCGCAGGTGTCGTCGGCGGCGCGCGTCACCGCAGCGGCGAGGACGGCTGCGAAGGCCTTGGCGCGCGAGATCGTCGCCGCGAGCACGCTAGGAGGTGCTGCTTCCGAGTTCTGCCGCGCGAGGAGGTGCGTCCGACGCGCGAGGAGGTGGCCACTTCACTGGCTTCCGCTGCTGCGCCAGACGACGGACGCTGCTCGGAGGGAGAGCAAGCTGCACCTTGTGGCAAATCTGTGGCAGAGAGGTCAGCGATGCCGATGGAGAGGCCCGATGCGCGAGATTTTTTTACTCGAATGACGCGCTGCGCATGCTACTAAGCTAGTCGAAAAGAACTTGTACCAATGCGCCGCTTGCCACTCCTGCTCGCAGCCATCATCTGCGCCGCCAACAGCCAACAGTGCCCGCCGCTCGGCGCCATGGGCCGCACGTCGTCCGACCCGTCGTTGATGGCCGCGGCGAAGCGCGAGATCCACGCGTCGCTCGCGAGGGACGGCAAGGCGGCCTCCGCGCAACACGCGCTCGAAGACGTGCTCTGGAACAAGAAGGAGACCGTGCTGATCCTCGACAACCGCGTGATCGTCGACCGGTCGTTCCTCCGCCACGCGAAGCACCCCGCGCACGCGGCGCTGGCCGCGAGCGTCGGCGCGCGGCGCGCGCTGCCGAACGCGGCCTACCGCTTCAGCGCGGGCACGCGGGGCGTGAAGCGCAGCGGCTGCAGGCGGCCGTTCCCGCTCGCGGTGATCACGAAGATGACGGGCTACGATCAGTGCGGCGTGCTCGTGCCGAACCCCTACTTCGGCCCGGACCTCGACGCCTACGCGCGGCAGACGGGCGAGGCGCGCGCGCTCGCCCGGGCGCGGCCGCTGGCGAGCCGCGTCGGCCGCGCGCTCTGGCGGGGCAACATCTCGTCGCGCGCGTGCGACAAGGAGCTCGGGAACCGCGCGCGGCTCGCCGCGACGGCGCTCTCCGTCGACTTCCCGGACCTCTTCGACGCGAGGTGCCCGCCCGGCGGCTGCGACCCGCGGCCGCCGTCGGAGCCCTGCGACGAGGCCGACGTCGCCGCGCGGATCCTCGCGGACTACGGCGGGTCCGCGGCGCCGACGTTCGCCAACTACACGGCGACGATGGTCGCCGCCGCCGCGGACCCGGCCGCGTACCTCGTGGGCGGCTACGTGCCGCCGTCCAAGTTCAGTGACTGGAAGTACGCGCTCCACCTGCCGGGCGCGTTCACGGGCTCCTACTCGCGGAACCTGAACAAGCTCTGGGCCCTCGGCTCCGTCGTGCTGCTCTGGGCCGCGCCCTACGTCGAGTTCTACTTCCCGGGCCTGAGCCACGGCGCCACGCACCTCGCCGTCGACGCCTGCACGGCGCCGCGCGCCGTCGCGGCGCTCGAGGCCGACGGCGCCCGCGCGGCGGCGCTCGCGGCGGGCGCGGGCCGCGTCTTCGACGAGCTGCTCTGCGCGGACTGCCTCGCGGACTTTTACGTCGCCGCCGTCGAGGGCCTGCGGGCCCACTACGACCTCGGGAGCGCCCTCGACGGGGGCCGCGACGCCGCGGCGTTCCTCCGCGGCCGGACGAACTGCTCGGACCTCGACCTCGTCGCCGTCCGCGGCTCGCGGCCCTGGTCCGAGAAGTACGGCCGGGGCCTGCCGACGACGCACGTCCTCACGGAGCCTGTCGACTGCGCCGCTCTGTTTCAGTAGAACTTTATGTGCAAGCAGACAGGGGGGGGTATGCAGAACGATTTTGGGGACACACGGTTCGTTCGAGGCGATCGAGCTCGACCACAGGGACACAATCGTCAGCAGGACGTCGAGCGGCGGCGGATGCCGTCGAGCTTGCTGATGGGGCTCACGACGACGGGCGCGGGCCGGTCGCCGAGCGCACCGCGGCGCGGCGGGCTCGCGAAGCGGTCCTCGTCCTCGGAGTTGGCGCGGCTCCGGCTCCCGAGGCTCCCGAAGACGGCGCGCGGCTCGTCCTCCGACCCGGCGCGGGACCGCGACACGAGCGCGGGCAGGCTCTTCGCCGAGGCGCTGGAGTCGTCGGAGACCGCGCGGACGTCGCGCGCGCCGCGAAACGGATCGCGGCGCGTCGCGCCAAAGTCGTCGGCCTGGGCCGGCCGGTCCGACTGGGTCCGGAAGAGGCTCCGGCGGCCCGACTGGGAGAGCTTGGACATGTCGACGGCCTGGTTCGGCACGCGGTCGACCTTGGGCGGCTCCCAGGGCACGGACGGCGGCACGAAGCGGCCGCGGCCGCCCGGCCGCGCGGCGACGCCGGGGTTCGTCGGCGCGTTCAGGTAGAAGTTGTTGCCGCTCGGGTCCTTGAAGAAGCAGGAGTACTGCTCGCTCGGCTGGTCCCGGAACTTGAGGCCCGGCGCGACGACGAAGCCCACGCGCGACCGCCGGAGCCGGTCGACGAGGACGTGGTACTCGTCGACGCTGACCTGGAGCCCGAAGTGGGGCCGCGGCACGGCGCCGTCGTCCACGGGGTTGAAGTAGTCGACGCACCGGTAGTCGTCGCCGACCCAGTGCGCCACGATGCGGTGGCCGAAGATCGTGTAGTCCTGCCAGTCGTCGCTCGTCCGCGCGCCCTCGGCGCAGCCGAGCACGTCGACGTAGAAGCGGTTCGCCTCCTCGATGTTCCGCACGGGGAAGGCGTGGATGTAGGACGACGCGCTCACGGGCGCCGACCGCAGGTCGTACTCGATGGCGCCGGACCCCTGGCCGAGGCGGATCGTCCGGCACCGGAAATTGCTCCGCACGCGGCTCTTGACGAGCAGCAGCCGCTGCATGGCCGAGTCACGCGCGGCCCATCGCGCGAAACGGCTCAGGAAAACGGCTCGTCCCGCCGCCGCCGCCGCCGCCGGCCCGCCATCGTCGGTCGGGGCCTCGTGTAAAAATGGGCAGCCACTCCGGAACACACACTTCGTACGCTTTAAACGTCGCAAACGTTGCCGTGCAAGGCTAACTTCTCCCAAAGCGGATGATCCATTGGTCGTCCAAGAGCCTTCCCGTTTGCCCTCGTTCCTTCAATTCGGTGACGCCTCACTCAGAACACCGCTTCAACAGCGCCGTGCCGTCAACTCCAAACATCGCGCGGTGAGCCGTGCAGACACACACACCGGTCGACGCTGCCGTTAGTCGGGCCGGTAGCCGGTCTCGTCCCGGGCCTCGTCGGCGTCGGACTCGCTGTCCGAGGGGTCGAGCGTGTCCGCGATGACGGCGACGACCGCGCGGACCTGGGCGAGGGACGCGCAGTGGTCGAGGCGGCGGCGGAGCTTGGCGACGGCCCGCGGCGGCAGGGCGGCGGCGTTCGCGTCGAGGCGCGCGGCCCACTCGACCTTGGCGGCGCGCACGCGGGCGTCGGCGGGGCCGTCGCCGCCGCCGTCGCCGTCGTCGAGGCGCGTCGGGCGTCGCGCGAGCCCGAGCGCGCGGCCCTCGAGCGTCGCGAGGAAGGCGCGGACGCGCGTCGCGACGTCGTCGGCGTCCGTCGCGGCGGCGAGCCCGGCCTCCGCGGCGACCGCGTCCGACCGCGCGAGCGCGTCGGCGCCGGCGGCCTCGGAGTCGCCCGCGCGGAAGAGGTCGCAGAGGAGCCGCGCGGCGAGCTGCCGCGCGTCGCCGAGCGTCTGGCGCGCCGCGCCGCCGTCGAGGAACCGCGCGAGGTTCGTCCAGGCGACGCCCTCGGTCCAGGGAGCGCCGTCGGCGAAGACGACGCCCGCGTCGCGAAACGCGTCCAGCAGCCCCCGCGGGTCCGCCGCGAGACCGCGGAAGACCTCGGCGGCCAGGGCCCGCTCGCCGGCACCGGCCCAGCCGGGGTGGCGCGCGGCGACGGCGGCGACCGCGTCCCGCTCGAGGGCTTCTAGCAGCGCCTGGTACGCGTCGCCGCCGCGTCGCCGCGCGGGCCCGCGCGGGTCGAAGCCCAGCACGGCGACCGCCGCCGCGTCGTCGCGGAGCGCCTCCCGCGCGTCCTCCGCGAGGAACGCGCCGACGACGGCGTCCTCCTCGTCGCAGTCGTCGTCGGCCGCGAGGCGCGCGCCGCACAGGAGCAGCGCGGTCACCGCGCCGTCGCTCGCCCCCGGCCGCCCCTGCGCCACGGCGATGCCCAGGGGCGTGAGGCCGCCCGGCGCCGCCAGCGCGTTCCGTCGCCGCGCGCGCTCCGCGTCGTCCGCCGCGAAGAAGCAAAAGGATCCGGGCCAACGCCAGCCCCAGGCTCGCGCGTTCGGATCCGCGCGGAGCCGCAGCAGCTCGACGACCTCGGCGACGTGGCCGAGGTAGGCCGCGAGGAAGAGGGGCGTCGCGCCGTCGGCGCGGCGGCCGTCGACGGCGAGCCCCGCGGCGACGCAGCGTTCGAACGTCGCGACGACGCCCGGCGCGCGGGTCGCGAGCGCGTGGAGCCGCGTCTCGCCGAGCCGGTTGTCGACGTCGTTCGACGCGCCGAAGAGCTCGCCGGTCCGTTCGCCGCAGGCCGGGCACCACCAGCACTCGTCGCGCAGTCTGTGCCGGCGCATCTCGAGGCAGTCGCCGCAGAAGCTGTGGCCGCAGCGCAGCGTCCGCGGCTCGTCGAGTTCGAGCTCGCAGATGCCGCATCGCTGTTGCTCGAGGGCCGCCATCTTCTCCTAGATGTTAGAGCGCATTATTGGGCTGCCGGACTCGCATTTCATGCGCGCATCGGCCGGGCCCCGCTTCAAGAAGCTGAAATTGACTTGGATCTTGAGCCATCCACGAGGCTGGACGATCTGGACGTTGCTTTCTGGCTCCGAAGACGCCGCGCCGCGCCGCAATCGCTCAAGAACTGCAAACACATGGCGTCGAACGCCGCGGAGATCACGGACCGGCGGCAGTTGCCGATCGTCTTCAACGTCTACAACCACGCGCGGCGCGCCGAGTTCAAGCACCTGCCGTCGGAGTCGAACCGGTCCTGGCGGACGGTCCCCGTGGATCGCCCCGCGTACGCGATGCCGCCGGCGCCGCACGACTCGTACGCGGACTTCGTCGCGGGTCGCATGTCCGCGACGTGGACGTCCGAGGAGCTCCTCCGATCGAGGCAGTGCGACGCGTACTTCTCGCCCGACGCGGCGCGCTCCTCGGAGGCGACGGCGTCGGACGCGGCGCGCGACGAAATCAGCGCCGCGTACCACGCGCGCGAAGAGATCGAGCGGTCGTGGCGGAGGATCAGTTCGCGCGCGTTCCCGCGGCGCTCGAAGTGGACGGCCGAGGCGCTCCTCCAGTGAGGCCGCCTCCTCCAGTGAACCGGCCGCGTTCGCCGCGTAAGTTGTGCCTGTGAGACGTCGCGTAGCTTGCTGCCTGGTGGTCTTCGAATTTAGATCGGTCGCGGGGCTGGCTGGTGCGAACGTCGACCGCCCGGCGCTCCTCCCCCTCAGATCGCCCGGTACTCCTCGCCCGGCGCCGTCGGGATGGCGACGACGGCCTTCATCTCGAGGTCCGCGACCTCCACGTCCTTGTCGTCCGCGGCGCCGTAGTGCGACGATTCCGCGGAGCGCTTGATCGCGACGTGGGCGGCGAGCGCGCAGACGCCGACGGCGACGAGCGCGACGACGACGATGACGGCGAGGGACCCGGACGCGGCGTCGGCGCCGGAGCTCTTCTTGCTCCCCGGGCCGGCCGTGGGCCCGACCGACGGCGCCGCCGACGGCGCGGCCGACGGCGCGGCCGTCGTGACCGCGGCGACGGACTCGGCGACGGCCGCGAGGCTCGCGGCTTCGTCGACGGCGGCCGCGGCGAGGACCGGCGAGTCCGCGGCCGCGAGCGCGTTGGCGAGCGCGTCGTCGACGACGACGTCCTCGAGCTCGTCGATGACCGCGTCGCCGAGCGCCGCGTCGCCGCCCGCGAAGACGAGGTCGAAGGACACCGTCGTCGTCGCGCCCGCGTCCTCGAGGCGCCGCCGCGCCGCGACGGCGACGACGTTGACCACCTGGCTCGCGTCCGTGACGGATTCGACGGAGGCGACGACGGCCGACTTGAAGCCGGCGACCTCGGCCGCGCCAAAGTCCTCCGGCGCGAGGTCGTTGAGCACAAAGGCCGAGGACACGACGAGGCCGAGCGGTCCGGCGGACGGCGCCGCGGACGGGGACGCCGTCGTGGGCGCCGGCACGGGCGTCGCGGTGGGCGCCGGCACGGGCTTCGCGGTGGGCGACGGCGCGGCGCGCGAGCGACGCGGCGCGAGCGACGGCGCGGCGCCGAGCGTCGGCGCGGCGGTCGTCGGCGCCGCGTCGGCGTCGCCCGCGGCTTCGCCCGTGGCCCCGGCGTCGTCGGCGGTCGCGTCGTAGTCGTCGTCGTAATCGTCGGCCGCGGCGCGGGCGGAGTCGTCGACCGCGATCGCGTCGTAGTCGTCGGCCGCGATCGCGTCGTAGTCGTCGGCCGGGGACGACGGCATCTCGTACGCGTAAGTGTCGTCCATGTACGCGATTTCGTCGCTGGTCGGGCAGCTGAGTTCGCAGTCGATGCCGAGGCCCTCGGCGGCCTGGACCGAGAACTCGCACTCGAAGTAGGAGCGCCACGCGTTCGAGCACGCGGCGCACGCGTCCATCTGCCCGCAGTCGCTCCGGAAGAGGCCCCAGGCCTCGACGTCGCCGCAGGTCTCCAGACCGTCCGCGTCGTAGGAGTAGGAGTAGGACGACGACCCGAACGGCGTGTCCGCGCACAGCGTCATGTAGCAGAGGCCGAACTCCCGCTCGTAGGGGTCGCAGGGGCCGCCGTAGGAGTAGGACTCGGCCTCGTACGAGTAGGAGTAGGCGGGGCACGACACGTCGTCGCAGTCGAGGCCGAGCTCCACGAGCGTGTCCTCCCAGACGCACTCGATGTAGCCGCGCCACGCGTCCCCGCACGCGGGGCAGGTCTCGTCCGTGGACGCGCAGGACTTGTCGAAGGAGGCCGACGTCGTGAAGCCGGCGCAGGAGAATTCGGCGACGCCGCCGTCGTCGTCGTCGCCGTCGCCCCCGAAGCAGCACGCGACGCAGTCGTCCTCGCCGTCCGACGGGAGGCCGTCCTCGCCGCACGCGTCCCGGGAGGCGAAGGACGCGCAGGACTCGCAGCCGCCGCTGCCGCCGTAGTCGAAGTTGCAGAACTCGCCCTCCGAGCAGCCGCAGGCCGAGTAGCCGAGGCACGACCCCGCGTCGTCGTCGTCGTCGTCGTCGGACCCCGAGTCCGGGCACTCGACGAAGAGGCACGTGAAGTAGTCCTGCGCGGCGCCGGCGCAGTCCTCGCGCCGCGCGGTGGGCGCCGCGGTCTCCCCCGGCGCGTAGCACTCGACGGACGCGTCCTCCGCGTGGCCGCAGTTCTGGACGCCCCAGCCCGGGAACTCGCAGGCGTCGAGGCGCGCTTCGTCGCCGGCGCAGGCGACGTCGTCCATGTGGATGGGCGCGCCGGCGGCGCCCTCGCCGTAGGCGGCGCAGCACGGCGGCGGCCCCTTGGCCGACGTCCCGAAGAGCTCGCCGCAGACGACGTCCGCGTCGTCCTGGTCCCAGGAGTCGTCGCAGACCGTCCCCCATTCCCCGTCGTAGCGGATCTCGACGCGGCCCTCGTAGGCCGTGTCGCCGCCGACCAGGCGCGCGGCGCCCCGGTCGTCCGCGGCCGTCGGCGCGACCGAGTACGTCGGCGGGGGCGACGGGCAGGGCGTGTTCGCGCGGCAGATGACCGCCTGGCCCCAGGCCGCCCTCGCGCCGACGTCCGCGTAGGAGTTGAAGTAGATGCAGCCCAAGCCGTCGTCCTCGACACAATTCGCAGAACAACCCGAGGCTAAAGTGTCGTAGTTGTACTCGTAGACGGTGCCGTCGTAGCTGGACCCGAAGAGCGCGGCGTTGAGCGCCTCGGCGGCGGTCGCGCACTCGTCGACGTCCCCGACGGGCGCGTAGTCGTTGTCGACGCCGCACTGGGCGCCGTGGTACTCCAGGAAGACGTAGGACCCGCCGCAGTTCGACTCCGCGTAGCCCCGCGTCGGCTGCGTCCGCGTCGGGTAGTCCGTCCTCGTCGGGTAGGGCGTCCGCGCGGCGGACGGCGCCGCCGTCGCCGTCGGCGCGAGCGTGCCGTTGGAGCAGACCACGCCCGCGTCCTCGTAGTGGCCGCAGTTCTCGTCGCCCCAGCCGTTGTGCGCGCAGTCGGACAGCCGCGCCTCGTCGCCGGCGCAGCCGACCTCGTCGAGCCAGATCGGCGCGTCCTCGTCGCCCGCGCCGAAGTAGGCGTTCTGCGGCGCGTCGAGCGCCGAGAACCCGAAGAGCTCGCGGCAGACGACCGCCGCGTCGGCCAGGTCCCAGGAATCGTCGCAGACCGTCCCCCAGACGCCGTCGTGCTGGATCTCGACGCGGCCCTCGAGGGGCGTTTCGCCGCCCGCGAGGCGCACGGCGCCCCGCGCCGCCTCGGACGTCGGCGGCGGCGAGGCCGAGGGCGCCCCCGTCGCCTCGACGGCGGCGCAGCACCAGTCGTCGTCGCCGTCGTAGCACGAGCCGTCGCCGTCGCAGCAGCACGCGTCCGCCCCGCCGTCGCACGCCGGCGGGCCCGCGGCGCGCCCGTCGTCGCACTCGACGCGGTAGCCGCCGCCGTCGCGGGAGCACAGGAACTCGACGCCGTCGTAGCCCTCGTAGCAGCGCTCGTCCTCGTAGTCGTAGCTGTAGCTGCACCGCGCGGGGAGCTCGAGGCCCTTCCTGACCAGCAGCGTGCCCGCGTAGTCGTCCGCGAGGCAGTCGCAGGAGCTCTGGCAGTAGCAGGAGCCGTGCTGGCGCTCGTAGTAGTCGATGGCCACGAAGCCGTCCTCGCCGAAGAGTTCCTCGCAGGCGACCCAGCAGTCCGCGGAGCTCGCGACGCCCTCGAAGCCGTAGTCGAGCGGCGACGCGCACCAGCCCACCTGGCCCACGTCGTAGGCGTCGTAGGCGAAACTGTAGGAAAAGGTGGCGTTGGCGAGCCACGCCCCGCCGTCGTCGCCGCAGTAGGACTCGAAGAGCACGTCCGCGACGGCGTCGGAGCACGCGCCGCCGCACCCTGTGTCGAGGTCCGCGCAGTCGTAGCAGAAGCTCAGGCACGAGTAGTCGTAGGAGTAGTGCACGTCCATGGGCGAGTCCCAGTAGCCGCGGTAGGCCGGGTAGGCGCAGGCCTCGGCCTCGTAGGTCGAGACGTCGAGGACGTCGCCGTCGAGCGGGCGCCGCGCGAGGTAAAAGTTCGCCGCGCACGTCTCCTCCGCCGCGCGGCGCCGGCCGTCGCAGGACGGGCAGCCCTCGCAGAGGTACGACGGGATGCCCTGGTCGAGGACGTCGTCGCAGGTCCAGCCCCACTGCTGCACGAGGTCCTCGCAGGACGCGTAGCAGCCGTCGTCGTCCGCGTCGTGGTCGTCGCACGTGCCGATGGCCGCGGGACAGTCGCCAAAGTCGGAGAAGACGTCCTCGATGTAGGCGTAAAAGTCGGAGCCGTAGGCGTAGTAGTCGGCGCCGTAGGCGTAGCTGTACGTGCCCGGCGGCTCGAGGACGTCCGTCGCCGCCGCGACGCGCAGCAGCGCGTTCGCCGCGCCGACAGCGTCCGCGCCCGTCGCCTCGGCGTAGACGGCGACGAGGCCCGCGACGACGGGCGCGGCCATGGACGTGCCCGACATGGCGACGTAGAGCGCGTAGGCGTCGTCGCCGTCGTCGCCGGTCGCCGCCATGGCGCTGAGCACGTCGACGCCCGGGGCGACGACGTCCACGCAGGCGCCGTAGTTCGAGAAGCCCGCGACGGCGTCGAGCGCGTTCGACGCGCCGACGGTGATCGCGGCGGCCGCGGCGGCCGGCTCGTAGAAGCAGGCGTCGTCGGCCTCGTTGCCCGCGGACACGGCCGTGACGACGCCGAGGCTCCGCAGATCCGCGATGGCCTGGGCCTCCAGGTCCTCCGTCGCGCACCAGGCCGGGTCGCCGGACGGGCAGTAGCCGCCGTGCGACACGGAGACGACCGCGGGGCCGCTCAGGAGCCCGTCCTGGACCAGCCCCGCGATGGCGTCCATGGCCGACAGGGACCAGGCCGTCTCGCCCTCGCCCGTGTCGTCGATGACCTTCATGGCGTGCAGGCTCGCGCCGGGCGCCGCGCCGACCGTGTTGCCCGCCGCGAGCGCGGCGCAGTGCGTGCCGTGGCCGTCGACGTCGTTGTTCGCGACGTCGCTGCCCTCGTCGTCGCCGACGTCCCAGCCCCAGTCCGGGTTGTAGGCCCACTCGTCGCCGGCGATGAAGCTCGCCACGTTGAGGTCTCTCGCGTTCCAGTCGCGGTCCGCGAATTCTTCGTGCGTCGCGTCGAGCCCCGTGTCCAGCACGAAGATGTGGGCGCCGGCGCCCGTCGCGCCGCTCCAGGCGCCGTCGCCGTCGAGGGGCAAAATCTCCTGGTTCAGGCGGTCCATGTGCCAGGCGTCCTCGTCGTGGAGTTTCGTCTTGCGCGACGCCTCGATTCCGCAAACCTCGTGCGACGCCTCGAGTTCCGCGATCGCCGCGGCGCTCGCGTTCCGCAGCACGACGAGCGGCAGGGACGGCAGGCGCGCCAGGTGGGCGTGGATCGTCGCCTGGAACTCGGGCGCTTCCGGAGCCGCGTGCCGAGACACGACGCGGCTTGTCACGGCGGCCCGGTGGTGCTCCTCGCAGAGCCGCACGACGAAGGCGCCGGGCACGGGCCGCGGCGCGCGTTTCGTCGTCGGTAAGGCGCCGACGGCGGCGGCGAGGAAGAGGAGGAGCATTGTTTTGCAGTGCTGGTTGCAGCAGCCCACCATCACGGAATCGACGAGCCCGTGCCGAGAACGAAAATAGAAACGAGCATCTTGAACGGCAATCAAGGCTTTTCACTTCGCGCCGAATTCGAAGTTGGGAGAGGCTGCCCGAATGTCTGCGCCTGCGCCGGCCAAGCGCGGCCGGGCTGAGGCCGACGCCGTCGAGGCTGCGTCGCAGCCCAAGGTGGCGCGGACGGAGAAGACCTTCGAGGTCGGCGCGCGCGTCTGGTCCATCTTCTCGCCCGGCGAGGAGGGCGGCCAGGAGTGGTACGCCGGCACGGTCGTCGGCCTGCGGCCGGCGGAGAGCGGCCTCGTCACGGTGGTCTGGGACGACGGCATCGTCCTCGACAGCGACCGCAACTACCTCGAGTTCCAGCACCCGCCGGACCACGCGCACCGCGTGCCTCTGAAGAAGCCGAACGCCGAGGCGCGCAAGGCTCTGCTCTCGTGGAAGCTCCCGTCCGCCGTCGCCGCCGCGGCGCCGCCCAAGGCGCCGCCGGCGAAGAAGCCGGCGAAGAAGAAGGCGGCCAAGGCCCCGGCGGCCAAAGCGCCTGCGGTCAAGAACGGCGCGGCGGCGAAGGCGGCGGCGCCCAAGGCCGCGCCCAAAGCCGCTCCGGCCAAGGCGCCGGGGCCCAAGGCGGCGGCGCCCAAAGCTGCGAAAGCGGTGCCCAAGGCCGCCGCGGCGGCTCCGACCGCGGCGCCGACCGCGGCGCCGCGGGCCGTCGCGGCGCCGACCGCGGCCGTCGCGGCGCCCCGCGCCGCGGCGGCGGCGCCTAGCCCAGCGGCCGCGGCGCCGACCGCAGCAGCGGCGCCCGCCGCGGCAGCGGCGCCCGCCCGAGGCCCGCGCCCGCGCCCAGGCCCGCGCCGAAAGCCGCGGCCGCGCCGAGAGCGGCCCCGAAAGCCGCGCCCGCGCCCGCGCCGAAGGCCGCCCCCGCGCCAAAGGCCGCCCCCGCGCCGAAGGCCGCCCCCGCGCCCAAGGCCGCCCCCGCGCCCAAGGCCGCCCCCGCGCCCAAGGCGGCCGAGGCGGGGCCGCCGCCGCCGCCGCAAAAGCTCACGGACAAGACGGGCGTCGCTCTCGTCAAGAGCCTCGTGAACCTCGTCATGCAGGAGCCCAAGCCGAAGCTGCGCGCCGACACGAACGGGAACGTCACGCTCCTCACCGGCGACTCGCCGCGGGCGAAGCTGCCGTGGAAGGAGCTCGTGCCCGAGGCCAAGGCGCGAGGCAAGGCCGCCGTCGCGCTCGCGGAGTGCAGCCTCTCCGCGCGGCTCCAGCACGGCGACTTCGACCTCGGCGAGGGCGAGTGCCGACATCTGCCCGTCGGCAAGTACTTCCTGCCCATGCTCAAGCACGTGAAGACGGAGGCCGAGGGCAAGGCGTGGGTCGCCGCGCTCCACAAGCACGGCGGCCCCGCGAACGTGGACAAGGGGTGCGCCACGTTGAAGGACTACGGCCGCCTCCCGCCGCCCGTATGAGGCGCGCAGCGTAATTCGCCGAGCAGGGCGCGTCCCGAGGAGAAGTCCGTAGACACGCGGAACTCGATCGACCTCAGTCTGCCAAAGCTGCCTCGCATTCAGCAGTGACGGGACGCGCTTTCGCCTCCGGACGACGCCGCAGCCATCGACGACCACGGCGGAGACGGACCCGCTCAAACCGCGGCGGCACGGCATGGAGGGCGGCCAGAAGACGCTGGAGGAGCCCCTGCGGCACGGCGACGAGAGCGTCCACGTCGTCCACAAATACCTGACGCCCTACGACGCCGACGAGCAGCGCTACGTGCCCTTTGAGGAGACGGGCGGCCGCATCCGCTGCCTCGAGTGGGCCATCGTCGCGCTCAACGTCGTGAACGTGCTCATCTACCTGATCGAGTGGACGGGCGCGACGGTCGTCGGCGTCATCGTCATCTTCTTCAGCCGGACGATCATGCTGGGCTGCACGGTCGCGCTCTGCCAGGGCAACTGGAACCAGGCCCTCTTCTTCCGCCAGTTCGGCCGGAAGAACCAGAACCGCTTCGCGAACATCGGCATCGTGATCAACCTGCTCGTGTGCGCCATCGTGCGCCTCTGGATCCAGTTCCTCGACGACGGCACGCCCTACAGCGACAAGACGTGGTGGTACATCCCGTACCAAATTTCCTACATCCTGCCCTACGGCTACTTCCTGCTCCTGGACGCGCTCCACAAGTCGTCGCACGCCTTCCGCATCTTCGTCGTCGCCGTGCCCCTCTGCCGGCTCATCGTCGACTGGGCGTACTACGCTAGGACGGACTGCGGCGACATGAACCGCCTCAAGTTCTTCGGCCTGGGCCTGGGCTTCGGCGAGACGTACCTGAGCGCGTCGTCCCTCGCCATCGTCGCCGCGGCCTTCCCCTTCGTGATCAACGTGCTGAGCGACGAGTTCCGGACGAAGGTCCACCTCTTCTCCTCCGTGCAGCTGCGGAAGGCCGTCCTCGCGGAGATCGCCCAGGAAGGCTAAATCGACGATTACTCCTCCTTCCCGAGGTCCTGCCAAGTCACGGCGGGGCAGCCGCGCTGCGTGAGCGGCGCGAGCGCCCCCGGCTTGAAGGTCCGGTACTTGGACTCCTTCGCGTTCACGAGAAAAACCTTCCGCCGGCCGAGGCGGTGCTCGTGGAGGCCGTGGTGCGCGGCGCGGACGGCCTCGTGCCAGATGTGGAGCACCTCGGAGACGCAGACGAAGGGCGGCGGCTCGAAGTCGTACGCGCTCCGCGACGTCCAGCCGTACCACAGGACGAGCGGCCGCCATATATCCTCTTCGGCCCGCCGCCGGAACTCGTCCAGGTCCGCGACGTGGTCCGCGTCGTTTAACGCGTCCGCGAGCCGCTGCTCGTAGGCGTCGCGCAGCACCTGCGCGTGGGCGCCCGCGGGCCAGGCGAAGGGCTCCCCGTTCATCCTGATGGGCGCGAAGTAGCGGCCGTCGTGCCACGAGTCCATGAACGTGCCCTTGACGCCCGCGTGGAAGGACCGCGGCACCTCCGGGTAGGCCGTCTCCCGGCCGCGGTGCGTCTTCTTGTCGCGCATCCAGTGGTCCCAGTGCGTCTTCGGCCACTTGGGCCTGAGCTCGCGCTCCCAGAGCGCGCGGGGCAGCAGCCAGCCCAACCCCGGGAACCACGACGTCCGCCGGAGCGCGGCCCTGTCGCCGTCCTCCAGGAACCCGTTGTCGTTCCAGGCCGACGCCACGAACAGGGACTCGTCGCGCTCGAGCGCCGGCGCGACGGCGCCGAAGTAGTCGAGGAAATCGGGCGCGAAGAGCAGGTCGTCCTCGACGACGACGACCGCGGGCGCGTCCGGGAAGCACTCCGCGAGGGCCCAGTCGAGGGAGAAGCGGTAGTGGCGCGCGATGCGCGACGCGCCGTCGACCTTGGGCTCCTGCGGCGGCCGCGGCCGGCTCTTCCGCCGCACGCCCGCGAACTCGGCGACGACGTCCGCGACGGCTTGCGCGTCGCCGTCCTGCGCGACGCAGACGTCCGCCGCGCCCGCCGTGGAGATGAGCGACGTCAGCGCGTTGCGCAGCTCCGCGTCGCGCGTCGCCGCGAGCATGACGACGGGGAACCTGCGGCCCGCCGCGGCCCACGCCTCCATGGGCCCGGCGGCGGCCGGCGGCGGCGCCGGCGGCTCGGGCGCCGCGACGAGCGACGCGTAGAGGTCCGCCTCTTTTGGCGGCGGTGGTGGTAGCGGTGGCGGCGGCGGCGGTGCCGGTACGTCGACGGCGGCGGCCGTGCGGCGCGGCGCCCAGGCCTCGCCGCGCGCGTCGGTGGCAAACTCGTGCGTGTGCGGCGCCGGCGCGTCGTGGAGATGCAGGCCGAGGTGCACGCCGAGCCCGAAGGCGATGCATAGTAAGAGAAGCGCCGCCTCGCGCATGGTTATGCGCTGCGGCTGCGCTGCGCTGCGCGCGCTACGATCGATCGTCCATCATGCGATGTTCACCTTGTGTGCTCCATCGACCTTGATGCGACGGAGCAGCCCGAGACTCGGAGACTCGGCCAGCGTCGGCCTGAGCTCGAGCCTCGTCATGGACGGGATGGACCGCTTCATGATCGAGGCGCAGACCAACTGTGAATGAGTGCGCGACAAATGCTGCGCTGTCTGTGGACAGACAACCGATTTGGTCTGCGAGGGATGCCTTATTGCGCGCTACTGCTCCAGGGACTGCCAGCGGCTGGCTTGGGCCGCGGACCATCGTCGATTATGCGCGCCCACGAAGCTGGTGCACGCCCAAATCAAGGAGAATAAGCTCCTCGAGGAGATGCCGAACGTGGACCGCAGCCAGAAACGCGTCTTTGTCAAAATTGTAGCGCAAATGATCGGAGACTCGTTCGTGATGAAGGAGCCGTCGTTTAAAGCGAATGGCAGGCTTCGCGGTAAGCAGCCGCGCTGCACGGAACCCGCCTGCGAGAACCCCAACGCAATCGGCGTTCGCTACGTCACGACCTTTTGCGGTGAGAAGTGCTGTGCCTGTGTGTCTTGCTGGACCGCGGTGCTCAAAGAAAAATGCGCGACGTCGACGACATGCGACGCACTTTCGCGCACGTGGGCCTTACGGATGGCACTGCTCGTGGAGTCGCCGTATCTGCTCCCCATGGTAGTCGCCCCCCGCTAAGATCCCGCCAGAACATCGCCTTAACGAGCCCCTAGGCGCAGAAGTAGATCTCCTTGACGTCGCTCGCGCCGAAGGGCTTGTGGCAGGCGGGGCACTTGCGGGAGCGGGTCTCGATGACCTGGTCGACGCACTCGCGGCAGAAGACGTGCATGCAGCGCGTGAGGCACGTCGTCTTCTCGCGGTCGTTGCAGACGTTGCAGGCGATCTTCTCGCGCAGGTCGCGGATCGTGCTGCGCGAGATCTCGTCCGTGCCGGCGCCGTTGCGGTGCTTCTCCTTCCGCAGGTCGTCGACGGAGCGGCTGAGCTGGCCCTCGAGCTTCGTGTGCTTGCGCTCCATGGCCTTGAGCTGGTCCTGGACGCGCGCCTTGGCCGTGGTCTCGTCCGCGAGCTTGGCGCTCAGGTCCTCGTGGAAGCGCTTGAGCTGGCCCCGCGCGACGTCGAGGTCGCGCGCGGCCGCGTCCTGCTCGAGGCGCGCGGCGGCGAGCTGGCCCTTGAGGTGGCCGACCTCGGACGTCGCCGCGGCGGCGTTGGCCACGGCCAAGCCGTGCTCGCGCTCGAGGTCCTCGGCGACGGTGGACCGCGCGTTGAGGAGCTGCTTCATCTCGTTGACGACGTACTCCGTGTGGTCGACTTTGGCCCGGAGCGCGTCGCGCGCGGCGACCTCGCGCTTCGCGGCGGACCGCGCGGCCGCGACGTCGGAGAGCGTCGCGCGGTAGCAGGCGTCGAGCGCGCCGGCGCGATCCAACAAACGCTTGTTCTGGTCGCGGAGGTCCGTGAAGGTGGTCGCCGTCGCGTCGACCTCCTCGAGCAAACTCCGGTTCACCTCCTCCGTGCGCTTGAGCGCATCCCTCAAACCCTCGTTCGTCGCGCCGGCCGTGGCCTGGTCGTCGTCGACCTCGCCCTCCTCGGGCGGCGGCGCGGCGACTATCGCCTCGCGGCGCGCCGCGGCCTCGAGCTGCGCCTCGAGGCCGCCGTTGAGCGCGGCCGTCTCGTCCGCGCGCGCGCGCTCGACCTCGAGGGCCTTGCGCAGGCCGTCGGCGGCCAGCGCCGCGGCGTCGGCGCGCGCCGCCGCCGCGTCGCGCGCCTCCTCCGCGGACCGCCGCGCCGCCGCCGTCGCCTCGAGCTTCTCCGCCCACTCGCCGAGCGCGTCGCGCGCCGCGCCGCGGCCCAGCGCCTCGGCGACGGCGACGCGCGCGCGGCTCCGGTCCGCGTCGCCGGCCGCGGCGTCGCGGTCCGCCGCGTTGGCGTCGCGGTCGCCCGCGAAGCGCTTCGCGCGCGCCTCCGCGTCGCTCAGCGCGGCCTTCAGGTCGCGGCCGTTCGCGTGCTCCGCGAGGCACGCGTGGCGCGCCTCGGCGACCTCCATGGCCCTGCTCGACTCGAGGGCCGAGAAGGCCTGGACGCCGGCGTCGACGGCCATCTTGAGCTGGATGCGCGTCTCGAAGGCGCCGCTGACCTGCTCCTCGAGGTCCGCGACGCGCGCGCGGAGCCGCGCGGCCTCCTCGGCCGCCGCGCCGCCGGCCGCCGGCGCCGCCGGCGGCGCCGCGGCGGCCTCCGTGCGCGCGCGCTTCGCGTCGGGCTCGGGCGCGGGCGCCGATTGCGCGGCGAGCTTCTCGGGGTAGGGGGTGATCTTGTGCTCGCGCTCCGCGAGGTCCGCGCGCCTCTGCGCGGCGTCGCGCTGCTTCTTGAGGTCGATGACCGCCGACTCGAGCTGCACGGCCCGGCCCCTGGCGAGGCCCGCGGCGTGCTCCGCGGCCGCGCGCCGCTGGTCCGCGTCGCGGACCGCGGCCTCGGCGGCGCCGGCGTCGCCGGGCGCGCGCGCGGCGGCCGCGCGCCACGCGGCCTCGACGCCGCGGCAGGCGTCGGCGCAGCGCTGCGCGCGCGCGTCGAGGAGCGACGCGGCGGCGCTCGCGGCCTCGCGGGACGCGGCCTCGGCGTCGTCGTCGTCCCCGGGCTTCGGCGGCGGCGGCGCGGGCAGCGCCGCGAGCGCGACGCCGCCGGCGGCGGTCGCGGAGAGGAGGTCGCCGCAGGCCGCGTCGGCGACGCCCAGGGCCCGGAGCGTCGCGACGAGGTCGACCTCGACGGCGGCCCACGACCGGTCCATGGCGCCGAGGCAGTCGGCGCGCGCGCGGAGCTCGCGCTCCGCGCCCGCGCGCGCGGACCGCTCGGCGTCGAGCTCGCGCTTGTACTGCATCATGCGCCGGTACATGTTCCGATTCTGGCTCTTGACGAAGGCGTAGGCGAAGGGCGTCTGCTCTTCCATGTCGCGGATGAAGTGGGCGGTCTGGGCCTCGGACTTCCTCGCGCCGCCCCGGTCGCCCTTGCCCGCGCGCTCGCGCTTCTTCATGGCGGCGGACGCGCCTACGGGACGCGCCGCGGCCGCGGGTCCGGAGAAGCGCCGCGCGCGACGGGACCCGCCGCGGCTGGTGGCGGCGCGCGGACTCGGCGAGCCAAGAGTCGAGCCTCGAGAATCTCGAGACGAGCAATACGAGCGCACGCCCCGGGCGGGGCGGCGGCTTGCTCGCAATATGGCTGCCCCGCCCAGCCCTGGGCAGAGCCTCGCATGGCAGCTCTGCAGCGTCTGCAGTAGCGAATTGGACTGGCCGAAGCCCATCAAGAACAGCGAGGATCGCCTCTTCGCCCACTGCCCGCGGCTGCTCCACTGCCTCCACTCCGTCTGCGAGGCCTGCCTCCACGACGCGCGGGAGCGGCACCGCATGTTCCGCTGCCTCGAGTGCAACGCGCGGACGGCCGTGCCCACGGTCGAGGCCGTCAACGGCCTGAGCTTCGACTGGGTGGCCATCGACGCGGTGCGGCGGAAGGCGCAGACCCTGGGCACGTACGGGTGCGACGAGTGCGCCGAGGACGAGGAGGCGACGTTCTGGTGCGAGTCCTGCGGCATCGGTCTCTGCGCCTTCCACCGCGAGAACCACGCCAAGAGCCGGAAGACGGCGAACCACCGCGTGCGCCAGATCGACGAGGACGGCGGCGAGGCCGCGGTGATCGGGAGCCCCCCCGAGAAGGCGGCGGCGGCGGCCGCCGCCGACGACGACGACGCGAGCGACTGGGGGGGCTACTCGTCGTCGGACGACGGCGCTGCGCCGCCGCCGCCGGAGGAGAAGCACGAGGGCGCCGGCGTCGTCGAGTCCAAGGGCGACGGGGCGCCCGCGCCCGCGCCCGCGAAGCCGGCGCCGCGGTCGCCGCCGCCGCGGCCCAAGCCGCGCGCGCGGTCCAAGGCGCCGCGGGGCGACGTCGCCGGGTCCGACGCGACGCCGCCGTCCATCGCCGTCGACTGCAGCGAGCACCACGGCGAGGAGGTGCGCTACTTCTGCGGCCGCTGCGGCACGCTCGCGTGCCGCGACTGCGCCGCGCGGGGCCCCCACGTCTGCCGGGCCGCGGGGCAGACGGTGGCCTGGGAGGCCGTCGACGGCGCGGCGCACCGCGTGCGCGCGTCGGCGCCGGCGATCCTGAAGCGCTGCGACGACACGACGCGGGCCCTCGAGGCCGCGATCGCGTACACGGACGCGTCGTCCGCGCGCGTCGACGACGCGGCGCAGCGCGCGCGGACGGACGTGCGCGACGCCATGGACGCGATCCGCCTCGCCGTCGCCGAGCGCGAGGCCGAGCTCGTCGCGCGCGTCGACGCGTACGTCGGCGGCGCGGAGCGGGCGCACAACGCGAAGCGCGCGACGCTCCAGAGGGCGGCGCAGGACGTCGCCGTCGTCCGGCGCCGCGCGGTCGACGCCTTCGACGTGCTCGAGCACGAGGACGCCCAGCTGCTGAGCGTGTCCGCGGCCGTCGCGCGGCGCCTCGGCGACGTCAAGCAGCGGCTGAGCCAGGAGCCCCTCCGGCCGGACCCCATCGACGACGCGGCGCTGCGCTTCGAGCTGCCGCCGCGCGTGCCCGTGCGCGTGCTGAACCTCGTCGCGGCGCTCGGCGCCGTGCGCACGCCCGACGACGCGCCCGTCGAGCCGGCGCCGGAGCGGACCGACGCCGGGGACCGCCCGCCGCCGCCGCCGGAGTCGGCGCTCGCCCCGCCCGTCGAGCTCGTCGTCCACGCGCTCCGGCCCACGGGGACCGTGGGCGACCGCGTGAACAAGCTGCTCAAGCTCAAGCGCGCGGGCCACCGCGGCGACGCGGCCGACGACGGCGACTGGCCCTACGACGCGCGCGGCGGCGGCGGCGGCGCGACGTTCAACGCCGCCAAGCAGCTCAAGCGGTCGAAGCAGCCCGACGTCGAGTCCTTCGTCGTCGACGTCCAGGCCGCGCCCGAGCGGGCCGCGGTCGACGGCGCGGTCCTCGCGCGCGTCGTCGTCGTGACGACGACGGACGCGAAGCTCAAGGGCATGATCGAGGAGACGCGGCGCGTCGAGACGACGACGGACCCGCCGACGATGCGGCTCCATCGCACGCTGGCGCTCCGCGGGCAGCCGGAGAGCCGGTAAAAGATTGGGGTGCAGCATTGGTGCATTGACCAGTGCAGTGCAACCACTGAGGCGCCGTGCGGCGAGAGGCGCATCCACGTAATAGCAGCACTGGCACGCGCCGTCGTCGCAACACCACAGCACGACCGTCAGCAGCGCACGTCGTCGCAGCACCATGTTTCGCCGCGTCGCACTGCTCATCCCAGCGCTGCGCACGGTGCGCGCCTCCGACGGCTGCCCGGGCGGCGTCTGCCGGTCCTTCTACGCCGCGCCGGAGGGCGGCACGACGGCGGCGTCCTACAGCGACGCTCCCCACGTCCCCGAGGGCTTCCACAACTATTCCTTGCTCTCGAAGCGCGACGCCGGCCGCGCGTCGAAGCTGCTCACCTTCGCCCTCCCCGACGCGATGGCGACGCTCGGCGCGCGCGTCATCTCCGGCGTCAAGGTGCGCCAGGAGGTCGCCGGCGAGGTGCTGGACAAATCCTACTCGCCGTCGAGCCACTCGGAGGCCGCGGGCACCTTCGATCTCCTCGTGAAAGCCTACGAGCCGCGGCAGGGCGGCGGCCTCGGCGCGTGGCTCTGCGGCCTCGCGCCGGGAGACGTCGCGTCCATGAAGGTCAAGCCGGCGAAGAAGCTCGCGAACGGCGGGCCCCTCGGGCGGGCCCAGTACGCGCGCATCGGCATGCTCGCGGGCGGCACGGGCGTGGCGCCGTTCATGAACCTGGCCGCGACGCTCCTGGCGGACCCCGAGGACGCGACGCTCCTGGACCTCGTCGTGTCCCACTCGTTCCCCGAGGACGCGATGCTCCGCGACGAGCTCGAGGCGCTGGCGACGTCCTCGGGCGGCCGCCTCCGCGTGCACCACACGTTCTCGCGCGTCGACGGCGACGGTTCCGCGCCGGCGTCGGCGCGAGCCGCGGGCTCCTCGCCGTTCTCCGACGGCGCCGGCCGCATCGACGCGCGCGTGGCGGCGGCCATGCTCCCGGCGGCGACGGACGCCGACGTGCTCGTGCTCATCTGCGGCACGGACGGCTTCGTGGATTCCATGGCCGGCGGCATCCAGCGCGTCCGGGACCCCGTCACGAACGTCAAGTCGAAGATCCAGGGCCCGACGACGGGCGTCCTCGGCAGCCTGGGCTTCGTGCCGTCCCAGGTCTTCAAGCTGTAGTAACGACTTAGAGCCCGGGGTTCGGGGAATCCGCGTCTTTACCTCTCCGAGCGTGCTCGATCAGGGTCAACGAGGCTCTTCAACAGATCTTCAACGCCGACATCTCGTCCTGTGGCATCGCAGCATGGCAACACGCGTGTCGATCTTGACGCTGTTGTGCGCCGGCGCCTCGGCATTCGTCGCGCCGCAAACGCGCGCAACTACGCTCCTGCGCGCCGGCAACCCGTTCGAGGACTTTCTCGGCCAGTTCGCTCCCAAAACCGCCGCCAGCGCCGCCTCGGGCCCGCTCGTGCTCCCTCCGTCGGCGGTGGCAGTCGTGGGCGCGTCGGGCAACGTGGGCAAGCTCGTCGTGCTGCGGCTCGCGGACCAGGGCTACAAGGTGCGCGCGGTCGTGCGCGGCGCCGGCTCGAAGAGCCGCCTCGCGGACTTCCTCGGCGACAAGGCCTCCGACGTCGACATCGTCGTCGCGGACGTCACCGCGGGCGACGCCGCCAAGCAGCTCGCCCCCGCCGTGACGGGCGCCGCGGCCTGCGTCGTCTGCACGGGCACGACGGCCTTCCCGACCAAGGCCTGGGCCGCGGGCGACGTCGCGCCCGACGACGTCAACGGCGTCGTCTGGGACGCCTTGACCGGCGCGTCCTTCGACCTCAAGGCCGCCGTCGAGGCGCTGAGCGCCAAGGGCCTGAACACGCCGGCGCGCGTCGACGCCGCGGGCGTGGAGGCCGTCGCGGACGCCGTCGCGGCGGCCGGGTCGTGCCGCCGCGTCGTGCTCATGTCGTCGCTGGGCGTCACGCGCCGCGAGGGCTTCCCCTTCAAGGTGCTCAACGCCGCGGGCGTGCTCGACGCCAAGGCCCGCGGCGAGGCGGCGATCGTCGACGCCTGCGGGCGGAGCGCGGACTGCGCGTACTCCATCGTGCGCCCGGGCCAGCTCTTCGGCGGGCCCTACGACAACAACTTCTACCTCGGCACGCTCGCGAAGCTCGACAAGGACGACGGCACGCAGGCGCTGGCCGTCCAGCGGGGCGACGAGGCCGCGGGCGACACGCTCCGGAGCTGCCTCGCGGAGGTCATCGTCCAGACGCTCGCGAACGCGAACACCGTGGACACGGACTACACGGTCCTCACGGTCAAGGGCGACGCGCCGTCCGTCGACGCGATCCAGGACCAGCTCACGGCGTCGCTCGCGTAAACAAAACTCGCTAGTACCACGTCGTCTTCGCGGCGACGTCGCCGCGCTTCGCGCGGTAGCCCCGGACCTTCTCCTCCGTCGCCGCGCCGACGAAGAAGAAGCCCAGGACGTCGTCGCGCTCGCCGTCGACGTCGCCGTCCATGCCGAGCATGGACCGCACGTCCGGCACGTCGAGCCAGCCCTTGTAGCCGCCGCTCGACCAGTAGCCGTAGGCCTTCTCCGTCCAGAGCGCGAGGTGGAGATTCTGCACGGCCATGGACGTCGCCGCGACCTCCTCCCACATGGGCATCAGCTTGTCCGACGCGTTGCGGAGCCGCTTCACGCAGATGGCGATGATGTAGGCGCACTTGCGCAGGTCCTTCGCCTTCTTCTCGGCCTTGGTCAGCGCGGCCTTGCGCGCGTCCTCGGGCAGGCCCGGCTGCGCGGCGATGGCCGCGTGCTTCATGGCCAGGAACTTGTCGACGCCCGACGGGCCCTCGAAGACGACGAAGCGCCACGGCTCCGTCTTGCCGTGCGTCGGCGCCCAATTCGCGCACGCGAGCGCGCGCTCGACGGCCTCCCGCGGGATCTGCGGGTCGCTCGCGAAGTCCTTCGGGAAGATGGACCGCCGCGCGCGCATCAGGGCGCCGACGCTCGCCGGCGTCGCCGTGGTCTCCGCCTTGGGCGGCGGCGGCGACGACTTGAGGTAGATGAGGCTGGCGACGACCACAGCCACGAAGACGGTGGCCGCGATGCTGTCGATCTCCGCCAGGATCTTGCTGAGCGCCATCGTCTGCAGCGCGGTGAAGACGAGCACGCGCGTGGAGTAGGCCGATGAGAGGTGGAAAAAGCTCTGTGGCAAAATCGTCGGTGTGGCTCGCTGATCCTCGCGCGGCGCGCGCGAGCCTCAGAGGCGTCGCACGGAGCCGTATGAGGAGAGCTCGGCGGCCGAGAGCGACTCGAGCCGGGATAAAAAGCAGGAGCAACAGGAAGTGGCGTGATGTTAAGCCGCCGGCCAGACACCGCCCATCACGCGACGGCGTGGCGGCCGCCGTCGACGCCGACGACCTGGCCCGTGATCCAGCCCGCGTCCGGCGAGAGAAGGAAGGCGGCGAGGGCCGCGGAGTCCTCCGGGTCGCCGACGCGGCCGAGCGGGTGGCCCTTGGCGAGCGCGGTGCGCATGGCCTCCTTGCCGAGCATGGGCTCGGCCATGGCGCTGTGGGAGATGGACGGCGCGATGGCGTTGACGCGGAGGCCCGACGGCGCGTACTCGGCCGCGAGGGCGCGCGTGACGCCCTCGACGGCGCCCTTGGCGGCGGAGATGACCGCGTGGTTCGGGAAGCCCTGCCGCACGGCGACGGACGAGAAGAGCACGACGGAGCCCCTGTGCTTCTTGAGCGGCTTCTCCAGCGCCTTGAGCGTCTCCAGCGCCGAGTAGACGTTGAGGTCCATGGTCGCGCGGTAGTCGTCGAGCGCCGCGCGCCGCGCGGGCTTGAGGACGATGCTACCGGCGCAGTACGCGAGCGCCGACACCTCCGCGATCGGCGCCTCCTTGAGCGCCGCGGCGACGCCCGCCGGGTCGCTGCAGTCGAGCACGGCCGTCGGCGCGCCGCCGAGGCTCGAGGACAGCGCGCCGAGCTTCTCGGAGCAGCGGCCGAGCAAGAGCGGCACGGCGCCGCTGGCGTGGACGCGCTTGGCCAGCGCGCTGCCGATGGCGCCCGTAGCGCCGACGATCGCTACCGACATGTTGTAGAAGGTGTGTTTAGCAACCGATGCGACTGCGACTGCGTTTTTGCTGCGCGCGGACGACGCTGGTGGCGGTGCAAGCGCGCTCTGCGTCAGGCTGCCACAGCTCCTCTCGCTCGCTGAAGCCGAGAGGGGGGGTGTTGCTCCGCCACTGGCGTCGGCGGCACCCCTGCGTGCGGAGCGGGGTGGTACATCTTACGCAACGTAAATGGCCTACCCCAGCCGTCACACCGACGTCGCACCCAAAACCAAGGGGCGTATCCAACGCCATCGATGGTGACGCGCTTCGCTGGCACGGACTTGTACGCCGCGGCAGCCCCGCGGAGACGAGGCCCGCGCGGTGGAATTTGGTCGACGCCAGAACCACCTCCGATGGGGGCACCGACGGTCAGGCTTACGCCTAGGGGTCATGGAAGGCCACTCCGACCACCAGAGCGGGCTGCCGTGCGTCGGAAGCTTGGGCTCAGAGGTCTCCGCTCCCGGCCCGCGCGTACGTGTTTGGTACTCAAGCCAGCGAAACGGCTAGCCATTCGTCCCAATCCGAGCGCTTGTTTTTGTCACGTATAGCCACCGGGCGTCCCTGGCCGCTAGCCAAAAACCGCACGTTCGGGCGTCCGACGCGTCGGCCATCGGACGCCGTCGCCGGAGCAAGACCCCCCATAGCCGAGCGGCATTTTTTTCGACGCCCGCCTCCGCGGAGCTCTCTCGACCGCCTGCGCCGCCTCGACCATGTCCGGCGGCATGCCCATCACGCAGGCGAACGCGTCGAAGGCGTCGGGCTACGGCGCGTACCGCGCGGCGTGCTTCGACCTCATCGAGGGCTACGACGGCGCGCGCAAGGACCAGGCGTCCGTCGAGGTCGGCGACGCGGCGGCGCGCCTCGAGCGCGACGGCGACACGTTCCTCCAGGGCTGCCGGGAGCTGCAGGCGCTGCTGCAGTTCGTCGCGCGCAACACCTACATCGACGGCAGCCTCATCGGCGTGCACAACGAGACGCGCGCGCTGCTCCTCGAGGGCAGCGTCGGCTACGCTGTCGTGTTCGGGAAGCGCACGGGCCGGGACCTGGGCCCCCTCGGCGACCTGCTGCTGGCCACGCACCAGCTCGACTGGCGCCTCGGCGAGCGCGCCATCGCCTTTAGCAAGTTGGGCGACGACCTCGTCGAGGCGCGGAGCGGCGTCCGCGAGGTCCGCGAGACGTACGTCCGGTGCGGCGAGAAGGCGCTCGGCGCCGCGCGGGGCTCGCGGGAGGAGCTGAAGCGGCGCAACGCCGTCGTCGACGCGAAGCAGAAGGCCTACGTCAGGTGCAAGCCCGCGCGCGGCGGCGGCCTGAGCGGGTCGTCCGGCGCGGGCGCGCGCGGCGACCTGTGGCGCGCGGAGACGGAGCTGCGCATCGCCTGCCAGCGCGCCGCGCAGCAGCAGAGCCACTTCTCGTCCGTCGTCGCCGAGTGCGAGGCGAGCGTCGCCGCGCTGGAGAGCTGGCGCGACGTGCAGACGGACCGCCTCGTCGACCGCTTCGCGCGGGTGACGCAGATCTTCCGCGACGACCTCGCGCGCGTCGGCGAGCGCCTCGTCAAGTGCGGCCGCGAGGCCGAGTTCGTGCGCTACACGGACTTCCAGCAGCACGTCGTCGCGCCGCGGCTCGACGCGGCGAAGGCGTTGCTGGACACCGCGGACGAGACGCGCGAGGCGCAGCGCGCGCGCCAGGCCGGCGTCGACGCGACGGCCAAGTCCAAGGGCGCCCTCGTCTTCCCGCCCTACCCCGACGACGCCCAGTGGGAGTCGGACCGCGACCTCGTGCACTGGCCGACGCCGGACCGGATCCTGCCGCCCGCGCCGCCGCCGGCCGCCGACGCGCCGCGGTCCGACGACGACGGCGCGCCGCCGCCGCCGTCCGCGACGGCCGCCGCCGCCGCGACGCGCAGCGACCTCGCGTCGTCCGGCGCGCTGCCCGCGATCCCGACGATGCCGCGGACGTCGCTCGTCGCGAAGAAGGGCGTCCTCGAGTACGAGAAGTCCGTCGTCGGCGCGAAGCTGGGCTGGAGCGCCGTCTACGTCGTCGTCACCTACGACGGCTTCGTCCACGCCTTCCCCGGCCGCACGGAGGGCGCCGTCGAGCACGAGGACCCGACCTTCGCGCTCGACCTCGCGTCCGCGGTCGTATCGGACGAGGAGGAGGGCCCCGGCATCTCGCTCGCGACGCGGCGGTCGTCCATGGTCGCCATGCTCGGCAACAAGGAGTACAAGCTCCGCTGCAAGAACGCCGCGGACAAGTACGCCTGGCTCGCCGCGTTCAACGACCCCCTCGCGCTCTGGGCGCCGCCCGACGACGCCGCGGACGCGCCGCCGGCGAGGGACGTCGCGCCCATCGCGCCCGCGACGCCGCGCGCGGCGGAGCCGGGGCCCGTCACGGTGCTCTAATTTTGCGACGCCGCTTCAGGGCGGGGGGACGGCGGGACCGGAGCGCTTCCGCCGTAAATTATAGTGAGTAGAATTCTATGATGTGTGGTTTGTATTTCAACAAGTCACAAAGTGACGATTATCAACTCCATACCCACCGTTGCGGTTCGCATGAGCGATTTGTTTGAAATGACAGTTTGGAAAGCCGAGCCAAACCGCCAGACGATTGAAGTTGTCAAGGTTAAAGTCTTCTAAAGCGAGCGTGAAGACGTGATTACGATGTTTTTTGCTCCATTTTAAGAGCATATCGTTGTGAGATTTGAGTTTCGAAATGGGGCTTGATCTTTTGAACGCGGATTCGTGTTGTCGAACGACGTCTCGACGAATATTGACGATAACTTTGGAGCAAGGAAAAAGAGACAAAATATAGTCCAACTCGTCGTCAGTTCTGAATCGGATTTCTTTAAAGCCGACCCATGCGTAGTTTTGATTTTGTTTGAGACCGATGGCAGATTCAACGTAGGTTCGCACGATCCGTTCAAGTTTTGATCTCTCAACAGGATGGTGCCACCACGCATTGTGGACCCCGTTCTTGCCCTTTGCCCTGGAATCAGTACGAATGCTCGACTTGTGTAAGGCGTACAAGGATTCAAATAAACCATCATTTTCGCCCGCGATGTAGACATTTGGGAGATCGTTCAACATTGTCATTAGACTCGTGCTTCCGGAACGACCGGTGCTGACTTGAAATAACCAATTTCGTTCACACCCTGGCTGGGGAGCGGGTACAGGTCGTGGCGGCGGCGGCGCGCCGAGACGATCCCGGCCCCGGCCCCAGTTCGGCGCCGTGACGGGAGGAGTCGGAGCCGGGGTCGCGACGGGCTTGGCCGTGGGCGCGGGCGTCGCTCCTGGCGCCGTCGGGCACGCAGAAGAGCACTGCGCGGCAAATGCAGGATCGCAATCGGACTGCTGGCACCACTCGTCGGTGATCCCCGCCATAATCGAGCGGCACGCGCACGAGGAGGAGCCGTCCTCCGGCGCGGACTGCTCGCCGCCATCTGCAGACTGCTCGCCGTCCTCCGGCGCGGACTGCTCGCCGTCCTCCGAGCACCACGAGCCTCCGCCGTCGACGCACGCTAGAGAGGTCGCGAGGTTGCTGGCCTTCGACGTCTCCGAGCAGTCGCACGGGTCCCCCGTCGCAGACCACCAGCAACAGAACCCCTCGGACTTCCCGACGCACGCGAACGTCGCCAGGACAAGTCGCCACACACACACCATCTTGACCTATGAGGACGGCACTCGTTTCGTCGAACGAGCGCGACCACGCGACCGCGAAGCGATTTCTCGCCACGCCCGCGCCGGCGCCCCCGCGCAAGCTCTCGGCTCGCGCATGCGCGCGGGCAACTCGCGCTCGGGGTGTCCGCGCGTGCTCGATCTCGCCGCGGCCCTCGAGCCGCACTTGCGAATCGACGAGGCCATGATGCCCCCCCCAAATGGAGGAGGGCAGGGCGGGAGGGTGGGTGGCATGTGATGCTCAAAATAGTCTTGACGCCGCGCGCGCGCAAAGAGAAGAAGCTGTCAACTCGATCGGCCGCTCGCCCACTCCGATCGTCTCTCTCTACGGCAAGGCGCCGCACGCCGCTTCACTGAGCAGGCTACGCGCCTGCAGGCCTTGTCTCGGTGCGCGAAAGCCTCCAAAAGCGCATCGATCGGCGTGACTGCGTCGATACGTGTGTATCATACCACGACATCACGACACAGCCCCCTTTAGCCGGCGTCTCGCGACCTACATCTCCTTCGCGGGCGGCGGCGCGGCGATGGCGCTCGCGCCCTGCCGGCAGCTCCGCCGCGGGAAGTTCCGGTCGCGGGAGGGCGGGGAGGACTCACGGGGCCTTGTACAGCGAGTTCGCGGAGTTGGACCAGGGCGCGCTGCTCCCGGAGAACTGGGGGTCGGGCTTCCAGTCGTCGGCGTCGACGTCGAAGGACACGGGCTCGTCCCACCACGCGGCGGGCTTGTCGCGGCCGTAGACGAATTTCTCCTTGGACGCGGGGTGCGTCGAGACGATGCACCGGTAGTAGCCGCCGGGCGCGGACCCCTTGGCCTCGTCGCCCCAGCGCACGAGGAGCCGGTCGCCGTCCTCGGGCGGCGCCCGGCCGCCCGTGCGGCGCACCAGACTCTGGACGTCGTGAGATCTCACGCTCTCCGCGTACGACTCCGGCGGCAAAAGCCCGAGGAAGAGCTTCATGAGCTGCGGCGTCTCGTTGAGCAGGAGGATGATCTCCTTGACGGCGCGCTTGCGGTCGTCGACGCAGGTCCGCGGGGCCGCCAGGAAGCGCTTGAAGAGCGAGAAGATCGTCGAGCCCGGCGGGAACATGCACGCGACCTCGGAGACGAAGCGCGCGGACCGCTCGACGAGGCCCGCGGGCGCGTCGGGCACGCGCGCGAACCCCGCGAGCGTCGCCTCGCGGACGCCGCAGCCGTGCGGGGGCTTCGGGAGGTCCTCGGCCTTTTTCGTCTTCTTCGGCGGGGCCGTGGATCGCCGCGGGACGAGGTCGACGGCGAGGAGCTCCGCGGAATCCGACGAGCCGGACCGCGACACCGCGGCGGGCTGGTCGTCGGGGGGAAAGCCCACTTTGCGCCGCTTCGGCGACGGCGCCGGCGAGGGCACGGGAGACAGCTTCATCCCGAGGAGTACCGACGCCTGCTCGAGATCGGACTTGGTCCACCAGTGCGCGGGTGGGGGCCCCGGGGCCCCGCCGCCCGGCACCGGGGCCTGCATCGCCAGGGCGGGCGGCGTCCGGGGTTGATGCGCGAGGAGATGCTCGTCCTGTTTGCGTTGCGCTTTCAAGCGGATTTGAGCCATCGTGTGTATCGTGTGGGACTTCGTTCGTCGCGGGGTTTGGCCCGGTCGTGGGCGAGGGGTGTGTAGCGTATGTCTACGGCGTCTTCCGCGATGAAAACGATTTGGGGCGGTCGGCGGGGCGAGTATTCGCGATGAATGACGCCCGGGACGTCCGTAAATCGTAGTCGCTCTTCTCGAGACCTGTCACCTGAGTTTTGGCCTGGGGTCGGCGTACGTACTCGACCGCGCCGCGCGCGTTCTCACGCTGAAGCCCCACGACGCGCGTCATGGTTTCAGTCTTAGAGGAGTCGCGTCGCGCCACTGAGCCCAGTGCGATCGGCCACTGCTCCTCCGACAAGAGGAGAGGAGCGCGGTCGTTCATCGCGGTCGTCGGCGTCTTCAGATCGGCGAACGGGGATGCGAGCCGCTCGGCTTTGTGATGCAAGAATGCGGTCTGGACTATCTTTCGACGCTTCTGACGAGCGGTCGGATTGTTGTAATAGGAATGCAAAGCGCCACCGGGTGCCTGGGCCTTCTCCATCGCCTTCGACCAGGCGCCGTCGAGTTGACGGAGAGAGGTTTCCGAAGAGGCCGTTCTTCCCACCTCGGCGGCGAACTGCCAACGCTCGCGGCCGAACTCGGGCGTGAATTCATGTTTTCCATGGTCGCGCTGGCCCAGTGCCAGTGGCAGTGGGGCCCGCATCACTAGTAAGTTCCAATTACCCAACGTCCACCCGCACCCGCTCGACCCGCACGAGGTCCGCGAGCGCCTCCTCGAGGATCGCCGCGGACGCGGCGCGGTACGCGTCCGCGGCGTCGCCGCCGCCGGGCTCGCGGCGCGCCGCGCGGAGGGCGAGCCCCAGGAGCGCGACGGCGCGCGCGCGCGCGGCCGCGTCGTCGCCGCCGCCGCCGCCGGCGTCCGCGCGGCGCACGACGACGCGGGACCCCCGGTCCTCGCAGGTCCGCGCCGCCGCGGCGACGCCGGGCGGCCGCGCGTCGACGTCCAGGACGGTGACGGCGCCCTTCGGCGGCCAGCGCCGCGCGGCGACGCGGCGGTCCGCGGCCTCGGCGTCGTCGGCGTCGTCGACGTCGTAGATCTGGCGCGGCGGCCGGGCGGGCACGAAGCCGTAGGACCGGTAGAAGCCCCGGAGGTGCTCGTCGGGCCGGTAGTTGAAGCGGATCTCGTCGCCCTCCGCGACGGGCCGCGTCGCGACGAGCCCGACGCCGCCCGCCGCGTCGTCGAACTGGCAGAGCTTCGCGTTGTCCTCCGCGTCGTCGTGGTTCGCGAAATCTAGAAAGGGCACGAGCGCGAAGCCCCGGGGCCTGGGCCCGTCGCCGCGGACCGCGTCGGCGAGCGCGCCCGTCGGGGGAAAGGGCGCGCCGTCGTCGGGGATGCCGATGGACCGGCTCCGCACGACGACGCTCGCCCACATCCACGACTCGACGCTCGCCGCGCCGTCGAACAGGGCGTCGAAGGCCCGCCGGAACCACCAGCGCTCCACGCGCAGCAGCCGCGCGAGGCCGACGTCCGCGTGCGCCCACAAGTCCTTCTCCGAGCGCTCGAGGCAGTCCACGTTGAGGTTCAACTGCTCGTCGTCGTCCTCCGCTTCATGTTTCCTCCCGCCGAGGCGCTTCGCGCGCCGCTGGGCGTCGCGGACGCGCGCGTAGCCCGCGCGGCACGGCAGCGACCGCGCGTACCAGGCCCACCGGCCCTTCGGGTTCCGCAGCGCCGCCAGCAGCCCGCAGGCGAGCGCCGCCGCGCGCGCGAGGTGCACCGTCGCGCCGCCGACGGACGTGAGCGCGTCGTCGATGAGCAGCGCCGGGTCCGCGCCGGTCGACGCGCCGCGGAGCAGCGGGAACGAGCTCTCCGCGTCGCGGCGGAGCGCGCCCATCGCCGCGCGCAGGTCGAAGATGCTCTCCCAGGGCACGACGACGACCGCGTCGCCCGCCGCGAGCGACCGCTTCGCGACGAGGCCGCGGCCGGCGGTCGCGTCGACGAAGCCCACGGCGCAGGCCGCGTGCCGCTCGAGCACCTCCATTGCGCTTGCTGGGATGCGCTTGCTGGAGCGCTGTTTGAGTGCTATTTGAGCGCTGCTTGCTGGAGCGCTGTTTGAGCGCTGCTTGCTGGGAGAACTGCGCGAGCTGGAGAGCCGCCGCCGGAGAGCTGCGGAATCAAGCCTCCATCGCCTACGGTGCAACCCTATGGCAAGCAACCTTCAACATGCGAGGCAGCCCTTCAATCTGGTGACATGGGAGGCCGAAACCCGGCCTAGGTGGCGCTGCGCAGCCCAACACAGCCCGATCGCGAGAAAACCATGGCCTTTCTCGCCTACCCGGTCTTCGTCGTCGGCGCCGCTATGGGCACGTCGCTCGCGGCCCTGGGCTTCTACACGTGCGCCACGGAAGACGAGGAGGAGGAATACTTCCAGCGGCGCCCGGCGTCGACGACCACGACGACGATCTTCAATTCGGCGGCGACGGCGCCGGCGCCGGCGCCCGCGTCGCCCCGGGACCTCGAGGTCGAGCGCCTCGTCGTCGACGAGTCGATCGCGTCCGCGAACGCGGACGAGCGGCGGCGCCGGCACTACCGCGACTCCTTCCGCCGCGAGGAGGAGCTCACGCGGATGCGGAGCCTCGCGGAGTCGGCGCCGCGGCGCCGCGAGCCGCGGCTGCTCGTCACGGCCCACTGCGCGAGCCAGCTCGACGCGTCGTGGTTCGAGCGGCGGTCCGCTTCCGTCGTCGCGCGCTGCCACCTCTACGACCGCCACGGCGACTTCGTGGAGACGTCGACGAGCCGGCCCTCCGACGGCGGCGACGTCGCGCGGCCCGTCTGGTCGCGCGGCGCCGTCCGCCTCGACGCGGTCCTCCGGCGGGCCGACCTCCGCAGCGTCCAACTCGTCGTCGAGCTCGCGCGCGGCGACTCCGGCGAGACCCTGGGCCGCACGGAGTTCCTGAGGTTGAGCGACCTGTGCGACGGCACGCCGCGGGACCTCCGCCTCGCGGAATCCTTGGGAGTCCTCACGGCGTCGTTCGACTTCCAGGACGACGCGCCCGTCGAGGGCCGCGTCGTCGCGCCGAGCGCCGTCGCGCCGTCGGCGCCCGCCGAGGCGCGGCCGCCGCCGCGCAACCCCTTCGTCGAGGAGGACGACCGCGCGCCCGTCGCCGCGCTGCCCGCGTCGTCCGCGGGCCTCACGGACGCCGTCGCGCTGCCCCTCGCGGACGCGACGCTGCCCGTGGCCTCCTTCGACGACGGGCCCGTGCAGGCCCACGCGGCGCCGGCCTGGCTCGCGGAGCCCGCGGCCGCGGTCGCGCGGCCCGTCCGGGACTCGGAGGTCTTTGGGTAAACGTAGACGGGAACTTCGGCCGGGCGAAACGCGCTGGGGCCCACACGATCTCCGCAGCGTCGCCCAGTGGTTGCACGTCGAGGTGCGAGGGCAGCCCCGCCTTCCGCCACACGAGCATCATGGAGCCGCGCGACCGGGCGTCGTCGGCGGGGCGGCCGCGCAACGCCAGCGCCCTGTCGAACATGTCCTTCGACGAGCGCGGCACGACGGTCCGGCAGTCGTCGCTCGCGAGCGAGCGGCCGTCCCACGCCGTCGCGCTGTCGAAGCGCGCCCTCGGCGACGGCGTGCGCGTCTGCGGCATCTGGATCTCGGGCAACGGCGTGTCGCTGCTCACGAGCGCGGTCCTCTTCGGCCTCATCACGTCCGTGCAGTACGGCTACGCGCTGCAGGTCGGGTCCGTCGCGCTCCAGGCCGACTGCGTGTCCATGGGCGTCGACGCCCTGGCTTTTTTAGGGAATCTCTTCGCGGACTGCTTCCCGAAGGACTCGCCGAAGAAGCGGCGCGTCGAGCTGGGCATGTCGGGCGTGTCCCACTTCCTCCTGCTCGGCTTCACGATCAAGTTCGTCCTCGACGGCGTCGGCGACTCGCAGATGACGAGCGACGACGACTCGCCCGGCGAGCGGCGGACGATGGGCTGGGTCGTCTTCGGCTTCGCGCTCGGCGGCCTCCTCTTCGACCTCATTTCCTTGCTGGCCTACAAGTTCTACGGCACGCGCGCCGAGGCCGACGAGCACGGCCACCGCGAGGACGACCTGACCTTCGGCATCAACACGAACATGTGCGCGGCGCTGTTGCACATCGTCTCGGACTTGGCGCGGTCGTCGACGACGTTCGTCGAGGGCATCGTCCTCCTCAAGGTCAAGTCGATCCCGGCGACGCGGGCCGACGGCATCTCGACCCTGGTCGTCTGCAGCATCATCGCCCTGGGGGCGTCGGCGGCGCTCCTGACCTGGATGCGCGAGGTCTACGTCTACGTGAGCCGCGAGGAGGAGAGCGACGAGTCGCGCGACAGCATCAACCCGCTGCGCCGCGGGGACGACCAGGTCAACAAGACGCGCGCGGACTCGCTCTCCGGCCGCGCCGAGAGCTTCGCCGGCAACGTGAGCGCGGCGCTCGGCGACTCGTACTCGTGCCTCTGCTGCAGGATCTCGGGCAACGGCGTGTCGCTCCTGACGAGCGCGGCGCTCTTCGGCCTCATCACGTCCGTGCAGTACGGCTACGCGCTCCAGGTCGGATCCGTCGCGCTCCAGGCGGACTGCATGAGCATGGGCGTCGACGCGCTCGCGTTTTTGGGGAATCTCTTCGCGGACTGCTTCCCGAAGGACTCGCCGAAGAAGCGGCGCGTCGAGCTGTCCATGTCGGGCGTGTCCCACTTCCTCCTGCTCGGCTTCACGATCAAGTTCGTCCTCGACGGCGTCGGCGACTCGCAGATGACGAGCGACGACGACTCGCCCGGCGAGCGGCGGACGATGGGCTGGGTCGTCTTCGGCTTCGCGCTCGGCGGCCTCCTCTTCGACCTCATTTCCTTGCTGGCCTACAAGTTCTACGGCACGCGCGCCGAGGCCGACGAGCACGGCCACCGCGAGGACGACCTGACCTTCGGCATCAACACGAACATGTGCGCGGCGCTGTTGCACATCGTCTCGGACCTCGCGCGGTCGTCGACGACCTTCGTCGAGGGCATCATCCTCCTCAAGGTGACGTCGATCCCGGCGACGCGGGCCGACGGCGTCTCGACGCTCGTCGTCTGCTCCATCATCGCGGTCGGCGCGTCCGCGGCGATCCTCGCGTGGCTCCGGGAGGTCTACCACTACGTCACGGCGCAGAAGCCCGAAGGGTACGCGAGCCTCAACGGCGACGAGCCGACGCGGAGCATGGTCTAGGCTAGAGGTCTAGGCGGTTTTAAAAGAATGGTCGGTCACTGCAACTTGGAGTTCAACTCGCGGGAGGCCTTTCAGTGAACTTGGTCGGCATGCATGGGCGTGGCCGCGCGTCTGTGCTGCGCTCTGCTGTGTTAGCGTCGTCTGCTGGGTGCGAAGGTTTCGGAAATTCACCACGGCGTCCATCATGTGGCCGCGCGTCGTCGCTCTGCTCGCCTGCACCAGCGCGCTGCGGCCGCACACCCATCATGCACCGCCGCGGCGCCGCGCGGTGGCGCTGCGCGCCGGCGAATTCGTGCCCGTGGGCGCGGTCCGCGCCGGCGAGGTGACGCGCGTCGAGAGCTACGGCTGCTTCGTGAAGCTCGACGACGGCGGCGCGTCCGGGCTCGTGCACGTGTCCGAGCTCTCGCACGAACGCGCGCGCCCCGAGGACGTCGTCGCCGTCGGCCAGCCCGTGCTCGTCAAGGTGCTCGCGCCGCGCGAGCCGGGGCGGACGTCGTTCTCGCTCAAGGCCGTGGACCAGCGCACCGGCGCGGCGTCGGCGCCGCCGAAGCGGGCGCGGAAGCCGGCGGCGACGACGAAGGTCTCGCTCGACGACTGCGTCGTGTCCTACAGTCGCGCGTCCGGCGCCGGCGGCCAGAACGTGAACAAGGTGTCGACGAAAGCCGAGCTGCGGTTCAGCGTCGACGACTCGAAGCTGCCGCCGGCCGTCCGCGCGCAGCTCCGGGCGACGCACGCGGCGCGGTTGACGAAAAACAACGAGCTCCTCGTCGTCTCGGAGGCGCACCGGACGCAGCGGCTCAACGCGGCCGACGCGCTCGCCCGGCTCCAGGCCTTCGTCGACGCCGCGGCGTCGGCCGCCGCGCCGCGCGCGACGCGGCCGGACAAGGCGCGGCGCATCAAGGGCCTCGCGAAGGGCTCCGAGAGAAAACGCAAGGACGGGAAGCGGCGCGCGTCCGCGAAGAAGGCCGCCCGGGGGCGCGTTAGTAAGGACGACTTTTGACTTTTGACGCGCCGAGTGCGACGAGTCCCCGGCTTCTCCTCGCGCGCGCAGTTCCAACCGAAGAACCATTACGCCCCGCCGTCGTAGTGCCACATCTCCACGCGCCGCTTCTCGCTGAAGACGCAGTCGTCGTGGTAGACGTGGTCCGGCTTGGCGCCGATGTCGCGCTCCGGGCGGACGCGCGCGCAGCAGGGCAGCGCGATGACGGACGTCGGCGGGTCGCCGAAGCGCGCGCGCATGCGCGGCACGGCCGACGCGCCGACGAGCCGCGCGTGCGAGTGGACGCAGAAGACGACGAGGCGCGCGGGGGCCGCGTCGGGCTCGCGCGTCGCCATGTACGCGTCGATGGTCCCGCGGAAGCAGCGCAGGCGCCGCACGCCGCCGGCCTCGTCGCCGTGCCAGGGCTCCTTGAGCGCCGGGTCCACGCTGATCATGCGCCACTTGGTGACGAACGCCGCGAGGCTGCCCGTGCGCGGCGCGCTGCCGTCGCCGACGCAGAGGCAGACGACGTCGGGGTCGTCCCAGGCGACGCCGGCGTGGCGCCGCGCGGCGTGGAGCACGGCCATGCTCTCGCTGATGTCCTTGGCCGTGTTGAACGCGCCGATCTGCACGAGCTCCGGGAAGCAGCGCATCTTGAAGACCTCGTCGAGGTAGAGGCTGTAGCCCCAGTTGTTCGGCCGCACGACTTCGCCGGACGCGAGGCGGTTGCCGTTCTTGATGGACGACGACTTGTGGTCGAAGGCGTGCCGCGCGTTCAGGCACGGCCGGCAGGACGGCGGGTCGTGGCTCGGCTTGTCCCACTGCCTGCGGCTGAAGGCCGCCCGCACGAGCGCCGCGCCGCAGACCGCGCACTCGCGCTTCGGCGGCGCCTCGGACCAGCCGGCGCCCGGTGTTTGCGGTGCAGTTATTGGCGCGCTCTGCGAGGCGGGCGTTTGCGATGCAGCGGCCAGCGCGCACTGCGACGAGGACACCGCCGGCGCCATGCTCGTCATCGCGCTCGCCATGTTGCAGCTCTCGTGTAGCCGCATCATCGCTTCAATGTTGACGCAGCCCGCCCGCACGATGGCCTGAGCAACTCCCCTCCCCGGACGGACGCAGTCGGGCGCGCATCCCCTTCAATAACTAGTCCAACTCCTGTAGGACTCTCTCGCGCGCGGCGCGAGGACCGACGCGGGCCCCGCGGCGGCGACGACGCGCAGTGGACGCGCCAGATGGCTCTTAGCGAGGCCGAGTACAACTCGATGGCGGAGGAGGCGCATAAGAAGTTCAGCGCACTCAAGCGGCCTCGGAAAGCGAGCGTTCACATGGCCAATTGTCACCGTCTGGAGTTGGAGAAGCAGGGCATGCCTCCCGGCGAGATCGGCGCGCTGCGGCGTACCGGAGCTTTTTACGCGCGGTGATGCCTAACCGCAGGTAAGTGTCTCGGCCAGACGTGGAGCAACCTGACGCCAGAGGAGAAAGGAAAGTGGCAGGGGGTGGCGATCGAAGACATTCGTCGCTACAAAACAGAGGTCTGGTTTTCGAACGAGTCTACGTCGAGGTCGATGCGGCTCGCTCTCGAGGACCTTGCGGAGAGTGACCGCCTCGAGATCGAGCGCATTCGCCAGGATCTCGCAAAGTACAAAGCGCTTGTTGTGCGCGTTCGCGAAGGCAGGGACGGGCTAGTCGCGCAGAACCAGGAAACGAACGCTGGCATCCAGAAAATGCGTCTAGCGGAAATCAAGGCCCACTTTAAAAGACCCTCTTGAGATCCTAGGCTCACCTCCTTCCGGCCTGCAACTCTGCGTCAACGTCGACATGTTGCCGCATGACGCGTGTTTCGAGCACCACTCGCCGAGCGCTTTGCACAAGAAACGCGGCGGCAACGCTGCGCGCCGCTTTGAATCTCCATACAACTCTCTCCCACCTCGACCGCTGGTCGTCGCGCCGGCCATGTGCATCTTCAAGGACAGCACGGTCTTCCTGGGGTCGCTGGCCTTCTTCGGCGTCGCCTACGTCGCCGCGAAGAAGGTCGTCCCGTCGCTCATCCCCTGCGCCGACGCCAAGGCCCTGCGGCAGCAGCGCGCCTGGTACCTGACGACCATCTCGAGCGTCTGCGCGTCGCTGCTGGGCGTCGCCTTCCTGGGCCGCGTGGTCGTCCACGGCTTCGGCGCGGAGTTCCGCCGCGACGACACGGCGACGGACCGCGCGTTCGCGCTCTTCTTCGTCGCGTACTGCGTCGGGGACCTCGTCGCGGGCAAGATCGAGTACGCGGAGCAGATCGACTGGCAGAGCGGCTGGACGCACCACGCCTTCTACGCGTGCGGCCTCGCGCTGCTCCTCCTCCGGGGCCACTGCAAGTTCTTCACCGCGGGCCTCGTCGAGGAGCTGCCGACGATCTACCTGAGCTGGGTGCGGCTCCACAACGGCAAGGAGCTGCGCTGGCCCTTCGCACTGGGCTACTTCGTGCTGCGCATCCTCTACCACATGGTCGCGGTCTTCGAGTCCTTGGAACACTCGACGCTCGCGTTCGCGCTCGGCCTCGTGATCCTGCGGCAGCACATGTGGTGGTTCGCGGGCTGGTGGCGCGGCGCGTCCCAGGACGCCCACGCGGCGGGCCCCCAGGAGTCGCGCTTCGACGAGAAGCAGACGCAGCTGCCGCTCCGCGTGAAGTTGGGCGTGTGCGGGTCGATGGTGCTCGTGCAGGTCGCGACGATGCTCCACGTGACCATCGACGGCTACGGCCGGCGCACCTGGGTCTTCGGCACGCTCTCCGGGCTGGGCCTGCTGGCGACCTGGGTCTACTTCTCGTTCCTGGGCGTCGCGATCTTCGTCGACACGTACACGCGCGGGTTCATCGAGCTCGCGATCAAGGAGCAGAAAGTCATCTACAACATCTCCTGGGAGGACCCGCGGGTGGAGCGCGAGGACTTGCACTTATCGTCCGACGACGTCGTGCTGACGATCTCGTCCGCGGGCTGCAACGTGTTGGACTACTTGCTCGAGAAGCCGCGGCATATCACCGCCGTGGACCTGAACGAGGCCCAGCTCGCCGTGCTCGACCTCAAGCTCGCCTGCGTCGCGGCCAAGATGCCCCAGCCCGACTTCTTCGCGCTCTGGGGCCGCAGCGACCCGCGCGTGTTCACGGAGAACTACCGGCCGCGGCTCCGGAAGCTGCTCCGCCGCGACGCGAGCCGCGCGTACTGGGACCGGAATCTGGACGAGCTCTTCCGCGACAACTGGATGTTCACGGGCACGAGCGGCGTCATGGCCTACCTGCTCATGCTCATGGCGCGGCCCCTGGGCCTCTCGGGCAGCCTCCAGCGGAACCTCGGCGCGAAGGAGGCGCCCACGTCGTCCTCCGTGCTGAGCCTGGGCATCCGGCTGCTGTCGTCGCCCGTCGTCTGGACCTGGGCGGCGCCGCTGGGCGGCATCCCGCCGGAGCAGCTCGCCCTCGTCGAGCGGCGGCCGCGCGTCTTCTCGGATCGCATCCACGAGATTCTGGGCAAGCGCATGTGGAGCCGCGACAACTACTTCTACCACGGCTACTGCTGCGGCCAGTTCGACGAGTTCCCCAAGTGCCCGCGCTACATGGCCGCCGACTTTTACCCGCGGCTCCTGGCCATGGACGAGGCCGAGCTGCGGCGCCGCGTGACGCTGTTCCACGGGTCCTGGGGCGACGCGGAGCCGCCCGCGGGGACCAGGGGCTTCACCTTCGTGAGCTTGCTCGACTCCATGGACTGGATGCCGCCGAAGCTCTGCGCGACGCTCGTCCGCGACATGCTCAAGCGCGTGGACCGCGGCGCGTGCCGCGTCTTCTGGCGGTCCTACGCGCCGGGCCCGTCGCTCCAGGAGCGGAAGGCGGACCTCTTCACGGTGCACTCGCCGGCGCTGGCCCAGCTGCCCCACGCCGAGGTCGAGACCTACGACCGCGTCGGCTGGTACCTGAGCCAGTGGCGCGCGACGGTCCCCGAGGACCTCGACCTCGACGCGCTCGTCCCCGCGGGCACGGGGTCGGTCTACGCCAACGGCCTCAAGGACGATCTGCTCGTGTGCTACGCCATGGCCAAGCAGGCGCTGCAGAAGGAGAAGGACGTCGCCGCCTTCTACAGCACGCAGGGCCAGGCCTACGACGGCTTCCGCGAGGCGCTGCTCCCGGGCCGCGACACGCTCCTCAAGCACGCCGTGCCCTGGTCCGCCGTGCCCAAGCTCCTCGCGAAACCGTCGAAGCCCACCTACGCCCTCGTCTGCGTCGGCTGCGGCACCGCGCGCGACGTCGAGTTCGTCGCGGAGCACCTCAAGACGCTGCCGAAATCCGCGCGCGTCGCGCTCTGCGACCTGTCGCCGGACCTCCTGGCCATGGCGAAGCAGCGCGTCGAGGCCCTGGGCCTGGGCGACCGCGTCGACTGCGTGCGCTGCGACATCACGAAGCCCCTCGCGGACCTCGCGAAGCTCGGGCTGAAGCGGGGCGACGCGTGCGCGGTCACGTGCTCCTACTGCCTCACGATGATCCCGGACTGGCGGGCGGCCGTGGAAAACATGCTCGCCCTGGTCGTCGACGGCGGCGCCCTGGGCCTCATCGACTTCACGCAGCGCTTCGACCGCGAGGACGACGTCTTCGAGCGCATCTACAAGAAGTGGTTCGCGCTCGACGGCGTCTACTTCGACCGCGGCCACGTCGCCCTCCTCGCGGAGAAGACGACGCCCGTCTTCTACACGGAGAGCCGCAGCCGCGTCCCCTACACGCCCTGGTTCCCGACGCACTACATCTACGTCGGCACGAAGACGAAGTAGCCGCCGCGCTCCTCGTCCTCGCCGCGCCGACCGCGCCGCCGCCGCCGACGCGCCGCCGGCCCGGATCGCCCGGACCTCCTCCGGGTTTCTAAGGCGCCTGTCCATCGACCAGACGCGCCAGGGAACGATGGGCGCGGCGGCGGCGCATGCGAAAGTGTGTGTGAGTTGTGCCTATTTCAGGGCCGTTGCGAACTTCAAGATCTTCCGGGGCGTTTCCAATAAGTTTCCAACAGCGCGGGGCTCTCGTCGACGACGTCCGATGCTCCCACAATCCTAGAATAGGAAGTTCTCGGATGGCGGCGTCCGTGCATGTCCTCGCGGAGCCGCCCGCGGTGGGCCACGTCGACAGCCACAGCATCCTCCAGCGGCGCGACTCGGTCTACATGGAGAACGAAGAGGGCGAGAAGCAGAAGGTCTGCAGCCTGTCGTTCCAGGAGGAGTGCCAGGCGCTCGAGCAGCGCCTCAAGAGCCACGAGCGGGGCGTGCTGAACCCGGACAGCGCCGGCGTGCAGCGCTGGGACAGCCTGACCTTCGCCCTGCTCATCTTCACGGCCGTGATCACGCCCTTCGAGGTCGCGTACCTCACGGTAAAGACGAAGCAGTTCCTCTTCTGGATCAACCGCCTCGTGGACCTCGTCTTCATCGCCGACATCTTCGTCCAGTTCCGCCTCGCGTTCCGCGACGAGACCAAGGGGTCCATGCTCATCAAGTCGCAGAAGAAGATCGCGTACCGCTACGGCACGACGTGGTTCCCCATCGACGTCATGTCCGTGCTGCCCTTCGAGATCTTATCGATCGCCATCAAGGGGTCGGCCTTCTCGAAATTAAAGGTCGTGCGCCTCGTGCGGCTCCTGCGGCTCCTGAAGCTCATGCGCGTGCTCCGCGCGAACCGGCTCCTCGCGCGCTACGAGACGAAGATCTCCGTGAGCTACGCGACGCTCGCGATGACCAAGTACGTCGTCCTCTTGGTCGTCGTCGCCCACTGGATGGCCTGCGTCTGGGGCATGAGCCTGGACCTGGCCGGGGACAACGCCTGGACCTGGGCGGACGCGCTCCGGGAGCTGAAGAAGGACCCGTACGGCGTGCCGCAATTCGACAAGGGCCGCGCGGGCGACGTCTACGTCCGCGCGCTCTACTTCGCCATCTACTGCCTCACGGGCATCGGCCTGGGCGACGTGTCGCCCGTGACGAACCTGGAGACGGGCCTCTGCTGCTGCTTCTTCATCATCGGCGGCATCTTCTGGGCGTACACGGTCGGCAACTTCTGCTCCATCGTGTCGACGATGGACGTGCAGGGGATCCTGTTCCGCCAGCGCATGGACGAGCTCAACGCCATGCTCGCGGACCGCAAGGTGCCCGACGAGCTGCGCCAGCGGTGCCGCATGTACTTCTTCCAGTCCAAGGAGAACTACCGGACGATCAACTACAAGACGCTCGAGATGTGCTTCTCGACGACGCTGCGCGCGGAGCTCGCGGCGGCGACGAACAGCGCCTGGATCTCCAAGGTCTGGTACCTCAAGGACGCCGCGCCGTCCTTCACGGCGGAGCTGAGCCAGAACCTGAGCCCCATGGTCTTCGCCAGGGCAGCAAAAGAGAGCGAAATTCCCAACTTCAAAGGCTCATATCTCGGCCGTTTTCCACTCGTTTTGGCTGATTTTTGGACGAGCGATCATCTCTCGGAGCGGTCTCAACGCGTGGGCGCTTTTTCCGGAACGCGCGCGCGCGGAACACTCACGTTGAAGCGACGTTGAATCACCCTTTTGCTGCCCAGGTCTTCGCGCCCATGGAGGTGCTGTCGCTGCCGTTCACGCTCTTCATCCTGCGGCGGGGCATCGCCGCGCGGCGGGGCCGCGTGCTCGCCAAGGGCTCGGTCTGGGGCGAGGACTTCATCGTCGAGAACGACGAGCTCGTCGACGGCGTCTTCGCGGCCGCGCTGACGTACGCGGAGGTCTTGGCGCTGTCGTACCAGTCGTTCCACGCGATCCTGGACGACCACGCGGACTTCTGCGACGTCGAGAAGGCCGTGCACCGCGCGCGCGTCTTCTACACGGTCCGCGCGCGGCTCACGCAGAAGGGCCGCGAGATCTTCGAGGAGAAGCGGAAGACGGGCGAGATCAAGAAGGCGCGCGGCCTCAACATCATCTCGCGGTCCGTCGGCCACCGGGGCATGCAGGCGGTGCAGACCAAGTCCATGAAGGGCGCGCGCTTCGGCGCCTTCGCCGGGCCCAACCTGCCCGACGGCGGGCTCAGCGCGAGCCCGCCGCAGTACGAGCGCAAGTCGGGCCGCGCGCGCCAGCGCCACACGATGGACGACCGGCCGCCGGCGGGGTCGCCGCCCAAGGAGCCGGAGCGCGCGACGTTCCCCGCGGGCGGCGCGCCGAGCCCCCGGGGCGCCGACGACGGCTTCGAGGACCTCGCGGGGTTGCCGGGCGGCTTCCCCGCGGCGGCGACGGGCTCCGCGTCGACGTCGGCCGTCGTCACGCCCACGGGCTTCGCCGCCGACGCCGACGCGTCGACGGCCGTCGCGCCCTTCCAGGAGCCCTACGAGGCGACGACGGAGGTCCTCGCCGTGGAGCCCGTCAGCGAGCCCGCGTCGCCCGCGGCGGCCCGGAAGCCGCGGGACGACCTCGCCGTCGCCGACCTCGACGACGACCTCGACGAGGTCGCGAAGTCCCTCGCCTAGGCCGCTCGCCCGTCTTATAATCTCAGGCGAGGCGGTAGACGGGCGGCGGCCGGTCGGGAGCGCCGCGCCTCCGTCGCCGCGCGGCCGGCGGCGCGTCCCACGCCGTCGCGTACATGAAGCGCTCGCCCGAGGGGAGCCGCGTCACGGTCACGGCCCCGCCGCACTCCCGGCGCAGACCGTTGAGCGTCGACGGCAGCGTGCGCCAGGGAGCCACGGCGCAGCAGGGCACGAGCGCGAAGGGCACGCGCTTTCGCCGCGCGAAGGCGACCACGGCGCGCGTCGCCTCGCAGGGGCGGAACCCGACGAGGCAGCGCGCGCCCGCGATGAGCTCGTCGAGGTCCGCCCGCCGCGCGAGCGACGCGCCGGCGCCGCCGTGCCACCAGCGGTCGTCGTCGCCCTTGGGCTCGCGGAACCGCGCGGCGGCGACGTCGAAGGCGTCGTCGGCGTCCGGGAGCAGGCCCTTGGGGTCGACGACGACGAGGCCGCGCACGCCGCGGTCCGCCAGCGTCCGCGAGAGGATGCCGTCGCCGCCGGCGACGTCGAGCACCGTGCCGCCGTCCGCGTCGAGCAGCAGCGCTTTGAAGAAGGGATGCGCGAGCAGCGCGTCGCAGAGCTCGTCGAGCTCGCGCACGCCGCCGCGGCCGACGTCCTGCATGGTTCTCAACAGGGGAACGCAGCGCTCTTAGGCTGCGCTAGGCGCTGCCCATGCGCGCGGCGGCTCGTAAAGCTGCGCTAGGGGCTGCCCATGCGGCGCGGCGGCTCGAGCTTGTGTTGCACAGCACCGAAGCCGAAGCTTGCGAAGCTGCATCCGAGAGAACGCGACCTGAGCGCTCTCAACCAAGAGAATCCGACCCTGCGTGCGCGCGCCCGAACGCCGCCGCCGCCCCCGCCGGTCTCGCGAGCTTCCCGCGACAGTCCCGCGCAACGCCACCGGAAGTCATGTCCAGCCTCGCGCTGAGCGAGACGGACCGCTTCTCGGTCATCAAGCTCTTCGAGGAGCGCCAGCTCATGCCCGCGGAGCGCGCCGTGCGCTGCGGCGGCCGGCGCGTCAAGGGCGCGTCGAAGGCGCGGCTCGGCGGCACGGGCCGCGCGCTCTACGCCAAGCTCGAGAGCGACCTCTTCGCGGACCCGAATTTCGTCGGGCAGCTCGTCGAGGGCCAGAGCCAGGCGCTCAAGGCGTCGCACGGCGCCGCGCCGCCGCCGCCGCCGACGAAGCTGACCATGGCGCACCTCCAGGGCATGATCGAGACCGAGAGTCGAACCGACCACCTCAAGACCAAGCACAACTCGCCGAAGGTGTCGAACCACGCGGCGCCGCGCCCCAACGTGAACAACGCGCGCGCGAACAAGATGGGCTCCAACAAGCGCACCTAGCGCACGTCGCTCGATGCGCGCCGGAGTGCGCGCTCGGCGTCCCACAATGCGCCGGCCCTCCGCGCGCCGCGCGTCCAGCCCCCCCCCGCTTCCCCCGTCCGCCAGTTCGGTCCTACACGAGATTCGATGCCTCTACGTTGGTTTGTTGTGGCGCATTCTGTGTCGGGTGACTATCTCCATGTCTTTGGTGCAGAGGTCCCCCCGCCACTTCAATGTCGACGTTGAACACATGTTGAGGCTCTCAAGCCGGCCACGACTGATGGCTCCCGCTCGTGCCCGCGCCGTGGCTGCGGTCGCCGGCGCCTGCGCCGGCGTGCTCGTCACGCTGGCCGTCATGCAGCGCAGGAAGAAGGCGTGCAAGCCGAAGAAGAAGAAGCCGGCGAAGGTGGCGACGCTGCGCCACATCGTTTTAGTCAAACTCAAGCCCGGCACGCCGGACGAGGCCATCGAGGCGATGCTCGCGGGCCTGGCGGAGCTGCCGAAGAAGATCCCGACCATCCTGCGCATGGAGATCGGCCGGCAGCACGCGGTCGTCGACGACGGGCGCAACGTCGCGCTCGGCGGCGTCGTCGAGTTCGCGGACGACGCCGACTACGAGGCGTACGCCAAGGACGACGCGCACCTCGCCGTCATCAAGGAGCTCATCCTGCCCTACATCGCCGAGGGCGGCCGCACGGCGCTGCAGTACGACATCTCCGGCACGCCCGCGTCCAAGGTCCGCGCCGGCGTCCCGCGGGCCGCGGCGACGTTCGAGAGACGGCTGGACGACGCTCGAGCGGTTTTTCGACGATGTCCCACGCAGGTCGGCGCGGGCCTCGAGCAGCTCGGCAAGGCGCTCGAGGGCCTGAAGCAACTGGAAAAGCTAAAGGACCTCGAGAAGCTCGCGACGCTCTTCCCGAAGAAGTAAGCTTTTTTTTCGCCCGTGCGGGGTGGGGGGGCGGGGCGCCCCGGCCCTAGTTCTTCGACTCGCCGGCGTAGGAGAAGCCCTCGAAGTTGGCCTGCGCGGCCTGCTCGTCGGAGAGCTTGGACGTGACGACGGAGTCGCAGGCCTTCTCGCTCGTGAACTCCTTGTCGAAGTGGGCCGCCGTGTCGGCGCCCTTGATCTGGGGCACGAACTCGGGCTTGATCTGCTTCTTGTAGACCTTGTCCATGTCGAGGCTCGCGTAGAAGTCGTGCGCGGCGATCTCCGAGAAGTCCTTCGCGGAGCCGAGGCGCTGGTCCACGGCGCGCTGGAGCAACGCCATGAGCACGGCCTTGGCGTCCTTGGAGATGTAGGACGGGAACTTGAGCGGCGCGATGAGGATCTTGTTGTACATGCGCTGCACGTTCGTGTCGTAGAACGGCGGCAGGCCGCACATCATCTCGTAGAGGAGCGTGCCGAAGGACCACCAGTCCACGGCCTTGCCGTGGCCCCGGTTCTCCAAAATCTCCGGCGCGAGGTACTCGGGCGTGCCGCAGAACGTCTTCGTGCCGCCCTCGGCGCCCGCGCCCGTGACGTTGTCCTTGCTGAGCCCAAAGTCCGTGATGCGGATGTGGCCCTCCGTGTCGATCAGCAGATTCTCCGGCTTCAGGTCGCGGTACACGATGTCGAGGTCGTGGAGCGCGCCGAGGCCGAGGCCGATCTCCGCGGTGTACAGCCTCGCGCGCGGCTCCGAGAACCGCCGGTGCTCCTTGAGCCAGTGGAAGAGCTCGCCGCCGCCCATGTACTCGAGGACCATGTAGAGCTTGTCCGCCGTCTGGAACGCGTAGAGCAGGTGCACGAGGAACGGGTGGTCCAGGTGCTGGAGCACGTGCCGCTCCGTCGCCGTGTGCGCCTGCGTTTGTGACGCTGGGGGTTCGTGATTCTCGCGACGGACGCGGCGGGCGTCACGAGCTGGTTCCGCTTGATGAGCGCCGCCTTCCGCAGCGTCTTCATGGCCAGGAGCTTGCCGTCCGGGTCGGTTTTGAGCGTCACGAGCATGACCTGCGGGCCGTTCGTCGGAGCGCGCGCGCGCGCGGCGCGCGATCCCGACGCACCTTGCCGAAGCTGCCCTTGCCGAGGACCTTCTTCAGCTTAAAGTCGTCGACGGACAGCTCCCGGCCGCCGACCTTGGACTTGTCGCCCTTGATCTTCACCGTGAAGTCGCCGTCGTCCTTCGACTCGCCCTTCTTCTTCTTCTTCGCCGAGTCGCCGAAAAGAAACTACGGAGAAGCGGCGCGGGTGGGATCGATGGATGGGGCAGCTGCGGCGCACCTTCATGTTGCGGGGTCGGCTGGCGCTCGCGAACGATCGATGCTGGCAGCCCAAAAGCTGTGGCGCCCAAGCTGCGCTCTCGAGAGCCGCCGCGGAGATACGAAAGTGCAACGGGGCTGATCGAGCCGATCAAAGAGGATCCTTTGCCACCTGCAAGTCCAAAAGCGCCGCCGTCGCCGCTGGCAGGATGCGTCGGCTCGCATTCGTTGCCGCGGCAACGCGCATCCCATCGACGACCGCGCTGCGCATCGCCAGACCACTCCGGCGCACGCAGCGCATTGCGACGCGCAGCGCGCGCCTCGCGCCGCGCGAGCCATCGCCAACTGTCGCGTTCGCCAACCCGATCACGTCCTGGTCCAGCGACGGCACGCCGAACCCGGAGTCGCCGCCGCGGCTCGTCGCGCTCGCGACGTCGCTCGTCGCGCTCGCGTTCCGCTTCCTGCTCGGCTGCAAGCCCGGCGACGTGACCGCGCGCGTCGAGGCGCGGTCGAACCTCGACGTGCTGCGCGGCCGGCTGTCGCTGCTGAGCGTCGACTTCCGCAAGAGCGGCGGCTTCTGGTGCCGCTTCCGCGAGGGCTCCATCGTCGGCCGCGACCTCGACCTGGGCCTCGGCCCCTTCGCGTGCCTCGCCGCGCCGTTTCTCTTCCTGCTGTTCCGACCGAACTTGCTGGCGACGGCGCTGGGGCTCTACGTGTTCTCGCGGGCGCGGGCGCTGCGGCGCCTGCTCGGCGGGAGGCCCTGCAAGGTCGAGTTCGCCGCGTCGCTGACGAGCGACGACCTCGAGAAGTCGCGGCTCTTCCGGCCGCTCCTTCGCGCCATCGTCGAGACGCTCGTGACGTCCTCGCCGCTCACGCAGTTCCCGGGCCCGATCACGGACCCGTCGACGCGCTTCCTCCTGAACAAGGCGTCCTTCGAGGGCGACAAGCTCATCCTCGACGCCGTCGCGGCGTTCGGGGGCGCCGCGCCGGCCGCCGGCCAGCCGGCGATCCCGCAGTCGCGGCAGTCGTTCGTGCTGCGCGCCAACGTCGCGCCGAGCCGCCGCGCGGGCGACTCCCTCGAGTTCCTCGACCCGGAGATCCACGCGAACTTCGACGACTGGACGAAGCCCCTCGGGCTCAAGCTGCCGGACGTGTGGATCCCGCTCGTCTCCGGCGTCGGCGTGCCCCTGGGCGCGTCGAACCGCGTCCACGAGGCGCGCATCGCAAACGGCGGCTGCTCGCTGCGGGGGTCCGTGAACCTGAACGGGTACGAGAACGCCGGCGACACCGCGACGCTCGTGCGGCGGCCGCCCTAAGATATTACAGCGCGGACATGTCGATGCTCCCTGACTTCCAGGCGCGGGCGACGCGCTCGCAGCGGGGGACGAAGGACGCGGCCTTGAAGCTCGACGCGTCCGCCGCGCGCCACAAAGTCAGCCGGGAGCACTCGAGCTGCTTCGCGGCGCCCTCGCGCGCGATCGCGTAGGGGATCCGCAGCTCGCGCACGTCGCCGCAGCAGACGCGGTTCTGGGGCACCGTGTCGTTGCGCGGCGGCGCCGGCGACTCGGGCTCCTCCGCAGCGCGGAGCTCCGCCGCGTCGCCGCGCCCCCTGCGCTTCCGGCCGACGTCGAAGTCGGACCGGTCGCGCTTCCGCAGCGGGTAGCACGTCGCCTCCGCGCCGTCGTAGCGGCGGAACCAGTAGTACATGGACGCGACGTGGGGCGCCGGCGGCGGGACGAAGTAGGGCTCGAGGGCCGCGAAGCCCGTGCGCGACGGGAGCTCGAGACCGTCGACGGGGCACGACGCGCCGTCGCGCGTCGCCGGCCGGTCGCAGGGCGCCGGGAGCGCCGACGCGCGCCGGCACTGGACGTGCTCGAAGAGCTCCAGCAGTTCAAAGTAGCCGCGGCACGCGTGGCGCGGGCACGCGAAGAAGTGGTCGTTGAGGCACGTGTAGCGATCGTCGGACGACATGCCGCCAAAGGGCACGTAGACCAGATCCGTCGCGTCCTCGTCCGGCGCCATGCGGAAGGGCGCGAACTCCAGGAAAAAGACCGTGTCCGTGCGCAGGCGATAGAGCCACGCGTACGACCGCCGCTTCGCCGCCTACGAAGCACGACGGTGACGATTCGTTTTCCCGGTCAAAATCTCTCGAAAACCGTCGCCGCCACGGGACGCCGCTTCGCCGCCTCCCGTCGGAGCACGTCGCGGAAGCACGCGCGGATGCCGACGAACTGCTCCAGCGTCGCCATGACCGCGCTGCGCCGCGTGCGCCGCCCCGCCAGGTCCTCGTCCGTCGGTAGGCAGCGGTCGCGGTCCGCGCGCTTCGGGTCCTCGTCTCTTCCGAGCCTACCAGGTGTGTCGGTGACGATTTCCCTTCGTTTTCACGGTCGAAATCTCTCGAAAACCGTCGCGGCCACAGGACGCTGGCCCGAGCGCGCGCGCCGACACCGCGCCGTACGCGGCCCGGACGTCCGCGAAGAGCGCCTCGCCGCGGTGCTCCCGGTGCCGCTCGCGGCCCTCGTGCTCGGCGACGCCCAGCGGAGTGCCCGCGCCGTCCGCGAGCACGACGAAGGCGTCGAGCGTCGCGCCGGCGGCGACCACGGGCCGGCGCACGTACTTGTCGAAGGACGCGACGACCGGCGCCTCGAGCAGCGTCCGCTCCATGCCCGTGAGGCACACGCCGACGGCGTCGCCGGGCGCCAGGGCGCTCTCTGTTGTTGAGATGAGCAGTAGCAGCGCATAAGCTGCCCGGCTCACCATCGTGCTCCCAGTTCTGCACGGTCGGCTTCTTGACCTAAGTAGTTTGACCGCGCCAGTGCTAAATTTAATCAGCCTGGTTGCGCGGGCAGCGCGTCGGCCACCATCGGGCGCGCGCGCGCCTCGTCGCGTCCTCTAGTACGTCGGGCCGGCGTCGTCCGCTCGATCATGTACATGCCGGGGGCCATAGATGATGAAGACTCGGACGAGGCGGATGATGGAGACTCGATCGAGGCGGAAGAGGACGAAATTCGAGAATTCACAGAGCAGTTTGCCGCGGGCATTAGCGTGAACGCAAGAGATCATTCAGGTGACACCAGGATCATGCATGCGGCCGTCAATGACTTTTATCATGCAGCCGTAATTCTTCTCGAACAGCACGGCGCGGATCCGAACATCGGCGATAACCAAGGTTACCTGCCTCTGCACTACGCCGAAGACGCGCGCATCATCCAGCTTCTGCTGGAACATGGGGCGGAAATTGATGCTGTGAGAAATGATACGGGCGAAACAGCTTTGATGATGGCAGCTGGATGTCGATCCTTATACGCTGATAGGGCACGCACTCTGCTCAGAAACGGCGCTTCGTTGAGTCTTCGCGATAAAGACGGGGATACTGCGCTCGTCTATGCGGGGGCAGGCTTGAATCAACCAACGCTCGACCTGCTCACGGCCGTGAAAGCCGCGGGCTCGTGGAAGCGCTACGCGCGCGAGCCCGTCGTCCAGCTCCTCTCCCTCCGCTACCTGTGCCTCGCCGGCCGCGCGACCGCGCCGCCGAACCTCGTTCGCTGCTTTGGATCGCCGCCGGTCCCGAACGCTGGGGAGGCCCGAACCCGCCGCCGGCGCGCTGCGGGCAGCACCCCGCTGCCCGACGAGGTCTTCGCGCACATCCTGGGCTTCTGGCACTGGCGAACCTAAGAGTAGCTCGTCACACACGAAGCTGGACTTTACCAGGCCTCGCCGAGCGCCGCCCCCGCCGCGGCGACGATGGCGGGGACGTCCGCGAGGGCGCCGGGCCCCACGTCGCCGCAGGCGAGCTTCTTCGACGCCGGCGGCACGGCGGCGACGCCGAGGACGCGCAGGTCCGCGAGGTGCGTGGCGGTCAGCGGGTGGGTCCACATGGCCGTGTTCATGGCCGGCGCGACGACGAAGGGCTTGTCGAAGTCCCAGGCGCGGGCCGTGCACGACAGCAGGTCGTCGCAGAGGCCGTTGGCGAGCTTGGCGAGCGAGTTCGCGGAGAGCGGCGCGATCACGAGCAGGTCGGCCCACTTCCGGAGCTCGACGTGGACGACGTCGTCGCCGATCTCCTGCCAGGCGTCCCACTCGTCGGCGTCGGAGAGGACCTCGATGCCCGAGGCCTGGAAGGTCGCCCAGGCGGCGGCGTCGTAGGCCTCGGCCTTGGCGAGGAACGTCTTCGCCTTTTCCGTGACGACGACGCGGACGTCCGCGACCTCACTCAGCGCCAGCGCGAGCTTGGGCACCTTGACCGTCGCCACGGAGCCCGTCGCGCCGAGGAGCACGCGCGGCCGCCGGCCGACGACCCTCGCGGGCGCGGGCGCCGGCGCGGGCGCGCCGACCGAGACGCCGCGGAGGCGCGCGACGACGGCGGCGCACTCGGCGTCGGCGGCGAAGCGCCGCAGGGCGTCGGGCCCCTCGGCGCGGAAGGCCTCGAGCATCTCGCGGACGCGCGGGTTCCCGAGGCTTTCGGCGACGACGGGCGCGGCCGCGGCGATCGCGTCGCGGCCGACCGTCGGCGGGCTCGCGGGCGTGAGCAGGTCCGTCCCCAGCGGCGCGGCGGACACGAGCGGCAGGCTCGGGTCGCGCGCCGCGGCCGTCGCCGTCGGCGGCGCGAGCAGCTCCGGCGCGAGCGGCGGAGCGGGCAGCATGCCCGCCTGGCCCCGCAGCACGTCGAGCGCGGCCGAGTTGCTCGGGTCGTCGACGTAGCGGCTCAGCGCCTCGGGCCCCTCCTCGCGGAAGGCCTGGAGCATCTCCCGCACCTTGGCGTTGCGCAGCGCCAGGTCCGCCGTCTCCGCGAGCGACGGCGGCGCGTTCGCGAAGGACGCTTCCTTTTCCTCGTCGACGGCGCCGAGGAGCGACCCCTGGTCGGCGGTGCCGCGGTCCATGGTCTCGGAGCGGCCGAAGAGGTGCATGGTTGGTGTGTTCAGAGGGGCTCGAACGGAGCACTGCTCATAGATGCGCGAGGCCGGCTAGGCGCCGGCTCGAGGTCGACTGCTCAGATACTGCTCGCTGTTTGGCTGAGGTTTGCCACAACGCGAAAAAACGCACTTGTTGCAGGCCGAACGTCGGCAGCCGACGACTGCGAACAAGCGCTGAGAGCAACAGTGGGCTAGCTTCAACCTCTAGCATACTCAATAGCTCCACAAATTAGCCGTAAACCACAAACACTTCATCGATCATGGCCTCCAAAAACACCGAGGAAGACAGCAACGACACCGACAAGCACAACTCACCCATCGACCGCCTCTGCGACGACGTCCTGAGCATCGTCGTGTCCTACGCCGACCACAGAAGCACGACGCGAAGCCGCGCCGCGTCGCGGCGCCTCCTGCGCCTCGCGTCGGCCCCGCCGCTCTGGCGGCGCCTCGCGCGGCGTCGCTACGGCTGCGTCTCGGCGCTCGTCGACGCCGCGCCGTTGCGCGCCTTCGGCCGCCGCTGCGGCGCCGAGGCCGACGCGGTCATCGTCTACGCCGTCGCGCAGCGCTGCGCGCTCGACGGGTCCGCGGGCGCCGTCGCGGGCGAGTGCGCCGTCGCGCCGGGCGGCTACCCCGCGTGGTGGCGCCAGGTCGCGTCCGCGGCCGCGCGGCGCGCCATGTCCGCGCGCGGCGGCCAGGTCGTGTCCATCGAGGTCGGCAACCTGCTGCCGGAGCACGAGGCCATCGTGGAACGACGCCGGGGCCTCAGCAAATTAGTGCTCGTGACGACGGGCTGCGACTGGGACGGGCCGGAGACCGTGGGCACCTTCTACGCCTGCCTCGCCGTGCTGCCCGTCGTCGACGCGTCGCCCAACGGCCGGGTTTACCTCGGCCGGCGGAAGCGGGCGACGGCGTACGTCGCCCAGGTCCGCGACCAATTCGCGCGACGCGCGCTCGACGACGTCGCGCGGTCCACGACGCCGTGGCTCCTCGACGGCGACATCCGGTCCACCCCGGTGCTGTTGCCCTTCCCGACGCCCTGCGCCGCGCCGACGCCCTTCGCCATCGACGTCGCGTCCTTCCTCGAGAGCGCGATGGCGCGCGCGAACGCCGAGATCCGCGCGGCGGAGTAGCGCCTTTTTAAAGGACGCCTGTGCATACGAGCGGCGTAGGACATACTAGGAAGAAAAGACGCCCTCGGCGCTGCCGAAGCCGAGGGCGCGCCAGGCGGCGGCGCACCAGGGCGGCGGCGCGTAGAACGCGGCGAAGGTCGCGTAGTCGCGCGCGTGCGTCCAGCACCAGACGTGGGTCGTCGGCGGGTCGAGCGACCCTCGGTCCGCGTGCACGAACGCCGTCTTGAGGTCCTCGGGCTGGGGCCAGCCGCCGCGCGCGTTCGCGTTCGCGGGCCGCCGCCGCTCGTCGTCGGGCGCGGCGGCGACGAAGCGCCGCGCGGTCGCCGCGCTGAGGTTCGCCGCGGCCGCCGCCGCGGGGAGCACGGCGTCCATGGACTCCGCCGGCGCGACGACGCCGGAGAAGCCCGCGGGGAAGAAGGCCGTCTGCGGCGTGAGGTGCTCGTTCCAGTCGGCGTCGCAGGCCAGATCCCGCGCGGCGGCCGCGAGGACGCCGTCGCGGAGCGCGAGGTCCTCGGGCGACGCCGCGGGCGGCCGGCGCCGCGGTCCCCGCTCGTTGGCCCCGAACAGCGCCGCGACGGCGGCGACGTCCGACGCGTTCGCGTAGAAGCCCCGCTGCCGCAGCGCGACCTTGCCCCAGCCGCGGCGCGCGGGCGGGCCCCGCTCGTAGGCCCGGAGCTCGCGCCAGCCCGACGCGTAGCGGCTCAGCGGGTCGCGCACGAAGGCGAAGGCCGCCGCCGACCGCTTCGCGGCGTCCGGGAGCAGGCGGTAGAGCGTCGCGCCGTCGAGGCGGTCCGCGGGCGGCTTCGCGTCGGCCGGGATGAGCCAGCGCGCGGGCGCGCCGGCCTCCTCGCCGTAGGCCGCCGCGGCCCACTGGCGGCCCACGGTCGTCGCGACCTTGGGCACGGGCAGGTAGAGGAACGCGCCCGCGCGGCCGACGTAGCACATGCCCTGCGGGTGGCCGAAGGACCGCGCGGTGAGCGGCGCTCCGTCCCAGGCGTCGGCGCACCAGAGGTCCCGGTAGCCCGCGGCGTCGCCGCGGCCCGCGCCCGCGCGCTCGCAGGCCGCGCGGCCCTGGGCGACGACGCGCTGCCGCAGCGCCGCCGCGTCGAGCTGCGCGTTGGCGCCGCAGCTCCGCGCCCGCGCGCGCTCCGCCGCGCCGACGAGCGCCGCCGCCGGACCGCTGAGCGTCGTACGTGCCGCGTAGCGGTCCAGGAGCGCACGCCACTCGGAGCTCGGCGACGGCGCCGCGAGCGCGGCGAGCAGCCCGAGCTTGGCCAGCGTCCCCATCGTGTCGTGTTGCAGGTTCAACACCAGCCCACCAGGTCCGGTGTGATTATGGCAGCGCTTCGGGCAGCCCTGCTCCTCGGCGTCGCGGGCCTCGCGGCCCCGGCGACGAACCTGCGGTCGGCGGAGAAGGTCACGACGGAGGTCCTGGTCTGGGACGAGGCCGTGCTCTTCGTCGCCGAGGGCGTCCGCCCCCTCGACGCCGAGCCGGAAACGCGGCGGCGCCTCGGGGACTACGACAACGACTACAAGAAGCCCGAGCCCCAGGACTCGTCCAAGGAGTGCTTCCGCGTCGCCCAGAAGATCCGGCGCATCTACAGCGTCGACGAGGACAGCGGCGAGGCCACGGGCTGCATGGCGTGCGATCCGACGATCGGCTCGCCGACGGGCAGCTGCCCCGTGTCGTCGGGCGGCGAGCAGTACGACTGCCAGGATCTGGTCGACGAGCTCTATAACTATTGCTCCGGGAAGAAGGGCGTGCTCTTCATCCCCGACGAGCGGCCGAAGCGCATGCCGGACGGCTTCTTCTACGACCCGCTCGACACGATCGCGGGCAAGTGGACCGACGAGGTCCAGCAGGCCGTCAAGATCTCCGTGGAGCGCTGCGGCTGCAACGCCGGCAGCGCGCTCCGGCCGGCGCTCTGGCTCGCCCTCGCCGCGCTGGGCGCCGCGGCCGCCGCGTGGTAGCGCGCGGCTGTGTAACGTGTCTGTGCTCGGAAATCGCCACCCCCACATGCACACACACACACACGTGTTAGCTCTTCGTCGCCGAGAGCTGGCCGTAGCTCGCGCGCTCCGCGCAAACCTTGAAGAAGTGGGCGTCCGAGTACTTGATCCGCGCGACGCTCTTGAACTCGTCCCGGAGCTCCGCCATGTCGCCGTACGTGTCCGTGAAGAAGAAGTCGACGATGGACCGCCCGCCGATCTGGTCGCCGATGACCTACCAAGCATGACGGTGACGATTTCTCATTGTTTCCCCGCCCAAAATCTCTCGAAATCGTCGCGGCCACATTGTTTTCCCGCCCAAAATCTCCCGAAAATCGTCGCGGCCGCGGGACACTGCCGATGACGAAGATCTTCCACCAGCCCGCGTCGCGGAAGAGCTTGCAGACGACCAGCGACGTCTGCTCGAACCTACCAAGCACGTCGGTAACAAATTTTCATCGTATTCCCACCCGAAATCTCTCGAAAATCGTCACAGCCGCAGGACGCTGGCTCGAACATGCCGCTGAGCTGCCACCGCGCGATCTCGACGTCGCCCTGCTCCTCGTCGACGAGCCGGCAGAAGGCGTTGCGGCACTGCATGAAGTTGCCCGCGTACGCGGAGATCACGACGACGATCTCCACGACGGCCGCGTCCAGGTCCCCCAGGTTGAAGCGGATCCACTCGTCGTCGCCCTCGCCCTCGCCCGTCCGGTTGTCGCCGGAGTGCTGCACGCCGGACGTGTGCTGCTGGTGGAAGTAGACAAAGTCCACGTAGATCCCGTCCTTGTCCAGCAGCACCGCGCCCGCGTCGAGGTCCATGGCGCCGCCCGCGCGCGCGGGGTCCCAGCCCAGCCCGAGCTTCAGCGACGAGCTCTCGAGGGGCAGCAGCCCGCCCTTGTCGAGCAGCACGAGCGTGCACTCCGGGTTCGCCGACACGTCGACGACGTCGCGCAGGAGCGTCTGGCACCGCGGCACGCACGCGGCGACGTCGCTGTCGTCGAACGCGACGTCGAGCATGTCCACGTTTAGCGTCGCCGCCGTCGGCCGGCCGGACCGGCCTCGCTTGTACATGCGGCAGACGACGACGGACTTGGCGTCGCGGTGGTGGTGGAGCGGCTGGATCGTCGTGTCCGGCCCCGTCACCGTCACGCTGCAGCTCGACACCGCGCCGAGGCCGTCGGCCGCGTCGTGGACCCGCGCGAAGAAGACGACGGCCACCGTCCGCGGATCGAGCGCCGCGGGGCGCAGCTCGATGCTCTCCGTCGAGCCGCCGGTCTCCTCCGTGCCCTTGGCGTCGCCGCTGTGGACGACCGCGCGGCCGTTCGACTCCTTGCGCGCGTAGTACACGAGGTCCAGGAACGTGCCGCGCTCGCCGAAGACGGCCGCGGCGAGGTCGAGGTCCGCGCGCCCCTCCCAGCTCAGGCTCACGGTCCACGTCGAGTTCGTCGGCGTGCGCCGCGGGTCGCTGTTCGGGCCCCGCGCGCCGCCGCCGTCGATCTCGACGGCGACGGGCGGCGGCCGCGCGGCCGCGGCGGCCGCGGGCACGGCGCGCGCGGCGGCCACGTTGCCGGCCGCGGGCACGGCGCGCGCCGCGGCCACGTTACCGGCGACGGGCGAGGCGATGGTGCCGGCCGCGGGCGACGCCGGCGCGACGGCGTCGACCTCCGCGACGGCGACGGCGGGCGCCGAGTCCGTCGACCCGCCGAGCGAGCCGCGCCGCGACGCGCCCGGGTGCGCCGCCCGCATGGCCTGCAGCAGGCGCCGCTTGTGGAGCGTGTTCGTCACGCCGAGGTCCGCGAAGGCCGGCGACGGATCCTCGTCGGTGATCAGTTCGCTCACGAGGTCGCCATCCACGCCGTTCTCCTCGATGTTCGGACCGTAGACGCGATAGGCGGCGCCGAGGTTTTCGACCTGTGCGCGCACGTCGGCGGCGCTGGCGCCGGCGCCCATCACAGCATCACTTATGCGTAGGTCAGGAACTTAAGGGCAGCCCACAAAGCAGAGAACCATCATGCCTGCGTTGGCAGTGAGGCAGAGCTGAAGCAAACGTGCGACGGTGCTGCACTGGCAGCCCGACCGCGGTTCGAGACCGGTGAGCCCGACCGGGCTGCGTCCGCATGGGCAATACGCCCGGCGGCGAAGCAGCCGCCGCCGATGGGGCGGCGGCGGACGAGCCCGTCGAGGGCACCTACGCGACGAAAAACGCTGGCGGCGGCGGCCGGCGCGGCCGCGGGTCGAGGGTGAGGCCCTTGGTGGACGACGCCGCGGCAGGCGACGCCGCGCCGCCGGCGGCGAAGCCCGCGCCGCGCGAGGCCGCGAGCTGGCTCGACGACGACGCGCCGGCAGGCGGCGAGCCGAATTGGTTGCGAGATTCGTCGCCGCGCGAGCCCAGCCGCGACGCGCCGAATTGGCTCTCCGACGGCGACGGGCGGGCCGGCGCCGAGCGACGGCCCGACGACGCGGCGCCGAGCTGGTTGCTCGACACGCCCCAGCGCGGCGGCGGCGCGTCCTGGCTCAGCGAGTCGCCGCGGGCGCCGACCTACGAGGCCGCGAAACCTCCCGAGCGCGAGCAGCCGAATTGGCTTAGGGACGCCGCGGCCGCGCGGTCCGGCGACGTGCCGCGCTGGCTCGCCAAGGACGACGACGGCGGCGGCGGCAACCGGCGGCGGCGGCGCGACGGCGACCGGCGGCCGGAGCCGGAGGAGCCGCGCCGCGGCGACCGCGGCCCGCGCGACCGCGCGGGCGACGACCGCGCGGCGCCGCCGCCCGCGGCGCCGAGCGCACCGAAGCCGCGCGAGCCCGCGCGCCTGAGCGCCGCCGTGCACCGGCCGCGGCGAAACGACGCCGCTTTGAAGCCGAGCTGGCTCGCGGCGTCGGCGGACGACGGCTACGACAGCGAGAAGGAGCCGAGCCCCGTCAAGGCGCCGAGCCCCGCGCGCGGCGAGGGCGAGCGGGCGTCGCCGAGCCCCGCGCGCGGCGAGGGCGAGCGGGCGTCGCCGAGCCCCGCGCGCGGCGAGGGCGAGCGGGCGTCGCCGAGCCCCGCGCGGAGCGAGGGCGAGACGCGCGTCGTGTCGCCGGCCTCCGAGGCGAGCTCCAGCCCGCCGAAGGCGAAGCCGCCGCCGCCGTCGCTCGACGCGATGTCCGTCAAGGAGCTCCGCCGCGTGTCCGTCGAGCTCGGCGTCGACGTGAGCCGCTGCGCGGAGAAGGCGGACCTCGTCGAGGCCGTCGGCGCCGCGGCGGCGCGCAAGGCCGCGCCGGCCGTGTCGCCCGCGCGCGACGAGGCGCCGCCCTACGCGGAGCCGCCGACGCCCGTCGAGCCGCCGACGGCGGACGAGGACCGGGCCTCCGCCGCGGCGCCGTCGCCGACGGAGGACGGGTCCTACGCCGCGGCGCCGTCGCCGACGGAGGACGCGACGGCGCAGCTCAGCGAGACCATGGCCGTGCTCTTCGAGCTCCTGCCCTTCTACAACCAGGGCAACCGGGGCACGGACGGCGTCGTCCGGCGCGCGATCGGCACGATGACGCCCGAGGACTGCCGGACCGTCGACGGCGAGGGGTCGACGGCGCTCATCGTCTGCGCGCAGTACGGCCACGACGACCTCGCCGACCTGCTCCTGCGGCGCGGCGCGGAGGTGAACGCGGTGTCGGCCGCGGGCGTGACGCAGGGCAGGAAAAGAGAGCGAAATTCCCAACTTCAAAGGCTCCTCTCTCGGCCGATTTCCGCTCGTTTCGGCTGATTTTTGGACGAGCGATCATCTCTGGGAACGGTCTCGAAGCGCGGATGCTTTTTCCGGAACGCGCGCGCGCGGAACACTCATGTTGAAGCGAACTTGAATCTCTCTTTTCCTGCCCAGGCGTGACGGCGCTCGCGTACGCGTGCGGGTCCGAGGCCTTCAGCGAGCCCATGATCCGCCTGCTCCTGAGCCGCGAGGCCGACGCGAACGTCGCCGAGCTCCACTACGGCTGCTGCGCGCTCCACTACCTCGCGGCGACGGGCGACGCGCGGCTCTGCGGCCTCCTGGTCGAGCACGGCGCGGACGCGGCCGCGGTCGACTGGTACGGCTGGGCGCCCGCGGACTACGCGACGGACGCGGGCCACGACGAGGCCGCGGCGGCCCTGCGCGCCCTCGCGGAGCGGCCCCGGGACGCGCCGAAGCGCGACGAGGACCACCAGCTCAGTCGCACGGGCAGCGTCTCCGCGCTCCTCGCCGAGGCGCGCGAGGACGCGGCCAGGGCCGTGGCCAAGGCGCGCGAGGAGGTCGGCGACAAGGCCCGGAAGCTCGAAGCCGAACTGGAGAAGACCGTCGCGGCCCTCGGCGCCTGCGAGTTCGAGAAGAAGGCCCTCCTGCGGAAGCTGGACGACCAGGCCGGCGACGTCGGCGCGCTGCGGCGGCGCGAGGAGGAGGCCGCGCGCGACGTCGAGCGCGCGAAGGCCAGCGCCGCGGACTCGTTGGACGCGGAGCGCAGGCGCGTGCGCGACCTCGAGGCCGCGCGCGACGCGCGCGACGCGAAGATCGCCGAGCTCGAGGCCGCCGTCGCGTCCGCGCGCGACGAGAAGACGCAGTTCGTGTCGAACATGCGGCGCCTCAAGGAGGCCGGCGCGTCCCGGGAGACCATGTTCAAGCAGGCCGCGGAGCAGCAGGAGCGCGAGGACCAGGAGCGCCGCGCGGCGCTGGAAGCGCAGGCCGCGCGCGACCGCGACGCGCGCGACGCGGAGCGCGCGGAGGAACAGGAAAGGCACCGCGACGCGGACCGCGAGCACCGCGCGCGCAACGCCGAGCTCGAGCGGCGCGCCGCGGACGCGCGCGCGGCCCACGAGGCCGAGGTCGCGAAGCTGCGGGACCGCTGCGAGGCCGCCGTCGGCGACGCGGAGCGGCGCCTCGCGGAGTCAGAGGCCGCGGCGCGCGAGCGGGCGGCCCGCGACGCGGAGGCCTGCGCGGCCGCGCGGGCCCGCGCCGACGACGCGGACCGCGCGCGCGCGTCCGCGGAGCAGCACGTCCGCGACGTCGACGCGGAGATCCGCCACGCGGCCGTCGTCGAGAAGCGCAACGACCAGCTCGACCGCGACCTGGTCAAGGAGGTGAAGCGGCGCAAGGAGCTCCACAACACGCTCGAGGACATGAAGGGCCGCATCCGGGTCTACCTCCGCGTGCGGCCCCTCTCGACGAAGGAGACCGACGCCGGCGCGGAGCCCGCGTGCGGCCGCGCGGGCGCGACGGGCGTCACTGTCAAACGCGCGGACCGGAAGCCGCCCCAGGACAAGCAGCACTTCGAGTTCGACCGCGTCTTCGCCGGCGATTCGGAAGAGAATTCCCAGCAAACGGTCTTCGCGGACGTCAAGTCGCTCGTGCTGTCCTGCGTCGACGGCTTCAACGTCTGCATCTTCGCCTACGGCCAGTCCGGCTCGGGCAAGACGTTCACGATGGCCGGCGCGGCGTCGATCCGCGAGGCCATCGACGTCGAGACCTGGAACCTGGCGCCCCTGGCGGGCATCATCCCGCGGTCGGCCGTCGAGGTCTTCCGCATGCTCGAGGAGCGGTCCGCGCTCGCGGCCTACGAGGTCGAGCTCAGCATGTACGAGCTCTACCGCGACTCGCTGCGGGACCTCTTCGCGGCGCCCGTGCGCAAGGGCGCGAAGCCCGTCGCGCTCAACGTCAAGCTCGCCCAGTTTTCGGACTCCGGCCTCGTGCAGGTCGAGGGGGGCGTGACGCGGCGGGTACAGTCGCTCCCGGATTTGGTCGCCGCGCTCGAGGCGGGGCTCGAGGGCCGGTCCGTGGCCCACACGGAGCTGAACGCGGAGAGCTCGCGGTCGCACCTCATCGTCACGCTCGTCCTCAAGTCGACGAACCACCGGAGCGGCCACGTCGTCTGCGGCAAGCTGACGCTGGTGGACCTCGCGGGCAGCGAGCGCGTCGAGAAGAGCGGCGTCGCCGGCGACAAGCTCAAGGAGGCCATGTGCATCAACAAGTCGCTCTCCGCCATCGGCGACGTCATCAACGCGCTCTCCTCGGGCCAGAAGCACGTGCCCTACCGGAACCACCCCCTGACCATGCTCATGTCCGACTCCATCGGCGGCTCGGCGAAGACGCTCATGTTCGTCAACGCGAGCCCCGCGGACACGCACGTGTCCGAGACCGTGTCGTCGCTGACCTTCGGGTCGCGGTGCAAGCGCGTCAAGAACGCGAGCAACGCCAACGGCGAGATGGCGTCCCAGCTCAAGGACCTCAAGGCCGAGCTCGACCGCATGAAGCAGTCGGGCGCGACGCGCGCCAAGAAGGCCCACGCGCCGGGCGACGTCCGGCGACCGGGCGGGAATCGGTAATGTTGGTTTTAGTCGTCGCGGTCGCTGCGCCAGAAGGCGAGGACATGCGAGAAGACGTCGTCCGGCGTCCTCAGGAAGAGCCGCTCGTGCGCGCGCACGCTCGACGACATTGAGGCGCGACCGCGCTCGCGGAGGGCCGGGAGGCGCTGGCGGAGGGCGAGGAGCTCCTTGCGCGGCGCGTTGAGGTAGGAGAGCCAGCCGCCCGCGGCGCGGACGGCGGCGAGGAAGGCGACTAAGGTCGTATTTCTGAAGGCCCGTGCTTGGGCCTCGGGGTTCTCGTTTCTGTGATTGCGCGCGTCGATCAACGCGCCACGACTCAGCAGGAGCTTGCACATCTTGAGTTCATTCCCCGCGGCTGCGATGTGAAGCGCGGTCCAGCCACCCTCGGTGCAATCGTCGACTCGCGCGCCCGCGTCGAGCAGCAAGATTGCTCCGTCGGAACGCCCGTTTAGAGCGGCCTCGTGCAGTGGCGTCCTGAGTACAGATGGCTGGCCCAAGTGGACGTCGGCGCCCTGTTCCAAGAGGCTTTTAATTGCCGAGCACCAACCGTGACGAGCTGCATAGCGCAGGCGCGTCGCCCCACAACCTGGTTCATCCTCGATGTGCACAATGGCGCCAGTTTCGCCCATGGAGATGAGCTGGTCAAGGCTGCCGCCCGACGCGAGATAGCGCTCAGTTTGGTCGACGAATGAACGCTCTCGAGGGCTGGCCATAGTCGACCGGGGCTGCTGGTATAAGTTGAACGTCAATGAGCAGTACAAGACCTCGGCTCCGAAGCGGCGCCGAAGCCGCGACCACTGAGACCTTTCGTCCGCGCCGTCGCCGTCGAATCCACGCTGTCCCAGCCATGATGTTCCTTTTCCTGCTGCTCGTCGCCGTCGTCGTTGATACCAGTGTCCACCGGCAGTTCGCACGACCGGGAATCGCTCCGACGTCGTCGTTTTCCGTAGGTCGGCGCCCTGGGCACCATCTACACCAAGTGGGAGCAGGTCGAGGCCTTCCTCGCGACGAAGATGTGCGCCGTGCTGTCGCAGAAGATGGGCGCCGAGGTGAAGATCGACAAGCTGACCATGCGGCCGCTCCAGGGCACGTGCGCGATGGAGGGCCTCACGCTGCCGAACGGCCCCGGCGACTGGGAGGCGCCGTACTTCATGCGCATGGAGGAGGTGCACGTGCAGTGCGCCGGCGCCTTCCGCGGCTTCGTGACCATGCCGGGCCTCGCGTCCGTGCCGTGCTTCGAGCTCAACTCCTTCAAGGCCGGCTTCGACACGCGCATGATCGACACGATGAAGGTGAGCGGCGTGCGCCTCTTCATCGAGTCCCACGACAAGGTGAGCAACAACGACTACCTCGCCGCCTTCGAGAAGAAGGAGAAGGCCGCCAAGACGGCGAAGATGCAGAAGAAGCGCAAGGCCGAGCTCGAGTGGATGCTCAAGTGGTCCAAGGACGAGGACAAGCCGGGCCTCGAGAAGGCCTACGCGCAGTACAACGCGGAGGTCGACGCCGAGGAGGCCGAGGAGCACGTGTCCGTGATGGACACGCTCAAGACCGGCGGCACGGAGGCCCTCCGCGAGAAGATCAAGGCCAAGATCGCGAAGAAGAAGGAGGAGAGCGAGATGAAGAAGATGTCGAAGGCGTCGAAGAAGGTCGCCGACGGCGAGAAGATGGCCGTGGGCAAGATGACCATCACGGACTGCCACCTGTCCATCAAGGGCACGAAGTTCCGCCTCGACAAGGACTACGTCGTCCGCGCGTTCCGCGGCACCATGGGCGAGCTCAAGAACCACTGCGTCGTCGGCGTCATGCAGCGGGCCATGAGCGACTCCTTCGAGCACAAGAAGGAGAAGGTCATGGCGCACCGCCAGGAGAAGTTCGAGGCGAAGAAGGAGTACGTCCAGGAGAAGAAGCAGCAGGCCAAGGATTTCGTCGCCGAGCGCGTCGAGCTCCGGAAGACCCAGCTCAAGTCCATGTTCGGCTCGAAGAAGGCCGACGAGCCCGCGGCGAACTAGGGCCGCCGCCGCGCCTGTGTGTAGTACCTCCTTTTTTCCTGTAATCGCATTAGTCCCGCTTCGCGTCCGCGGCGGCGTCCCGCGCGGCGACGGCCGCGGCGTAGCGCCGCTCCTTGCGCGCCGCGCGCGCGCGCGCGAAGCCGACGGCGTCGACGCCGGGGACGACGGCGAAGAGCGCGGAGAAGACGACGTGGAGCCACCAGCCGACGAGCCGGAAGCCGACGAAGGCCGTCGCGGGCCAGACGCCGATGACGTCGGGGAAGCGGCGGGAGCCGCGGCGCCGCGAGTCCGCGAGGAGGCGGCGGTCGTCGGCCGTGAGCCGGGGCCCCGCCGTCGCGGCGAGCGCGTCCGCGACGTGCGCGGGCCGCGTGCTCTTGGGGATGACGGCGACGCCGCGCTCGAGGTTCCAGCGGAGCGCGCAGCGGCAGAGGGACGCGGCGTGCATCTTCGCCGTCGCCCAGAGCATGGAGTCCTCGCCGAGGCGCCGCGGGTCGCCGCCGAGCGGGCCCCAGGCGACGACGGCGACGTCGCGCGAGAGGCAAAAGTCGACGAGCGCCTGGTTCGGGAACTTCGGGTGCGCCTCGACCTGGTTCACCGCCGGCGGGATGGTTTTCGCGTCGTCGAGGAGCCGCGACAGCTGCGCCTCGTCGAAGTTGGACACGCCGAGGCTCCGCGCCTTGCCCGACGCCGCGAGCGCCTCCATGGCCGCCCACGTCGCCGAAAAGTCGCCGACGGCGCCGTCCCGGGCGAGGACCGTGCCCGGCCGGAACTTGAGCGGCCAGTGGATGAGGAGCAGGTCCACGTAGCTCGTCTGGAGCTGCTGGAGGCTGTCGTCGAGCGCCGCGGCGACGCGCTCGGGCCGCGCCTCGTCCATCCACAGCTTCGTCGTGAGGAAGAGCTCGCACCGCGGCACGCCGCTCGCGCGCACGGCGCGGCCGACGGCGGCCTCGTTGCCGTAGATGCGCGCGCAGTCGAGGTGCCGCGCGCCGGCGGCGAGGTTCGCCGCGATCTGCGCCTCGAAGAGGTGCGCGGTGCCGAGGCCCACGCGCGGCATGGCGTAGCCCGAGCTCAGCACCATGGGGTCCTGGTAGCTCTCGCGCGGGGCCTTTTTGGGAGACGACTGCTCCAGCAGAGCGCGCATGCGCGCGAGGCGCGCGTCGTCGGCGGGCTCCGAGGCGGCCCAGGCCTCTGCGGCGGCGCCGGGCTCGGCGACTTTCGCGTTGGGCATCTCGTGTGTCTAACGACGACGACGAGGCGGTGTTTTACGCGCTCCACGCCGCGCTCCGCGCGGCGCTCGACGGCGTGGGGAGGCGCTGCCACAGATTTTTTGCGAAGTCGTTGACGATGGCATCGATGGTTCTCGCAGTTCTTCGCGCCGCGTAGCCCAGACAAACGCCTCACAATGGCCTGGCGCGGCGGCCGGTCGCTGCTCGCCGCCCATTTAGAGCTCGCGGCGGGCCTGCGGCAGCGCACGCTGCGCGCCGAGGAGTCGCTCGTCCACCGAACCTTCGCGGAGGCGAAGGCGCTCACGCTGTGCGACGCGCCGCCCGAGCCGGCGCTGGAGAAGGCGCAGCTCCAGGCCTGCGCGCGCGCCGTCGCCGCGCTCGGCGACGCGCGCGCGGCGCGCGTCGAGGATTTGGCAACAACCGCGGGCCTGCGCGAGGTGCCGCGGGCGCTGCTCTCCGCGCCGTTGCGGTGGCGCGAGGGCGTCGTGCGGCCGGACCGCAGCGCGCTCGACGCCGACGCGCTGCGCATGTGGTACCGGCCATCGCCGGACCGGGGCGCGGCGCTCCAGGGCGGCTTCGTCCGCGAGGAGCCCGGCGCGCGGAAGGCGTACGACACCGCGCGGTCCGCCGCGGCCGGCGCGCTCGAGGCCGTCATCACGGGCGCCTACGGCGCCGTGGAGCACGCGGTGTCGAGCGCGGCGGCGGGCGCGCAGCGGCGCGCCGCGCGCGCGTCCGACGCCGCGCGGAACCGGGTCGCGGACGCCGCGGACCGCGCGTCGGCCGCGGCCGTCGACCGAGCGGCGAGGGCGCTCCCGAGCGCCTACGCCGACGGCATCCGCCGGAAGCGCGACGAGGTCGTCGCCCCCGAGCTCGCGCGGCTCCGCGCGCCGCGCGACGCGGGGACGGCCGTCGCGGCGGCCCGGGCGGAGGACGACGGCCTGCCCCCGGGCCTCGTCGACGTGCTCGTGCTCGAGCGCAAGTCGGCGTCGGACTTTGCCGTCGAGTGGCACGCGGAGGTGCCCGCGCGCTACGTCGGCGCGCTCTCGCCCAGCGGCGCGTTCTCCATCCGGCTCCACACGGGCGACCGGGCGCTGGCCTGGCTCGTCCTCGCGGCGACGTCCGCTCTGCCCATCTACCGTTCCGCGCACTTCGCGGCGGAGTGGAGCGCGTCCCACGTGGAGCTCGCGCAGGGCGCGCTGCTCGCCTGCGCCGCGACGCTGGCCTGGGGCGCCTGGCGCGCGCGCGGCATCGACGAGGACCGGCTCCGCCTCGACCTGCTCACGGTGCTCCGCGTGCACCGCCTCGCGAACGGCCCCGAGGCCCTCGACAAGCTGTCGCGCCTCGCCGCGCGCGCGCTCGCGCGCGACGCCGCCGCCGCCGCCGCGGGGACCGTCGTCGCCGGCGACCGCGGCGCCCGCGCGGCGGCGCTCCTCCGCGACGCGGGCCTGGCCCCGGCCGGCGACGCGGCCGCCGTCGAGCGCGACCTCGCGACCTGGGTCCGCAACCAGCTCGCGCGCGGCGAGGTCCGCGGCCTGGACACGGACGCGCCCTGGTTCCCCCAGGACGACGACCGACCGGATCGCGCGGCGCGGCTTCCGTAAACTCTCGAGAGGCTGCCCATCGCAGTGCAATGAGCCGACGATGAAGCCCGCAAAGATTTTTAGTGAAGCGTGAGTGTCAACGGGCCCGCGGCCGATGGCTGCCCCATGAGATGATGGAGCCGCCGCCGGCGCCCGGCGAGGAGGCGTACGACTCGGACGCGGACAGCGCCAAGTGGGGGGACCTCGGCGACGACAGCGACGACGACTACGGCTGGCTCGACGAGCGGCTCGCGGCGAGCAAGCAGGGCTTGCTCGAGAGCAAGGCCGAGAGCCGGCGCATCGACGCGCGGCTCAGCGGGGCGGCGGGCGCGTCGACGCGCGCGGAGGACGCGGCCTGGAGCGCCTTCGTCCAGGCGAGCGCGAGCGCCGTCGCCGACGTCGCGAAGCGCGCCGCGGAGGCCGAGGCCGACGCGCGCGCCGTCGCGGCCGCGGCCGAGGCCGCCGTCAAGCCGTCCGACGCGGACGTCGCGCGCGTCGCCTACACGACGACGCAGGAGCCCTGCGACGACTGCCGCGCGGCGCTCGCGGCGCTCGTCGCCGCCGTCGAGGCGGGCGCGGAGCTCGTGAGCGTCGTGCGGCGGGCCGCGGCGGCGGAGGCGCGCGCGCGCGACCTCGACGCGCCGCGGGCCGAGCTCCGGCGCGCGGCCGGCGCGCTCATCCAGACGGCCTGGCGCGCCAAGTTCTGCCTCTGGCCCGCGGGGAGCGCCGGGGAGGTCACGGCGAAGGCGTTGGTCTTCGGCATGAAACGGGCCACCGTCGCGGCGGACGACGCGGCGCGCGCGCGGCCCGGCGAGCTCGCGGCGGCGCTCGCCGAGGGCGCCGCGGCGGCGGACGCGCGGGCCGCGGCCATCGAGGCGGCGCGGGCCCGGGAGGAGGACGCCGCGGAGCGACGAGGGGACGGCCATGCGCGTCGCGGACCTCGAGGCGCGGCGCTTCGCGGAGGCCTGCCGCCGCGAGGCCGTGCGCGCGGAGCTCGAGCGGCGGCGCATGCGCGACGAGGAGCTGCTGACCGCGCGCCGCGCGGAGGCCGAGGCGCGATTGAAGCGGGCCGCGGAGCGGCGCGAGGCCGCGCGGCGCGCCGACGCCGAGGCCGCCGCCGACGCCGCCGCGGGCGCCGCGCGGGCCGCGGAGCTCGCGGCGGCGAGGGCCGACGCCGCGGCCGCGGCGCGCGACGCCGCCGCCGGGGCCCGCGGGGCTGCCACCGCGACCGTCGCGGTCGCCCTCGACGCGGCGCGGGGTGCGGCAGAGGCCGGCGCCGCCTGCGTCGCGGCCCTCGACGCCGCGGCCGCGGCGGACGCCGAGGCCGCGCGCGCCGAGGCCGCGGCCGCGGCCGAAGCCGCCGCCGCGACGCGCGCCGCGGCCGCGGCCGCCGCGGACGCCGCCGACGCGGCGAAGGCCGCCGAGGCCGCCATCGACGCGGAGATCGCCGCCGCCAAGGCCGCGCGGCGGCGAGCCTGGGCGCTCGAGGACGCGGCGAGGGCCAAGGCCGCGTCCGCGGTCGCGGGTCTGTCGCCGATCGAGCGCCGCGCGGCCCTCGTCGCGCCGGCGTCGCGCCGGCGGGCCGCAGTGTCCTGTGGCCGTGACGATTTTCGAGAGATTTGGGGTGGGAAAACAATGAGAAGTCGTCACCGTCGTGCTTGGTAGGCGGGCCGCGGCCCTCTTCAAGGCGGCGAAACCGTCGGGCAAGACGTCGGGCGAGACCAAGAGCGCGGGGCGCGCGGTCCGGCGACGGTCGCGCCGCCGCTCGAGGCCCGGGGGTCCGCGGGCGCCGCGACGTCGTCGAAGCCCGACGACTGGGCGCGCCGCCTCGAGGCCGCCGCCGCGGTCCGGGCGCCCGCGAAGCCCCGCAAGGTCGCCCCAGAGATCTTCCGCCCGGAGGAGGCGTTCGAAGCAGCCGGTTCCGACCGGGGTCCTCGTCGTCTTAGAGAAACAAGGACTCATCTTCATGTCTCGTAGGTTCCGACGGCGCGCTCGACCTCGACGCGCTGGCGGCGGCCGCGGGCGGCGACCCGGCGAACGCCGCGACCCTGGACCTGTCCGTCGAGAGCCTGCGGGGCGACCTCTCGGCGCTCGGGAGCTGTCGCCGTCTGCGCGAGCTCGCGCTCAACGTCAACGGCCTCGACGGCGCCGCGGTCGCGAGCCTCGGCGCCGCGCTGGCGACGTGCGGCGCGCCGCTCGAGGCGCTGTCGCTCCGGGACAACCGCCTCGCCGGCCCCGGCGCGCTCGGCGGCCTCGTCGTCGCGGACGCGGCGTTCCGGGCGACGCTCCGGGAAATCCACGTCGACGCGAACAAGCTCCAGTCCCTCGCGGCGCTCGGCGGCTTCCCGGAGCTCCGGCGCGTGACCGCCGCGGACAACCGGCTCGGCGCCCAGGACGACGGCGTCGCGTCCCTCGGCCGCGGCGCGCCGCGGCTCGCGCGGCTCGACGTCGCCGGCAACGGCCTCGGGCCGAGGCTGCCCTGGGTCGCCGAGCCCGGCCTCCTCGCCCACCTCCTGCGCCTCGACCTCGCGCGCAACGTCATCGCGGCCATCGACGGCCGCGAGCTCAGCGCCTGCGCGCCGAACCTCGAGGCTTTGATTCTCAGCCACAACCGGCTCGCGGTTTTCCCGTCGGAACTCGCGCTCCCGCGGCTCGAGGGGCTCTGGCTCAGCGGCAACGCGCTTGTGTCGCTCGGCGGCGACGCCTGGCTCCCGCGGCTCCGCGAGCTCCACGCGGCGAACAACCGCGTCGAGGCTCTGGGGCGGTTCCTCGTGGGCGCGCCGACGCTGGAGACGCTGGACCTGAGCCACAACGCCCTCGACCGCGGGGGGCAGTTGGCGGCGTCGCTGGCCTTTGCGAAGCGCGCGCTCCAGCGTCCCGAGGCCGCGACGACTTTCGAGAGGTTTTGGGTGGAAAACCAATGAGAAATCGTCACCGTCATGCTTGGTAGGCACGCTCGCGTCCCTCGCGCTCCAGGGGAACCCGCTCGGCGAGGGGCCCGCGCGCGACGCGCTCACGCGCCGCGCGGACGTCGCGGTGACGGCGTGGCTGCGAGACGAGGACGCGGACGCCGCGCGCGAGCGCGCGAGGGGGCTGGCGGTCGCGGGCGCCGCGGGGCTGGAGAAGCTCGCGGAGTTGAACGGCGACGCGCCGTCGAAACCGCTGTTGGCCCAGCTCGCCTGGGCCGCGCGCGCGGACGGCGACGCGGCGCCCGCGAGCGGCCGCTGGGCAGCGACGGAACGCGTCGTGGACCCGAGCGGCCGCGGCGCGGCGACGGAACGCGTCGGGGACCCGAGCCGGCTCTGGAGCTTCGGTCGGTTGTTTCCGCGGACCTGCGGAAGCTGCGAAATCCGTCTCTCCATCGTGCCCGCGCTCCTCGCCGCCGTCCGCGACGACGACGGCGGAGTGACCGATCTCTCGTGCCGCAAGTGCGGCACGAACTACGCTTTGCCTCCCTGGCCTGCGGCCGTGGCCTGGGCCGCCGCCGGCGACGACGCCCCGGCGACGACGGCCGGCGCCGACGCGAAGCGGCGGGCCGCGGCGGCGCTCGTCGCCGAGGTCGTCGCCGAGCGCCGCGCGAACCCGCGGAAGCGCGCGCGCGACGACGATGACGACGGCGCCGACGACGGCCGCGGCCTCGACCGCCTGCCCGGCGACGCGCTGGCGGCGGCCCTGCTCTGGAAATCGGTGATCGAGCCCCCGGCGGGGCCGAGCGCCGCGGAGCTCGACGCCGCGCGTCTAGCCGTGGCGCGAGCGTGCCAACGGCTCGCGCGCGGCTCGGCGTGCCGCGCGGCCGCGGGCCCCGCGTCCGACGCCTGGCGCCACCTCGAGGCCGAGCGCCGCCGCCGGGACGCGGCGCTGAAAGCGGTCCAGGGCGCCGCGCGGAGCCGACGGGTGCGGCGGCGGATATCGGATGCGCTGGCCCATTCTCTGTACGTAGACGAAGAGCTTGACGCCATTGAAGCCGCGGGCGAGCTCGACCTTGCGGCGATGCTGCAAGGCGTCGACGAGGACCTGGCGGAGGAGGCGCTGCCGCCGCGCGCCGACGGCGCCTGGGCGCCGCGGAACGCGTCTCGCGGCGCGTCGTCGCGGTCGCCGCGGCCGCCGCCGCGCGGCTACTCGCCGCCGCCGCCCTGCACGGCGGACAGCGTGCGCAGCGACGTCTCGGCGGCGACGACGGTTGGCAGCGCCGCGCCGCGGCGGGGGCGCTTTCCGGACATCTTCTCGAGCGGCTCCAACCGCTCGCTGCCGGACGAGGGCGACGACGACGACGCCCGCTCCGCCTCGGCGCCCTCGGTCTGCGACACCGCGCGGACGCTCGACACGGCGCGCTCCGACGCGACGGGCCGCCCGCGGCGCTCGGCGAAGAGCCGCCTGGACGCCATCTCGCGCAAGATGAGCGACGCGCCGCGCCGACGGCGGGCGAACGCGCGGCCGCCGCCCGGGCCCCAGCCCGTGTCGCAGGTCGCCCGCGACCGCATGAACCGCGCGAGGCGCCCCAAGGCCCTCCCGGCCTGGGCACAGGCGCCGCCGAGGGACGAGTAAGGAGGCAATGTTGAACTTTGGGTGCACCCGGTTGAAGGCGAGAGTCGAGCGCAGTGTCGAGGCCTGAGGAGATGTTCTCGCAATTTAACCGCAAATTACACGCCGCCGTCGCCGGCGGGGACGTCAATTTGGTGGCGCAGCTCCTCGACCGCGGTGCTGACATCAACCAGATGAGTAATAAGGGATGGACGCCGCTCCATACGGCTATCTTTTCCGGCTTCGGTGGTCTCCTCGACATCGTCGACATTCGACTCGAAGTTGTGACGCTCCTACTCGACCGGGGCGCTGATGTCGACGCGCCTGACCGGAGCGGCGAAACAGCTCTTCATCGTTTGTGTCGGTGTAGTCCTCGCGACTTCCCGTATGTCGCAAGCGTCTTGGAGCTGCTCCTCGACCGCGGTGCCGCGATCGACGCTTCGGCGTTGGTTGCCGCCTGCAGATGCGATCTCCCGGCGACAGTGCGACTACTTCTCGACCGCGGGGCAGACGTCCACCTCCCCTCCGGCCCGACTCCGATACGCATGGCATACTGTTATCAACATTTGGCCACTTTCCGAGTCCTCCTCGAGTATGGTGCACGACTTGGCGATGCCCATGTCGGCGCCTTATGCCCGGGATTCGCGGAAGAGAACATGGCGCTGACCGCGTTGATCAAATCTGCTCAAGGTGTTCAGCGCTCAGCTCTCCCGCGAGCCGCGCGCCTCCTCACGAGCTGGACGCTTCGCATCCGACTCCACGTCGTCGGACCGCGTGCCGAGAATGTGGGCTCGGCACGGCATCGCATCCTCGGCTGCCGAAACCTCGCGCGTCACCTTGTTTCTTTTCTGAGCGGGCCGCCGCCTCCGCGGCCGCGCGGCGCCAGTGGTATCCGGGGACGCCTCGCGAACCCCGCTGGCTTCGCGTGCGTCCTGCAATAAACACAGTCGCCTCCCGACGTTTGGGCGCGGATATATCGCCTTAGAATATCGCCTTCGTCCTCCAGGCCTTCCTGCATTGGCACAAGTTACATCAAAACTGTGCGCGCAGGGAAGTCGGATGCAAGAAGGGGGAGGGGCGGAGGGCTGGGTCAAGTTGAAGTAGACCAGGACCGGGTCTCAGGCCGCGGCGCGCGCGGTCTCGGTGTGGTCCTCGTAGATGCCCTGCGGGCGCTTGTGCTTGGGGTCGAAGGGCGGGCGGAGGGACCCCGTGGCCTTGAGGCGCGTGCCGCCGACGTCTATTTCGTACGTCCCGGCCTTGACGAAGCCCTTCACGCCGACCTCGGGGTGCTTGACGATCGCGAGGGCGACCTGGCCGCCGAGCGAGTGGGCGTAGTTGGCCGTCGTGACGTTGCCGACGAGCTCGCCGTCGCGCAGGACGGGCTCGTTCCCCCATATCGGCAGGTCCTCCTCGTGCGTGTGAAGGGCGACGACGCGCTGCTTCAGGGGCTCCTTCTTCAGCTTCGCGAGCGCGTCCTTGCCGATGAAGTCCTTGGACCAGTCGATGGTGAAGCCGAGGCCGGCCTCGAAGGGCGTCACGAAGGGGTCGAGCTCGTGGCCCCAGGCGCGGTAGGCCTTCTCCGTGCGAAGCGAATCGATGGCGTAGTAGCCGCAATCGCGGAGATCCGCGGACGGATGTTCGGCGGACGCCGCGTGGAGGCTGCGGTACACGTGGGCCGCGGACTCCACGGGCACGTAGAGCTCGAAGCCGAGCTCGCCGACGTAGGTGATGCGTTGCGCCCGCACGGAAGCCGCGTGGCCGATGTCGAGCGCCCGGGACGCGCCGAAGGGGAAGTCGTCGAAGACGGACGGCTGCGTCACGCAGGCCTTGAGGAGGTTGAGCGACTCGGGCCCCATGACCGCGAGCACCGCGAGCTGGTTCGAGACGTCGACGAGCGTCGCGTCGCCCGTCAAGTGGCGCCGGATCCAGTCGGCGTCGCGCGTCGCGCTGCCCGTGGGGCTGACGACGAGGAACTCGTCGTCGCCGAGCTTCGTCACCGTGCAGTCGCTCTCGTAGCCGCCGCCCTCGGCGTTGAGCATGCCCGTGTAGACAGCACGGTCCACGACGGACACGTCGCCGCAGCAGAGGCGCTGCATGCACGCTTCCGCATCGCGGCCTTTCACGAGCAGCTTCGCGAAGCTCGACACGTCGAAGAGCGCGACGTTCTCGCGGCAGTGCTGGGCCTCGGCCTTGGCGTACTTCATCCAGCCGGGCTTCGAGTCGATCTTGTGGTCGTGCTCGACCTCGTCGTCGCCCGGCGCGTAGTAGTTGACGCGCTCCCAGCCGAACTTCTGCCCGAACTTGGCCCCGTTGGCCTTGTGGGTCTCGTGGAGCGCCGTGAGCCGCAGGTTCCGCGCGGACTGGAGCTCGAGGCGCGGCCAAGGAAGCGCGTAATGGAGGCCTGGGCAGGAAAAGGGTGATTCAACCTCGCTTCAACATGAGTGTTTCGCGTGCACGCGTTCCAGAAAAAGGACCCACGCTTCGAGAGCGCTCCGAGGGATGATCGCTCGTCCAAAAATCAGCCGAAACGAGTGGAAAACGGCCGAGAGAGGAGCCTTTGAAGTTGGGCGTGTCGCAGCCGTTTCCCGCCCTGGTGGAGGCCCAACACCTCGGCGCAGCGGTCGCGCAGGAACTCGGGCGACCGGTGGAAGGCGCCGAAGCGGCGGATGTCCACGCCCCAGACGTCCCTCGACGGCTTCCCGTCGACGATCCACTCGCTCAGCGTCTGGCCGACGCCCGCGGCGTTCGCGATGCCCGCCGAGTTGAGCCCGGCGGCCACGAAGAAGTTCGAGACCTCGGGCGCCTCGCCCAGGATGTAATTGTTGTCTGGGGTGAACGCCTCGGGCCCGTTGAGGAACGACGTGATCTCCGCGTCCTCGAGCTTGGGCACGCGCTGGGTCGCGGGCTCGTAGACCGAAGAGTAAAAGTGCTCGAGGTCGTCGGGCAGAAGTCCGAAAGAAAAGTCCGAGGGCACCGCGCTCGTCCAGTCGCGCACGGGCCGCGCGTTCGGCTCGAAGCCGCCGACGAGGAGGCCCTCGCCCCACTCGCGGAAGTAGGTGAAGGAGTCGTTGTCGCGGTAAACCTGCGCCGAATCCGCGGTCTCGGGGGGTCCCGACCAAACTTTGAAATTCTCTAGCTCGGGCAAATCGAAGTCGATTCGGGTGATTTTTGGACGAATCGATTGCTCTCGTCGAGGTCTCGAAGCACAGCCGAAGCTCGTTTTTTTGTCACATTACTCTCACGTCGACGTCCATTGAAGTCGAGTTGAAGATTTGAGCTCGGCACGGGTGCTGGCCGGGAGCCCGGGGTGGACGCCCGGCATCTTGGCCGTCGTGCAGTAGAAGTGCTCGCAGCTGTGGAGCGGCACGTTCACGCCGGCCTTGCGCGCGACGTCGCGCGACCACTGGCCGCCGCAGAGCACGACCTTCTCCGCCGACATCCGGCGCCCGTCTTCCAGCGACACTCCGACGACGCGCTTGCGGCCCTGGTCGATGGACGCGAGCTGGAACTGGTCGACGGCGACGCCCTCGCAGATGTTGACGCCGCGCATGCGCGCGCCCTTGGCGAAGGCCATCGTGAGGTCCGTCGGCGACCTGCGAGATTTGACGGGGTCGGATTTCGTTTCCCGGCGAGATTCGACGAGGTCGGATTCCGTTTCCCGGCGAGATTTGCGCGAAATAAAACACTCCTCGACGCTGTCGGCGACCCGCTCCCGTCGCCGGGCAACCACAGGCCGCCGTGGAGGTCGTCCGTCTTGATGATCGTGTGGCCGTCGTGCGTCATCAGCGCGCCGCACTCGTCGGGCGTCAGCACCTCCGCCTCGAGGCCGTAGGACCGCGCGCGCGCCGAGTTGCGCTTGAGAAACTCCAAGCGCTCGCGCGTCGCCGCCGTCGTCAAGGAGCCGCACTGCTTGTAGCCCGTGTCGAGACCGGTTTCCAACTTCAGGGCCTCGTAGACGTCGGCCGCGGCCGCGGAGAGCTCCGTCTCGACCTTCGTCGCGCGCATCTGGCCCACGAGGCCGGCGGCGTGCCACGTCGTGCCGCTCGTCAGCTTGTGGCGCTCGAGGAGCACGACATCGTTCACGCCGCGCTGCGCGAGGTGGTAAGCTACCGACACCCCGATGATTCCGCCGCCGACGACGAGCACCTCGCACTTATCTGGCACCTCGGTGAGCGTCGCGTCGCTGCTGGAGAGCGCGCGGACGTTGCTGCCGGAGAGCGCGCGGCGCAGGAGCGGGCGGCCCAGTTTCATGCTGCGGAGTGCCATCTACGCAGTTACCTACAATACACGTGAGTTTTCGCTCTGCGCGTCAGCGGGACCGGGAGCGCTTCCCAAGTTTATGACGCTGGCGCGCGCGAGGTTCTCGCCGAAGCGAGCGAGCCAGAGGATTTCACAGGGCCACTTGCGCGAGTGTTGCCACATGCACGACGACGTCGGCGTCGGCGCGGCGAGTCGAGAAACCCGAGATAGAAACCCGCGAGCGCGCTTGGCCTCATTGCAGAGAAACGTGCCTTCAACCCAAAATTGTGCATTCATCCCTGCCCGATAGAGCACCGCTCCGGAGCTCCGCCGGCAGCGTAGATCTGGGATGGTAGCCGCTCCGCCGCCACCCCAGTAGAATCGCCATGCGGCGCTAGCGGTCCGGATGGGGATCGTTGCGCGCGGGAAAAGGCGGAGAGAACGGCTGCGCCTCGCCGTCCTCGCCGCGCTGGCCGCAACCGGCGCGGCGCAGGATGACTGCGCCTTCGCGGAGCACGTCGTGTCGAACGCGGTGACGGACGTCCAGTCGGTCGTCGCCGTCGACGTGGACGGCGACGCGGACGTCGACCTCGTCGTAGGCCGGCGCTCAGCCGTCGAACAGGTCGACTACTCGCTACAGTGGTTCGAGAACGACGGGGCGCAGTCCTACACCGACCGTGTGGTCACGGCGATCAATTCCGTCCGCGCCGTCGCGGCGGGCGACCTCGACGGCGACGGCGACGTGGACCTGTTCGCGGGCATCTTCGAGGACGACGCCGTCGCCTGGTACCGGAACGACGGGGCTGAGTTTTTTGCCGGCGTCCGCGGTGACGCGACTTACGTTCACTCCGGCTCCGCAGGTCCTTCACGGAGCTCGTGATCACGGCCGCCGCGGACGCGCCGCGCGACGTGCTGGTCGCCGACGTGAACGGCGACGCCGCGCTGGACGTCGTCGTCGCGTCCTACGGCGACGACAACGTCGTCTGGTGCGAGAACGACGGCTTCGAGTCCTTCACCGAGCGCGTCGTCTCGTCGCTCGTCGGCGGCGCGAACGCGGCCTTCGCGGCGGACGTCGACGGCGACGGCGACGTCGACCTCGTCGCCACCGCCTACCTCGACGAGAACCTCCTCTGGTTCGAGAACGACGGCTCCGAGTCCTTCGCCGGCGTCCCACAAAAGCAGACTCCTCACTCCGGCTCCTCACTCCGGCTCCTTACTTTCACTCCGGCTCCTCAGGTTCTTCACGGAGCGCGTCATCGCCGTCCAGGGCGCGTTCTCCGCCGTCGCGGTCGACGTCGACGGCGACGGCGACGTCGACGTCGTCGCGGGCGAGAGAGACGAGGACACGGTCGCGTGGTACGAGAACGACGGGTCCCAGTCCTTCACCAACAACGAGCTCACGCAGAGCTTGCTCGAGCCCTTCTCCGTCTCCGCCGCGGACATCGACGGCGACGGCCAGGTCGACGTGCTCGCCGCGGCGGCCACCGACAACGCCGTCAAATACTTTGAGAACGACGGCGCCGCCTCATTCACGGAATACGCGGTGACGACGACGGCGACCGAGGCGCGGAGCGTCGGCGCGGCCGACGTCGACGGCGACGGCGACCTCGACGTCGTCGTCGGCGCCTACGGCGACGGCGTCGCCGCGTGGTACGAGACGAGGCAGTGCGACCCGGCGTGCACGGCCGCGAACTTCATGGAGTACGTGATCTCGAACGCCGCGATGGGCGCCTCGTCCGTCTACGCGGCAGACGTCGACGGCGACGGCCTCGTGGACGTCCTGTCGGCGTCCGAGGACGACGACAGCGTCAACTGGTACGACGGCAGCGCGGGCTTCGCGGAGACAACCATCAGCGCGTCGTCGTCCGGCGCGCGGTCCGTCTTCGCGATCGACGTCGACGGCGACGGCGACGTCGACGTCCTGGCGGCGTCCGACGACGACGACACGGTCGCCTGGTTCGAGGGCGAGGCGTCGACTGACGACACCACTATAAACTTCTCGACGCGCGACATCACCAACTCGGCGGTCAACGCCATGCGCGTCTACGCGATCGACGTCGACGGCGACGGCGACGTCGACGCGCTCTCGGCGGCCCAGGGAGACGGGTCCGGGACCAACGACGAGGTCTCCTGGTACGAGAACGACGGCTCCCAGTCCTTCACCAAGCGCATCATCGACGACGACGCGTCGCACGCCTACGCCGTCTTCGCGATCGACGTCGACGGCGACGCGGACGTCGACGCGCTCTCCGCGGCGCAGTTCAGCAACGAGCTGCCCTGGTACGAGAACGACGGGTCCCAGTCCTTCGCCGAGCGTGAAACCATGAGCGAGTTTGACCAACTTGAAAAAGCAAATCGGCTGATTTTTGGACGACACGTGTCTGTGGCCCGACAAACACTCCGAATCCACAGGTCCTTTACGAAGCACACCATCACCACCATCGGCGACCAGTCGAAGCTCGACGTCTACGCGGTCGACCTCGACGGCGACGGCGACGTCGACGTGCTCTCCGCGGACTTCGACGACCCCGCGGTCTACTGGTACGAGAACGACGGGTCCCAGAGCTTCACCGACAAAATCATCGCGACGAACGTCTACGGCGCCTGGGCCGTCTTCGCGACGGACGTCGACGGCGACGGCGACGTCGACGCGATGGTCGCGGCCAACACCGCCGACACGATCGCGTGGTACGAGAACGACGGGACCCAGTCCGTTACCGGAGTCGTCGCACTTTTCTTCCTCCATCACTGCGGATCCACAGGTCCTTCACGGAGCACGTCCTGACGACGCTCGCCGACGGCGCCACCTCCATCTACGCGGCGGACCTCGACGGCGACGGCGACGTCGACCTCGTCTCCGCGGCGTCGACCCTCGACACCGTCGCCTGGTGGGCCAACGACTGCTACGTCGAGCCGCCGACGCCCGCGCCGACGCCGCGGCCGACGGTCGCCTGCGAGTCCATCTCCATCACCACGGAACACGTGGTCGACGACGGCCTGGTCGACCTCGAGGACGCGTTCGCGGCCGACGTCGACGGCGACGGCGACGTCGACCTGCTGCAGGCGTCCTACGGCGTCCAGACGGTCGCGTGGTACGAGAACGACGGGTCGCAGTCCTTCACGTCGCGTTTCATCGGGGCTTTCACCGCCGGCGCCGTTTCCGTCGTCGCCCTCGACGTCGACGGCGACGGCGACGTCGACGCGCTGGCGGGAGTCGCCGGGGAGGATCTGGTGGAATGGTGGGAGAACGACGGCTCCCAGTCCTTCAGCGGGCACCTCATCTCGGTCTCGTCCGAGGACGTCATGTGCGTCTTCGCCGCCGACGTCGACGGCGACGGCGACGAGGACGTCCTGTCGGCGTCCGAATACGACGACACGGTCGCGTGGTTCGAGAACGACGGCTCCGCGTCCTTCAACGAGCACCTCATCTCGACGCTCGTCAACGAGGCCAACTCCGTCTTCGCCATCGACGTCGACGGCGACGGCGACGTCGACGTGCTGGCCAGCTCCGGCAACGACAACTTCGTCGCGTGGTACGAGAACGACGGCGCCGAGGCCTTCTCGGACCGCGTCGTCACGCACGCGGCGGACCGCTTCGCCTTCGCGATCGACCTCGACGGCGACGGCGACGTCGACGCGCTGGCCGCGTCCTACGACATACCGCGGGTCGCGTGGTATGAGAACGACGGCTCCCAGTCCTTCACGGAGCGCGTCCTGTCGACGTCGCTGGCGGACGCCCGCGTGTTTGCGATGGACCTCAACGGCGACGGCGACCTGGACGTCGGGGCGGGGTCGTCGAGCGACGGCACGGTGATGCTCTTCGACAACGACGGGGCCGAGTCCTTCACTTCTTTCCCCGCGAGCGTCGGCGACGGCGTCGAGGCCATCTCCGGCGTAGACGTCGACGGCGACGGCGACGTCGACATCCTGCTGGCCCTCTCCGGGTCCCCGTACAGCAACCTCCAGTGGCGCGAGAACGCCTGCGAGACGTCCGCGCCGACGGCGTCAAAAACGCCGACGGCGACGCCGACGGCCTCGCCCATCCCGACGGTGACTTCGACGCCGACCGGCGCTCCGACGCCGCGGCCCACGGTGAATTGCGGCGACGCGAACTTCACGACGCCGCACATCATCACGACGCTCGCGGACTGGGCCCAGTCCGTCTTCGCGATCGACGTCGACGGCGACGGCGACGTCGACGTCCTGTCGGCGTCCGAGTCGGACGACACGGTGGCCTGGTACGAGAACGACGGCGCCCAGGCGTTCGCGCAGCGCCTCGTCACGACGCTCGCGGACGGCGGCGAGTGCGTCTACGCGATCGACGTCGACGGTGACGGCGACGTCGACGTGCTCTCGGCGTCCGACGAGGACGACACGGTGGCCTGGTACGAGAACGACGGGGCCCAGTCTGCTACCGGCGTCGTCGCACTTTTGTTCCTCCATCACTCCCGATCCACAGGTCCTTCACGGAGCGCGTCGTCACGTCGCTCGCCGACGGCGCCGTGTCCGTCTTCGCCGCCGACGTCGACGGCGACGGCGACGCGGACGTCCTGTCGGCGTCCTACTGGGACGACACGGTCGCGTGGTACGAGAACGACGGCTCCCAATCCTTCACGGGACGCATCGTCAGCACGCTCGCGGATAGCGCCGTCTTCGTCCGCGCGGCCGACGTCGACGGCGACGGCGGCGTCGACGTCGTCTCGGTGACCAACTGGGACGACACGTTCGCCTGGTACGAGAACGACGGGGCCCAGTCTGGTACCGGAGTCTTCGCAATGTTCTTCCTCCATCACTCCGGATCCACAGGTCCTTCACGGAGCGCGTCGTCACCACGCTCGCGGACGACGGCTCCTCCGCCAGCGTCGCGGACGTCGACGGCGACGGCGACGTCGACCTCGCGCTCACGACCAACACCGCCGACACGCTGGCCTGGTACGAGAACGACGGGGCGCAGTCCTTCTCCGAGCGGCTCGTCGCGAACGTCGTCAACGCGAAGTCCGTCGTCGTCGCCGACGGCGACGGCGACGGCGACGTCGACCTCTTCGTGGCCAGCGCTGGCGCGGTCGCCTGGTACGAGAACGACGGGTCCGAGTCCTTCGCCGCGCACACCATGGACGCGAGCCCGGCTGGCTTCTACTCGGTCTTCGCCATCGACGTCGACGGCGACGGAGACAGCGACGCGCTGACGGCGTCGACGACCTTCGACACGGTCGCGTGGTACGAGAACGCCTGCGAGCCAGCCCCGGTTCCGACGACCTTCTGCACGGCCGTCGCCTTTTCTACCCGAATCGTCACGACGCTGGCGGACAACGCCCGCAGCGTCTTCGCGATCGACGTCGACGGCGACGGCGACGTGGACGTCCTGTCGGCGTCCAAAGCGGACCACACGGTCGCGTGGTACGAGAACGACGGGTCCCAATCCTTCACGGAGCGCGTCGTCGAGGCGAACGCGGAATTTGCCTGGTCCGTCTACGCGATCGACGGCGACGGCGACGGCGACGTCGACGTCCTTTCGGCGTCCTACCAAGACGACACGATCGCGTGCTACGAGAACGACGGGGCCCAGTCTGGTACCAGAGCCTTCGCATTTTTGTTCCTCCATCACTCCCGATCCACAGGTCCTTCACGGAGCACGTCCTGACGACGCTCGCCGACGGCGCCCTGTCCGTCTTCGCCGCCGACGTCGACGACGACGGCGACGTGGACGTCCTGTCGGCGTCCTCCTCCGACGACACGGTGGCCTGGTTCGAGAACGACGGCTCCCAATCCTTCGCGGAACGCGTCATCTCAGACTCGGCGAACGGCGCTCGATGCGTCTACGCGACCGACGTCGACGGCGACGGCGACGTCGACGCTCTCGCGGCCGCCTACGACGGCAACTACGTCGCCTGGTACGAGAACGACGGGTCGCAGTCGTTCTCGGGGCTCACCGTCGCGTCCCCCGCGGTCGGCGCCATGTCGCTAAGCCCCGCGGACGTCGACGGGGACGGCGACGTCGACGTCGCCGTCGCGGCCGATACGGGCAATCTGCTGGCCTGGTACGAGAACGACGGGGGTCACTACGTCTTCACCCAGCGGCTCGTCAAGTACGTCAACAACGCCTACGCCGTCTCCGCCGTCGACGTCGACGGCGACGGCGACGTCGACGTCCTGGCGGCGTCCTACGGCGACCACACGGTCGCGTGGTACGAGAACGACGGGTCGCAGTCCTTCACGGAGACCATCATCACCGCCACGGCGGAGGCCGCCCAGGCCGTCTACGCGATCGAAGTTGACGGCGACGGCGACGTCGACGCGCTCTCGGCGTCGAGCAACGACGACACGGTCGCGTGGTACGAGAACGCCTGCTCGACGCTCGCGCCCAGCGCGTCGCCGTCCGCGAGCCTCCCGCCGACGGCCACGCCGGCGCCGACGACCTACTTCTTCGAGTCGACGCTCCGCGCGTACTACACCTTCGACGACGGGAACGCGACGGACGCGCTCGGCCGCTACAACGGGACGTCGTGGAAGGCCGGCATCGAGACGAAGCTCGAGGCCGTCGCCGGCCGCGACGGCACGGACGCCGTCGCCTTCGACGGCGCCGTCGTCCTCGAGTTCCCCCAGGCGCTCACGTCCGCGAACTGGCTCACGCAAACGTCGCTCGCGGGGACCCACGAGCGCACGATCTGCCTCTGGGCGCGCGTCGACGCCTGGGACGGCGGCTACCTCTTCGAGTACGGCGGCACCGGCCACGACGGGGCGTCCTTCGGCCTCAAGACGGCGCCGGGCTCCGAGGAGGGCAACGTGACGCTCGCGCTCCAGGGCGTCTACGAGACGACCGTCGACATCGAGGGCGACGGCGCGGCCATCGACTGGGCCGACTGGCACCACTACTGCGTGAGCTTCGGCGGGACGACGGTCACGCTCTCCTTCGACGGCCTCGCCGAGGCCGCCGTGGACGTGTTCCTCGACACGGAGGAGGCTTACCACCTCCGCCTCGGCGCGGACATCTTCCTCAACAACCACTTCACGGGCGCCCTCGACGAGCTCTACGTCTACGCGAGCGTCCTCGACGCGGCGGAGGTCGCCGTGCTCTACCAGGCGCTCGTCGCGCCGTCCGCCGCGCCGTCGCCCGCGCCGACGCGCGCGCCGACGGCGCCGCCGCCGCTCGTCGCCTACTACTCCTTCGACGGCGACAGCGCCAAGGACGACTTCGACGGCGACGGCGCGGGCACGATGGACGGGTCCATCACCGGCGCGACGGCGACGGCGGGCCCCTACGGCGGCGACGCGCTGTACTTCGACGGCGGCAACCGCTACGTGTCGTTCCCTCCCGACGTCACGGCGCACATCCTGGGGGCCAGCGAGCGCACGGTGTGCTGCTGGGCGGCCATCGACGCCTTCGACGAGGGCGCGCTCTTCTCCTACGGCGGCGGCGCCGACGGCCGCGAGTTCGGCCTCATGGCGCCGACGTCGCCGGGCGAGATCCGCTTCCAGGGCTTCGGCGGCGCCTACGACTACCAGGTCGAGCTCGCCGGCATGGACGACGGCAGCTGGCACCACTACTGCCTCGCCTACGACGGCGCCGCGTGGTCCATCTACTACGACGGGCTCATCGCCGAGACCGTGACCGCCGCGCTCGACACGAGCGCGGACTACGACTTCGCCGTCGGCAACCGCGACATCAAGGACGGCCAGTACGCGCTGACGGGCTCCGTCGACGAGGTCTACGTCTACCGGGTCGTCCTGGGCGCGGGCGAGGTCCTGGACCTCTACGACGCCGTGACGGGCGCGCCGACCATGACGTGGCCGCCGACGACGGTCGTCCCGAGCCTCGCGCCGAGCCTCCTGCCGGCGCCCGTACCGACGCCCGGAGCCGACGCCCGTACCGACGCCGGGGCCGACGCCCGTACCGACGCCGGGGCCGACGCCCGTACCGACGCCGCGGCCGACGCCGCGGCCGACGCCGCAACCGACGACGTCCGCGCCGAGCGCGCCGCCGAGCGCGCCCCCGACGCCGGAACCGTCGGCGTGCCCGACGACCTCGAACCCGCGCCGCCGCCGCGTCTCTGGAAACCCGGCGGAGAAGAAACGCGTCCTTGTAGGTCCTACGGGCCGACCACGCCACCGACGGCGGAGCCCGCGGCGGGTCCGACGCCCGAACCGACGCCCGAACCGACGCCCGAACCGACGCCCGAGCCGGTCCCCGTGCCGACGCCCGAGCCGAGCCCCGAGCCGACACCGGCACCGATCAGTCCGTCGGCGGCGCCGAGCGCGGCGCCGTCGCTCGCGCCAACGACGACGAGTCCGTCGGCGGCGCCGAGCGCGGCGCCGTCGCTCGCCCCGACGACGCCGCGCCGTCGCTCGCGCCGACGACGCCGAGTCCGTCGGCGGCGCCGAGCGCGGCGCCGTCGCTCGCGCCGACGACGACGAGTCCGTCGGCGGCGCCGAGCGCCGCGCCGTCGCTCGCGCCGTCGACGTCCGCGCCCAGCCTCGCGCTCGCGCCGACGCCCGCGCCGTCGCTCGCGCCGACGACGTCCGCGCCGACGCTCGCGCCGAGCGTCGCGCCCACCGCCGCGCCGTACCAGAGCTGCCCCGAGTCGCACCCGCTCCTCCTGCGGCGCCGGTTCCTGCCGGACGGCGCGAGCTGGGACGGCGTCACCGCGACCTTCACCCTCGACGAGGGCGACGGCGCGACGACCGTCGGCGCGGAGAGCGGCGCGCGGGACGACGTCCAGTACGAGTGCGTGCTCGACACGTACAACTGCTGGGACATCACGTACGAGTACGACGCCGACGACAGCTCGCGCAGCGTCGCGGTGTCCACGGTGGACGGGGACGCGATCGTCGTCCTCCTCGACGGGCGCACGCACTACTCGTTCTGCATCATCGACGGCGCCATCGTCCGCGAGCCGACGGCCGCGCCGACCGCGACGCCCGCGCCGAGCACGCGGCCGACCTACGCGCCGACCGCCTGCCCGAGCGTCGAGCCGTCGAACGCGCCGAGTACGTGCCCTTCCTACGTGCCGACCGCGGGCCCGACGCCGGAGTCGTCGTCCGCAGTCGAGCCGACGTCCGCGCCGGCGGCGCTCGCGCCGCGCCCGACGGCCTCCGGCGGCTACGTCGTCGGCTTCGGGGCGACGTTCGCGGGCCTCACGGTCGCGGACGCGGAGGCCTACAAGGACATCTTCCGGCAGGCGGTCGCGAACATCGTCGGCGTCTCGACGGAGTCGGTCTCCGTCGACTTTTCGTCGTCGAACCGCGACTACGGCTACGGCTACGGCTACGGCGATGACGGCTATGGCTACGGCGATGACGGCTACGGCTACGGCGATGACGGCTACGGCTACGGCTACGGAGGCTACGCCTACGGCGATGACGGCTACGGCTACGGCGACGACGGCGACGGCTACGGCGATGACGGCTACGGCTACGGCGATGACGGCTACGGCTATGGCTACGGAGGCTACGCCTACGGCGATGACGGCTACGGCTACGGCGATGACGGCTACGGCTACGACGACGCTCAGTACGGCGGCGACGACTACTCGATCGACGACTACTCGACGGACGACTACTACACGCCCAGCGATGACTACTCGACGGACGACGTCTCGACGGATGACTACACGCCCAGCGATGATTACTCGACGGACGACGTCTCGACGGACGACTACTCGACGGACGACGTCTCGACGGACGACTACACGCCCGGCGATGATTACTCGACGGACGACGTCTCCACGCCGACGGACGACTACTCGACGGATGACTATTCGACCGACGACTATTCGACCGACGACAACAATCCGTCGTACGCCTACGGCGATGACGGCTACGGCTACGGCTATTCAGCCTACGGCTACGGCTATTCAGCCTACGGCTACGGCTATTCAGCCTACGGCTACGGCTATTCAGCCTACGGCTATGGCGGCTACGGCTACGGCGACGATGGCGGCTACGGCTACGGCTACGGCTACGGGCGGCGTCAGCTCGAGGACGGCGCGTCCGTCGAAGCGAGCTTCGAGATCGCCGTCGAAAGCTCGGACGACGCCGAGGAGGTCCAAGGCGGCGTCGATGCGATAACCCCTTCGGACCTCGACGTGGCCGTCACGGAAGCCGCCGCCGACGACGACGCCGCGGCGGACGCGCTCAGCGAGGTGGCCACGACAGACCTCGAGGAGTCGACCGTCGTCGTCGTCGAGGCCGTCGACTACTACTATTACGACCACTACTACAACCTCGGCGGCTACGGCTATGGCGGCTACGGCTATGACGGCTACGGCTACGGCTACGGCTATGACGGAGTCGATTACGGCTACGAGACCGGCGCGTACGGTGACAATTTTTACAGTTACGAGTATTACGGGGACGCATACGGCGACGAGGTTGCATACGGCGACGACGAACCGACGGCCGTGCCCACGCTGTATCCCTCCCACTACTACTACGAGGAGTCCGGGGACGTTTACGGCAACGACGTCGATTACGGCTACCAGACCGGGGACTACAGCTACGCCGCGGAGGAACCGACGGCAGGGGACGTGTACGGCAACGACGTCGATTACGGCTACCAGACCGGGGACTACAGCTACGCCGTCGGTTCCTCCGTGCCCACGCGGTTTCCATCTTTCAATCCGTCCTTCAATCCGTCCTTCAATCCGTCCTTCAATCCGTCCTTCAATCCGTCGCTGAATCCGTCGTTCTCTCCGTCGCTCCATCCCACGACGGCCGTGCCGTCCGCGACGCCGACGTCCGCCGCGCCCACCGCCTACCCGTCGCCCGAATGTCCCGAGTCGTACCCGATCCTCGTGCGCCGGCGCTTCTTGCCGGACGGCGCGAGCTGGGACGGCGTCACCGTGACCTTCACCCTCGACGAGGACGGCACGACGATCCTCGGGTCGGAGAGCGGCGCGCGGGCCGACGTCGAGTACACCTGCGTGCTGGACACGAGCAACTGCTGGAGCGCGAACTACGAGTACGACACCGCGGACGGCTCGCGCAGCATCGAGGTGTCCACGGCGGACGGCGACGCGATCGTCACTCTCCTCGACGGCCGGACGCACTACTCGTTCTGCATCGTCGACGGCGCGATCGTCCGCGCGCCGACGGCCCCGCCGACCACGTCCGTCCCGCCGTCGGCGGCGCCGTCCAGCTGCCCCAGCGCGACTCCGTCGGCCGCGCCGACGACGGCCGCGCCGACGGCCGCGCCGACGGCCGCGCCGAGTGCGGCGCCAAGCTCGGGTCCCAGCTCGGGTCCCAGCGCGGCGCCGACGTCCGCGCCGACGGCCGCGCCGAGCCCCGCTCCCAGCGCTGCGCCATCGTCATCGCCGACCGCGAAACCGTCCCGAAGCCCCTCGCCGTCCCCGTCGACGTCGCCGACCAAGCGGCCGACCGTGCAGCGCGGGTCGCCGACGCTCGCCCCCCTCGCCCCCTCGCCGGCGCCGACCCTCGTCCCCACGTCGTCGTCGCCGAGCGCGGCGCCGACGCCCGTGCCCTGCGACGAGGTCGACGGCGTCCCCGCGCCGCCGACGCTCGAGTCCGCGACGTTCACGGACACGGGCGCGGAGGTCGCCGTGCGCCTCGACGCGCCGAGCGACCGCGGCGGCGCCGCGGCGGGCGTCGCGTTCCCCTGCGACGAGCTCCTCGAGTTCCCGGGCGCGAACGCGTCCGTCTGCGAGTGGATCGACGCCGCGCGCGTCGACGCGCTCGTGAGCGGCGCGGCGCTCCTCCCCGGCGACGAGCTCACGGTCAGGGGCGGCCTCCTGGCCCCGGCCTGCGAGGCCGGCGCCCGCTGCGACTGCTACGCGACGGCGAACGCGTCGTCCGCGGCCGTCGCCGCGCCGGAGACGCCGCTCGTGCCCGAGGCCGTGCTCCAGGGCCCCGACGTCGCCGCGGTCTGCGAGGCCGCGGGCCTCGTCATCGACGCGGAGCAGTCGACGGGCGGCGGCGGCCGGCCCTTGGCCTACGCCTGGAACGCGTCCGGCGCCGCGCGGCGCCGCGCCGGTTCTGCCGCGGCGGCGGCCGCCGCGCGGGCCGCGCTCGACAGCGCGGCCGCGGCGGCCGCGGGGGGCCGCCTCGAGCTGTCGAGCGCGGCGCTCGAGGCCGTCCACGCCGCGGGCTTCGGGCGCGTCGACGTGTCCGTGGCGCTGACGAACTTCCTCGGGGGCTCCGCGGTCTCCGACGTCCACTCGACGGCGCTCACGATCGCCGCGGTGCCGACGGTCGTCGTCGTCGGCGGGTCGTCCCAGGCCGTGGCGCCCGGCGCCGAGGCCAACGTCGAGGCCATCGGCTACGCGACGACCTGCGACGGGCGGTCCAGCGCGGACCGCGGCGTGTCCTACGCGTGGGCGCTCTTCGACGCGAACGGCGACGACACGGGGCTCGCGTCCGCGGCGAAGAACGAGCGCTACTTCAAGCTCGCGCCCTACGCGCTGACCGCGGGGTCGACCTACGGCCTCGTCGTCGCGGTCTTCGACGCGGTCAACGGCTACAACAGCACCGCGCGCGCGACGCTGTCGCCGGCCGTCGGCGCCGTCGTCGCCGCGGTCGCGGGCGGCCACCGGACCGTGCCCCAGGCGTCGACCTTGGTCGCCGACGCCTCGGCGAGCTACGACGAGTCGGACCCGGACGCGGTCCTCGCCTACGCCTGGTCCTGCGACGCGAACGCGTCCGCGGCGGGCGCGTGCGACCGCGCGATGTCCAACGCGGACGCGGCCGGCGCGCGGCTCGTCGTCGACGCGGCGGCCCTCACCGTCGGCGCCCTCGTCCTCGAGGTCACGGTGACGTCCGCGGGGGACAACCGCTCCGACGCGGCCGTCGTCGCCTACGACGTCCTCGCGTCGGACCCGCCGGCCGTCGCGGTCTCCGCGGACGCCGTGGCCAACGCGGCGCTCAAGCTCACGCTCCGGGGCGCCGTCGCCGACGAGGGCGGGCTCCGCCGGGGCCGCGTCGTCAACGCGACCTGGTCCCTCGTCGCGGGCGCCCTCGCCGGCGGCGCGGCCCTCGGCGACGCCGCGCGGACGCGGCTCGCCGCGGCGTGGGCGGCCGGCGCGGACGCGGCGGCGCACGACCTCGTGCTGCCCCCGCACGCCCTCGTCGCCGGCGCGACCTACGCCTTCCGCCTCGAGGCCGCCTTCGCCGACGACGCGGCCGCCGTCGGCGCCGCGGAGGTTGTGGTGGCCGTCGCGACCCCGCCGCGCGCGGGCGTCCTAAACGTCGCGCCGGCGGCGGGCGTCGCGCTCACGACGCTCTTCGAGCTCACGGCGAGCCTCTGGGTCGCCGACGCGCCGCCGCTGCGCTACCGCTTCCGCGCCGCCGACGACTTGTTGAGCGCGTACGCGCTCGAGCCGGCGCTCGCGGGCGCGCTGCTCCCCGCGGGCGCCGCGGCCGTCTACGGCGACGCGCGCGACGCGCTCGGCGCCGTCGCGACGGCCGAGGCGCCCGTTTTTGTCGAGGCGACGGCCCTCGCCGGCGCGGCGCTCGCGAACGCGACGGCGGCGGCGCTGGGCGACGCGTTCGCGTTCGACTCGCTCGACGGCGTCTGCATGGCTGTCGCCGCGGCCGCGGGCGCCGCGGCGAACGACAGCGCCGTGCTCGGCGATCTGGTCGACGCCATGGCGCGGGCGACGGGCGACTACGTGGACGCGGGCGACCGGGGGCTCGTGGAGCAGGCGCTCGTGGCGCTGGCGGCGCCCGTCAACGCCGCGCCGAGAGTGTTGGGCGAGGCGTCCGCGCGGACGGCCCTGGGCCTCGTCGCGGGCCTCGCCGACGCGTTGGAGGCCGGGGGCCTGGGCGGGGGCGTCACGGCGTCGCCGGAGGCGACCGCGGCCATCTTCTCCGCGCTCCTGGGCTCCGCGCTCTTCGCCCGCGGCAACGCGTCGGACGCGACCGTGCTCATGGCCGCCGTCGACGCGCTCGCCGCGGCGCAGACGGCGACGCTCGTCGCGGACGAGGACGCCGTGGGCACGAACGCGTCCGCCTACAAGTCGTCGAACCGCGTCGCGTCCGGCGCCGCGGCGCTGACCGCGGGCCGGTCGTCCGCGGCCGCGACCGTCGGCGCCGCGGCCGCGCTGTCCGAGTTCGCGGCGGACCCGCACACGCCGGGCAGCGGCAACGTCGTCGTGCGCTACGCCGCGGACGGCGCCGCCGCCGCGACGCTGTCCATCCCCGTCGACGCGCGGCCGGAGCGCCGCCGCCTGGAGGCCGGCGCGAACGCGACGCTCCGGCTGAGCTGCCCCTGGGGCTTCTACGGCAACGTGAGCGGCGCCTGCGACGACGGCGAGGTCTTCGCCTTCGCCTGCGACGGCGACCGCGTGGACTACGACGTCGACTGCGCCGAATACGACGGCGCGGGCTGCGGCGTCTGGGACGACGGCGCGGGCGCCTGGGACGACGCGAGCTGCGCGGTCGTCGAAGACGCGTCCGGCGCCGTGACCTGCGCCTGCAACGTCACGGCGGACGGCGACGACTACGGCGCCGTCGAGCGCTACACGCTGGCGGAGGCCTACGCGAACGAGTTCTTAGGCGAGATCAACTTCGCGCGGTCGCTCTACATGTTCGTCTGCCTCTCCGTGCTCCTCGGCGGCGCGGCGCTCCTCGCGTTGTCGGGCGCGGTCATGGACGTGCGGTCGGCGAAGCGCCGCGAGGCCGCGGCGCGCAAGGCCATGTACCGCCTGTCGCGGCGGACGCCTGTGTGGAATTCAACCACTGGTTCGGGGGGGCCCCACCAAACTTCAGAAGTCTCTCGCTCGGTCGAATCGACGTCGATTCGGCTGATTTTTGGACGAATCGATTGCTCTCGTCGAGTTCTCGAAGCACAGCCGAAGAGCTTGCGTCGAAACTGTCGCATGTGCGCACATTGAAGTCGGGTTGAAGATTTGAATTCCACGCAGGCGGACGCTCGCGCCCACGTTCGACGAAACGAGAATCGAGGCCTTCGCCGAGGAGACCCTGGGGTCCTACGACGGGTCCCTGCGGACGATCTGAAAGGCGCTCTGCCACGAGCACGTGCTGTTGTCCATCCCGATGCGCTACGACCCGCTGAAGCCGCGCGTCGTCCGCTGGTTCGTCATCGGCTTTCTGACGCACGTGCTCCTCGCGGAGCTGGCCTTCGCCCTCGTCATCTCCTCGCCGGACCCGGGCTGCAGCAACCAGGAGGCGCGGGAGCCCTGCGAGGCCCTCGAGTACAACCTGGACGCGTCGCGGGCCTGCGGCTGGGACGAGGGCTCGGGCGAGTGCTACGCGCGCGAGCCCGACGGCCAGTTCACGCTGAACCACATCATCGTCGTCACGGCCTGCCTCATGCTCTTCGAGCCCGTGCGCAAGTACGTCGACGACGTGAGCTCCGAGGTGCTCTGCCGCTGGCGCGACCTCGAGCCGTGGGGCGGAGAGCGCGTCCGCGACGCCGGCAGCGGCGCGCCGCCCGTCGCGGACTGGCGCGAGACCGAGGCGGGCCGCCCCGCGGCGGCGGACGGCGACGGCGACCACCTCCTCTTCGACGACGAGCCCTGGGACGTCCACGCGGACGGCGCGAACGTCGTCATCGACTTCGCCGAGGCCGAGGCCCCGGCGCCCGCGCCCGCGGCGGCCCCGCCCGCGCCCGAGGCACCCGTGGCGGCCCCGGCGGCCCCGGCGTTCGCCGCGCTCTCGGACGCGCTCGCGGACGCGCCGCCGCCCGCGCCCGCGGTCGCGCTCCGCGTCGTGCGGCGCGCGCCGTCCGCGGCCGCGGCCGCGCCCGCCGAGGCGCCCGCCGCCGCGCCCGCCGCCTCGCCGCCGCCGCCGCCGCCGGGGTCCCCGGAGAGCCCCGCGGTCGCGATCCGCGTCGTGCGGCGGCCCGGCGACTCGCCCGGCGGCGGCTCCGCCGCGATGCTCAAGCTCGACCTCGACGGCGCGCGGTACTCGCCGCCCGCGTCGCCGTCGTCGCCGTCGTCGCCCGCGTCGTCGACGCGAGGCCGCAGGAGCCCGGCCCGCTCCAAGGCGAAGCGCGCGTCCGAGCTCTACCACACGCTGACGCACAAGAGCAGCTCGCGGTCGCGGCGGACGAGCGACGTGTCGCTGCCCGACCCGTCGCTCCTCGACGACGGCGGCGGCGACTCGGACGGCGACAGCTCCGACGACGAGTCGATCCAGCTCCTCGACGCGGCCCAGGCGGCGGCCTGCGTGCTGCGGCGCCGAGACGAGCTGCGCGAGGCGTCGCGCTTCGCCAAGGCCCGGGGCATGGGCCACGCGCGGCGGCGCCTCGCGGACATGGAGGCCAAGCTCCTGGAGAAGTGGGGCTTCAGCGAGGACCGGGACGCCTTCGAGGAGAACGTGGCGGCCGTGCTCAAGCGCCACGAGCGCGTCGCGCGGCGCTGGGTCGCGGCCGTGGACCGCATCGAGGGCGTGAGCCACGCGTACGAGCGCAAGGTCGCGCGCGTCGTCGCCTACGCGCGCACGGAGTGGCTCACGCGCCGCGAGTGGCGCATCTACCTGCGGGGCTACTACCAGGTCGGCGCGGACGTCGGCGGGTCCGCGTCCGAGACCGCCGCGCAGCGGCGCAAGCCCGTGCCGCGGCGCGCGTTCGTCCTGTCGTGGCTCGGCGCGCTCGGCGCCTACGCGCTGAGCTTCGCGTATTTGCTGCAGCGAGCGACGGCCTGGGGCCGGCGGCTGACGCTCGTGTGGATCGAGGACGCGCTCTTCTGCGTCTGGTTCGAGTACGCGGTGCTGGAGACGCTGCGCGTGCTGCTGACCTTCGTGGTGCTGCCCATGTTCCTGCAGCACCGCATGCGGTCCGCGGAGATGCGGAAGATGCGGCGCTTCCCGTTCTCCGAGCGGTTCTTGGACAGCCCCGTCGCGCGGGTGCTGGCCGCGCGGCCGGACCTCGCGCGGTCGAAGCACCTCGCGACGCGGTTCTACGACCGCGAGACCGTGCTCGACGACCTGGAGGCGCACGGGCCCGTGCTGGAGCGCTTCGTCAAGGCGCGCTACTCCATCTTCGTCGTCACCGCGGGCACGTTCCTGCTGATCCCCGAGTTCATGCAGGACGTCGTCTTCGCGGAGGTCTGCGACCTGTTGCCGTACCTGACGTCGAAGCTGCTGCGCGGCTTCATCGAGTTCGACTCCGTCGGCGGCCGCCGCCAGGGCAGCGGCGCCGCCGTCGTGTCCATCGCGCTCCTGGCCGTGCTGCTCTCCGTCTTCTTCGCGTTCAACCTCATCCGCTGGGTCGACGAGCGGATCCTCTGCACGACGACGCCGACGCCGGACGCCGCGCTCGACAAGGAGGAAACGGTCGCGCCGCTGCCGCGCCTCGAAATCGGGCCGCCGGAGGAGGCGGGCGCGGACCTCTTCGCCGCGCCGCGCGAGGTCGCGCCGCGCGACGACGCGGGGGCGCCCGCGCCCGGCGGCGACGCCCAGGACGTGCCCGACGACGGCGGCGACGTCGTCGCGGCCGCGGAAATCTAACGGTGAGGCATAATCAGAGTAGGGGGCGCAAAAAGAAGACGACGGAGGAGGGCGGGGCTCAGGCGGCGGCGTCGGGCGGTGGCAGCGCGCGCGCGGCGTCGTCCGCGACGTGGAGCTCGACGACGTCGGAGCTGATGGCGTCGCCGATGGCGGCGTAGGTCATGCTCGCGGCGTCGACGCCGCCGCCGACGAGCTCCTTGACGATGCCCGCGGCGAGCGTCACGGAGCCGCAGGCCGCGCCCACGGCGAAGACGGCCGCGACGGTCACGGTCGCCACGGGCACGAGCACGGCGCCCGACGCGATCTTGATGCAGCCGCGCGAGCACGACGCGCGCGCGTCGCCGCGCGGGCGCCGCGAGAACGCGGGCGTCGGTAGCGGCGGCGCGGCCGGCGGCGGCGCCGCGCGGTCCGCGGCGTCGCCCGCGCGCGGCGGCGGCGGCGGCGGCAGGCCCCGCGGCGGCGGCGGGCCGGCGACGGCCGCCGCCGACGCACTCGCCGGCGCGAGCGGCGCGGCCGGCGGCGGCGGCGCGACCTGCGGCGCGGAGCAGCCGCCGAGCGCGTCCCACGCGGGCGCCGCGGCGCCGGAGAGGGCGTCGGCGACGCCCGCGGCGACCTCGGCGCCGCCCGTCGCGACCTCGGCCAGCGAGCTCGCCGCGCCCCCGAGGACCGCGCCGACGGCGCCGACGGCGAACGCGCCGAGCATCAACGCGCCCGCTCCCGCGGGGCCGGACCGGAGCGCGCGCTCCGCGCCGGGGAGCACGTTGCCCTCGATCCAGCGCCGCCGCCGGGCCGCGGCGCCGTAGGCCGCGTCCGTGCGCACCTGGCGCTCGAAGGCCTCGCGGCAGCCGTCGCGGTCGAGGCACCGCTCGTCGCCGCAGTACGCGCACGAGAAGTAGTCGCGGCTCGCGGGGCTCCCGCGGCGCGCCACGGCCCAGTCGTAGATGCGCTCCCGCAGCGCGTCCTGGGGCTCCAGGGCCCCGTCCGCGAGCGCCGCGCCCGTCATCGGCGACGTCAGCCGCTGCGCGAACCAGCGCGTAATCGCGAGGCGCTCGTAGACGTGGCCGTCGCTCGCGCGCACGGGGTCGCGCATCATCGTGTAGGTGATGGGGCAGAACAGCTCGTCCGGCAGGTCGTCGTCGTCCTCGACGGGCGGCGCGGCGTCCTCGGCGGGCGGCGCGGCGGCGGTGGTGGAGTGTTGGGGGTTGGAGCCGGGCACGGGCTCGGGCCCGGCCTCGCACGCGTCGCCGAGGGTCGTGAGGATGGCGGCCCCTTCGAGGGCGCTGCCGTCGGGCGGCGGGGAGCCGGCGCCGCCCGCGCTCCCGCAGGCGCAGGCGCAGCTGGGCGGCTCCATGTCGTGGAGAGGCTGGTCCCAGGACTCCTGAGTGGCCTCAACATTGGCATCAACGATGCTTCAACATGCCGCTCTCCGCGGTGGCGTAGGCCGACCGCCCCCCTCGCTTCCCTCGCTTCCGCTTGGCGCATGCTTTACGCGGCGCGCTAGTCGTCCCAGCTCGGGACCTGGTCGTAGCGGTAGTCCGGCCATCGGCGGAACGCGCCCCACCTGCGCGCGGGCGCCGCGTCTCTTTCCGCGGCCGCGCGCGGCGCGGGCGCCGCCGGCGCGCAGGTTGAAGGCGGCGTAGCTGCCCGGCACGAAGGCTGCGCGGCGCGCGCGGCGGTCGGCGACGTGCGGACGCGCGCGCGCGCGGAGCGGGCGCGGTCGCCACGCACTCGTCATGCCGACCGCGAAGAGCGTGAACTGGTGGCCGGGCACCTGTGGGGCGCGTCGTAAGTGGGCGCACTGTGCGAGAGCGGCCGCGCCGGCGCGCGCCTTGGGCCCGATATCGTACCAACCCTCGACGAGGCCCGTGACGAGGAGCACGGTGCCGATCCTGCGCGCGCCGCGTCGCGCCGTCGCTTCGCGATTCGCGGACGCGGGAGCGGCGCGTCAGGAGGAACCCGGCAGCGAGCGCCGTCTTCGGCGGCGGCGGCGTCCGGGCGCGCTGCAGCCGCCGCAGCCACTGCGGCAGCCAGTATTTCCACTCCGGCCCGTCCAAGTTCACGCAGCCGTTCCCTCCGTCGAGCCAACGACGACCCATCGCAGCAGCGGGTGGAAGCAACTCGAGGACGGCGCAAGTGTCACGGCGCGTCGCGCGTTGAGTTGGCGCTCGCAGTGACTGCAGCGAGCACTGCCAGAGCAGTGATCGTGCCGTGGCAGAAATTCATAAATATATCTTTTTTTTATGGCCGCCGCGGGCATGGCCGTCCGCGCCGTCGTGGCTATCCTGCTCGGCGCAACGTGCGCCGCCGGCCTCGTCGCGCCGCGTTCGACGCATAAAACACTCCTGCGCTCGTCGTCGAACCCCGACTTCCTCGAGGACGGCCTCGGCGAGGCGTCGTCGTCGTTCGAAGCGCGCAAGCCCCTGCTGAGCCCGCTGGGAGGCGTGTCCGTATCCCCTAAGGGCTTCGTGGCGATCCTCGCGTCGCCCAAGGACGACGACCCGCAGCGCGCCCTGGCCGTGCAGATCCACCGCGGCGACGTCGACGCCGTCGTGTCGCCGACGGCGCTGACGCTCCTCCAGCTGCTCCAGGGCATCGACGTCGCGACGGCGACGCAGCTGCCGCCGGACGCGCTCGCGCGCGCGCTGGACGCCGAGGGCGGCGACGCGCCGCGGCTCGCCAAGGTGCGCGTCGTGCCCGCGGCGTCCGCGGCCGCGGCGCCGCCGCCGCCGCGGTGCGCCGCGTTCGAGGCCGCCGTCGGCGACGCGGCCGCGCGGCTCCGGGCGGCGCTCGAGTCGAAGCTCGGCGTCGCGGTCACGGAGGGCGCGGCGGCGGACCTGCTCCGCGCGCACGCGGACGACGCCTGCAAGCTCGACCTCGCGGCCTTCGGCGAGGTCACGGCCGCCGCGCGCAGGCTCGCGCTCCCCGTGGAGCGCGACGAGTCCGTCGCCTTCGTGCTCGTCGCCGAGGACGGCGCGACGGCGCCCGCGAGCCCCTTCCTCGGCCTCGCGCTCGCGCTCCGCCACAACGCGCCGCTCGACGTGCCGGCGGCGCTCTGGGACGAGCCGCGCGCCGTCGACGCGGCCGACCTCCTCGCGGAGCTGCCCGTGAAGCGCGCCGAGGACCTCGTCACGGACGGCGCGCGCCTCTCCGCGCACTTCGCGCAGATGTTCGACACGGCGTCCCGCGCCGCCGCGGGCGCGGAGCCGGGGGACGTGCGGGGGTCGGAGTAACGTCGCGGGAAAGCAGAGCGCGTGCCTTCCGCCGTGTCGGAATTTCTGGACCTTGCGCCGTCGCAACTCGACGCAAAAGCCTCTCTTTTAACACGCATTTCAGGCAAAGTGAAGGTGTGACGACCGATCAGAGCGCTGGCCACGACTCGGCTCGACTTCTGCTGCTGCCTCCAGTGCACGCGTTTGATGCTCCGCGCGAGCTTAGTCCTTGCCGGCGCGCGCGCCATGTCCACCGTCAAGGTCGGCGGCCCGGTGCCGGCCTTCAAGGCCGTGACGCACACCGGCGCCGCGGTCTCTTCCGAGTCGCTCGCCGGCACGAGCTACTGCTTGTGGTTCTACCCGCGCGCCGACACGGGCGGTTCGCTCCCAGCGTCGGCGCAACGCGCGCGTTCGCTTTCGCACACGCGCTCTCGCCCTCGCAGGCTGAACCGCGGAGGGCCTCGCGTTTACCGAGCTCTCGGACGCGTACGCGGCCAAGGGCGTGGCCATCTACGGCGTGAGCTGCGACACCGTGGACGCGAACGCGGCCTTCCACGAGAAGTTCGCCTTCTCGTTCCCGCTCCTCTGCGACCTCGACAAGAGCGTGACCAGGGCCTTCGACACGTGCAAGCCGTCCAAGGACGGCGCCGACCCCTGCGCGTCGTCCGCGCGGTCCGCCGTCGTGGTCGATGCTGCGGGCACCGTCGTTCGGCGCGAGAGTCCCTTCGACGCGCGCGAGGGGCCCGCGGCGCTCCTCGCGGCGCTCTAGCGCGACAAGGAGGCTCGACGAGGCCGCGCGCCGCCGCGCCATGACGGCCCGCCCGCGCACCTCCGCGGGCGGGCCCGACCAGCCGCCGCGCGCGACCTCGTTCGTAAACTGAGGCGCAAGAGTCTTAGAACCGCGCCGGCGGCCGCGCGTCGGCGGCCCCGAGCCGATGGGCTCTTCGGGGCCGCGTCATTGGCGGCGGCGGCGCGGTGGTCGTCTTCGCTCTCGTCGGCGGCGGCGGCGCGGTCTCCCTCTAGAGCGCGCCCGCGGCCTTGAGCCGCGCGTCGAGCTCGCCCTGCTTGTCGAGCGTGATGATGCCCGGGCCGTCGTTGCAGCCGCCGACGAAGTCGGACTGGATCCAGATCGCCGGCACGGACGTGCGGCCGACGAGGCCGCCGAGCTCGGCGCGCAGCGCCGGGCCGTCCGACACCTCATCAAGCTCGACGACCGTATATTTCGCGCCCTTCGCGTCGAGGAGCTGCTTCGCCTTGACGCAGAAGGGTCATCGCACGAAGGACAGCATGAGCACGGGCTCGCCGGCGATGAGGCCGTCGAGCTTCGCGCGCACCGCGACCTCGTCGTAGGGGCCCGCGAGCATCTTGACGACGGCCTTCTTGCCCTCGTTGAGCGGGCTGTTGGTCAGGAGGTTTTGAACCGTGTTCGCGATCTCCGCGTACCACACCTTCGTGGGATCCTCGGCGTGAAGCGCGCGCGCGCTGCTGGACGCGCGCGGCGCGACGAAGGCCTCGGCGGCGCCGGCGAGCAGCGCCAGTGCAAACACAAGACGGCGCAACATGCTGCTGAGTGGCTCTCAATCGGCACGTTGAACTAAGTTACTTGTCGAGGTCAAGTCTAAGCTTGAGCCTATCAGCGGCCAGCTCATTCTCGAGTTGGAAGAAGAAGGTGAGATTGTCGCGCTCCTTGCGAAGGCGCGTCAGCTCGTCGATGAGTTTCCCGGCCTCCTCCCGACAGCGCAAGCGCTCATCGCGGTCGCTCTCCGCGAGCTCCTCGAGCGCGCTGCGCATAGCCCTCCCATAGTCTTCGACGCTGGCGTGTCGCCATCCAGTCGATCCGGAGGCGCCCTCATGGCTCGGCGCGGCGGCCTCGCCGGCACCGCGCGCCGCCTCGTCGAGCTTGTCGAGGAGTCGGAGGACATGCCGCGCGCCGCTGGGGTCCGGATCATCAGAACTTCTGTCTAGGTCGTCGAGGCGGTCCTCGATGATCTTCATCGACGCCTCTGATGCCGCCGTCGCCGCTTCGTACTTCGCCTTCTTCTCGAGCAGCGTCTCATCTACGCGGTGACTCAGCTCACCGTTCGCCTCCAACACCCTCTGCCGCTCGGCCGCGCCGAGCTGCTCCGCGCCGCGATGTAGTTGTGTATTCAAGGCTCCTATCTCCGCACGCATCTGCTTCATTTGCTCCTCGGCGACGGGCGTGTAGCCGTTGGGAAGAAATTTCAGAGCGCGCGAGCCTCCAAGGTTGATGTCGACGAGACCGGCCCGCATCGACATCGCGGGAAAGTATTCGCTGTCGACGGAGATGGAGCGGAAGACGAACTCGTCGCATTTGCCGTTGACGGAGAAGCGGATCTCGCGGCCGTCGAGGTCGAGCATAAAGCCGACGGTGTCGCCGACCGACCAAAGTAGTGGCTTTGATTCTTCGTAACATTCCTCGGAATCGTGCAGGTAAAAGCGTCCGTCGCACGCCGCATAGGAGAAGCGGTCCTCGCCGCAGCCGTACTGCCCGGGCTGGCACGGCTGCAGCTGTTCCCAGCCGCGCCGCGCCCAGCCGGGCTGCAAAGCGTTGCACGCCTCCGTGATTTCTACTTCGTAGTACCATTTGCCGCTCGTCAGCGCAACTCCCAGGAGCCCGATCGTCGCCACGATTTCGTCTTCTTTTGGACAGTCGTCGGTCAGCTGATCCATGCGCCACTGGCTGTCCTCGCAACGGAGCCGACCGGTGCAAGGGAAGATCCACGACAAAGACGATGAGAGTCCGAGACGCGGCGTAGACTCGTTGAAAAAACCGATCTCAAGAGCGTAGCGTTGTCTGTCGTTGGCCTCCATCTCCTCGTAGACTCCTCTCTGCTCTGGCGTTAATTGGTTCCATAACTTTCCGAGAAAGAGGCCTGCGGGAAGGCATCATCGCGCGCAAACACCAGCTCCAGGACGCCGCGGCGCGCCGATCTCGCCGGGAGACATGCCCCGCTTCTCCAGATGCGGGCGTTCCGCCATGGCCATAAAGATGCTCGCCTTCCGCGGCCGCTTGAGAGCGCTGAATTCCTTATGCGCCTCGGCCAGGTTTCGTTCCTGCCTCATGCGCACGATCTCGTCCTCGAATTCCTCCTTTAGCAGCTCGGCTCCGTCCGTGTGCTCGAGCTGGCGAGCCACGGCCTGGATCAATGCCTCCCCCTTATGACTGCCGTCTCGCTCCGCTCGGAGTGTGAAAGCGCTCGGCGGGAACTCGTCGCGCTCCAGGACCCCTGCCACGGCCTGCTCCAAAACGTCTTGCGGAATTACCAGCGGCTCGAGTCCATCCCGGATCTTTTTCATCGTGCCGTAGAACGCGTCCCTGAATTCTTTCTTAATCCGCGCGCCTCCGTCCGGCTGTTTGAATTCTTTTGCCATTGATCTCAGCAAGATGTCTTCGAACTCACTCGCATGGAACAGCGTCACCTCACCCATCGAGGCCATCCTGCGCATGATCGCCCTCACTCCACGCTTCACGAGAGCGTCGCTCAAAACCGCCGCGCCGTCGTCTTCTGTTTCCGCGTATAGGTCGCCGGGGAGCGCCATCTCGCGGCCCATGCGCATGAGCCGCAGGATCTCAGCTCTATCCCGATCCTCAGGCTTCGTCTCCACCTTTGGCGCCTCCCAGGCCGTCGTACAGCCAGCTAATCTCCAGCCATCATGCTGCCGCGCCGGGGGCAGCTTCCCGTGCACCGTCGACCTCGCGCCAGCTTCGCGAGCTTGCTGTAGCAGACCGAGATCCTCCCGGCCGCCGGCGCCTTCCACAGCGCAATGGCGCGCGTCCTCGCGGCCGTCGCGCTCCTCGCAACCACACACGCGCTCGTCGCACCGAAAACCCACACGACGCGCGTCGCGCCGTCGCGCGCCGTCGCCGATCTCCTCAAGGACGCGAAGCTCGACATCCCCTGGCTCGCCGAGGGCGACGCGCCGGCGGAGAACAAGGTGAACACGCCCGAATCCGCCAAACGCATCTTCGCGCTGCCCGACGCGCCCGTGCGCCACGCCGAGTCGCCCGAGCGCGTCGCCGCGGTCCGCGCGCGCGCGGCGACGGCCGCCAAGGACGCGGCGGAGCTCCGCGGCATGCTCACGGGCGCGGCGGACAGCGACGCCTGGTGGCGGTCGCCGCCGCCCGGCGGCGCCGGCAGCGAGCGCGAGTTGACCGAGGACGAGCCGCTCCGCGTGCTCGTCGCCGGCGGCGGCCTCGCGGGCCTCGTGACCGCGGCCGCGTGCCACGCCAAGGGCATGAAGGTCGCGCTCTTCGAGCAGGCGTCCAGTTACGCGCCCTACGGCGGCCTCATCCAGATCCAGAGCAACGCGCTCCGCGCCATCGAGCGCATCAACAAGGACGTCTACGACGAGCTGGTCGCGGCGGGCACGGTGACGGCGGACCGCGTTTCCGGCCTCAAGATCGGCTACAAGCGCGGCAACAAGCTCGCGGGGCTCTACGACAAGGGCGACTGGCTCGTGCGCTTCGACACGCTCGGCCCGGCGCTGGAGGCGGGCCTGCCGGCGACGGTCGTCGTCGACCGGCCCGTCATCCAGCAGATCTTCGTCAAGCACGGCTTCCCGGAGGAGACCGTGCGCATCGCGAGCCGCGTCGTCGACTACGGCGACGAGGGCGGCTGCGTCAAGGCCGTGCTCGAGGACGGCACGGTCGCCTACGGCGACGTGCTCGTCGGCGCGGACGGCGTCTGGTCGTCCGTGCGGAAGATCATGCACGGCCTCGGCGCGGGCGCGACGGCGGACGCGGCGTCGGGCGCCGCGGGCGGCGCGCTCGACGACGCGGAGGCGCGGGCCATGGCGCGGGAGACGGTGCGCGTCGCGGACCAGGCGCAGCGCCGCTTCTCGGGCTTCACGTGCTACGCGGCTCTGGCGGACATCCGCGCGTCGAACATCGAGGAGGTGTCCTACCAGATCCTCCTCGGCGACAAGAAGTACTTCGTGTCCACGGACGGCGGCGGCGAGCGCCAGCAGTGGTTCGCGCTGATCCGCGAGCCGCCGGGCGGCGTCGACCCCGAGCCGACGGCCGAGAACCCGACGCCCAAGCTCGACCGGCTCCGCCGCGAGTTCGCCGACGGCAACGTCTACGCGGCCGACGCCGACGGCAAGGTCTGGGACGGCTTCGCGCTCGAGCTCGTCGAGGCGACGCCGGAGTGCGATATCAAGCGCCGCGACCTCTACGACGGCGCGCCGCTCCTCGACAACCTGGACCTGAAGCGGTGGTGGAGCCCCTGGGCCGACGGCCGCGTCGCCATCTGCGGCGACGCCGCGCACCCCATGATGCCCAACCTGGGGCAGGGCGGCTGCCAGTCGACGGAGGACGGCTACCGCCTCGCGGAGGAGCTCGCGACCGTGACGCACACGAAGGACACGTCGGCGGCCCTCGGGTCCTACAGCCGGAAGCGCGTCGTCCGCACGTCCATCGTCCAGGGCTTCGCGCAGCTCGGCTCCGACCTCCTCGTCGACTTCGACCTCATGATGACGATCCCGCTCGTCGGGCCCTTCTTCCTCAAGGCGACCCAGCTCTCCATGCCCTGGATCCTCCGCTTCCTCTACACGCCCGAGTTCTAGGGGGGGAGGGTCAGGTGTAAGCAGACTCGAGCAGGCTTCGTAAGTGGCGACTTCAAGCGGTCGCAGTTGACGTCGAAATCTTGTCCATGTTGAACACTCTTGCCACTGGCCGCAAAAACTTCTTTGCGCTCTGCGGGCGCTCTGCGGGCGCTTCGGCAGCAACCACTCCACACGGTGCACGCCGGCAGCGCGGGGCGGGCCCCGCGCGCAGCGCAGACCATGCTCCAGTACGTGCTGAATCGGCCCTACATGGTCACGGCGCAGCAGCGCGCCCAGGCCCAGCTCGACCTCGAGCGGAACCCGGCCTGGGCCAAGAAGCTGCAGCTCACGCGGGTCATGGCGTCCCACGACGGCTGCGTGAACAGCGTGCGCTGGCGCGGCGACGGCCTCCTGCTCTGCTCCGGCTCCGACGACCGCTGCGTCTGCGTCTGGGACCGCCGGGGCGCGCTCGTCGGGAAAAAGAAGACGACGCACGCGCACAACATCTTCGACGCCGCGTTCGTGCCCGGCTCCTCGGCCATCGCGACGGCGGCGGCCGACGGCCGCGTGGGCCTCATCGAGGCCTGGGACGGGGACCAGCCGGCGCGGACGCTCTACGCGTCGCGCGACTACGGCTGCATCGCGAGCAAGCTGAGCTTCGTGCCCGACGACCCGCAGACGTTCGTCGTGGCCTTTAGCGACGCGCGCGTGCGCCTCTTCGACCTGCGGTCGCGGAGCCACGCCGTCGTCCTCGACCTCGGCGGCGTCGGCGCGACGGCCGTCGACTTCAGGCCCCGGCGCCGCGAAATCTTCGCCGTCGGCGCCAGGGCAGGAAAAGGGTGATTCAACGTCGCTTCAACGTGAGTGTTCCGCGCGCACGCGTTTCGGAAACAGCACCAACGCTTCGAGAGCGCTCTGAGAGATGATCGCTCGTCCAAAAATCAGCCGAAACGAGCGGAAAACGACCGAGATGGGAGCCTTTGAAGTTGGGAATTTCGCACCCTTTTCCTGCCCAGGTCGGCGCGGACGACGCCGCGCTCCGCTTCTGCGACCTGCGCGCGGCCGACGCGTCGGCCAAGGGCGTGTCCGCCGCCGCGGCGCGCCCGCCGCCGCCGAGCGGTGGCCTCGACGACGACGAGGACGACGACATGGACGAGGACTCGCGCGGCTCGAGCGACGGCGCCGCGGCGCCCGACCGCGGCGCGCTCTCCGACGACGACGACGACGACGACGACGACGACGACGACGACGACGACGACGAGGAAGACGAGGACGACGACGCGCTCGACGAGTCCGACGACGACGCGCTCGACGAGTCGGACGAGGAGGTCCCGGGGAGCGGCGCGCGCGCGGCCGTCTCGTCGGCGGCGGTCGCGCCGCACCTCGCGGACGCGCTCCGGCCCCGGCGGCGGCGCGGCACGCGCGCGGGGCGGCCGTCGCGGCGCGCCGACGTGGGCATCAGCGGCGTCGCCTGGTCCGAGGACGGCAGCCACATCCTCGCGAACTACCGCGGCGACGACGTCGCGTTGTTCCGCGCGCCGATCCCCTGGCCCAAGGACGTGCACTGGCCCTGGGCGACGGTCGAGGACGTCGACGGCAACGTTCTTGTCCAGGGCACGCCGGCGGCGGAGGACGAGGCGGCCGCCGCCGAGGACGAGGAGGACGACGGCGCGGACGCGAGTCTCTTCGTCCGATCCTTCGGCGGCCGGCGCAACGTGCAGACGTGCGCCAAGGAGGTGCGGTTCCTGTTCCGCGACTCCTGCGTCGCGACGGGGGGCGACGACGGCGCCTTGTACGTCTGGGAGGCGGCGACGGGCGCACCCGTCGCGCGGCTCCGCGCGGACCGGTGCGTCGTCAACTCCGTCGCGCCGCACCCGTTCCTGCCCATCGTCGCGACGTCGGGCATCGACTCCGAGGTGAAGATCTGGGAGGCGACGGCGCCGCTGACAGCGTCGCGGTCCCGGGCGTCGTCGCGCGCGAGCCGCGCGTCGAGCCTGAGCCTGTCGCCGCCGCTCGCGGCGACGCCGCCGCCGCCGCCGCCGCCGCTCGCGGCGACGCCGCCGCCGGAGACGCCGCGGCGGCGTCGCCAGCTGCCCGCGGCCGTCGGCCCGCCGCCCCTCGCGCTCGACGGCGCGGCGCCGGCGCCGCCGCGGCCGCCGGCGCCGCCGGAGCCCGCGGTGACGCCGAGCCCGCCGCCGCGGGACCGCGCCGCGAGCCTCGCGAGCTTCGAGGACTCGGAGGACGGCATGGACTCGTCGAGCGGCGGCGAGTCCGACGACGACTGGGCGCGCCGTCGCTGCGCGCCGCGGCCGCGCGCCGCGAGCTCCGGGGCGCCGTGGACCTGAGCCGCGCGGCCATCTTCCTGCGCTCGTCGCGCGCCTCGAGGCCGCGGACGCGGCCGCGCGCGCCGTCGTCGCGGAGCCGGTCGTCGCCGCGCCGCCGGAGCCGTCGATCTTCTCCCGCGCCGTCGCCGCCGCCGCGTCCGCGCTCGCGCCCGCCGAGGACGGCGCCGCCGGGGAGTAGACTTACTTTACGAAGGTCGTCCGAACTGGCCCGACGGCTTGCGGCGCTTCCGCCGGTCCGCTTGGTGGTCGACCATGTAGGCCCGCGCGATGTAGAGGATCATCTCGACGAAGAGCATGACGATGCCGCCCATGAGGCCGGCGACGACGCGGCTCGTCGCCTTCTCCACGAGCGACTTGGACAGGATGTAGCAGATGAACGACGACGCGACGGGCGCGACGACCATGTTCGCGCCGATCGTGTACTGATGGCGGAGCGACGCGCCGACGCGCTCCTCGGGCCGCACGGGCGCCCGATGCACGGAGCTCACGAGCGTCGCGTACTCGCGATGCTCGGCGCGACGCGCGAGCATCTCGCGCCGCGTGGCCACGGCCGGATCGGGGGTCGCCTCGCGCACGGGTGCGGGGAAGACGAGCTTCGTGCCGCGGAGCGCGCTGCGGAGCGACAGTCGTGTGCTTGAGTTCTTGGCCAGCTCGCTCGCCAGCGCGTCGACGCGCACCGGCTTCGACTCACCGGGGCGGATGAGCTCGAGGCCGGAGGCCATTGCGCGATCGGCCATCGCGGAGCCTGCCATGCTCTCCGAGAGCTTGGATGCGAGGGCAAAGTTGATCATCAACTATCTTCAACCAAGCGCCTCGATCGATGATCGATCGATGAGGGCTTGGTCCGGGCTGCTCTCGTGCTGCTTCCGCCTCCTCTGCTGCTCGTGCGTCGTCGCAACGAGTGACGACGCGAGCGCGGCTCGCCGCTTCGCGGCGGCGGCCAAGAACCACCTCGATCACGGCGACGCCCGCGCGTTCCACGCCGCCACGGGCACGGCCGTCGAGGCGCTGCTCGCGGCCCTCGTGAAGCGACCGCAGAACTGCACGGCCATCGCCTCCAGCGAGAAGTTCGTGCCGCACCCGTTGAACGCGAAGGGCCTCCACGCGCTCCGCGCGCTCGTCGCGCGGAAGCTCTCGACGGGGACGACGCTCGCGGACGACGCGTGGGCGAAGCGCCTCGCGCGGCGCGGCCTCGCGACGGAGGAGTTCCCCGTCGCGTCGCTCGCCCGCGTGGAACACGGCGACGGGAGCCACAGCCTCCAGCTCCCCGGCGCGCTGCTCGCGCGGCTCCGCGCGCTCTTCGGGCCGCGAGCGTCCGTGAACGCGAAGCTCGGAAGTCCGGACGGCGCGTGGCAGACGACGGGCGCGCGGCCGACGTACAACCAGCTCTGGATGCACGTCGACACGTTCCTGCCCACCTACAAGGTCTGGGTCTTCGCGAACCTGTCGCGCGACGCGGGCCCGTTCTCCTACGTGGAGGGTTCGCACGCGAACGACGAACGAAAGCTCGAATGGCTCTTCGAGCGCACGAAGCACCTCGTCGACGCAGCGTCCATGCCCCGCGACGCGCCCGTGCGCTACGCGCCCGGGCCCTACGACGAGCGAACGCACGGCTTCGAGGGGTCCCTGAGGGTCCTGGGCTTCGACCCGGCCGACGACCGGTCGAAGGCGCTCGCGCGCTTCGGCTACGCGCCCGCGAAGCCCGTCCTCGCGACGCGCCGGGACGCGGCCTTGCTCGTCATCGCGGATACTTCCGGCTTCCACATGCGCGGCCGCGCGGCCGGCGACGCGAAGCGCACGCAGCTCGTCCCGCGCATCACGGAGGCGTGCCACCACCGGGGCGACTGCGACGGCCGGAGCGCGCGCTGCGGCGTCGGCTGCGTGCCCCGCGACGACCCGTTTTGGCAGAGGAAGGTAGATTAAGGCTCACTCTCCTAGTAGAACGATTCGTTGGGGTCTTCTGGGAAGGGAAAGTACAGTCTTCTGTCTGGGAAAAGCTCCTCCATGGACTTTTTGGGTTGCTCCCACGGGTTAATCGGGTACGGGCCGTCACTCTTGGAGCGCCAGAATCGGAGGATGTGCCAGAAAACTTCTTTTGGGAGCGTTGTGGACGCCAGGCTGGAGGCGCGCCGCGCGGCTCGTGTCTTTCTCAGCGTCCCAGGCTGCGGCGGCGGCAGTCCGAAGAGCCGCTCGAGCGGCGGCGCAGCGACCGCGCGACCGCGAAGACAAAGCAAACGCAGGAGCAGCAATTGGAGGCGTGGTTCGGTTACGTAGCGCTTCCAACCACCCGCCGAGCGTATGGCGTTCAGGAGACGCTTCATCTTCCGCATTCCCACTCGAAAGATGTCTGTTTCACGAAGCATCGCGCCGCGACGTAGTAGAAATCTGAGCATGCAACCGGTGGCCACTGCGTACTGAGGTTCAGCATCACATTTAGTCCTGGTGGTGACGATGTCAAGCGGTGTCCCCGACGGGGCATGTTTATCATCGGGATCCGCTAAATTCACATCGGCGCCGTGGCGGATGAGTGAATCCACCGTGTCGAATTGCAATGATTTCACAAAGGCGTGAAGCGGGGGCTCAATGGATTGACTCACACTGTTTGGATCCGCGCCTCGCGCCAATAGCTCGCACGCCGCGCGGCCTTTACCCCAATGACCCGTGTAGCTGAGTAGGCTCGCGCCGAGTTCGTCGCGTTCATTTATATCGTGGTTCGCAAGCCATGCATCAAGGGCATCGACATTCAGGTAGAACATATCGTTCTCAATTGGCTCATCGGAATATCCCAAAAGTATCTCCGACGCTGCCGCGTACAAGCTCCCGCGACCCGTATCAACACGCCCGCCCGTCGCAGTCGCCATCGGGGGGGAGGCGTCGTGCCACGTGTGATTGTTAAAAGCTTGCGCGCGCCGTGACACCTCGTCCAGGCGCACTGCAAGCCGCTCACGTGCGTTTTGCGGCGAAATCGCTGAACAACTTACGCGTCCTTCAGCACGGCCTCGGTGCACTCGTCGAGGGCGGCGTCGATCTCGCCCGTGGCGTCGACCATGAGCTTGTCGAGGAGCTCCTCGGCGAGGGCCTCGATGACCTGGGCCTGGCTCAGGCCCGTCTCGAAGAGCTCGGCCTCGACGCGCTCCTTCCACTTGCGCACGTCGGAGCGGTGGCCGAGGATGCGGAAGATGGCGTCCGGCGGCACGTTGGCCGCGCGCTTGCCGCGCTTGTCCGCGTCCGCGGCCGCCGCCGCCGCGTCGGCGGGCGCGCCGAGGCTCGCGTCGACCTCGTGTACGGGCGCCGCGACGTCCAGGGTCCCGTCGTCCGGCGGCGGCGCGGGCTCGGGCCGCGGCGGCCGCCGGTGGAGCGACTCCAGGAGCCGCCGCTCGTCGTCCTCGATCTCCGTGAGCTTCTCCCAGAGGCGCTCGACGAGGTCCGCGCCGTCGCGCGGGGCCGGCGGCGCGGCGCCGCCGAACGGCAGCCGCGCGGCCGCCGCGGGGTGCAGGTCCGGGCGCGGCGCGGCCGCGTGGTGCGGCGCGGCCGCGTGGTGCGGCGCGGCCGCGTGGTGCGGCGCGGCCGCGTGGTGCGGCGGCGCGTAGGAGGCGTGCGGCGGCGGCGGCGGCCCGGCGGCCGGCGGCGCGTAGGCCCCCCGGGATCCCCCGGGTCGAAGGGCGGCGGCGGCGGCGCGGCCGGCGGCGCCTGCGCGCGCTGGAGCGCCGCGAGCTGGTGCTGCTGCTGCGCGAACATGCCCTGGACCTGGTGCTGGAGCTGGCGCTGCCAGGCCTGGAGCTCCGGCGCCGCGGCCGGCGGCGCCCTCGCGCGCTCGGCGGCGTCGAGGCGCGACGCGCGGTCCACGGTCTTCGTGGCCATGTCCACGAGACCGGACACGGCGCGGGCCATGGCGCCGATGTCGCCCATGGCCCGCGCCTGGGCGCGCGACGACTCGCCGGCGACGGCCGCGTTGGCCGCGGCCGCGGTCGCGAGGCGCCGCGCGCCGTCGATCTGAGTTTTCGGCGCGCCGTCGCAGTGCCGCGGCGCCGCGAAGCCGCCGTGGGCGAGGGCCGCGTCGACCTCGAAGGGGTCCGCGTTCTCGTCGGCGACTTTCTTGACGACCTCGGCCCTGTCGTGGGCCGCGATGGCTGCGCGGACGCGCGCGAGGTCGACGGGCGACGTCGCCCGCGTCCGCGTCCGCGACGCCGGGCCCGCCGCGCGCGAGGTCCTGCGCCGCGCGGGCGACGGCTCGCCGACGCAGTCGGGGAAGTGCTCCGGGGCGACGCGCGGCGAGTGGCGCGGCTCGCGCAGCGACGATCGCAGCGAGGACTGCGGCGTCGGCGGCGGCGGGCTCCGGCGCGCGGGCGTCGCCGCGGGCTCCGGCGTCGCGGGCCGCGCGTCGACCGGCGGCGGCTCCGCGAAGTGGAACTCGCCGGACCGCTCGGGCGTCCGCGCGCGCGGCGACGGGGGCCGCCGCTCGCCCGGCCGCGGCGACGCCGCCGCCGCGCGCGCGGGCCGCGCGGACACCGCGGGCGACCGCAGCTCCGCCGCCGACACGGGCGGGTGCTCGTCGAAGAAGCGGTGGCCCCGCGCGCGCGCCGCCGCCTCGCGCCGCCGCTCGATGGCCTCCTCGTGCGCGCGGTCGCGGTCCGCCGCGACGGCGTGTCCCCCGTCCCAGCCCCGCTCCCGGCCCCGGGCGAGCTTCCGTCTCGCCGCCGCCGCGCGCAGCGCCGCGCGCTCGCGCGCCTTGGCCACGAACAGGCTCGTGTTCGTCGCCGCCGCCGCGCGCCGCCTGCGACGTTCGGATGGGTCCGCGAAGTGCTCTATTTGGGCAGCCCGAAAGCGAATCGAAGCGCGGACGCCGGGCGACGCGCAGCGCGTGGTCCTTCACGCGGGGCACGCGGGCCGGCGCCGCGCCCGCCGACGACGCCGCGGACGCCACGGACGCGTCGTCCGCGTGGGCGCGGACCATCGCGCGGGCAGCTCTCGAGAAGGTGTTCGAATGAGTGCCGTGCTTCAAAATCTTCAAGTTTAAAAAATTGTTAAAAGCTCACGCCTCCAGCGGCCGGGCGATGCCCGGCGGCGCGCCGTTCCAGCGCGTCCCGTCGTCGTAGTGGAGGTCGAGGGTGCCGTCGTCGTAGACGCGCTTCACCGTCGCGGGCCAGCGGCGGAGGCCCTTGCGCCACTTGGCCCGGACGCGGTCGCCCGGGGCGAACGTCGCGCCGCCGGCCGCGTCGTCGTCCTCGCCGGCGCGGGCCCGGGCGAGGCCGACGAAGAGGCGCGCGAGGGGCTTGTTCTTCTTCAGCGCCTCGACCGTGAGGCCGCCGCCGCCCGACCGCTTCGCGCGCGCGGTCGCCTGGTAGATCTTGACGGTCTTGTTGAACGCGTCCGAGTGCTCCGGCGCGCGCGCGTTGACCTCGGCGACGCGGTCGCCGAAGACGTTGAGGCCCAGGATGACGCGCTTCTTGCCCGCCGGCAGCGCTTTCACTTCCTCCGACGCGTGGGGCCACTCGCCGTCGTGGACGATCGCGCGATTGAACGCGTAGGGAATCCGGTGCCAGCCGTCGCCCGCCAGCGCGCCCTTTTGCAGCCGGCTCTTGTAGCCGTAGGCCGCGTAGTGCGCCAGCCCGCCGGAGTTGACGACGAACGCGCCGCCCTCGACCCGCCGCGCGTCGTCCGCGGCGCCGTCGGCGAGGTCCGAGAGCTGCACCGTCGACGCGTAGAGCGGCGGCACGATCTCGTTGGTCTCGTGGCGGTGGAGCTCGCAGTAGTCCAGGTGGTAGTCGACGCTGTTGCCGACGCCGCTCGCGAGGCACCAGACCGCGACGCCGTGCGCGCCCGCGGCTTCCAAGTCGACGGCGTCCGCCGCGCGTTCTAAAAAGAGCGTCCGCACGACCTCGCGGGCCCAGGCGTCGCGGTCGCTGGGCGCGCCGGCGACGTTCCGCGCGTCGGCCAACGTGACGTAGGCGCCCCAGGGCTTGTTGTGCGCCACGGCGTCGTCGTAGAGCGCCGCGCAGAGCTCGGGCCGCAGCGCGTCGTCGTAGACGCGCAGGAAGCGCGTCGCGAGCGCCTGCCGCCGCACGGCGCGCACCATCGTCGTCGGGTTCGTCGACGTGGCGCACTCGAAGCCATCCTTCCAGGGCACGACGACGTCGAGATCCTCGGCGGAGCCCTCGCTGCCTTTGCCACTGCCTTTGCCCATCGGTTTGTCCACAAATGTTCACACAACGCATGTTGACCAAGTTATTGAAGGGGATGCGCGCCCGACTGCGTCCGTCCGGGGGGGGGGAGGCACGCCCGCGGAGGGAACCAGACCGAGCATGTTTGCCTCGGGTTGAAGGCGAGCATGGAGGCGCGCGGGCTGCCCCTAGCCGCCCTCCTCCTCCTGTCCGCGGCCCGCGCCGTGGAGCTGGAGCTCGTCGGCGGCGCCGTGGTCGTCGACGGCGTCGAGTGGTTCGGCGCCGGCCCCGTGGGCGCCCAGGTGAACGACAAATGGCTCAGCTCGGAGGGCTTCGGCCCCGACGCCTTGCGTCGCTTCGGCCCGGAGCGCACGACCTTCGGGCGGGACGCCGTGGGCGAGTACACGGCGGCGACGCAACTCTGGACCGACGTCGCCGGCGCTCCCGTGCTCGAGACCACGACTCGCGAGTACGGCGACTCGACGTGGGTCTTGCAGCAGCGCTGGCCCGCGGGCTGCGCCAACGGCGGCGCCCGCGACGGCAACGAGGTGCTCGGCGCGTTTCCGACGTTCGCCGCGCCGCCGAACGCCCCGACGCTCAACTACGCGTCCTGGGGCGGGAACCAGCTCAGCGACGCGACCGTCGGCCGCTGGCTCCCGGAGAGAGCGGCCGCCGCCGCGTCGCGTTTACCCTATCCGCCGCCGCAGTCCTACGCCGCGGGCTGCGCGTCGTTGTATCAAGACCGCTGCCCGCGGACCTACCCCTACTACAACTCGACGTGGCTCGGCGGGCCCTGGCAGGGCGCGCCGACGGTCTGGTTCGACGACTCGCTCCGCGCCGTCGCCGCCGCGCCCTTGACGCGCCACCTCGAGAGCGCCATGGTCGCGACGCGGCGGTTTGACACGACCGCGCCGCTCATCGCCCTCGGCCCCGCGGCGACGCTCGACGCGCTGCCGACGGGCTACGCGCACGAGACGCTCTTGGTGGGCGCGCGCGGCGTCGACGCGGTCCTCCGGAAGCTCGGCGACGCGCTCCTCGCCGTCGGCGGCAAGCGGCGGGCGCCGCCGGCGGGGCCCGTGCTGCGCCAGCTGGGGTATTGGACGGACCGAGGGTCGTTCTACTACGGCAACCCGCGAAGGCCCGGCGACTCGATGGCGGAGACGCTCCTCGCGGTCCGCGACGCCTGGGACGCGGCGGGGCTGCCCGTGCGCTACCTGCAATTGGACGACTGGTGGTTCCAACAGCACAATGGGGATTTCGGGGGCATGGTCGACTGGACCGGGTGCACGGCGAACTGCTCGCCGGGCGGGCCGGCGGTCTTCCCGGAAGGTCTGGGCGCCTTCGCCGACGGCCTCGGCGCGCCCGTGGCGCTCTACATGGGCCTCGTGTCCAACTTCACGCGCCACGGACCCGTGCGTCTCGACGGTCGCTTCGCCGTGCCGGCCTCGCGCCAGTTCTACGACGACCTGTTTCGAACGATGACGAAGACGCTCCGGCGGCGGCCGGCGCTCTTCGAGCAGGACTTCCTCTCGTACTGGTTCGGCAAGGGCCGGGGCCCGCCGTCCTTCCTGTCGACGCCGGGCGCGGGCGAGCAGTGGCTCCGGGACCTCGACGCCGCGGCGCTCTCGGCCGGCGTTCCCGTGCAGCTGTGCATGAACACGCCCGCGACGATCCTGGCGTCGACGCGGCTACAATCGGCGACGCACGCGCGCGCGTCCATGGACAACACGCGGGACCCGCTGACGGCGTCCTGGAAGGTCGGCCTCGCCGCGTCGCTGCTGCGCGCCGTGGGCCTCGCGGCGAGCGTCGACAACGTCTTCGCGAGCGCCGGCGGCGACGGCGGCTGCCACGGCGGCTTCAACTGCTCCCAGCCGAACCCCTACTTCGAGGTCGCGCTCGCGGCCCTCTCCGGCGGCCCCGTGGGGATCGGCGACGCCGCGGAGGCGCTGAACGCGTCCGCGGCGCGCGCGGCGGCGTCGCGCGACGGCAACCTGCTCCGGCCGACGCGGAATTTGGCGACGCTCGACGCGGCCTTCCGGTTGTCCTTCTGGGACCTGCGGGAGCGGAACCTCTGGGCCGCGGAGACGCGGCTCGGGGAGTACGTCTGGCACTACGTGCTCTCCGTCTTCCTCGACGAGGCGGAGGAGCTCGACCTCGTCCTCGACCTCGGCCGCGACACGCGCCGCGCCGTCGCCGTCGACTGGCCCCTCACGGGGGGCGACCGCGTCTACGTCACGACGCACCTCGACCCGAGCGCGCCGCTCGTCCTCGAGGCGTCGCCCTTCGACCGGGAGAACGCGCGCTTCGTGCGCGCGCGATTGGCCGTCGTCGCGCCGGTCGCGCCGCGGTCCGAGTTCGCCGTGCTCGGCGAGCTCGACAAGGTCGTCGTCGCCGGGCGCGTCGTCCGCGTCGTCGACGACGACGACGGCGTCGACGTCTCCGTCGCCGCGGACCCCGGGGAGGTCGTCGCGCTGTCCGTCGTCCACCCCTGGACCTACGCGACGCTCACGACGGCGTGCGCCGCGGACGCGGCGGGCGCGGCGACGGTCGCGTGCCGCGTGCGGGGCGACTGCGAGTGTGTGCAACGAGGCTAGGTCGCATTACTCCGCGGAGAGAAGTAGGCGGGGGCGACGAGGCTCCGCGGAGAGAAGTAGGCGAAGGACTCGTCGCCCCCGACGGCGACGCAGCTGCAGGCGACGGCGCGCTCGTCCTCGTCGCCGGCGGCGACTTCCAGGGCCGGCGCCGAGAGGCCCGCGGCGTAGTCGTCGCCGTCGCCGTCGTCCTTCGCCTCGGGCGCGTCGACCGTCGCCGCGGGCTGCCCCGCGTTTGGACCGAAGACGAACGTGCTGAGCCTCTTGCGGCTGATGACCTTCTGCGTGGCGCTGAGCTCGTCCTGGAGGTGGCGGATCTCCTCGCCGATGGTCTTGAGCGCGTCCTTCTCGCGCTTGATGTCCGCGACCATGAGCCAGCCGACGACGACGAGGCCCGCGACCTGCAGCCCGATCATGCCCACCGTGAGGGCCACGTTCGCCTGGCCCACGGCGCAGGCCAGCGTCGCGAGGAAGGTGAAGAGCGTGACCCACTGCAGCGTCTCCGCGAGCACGTCGTCGCTGTCCGACGCGTAGGGCGCGAAGTAGGAGTAGGCCTTCTGCGTCGCGAGGGCGACGACGATGGCGAAGAAGACCTTCACGAGGGGCCCGTCGCCGACGAGCAGCAATCCCGACGTGAGCATGAGCCGCCGGAGCATCTCGAAGACCTCCCAGTAGAAGTACTCCGGCTCGTAGGGGCCGTACAGCAACTGGAGGTGCTGGATCTTCTCGTCGCGCGCGCGCGCCTCCTGCGCCTGCTCCCGGAGCACGAGGTAGTCGAGGCGGTGGTCGTAGGAGCGCCGCGCCTTCCGTCGCCCGATGCTCTTGTTGTCGACGACGGGGTTCAGGTGGTCGCGGTAGTGGAAGAGCACGAAGAACGTCACCAGGGGCACGCCCACGGGCCACGCGAAGAGCGCGAGCGCCGCGTAGACCAGGTAGGTGCGGTGCGTCGTCGAGTCGCAGCGGATGGACAGGTCGGCGACGAGGTAGGGGATGCGCCGGTCCGACCCCCGCGGGTCGTCGAACTCGTCGCAGGGGAACGCGCGGACGATCGTCGTCGTCACCGCCGGCAGCAGGAGGTACGTCACCAAAATCGTCACGGAAATCAACGCCCGGCGCACCTCGCCCCGGGACATGACGTAGCCATTCACGAGGTGGATCGCGAAGGCCAGGGACATCGCGAGAACGATGAACGCCCCGGGCCCGAGCGTCATCGCGAGCAAGGCGCGGTAAAACGCCGCGCCGCCGCCGACGAGATCCAGGCACTGCAGCGGCAGCGCCGCGCCGAGGTCGAGCGTGACCTACCACATGCGTCGGTAACAACCGTTCGTCGGTTTCCCGATCAAAAGCTCTCGAAACTCGTCTCTCGGTCGCGGGACGCTGAGCGCGACGATATCGAAGGCCATGTAGAGCGACTTGTAGGCCGTCGGGAACCGGGTGCCCGGCATCATCGACGGCATCGTGTAGAGGATCTGGAAGGCCACGAAGACGATCTTCCACTTCACCGTGAGCTTCTGGTTCAGGCGGCTCAGCTTGCCCGCTCGCCTGAGGTTGCCGCTCTTCGGCTTCGTCATGAGCGTGATCAGATACAGGAACCCGCCGAGGAGCAGGAGCGACACGAGGATGCTCGCGAGCGTCTCCGGGCTCGACGCGGCGAACGCGTCCTTGCAGTCGTGGCAGCGCTGGACCTGGTCCGAGAAGTAGCCCTCGTCGCAGACGGAGCAGCGCGGCCCCGTCGCCCCGCGGTCCGCGTCGCAGGTGACGCGGCCGTCGGCCAGCGGGCAGGACTTGCGGTGCGCGCACTCGAGCGCCTCGGTGCTCTTCGACGACATGCGCATGTAGCCCTCGGCCACCAATAGCCGCTCGAGCTCGGCGCCGGGCTCGTCGCAGTAGAAGTGGGACGGGCAGACCTCGCAGGCGTCGCCGTCGAGGTAGTAGCCCGCCGCGCACATGCCGCAGGCCGCGCTCTCGGGCTCGGAAGACCACGTGTCCGCGCAGGGCACGCAGCCGAGCTCGACGGACTCGCGCGAGCCCGCGGGGCAGCCCACGGGGTAGGTGTACACAAGAGTCCAATTGAGGCCCGCCTCGCGCAGCGGCGCCGACGCGACGAACCAGTGGTCCTCGATGAGCAAATGGTCCTCGGCCGCGCCGTCCGCGAGCGCCGCCGCGGCGCGCCGGATGCGCTCGTCCGTGGAGTTGGCCATGTGCCGCCGCGCGAGGTCGCCGTCGGGCGTCTCGATGCTCAGGTCCGTCGCGTTCGTCGACAGCGCGACGAACAGGCCCGCCGCGTCGACGACGAAGAAGACGTCGTCGCGGTCGGCCGTAGAAACCGCCATCGTCCGCAGGTACGCCGACATGCTGTCGAACTCGACGTCGACGGCGTGGACGCCCACGCGCGTCCCCGCGCCGTCGTCGAGCGGCGTCACGGCCGAGTTGCCGATGGTGACGCCGTTCGCGTAGACGTAGGGCTCCGTCCAGATGGGCCCGCGCGCGTCGAGGCCCGCGACGTACCAGGGCCGCGCGCGCGTGTCGTAGTAGCCCGTGGTGAAGGCGTCGCCCGCGGGCGCGCCTCGCGCGTCCGTGACCCACTTGGACCGGCAGCACGTCGCGCAGGCCGCGTCGTCCGGCGGCTCGCACGCGCCGACGGCGACGCGCCACCAGTCGGCGTCGCGCGACACGTTCGCCGCGACGGCGAAGGTGTAGTTGCCCGCGGGGCCGCCGCCGTTGCCCGCGTTGTAGACGCCGACCCAGGTCGAGTCCTCGAAGCCCGCGTAGTGCATGTACGTCGCGAGCGACTCGCCGATCAGCAGCGAGTAGACGAGCAGCGACAGCGTGCCGTCGCCCGACCGCAGGCGGCCGTGGAGGTCGCCGGGACCGCTCGCGTTGTAGACGAGGTCCGTGGCCATGCCCGTCGCCATGACCTCGCCCATCTTCCAGAGCACGTTCAAATTGTAGTCCAGCGCTTCCTGCGTCGATTTGTGGAACGCGTAGTCGTAGAGGTAGGCGCTGCTCAGCTCGCACGACACCGGCGCGAGGAACGCACCGAGCAGCGCGAGGCGGCGCATCCTTCGCGCGACGGATTCGCGTTCAGGGCTCCATGGGAATGCTGCCCGCCTGCCTCACTTCACCATACTCCATGTCGAGCAGCTCGGCACCTCCGGTTCACCCAGGGGTTCACCGTCGACTCGCAGGTCGCGTCGAGAGAATCGGTCTCGCCTCGCTCTCCCAAAATCTTCGATCTTGTCCGCCATGCTCCAGTGCGTCGGGGCCGCGGCCTTCTGCCGGCGGCGCGCGTCCTGGATCGTCAGCAACGAGGACACGCCCTGGCGCCAGCCGCCGGCGGAGCCCTGCGACGAGGTGCCGGACGTGGACCTCGGCGTCCGGGCGACCTACGCGTCCGACGGCGACCGCTTCACGAAGCTCGTCAACGCGCGCTGCGACCCGCCGACGCCCTACCCGACGGCCTACTCGACGGGCCCGCCGCCGGGGAGGGACGAGGCCGCGAAGCCGTTCGCGACGCTCGACGCGTACCTCTCGCGCGGCCCGCCGGCGCCGGCGCCCGCGGCGGCGCCCGTGTGGCGCCCGCGCTACGAGAAGATTCAGATCGTGCGGGACCAGTCCCCCACGGGGCCGCCGAAGAAGCGCACGCCCAAGAAGAAGGCGCCGTCGCCGCGCGCCGAGGCGCCGCCCGCGCCGGCGCCGCCCGCGGTTCCGCCGGAGGAGGAGGACGTTCCGCCGGAGGAGGAGGACGACGACGTCGCGGCGCCGAAGACGCGCGACGAGGTCCAGGCCGAGCAGAACACGGCCTTCTGGCAGGAGCGCATGTGGGAGGCCCTGGCGAACGGCCGCGCGCAGCGCTTCCAGGGGCCGAACGCGTCGCCGAGCCCGGCCAAGGGCCGCAAGAAGAAGGCCGCGTCGGCGAAGACGAAGACGCCCGCCCGGGCCGAGGAGCCGGAGGAGCCGGAGCTCGAGTGCCGGCCGAAGCCCAAGGCCGCGGCGGACGAGCCGGCCGCCGCGGCGGACGAGCCGGCCGCGCCGGTCGCGGAGGAGCCGGCGGTGGTGGCGGAGTCGCCGGCCGCCGCCGCGGACGAGCCCGCCGCCGCGCCGGACGCGCCCGCCGCCGCGCCGCCGTCGGCGGAGTCCGACGCGCTCGCCGAGGTGTCGCGGGAGCTCCTCCGCAGCCAGCTCGCGGCGGCGGACGCGCCCGCGGACGACGAGGAGGCGACGGACGTCGCGGCCAAGGCCGCGCGCGACGTCTACGGCGCCGCGGTCGACGCCTGGAAGCCCAAGGGCAAGGGCTCGCTCAAGAAGGAGCTCGCCGAGGCCGCGAAGCCGCCGACGCCGACCCACAAGGGCCGGCCGCCGAACGTCACGGCGCGCGACGAGGCCCCGCCGTCGAAGAAGCGGGCCGCGCCGGAGCCGGCGGCGGCCGACTACGCGCCGGGGTCGCGCGTCTGGAGCGACTTCGACCCCGGACCCGACGGCCAGGAGTGGTTCGCCGGCACCGTCGTCAACGTGAGCGGCAAGAACCTCACCGTCGTCTGGGACGACGGCGTCGACCTCATCACGACGCGGGCCTACGTCCGCGCGGACCGCGGCGGCCTCCCGCTCGGCGTCGACGTCCGCGAGAGTACGCTGAAGCTCCGCAAGCCCAACAAGGAGGCGCGGCGCAAGCTCGACTACCTCCTCCCCCAGGCCCGCACGTCCCTCCTCCCGCTCAAGAAGAAGCGCCGCGAGCTGCTCTGAGAGAGGGCGGACGGCCGGAGCGGCGCGCGGTGACGTGAAAGGAAACTTGCTGTTCAACTTGAACCATTCTCGGGCCGCCATCCGAGCCATCTGAGGACAGGGTGTGGCCTTGGCCTCGTACGCGCGTCTTGCTGCCGGCGGCGGGGGCCTCCGACCGCGCCGCTTCGTCCCAGCCCTCTCGCGCCGCAGCCTCCGAGCCGCAGCGCGCCCACACCAGCGATGGCGTCGTTCCAGGGCCTCTTCTCGTCGACGCGCCGGAAGAAGGGCGAGCGCGCGCCGACGCCGCTCGCGACGTCGCTCACGCAGCGCTGCGCCGTCGTCCTCGGCGACTGCCTGGCGGGCATGGCCGACGACGTCGGCGACTGGGGCGAGACCGTCGCGTCGTGGCCCGCGCCCGCGCTCAAGCGCGTGCTGCCGCAGCTGCCCGGCGCCGCGCTCCTGCGGCTCCGCGCCGCGTACCCGGACTCGCCCCTCGCGCGGGCGCTCGACGACGGCGACGCCCTCGACGTCGCCCTGCGCGCCGAGGCCATCACGAAGCAAGGCAGCCAGCTCTTGGACGTCTTCGCGGGCGACGCCGCGGGCGCCGCCTGGCGGCTGGGGCCGTGGAGCGCGGACGTCGCGGCGGCGCAGGTGCTCTTCCACCAGCCGCCGCGCTTCTGGCCCGACGGCGCCGACGCGGCCTGCGCGGACCTGGCCCAGTTCCGCGACGCCTTCGACGTCTTCGGGTCCGGGCTGCTCCGCGGCGTCGATTGGAAGGCGTTGGGCCTCGTCGCCGCGGGCGGCGGCGTCCTCGCGTGCGTCGAGGCGCGGCCGCCGGGCCGCGAGGCCGGGCCGGGGCTCGTGGAGTGGTTCGAGGCGCGGAGCCACGCGGCCATGGCGGGCCGGAGCCGCGTCGAGGCCGCCGCGCGGACGCTGCAGCGGCGCGACGCCGCGTCGCGTTTCTGCACGTCAAGCGACGTCGACCTCTTCCTCGTGGGGCTCGACGAGCGCGCGGCGATGGACGCGCTCGTCGCCGTCCACGCCGCCGTCGTGCGCAACGCCTGCGCGCGCGTCGCCTGCGTCCGCTCCGCGTCCGCGATCACGTTCAGCGCGGGCTTCCCCCGGCGCAACGTCCAGGTCGTGCTCCGGCTCTACGCGTCCGCGGCGGCCGTGCTCGACTCCTTCGACGTCGACGCCTGCTGCTTCGCCTACGACGGCGAACGCGTCTGGGGCGCGCCGCGCGGCGTCCGCGCGCTCTGCGAGAAGCTCTGCCGCGTCGACGCGGCGCGGCGGTCCCTCACCTACGAGGCGCGGCTCGTCAAGTACGCGCTCCGGGGCTACGCGGTCTACGTGCCGCCGTCGCTCTACCGCCCCGCGGCCGTCGACCCGCGGGTCTTCGACCTCCCGCTCGCGGTGCGCGACGCGGACCCGCGGCGCGGCGCCGCCGCGGGCGCGGCGACGCCCCAGTCGGGCCTCGTGCGGCTGCTGATCGCGTCGCGGCTCTTCTCCCTGCGCCGCACGAAGGACGAGGAGCTGAACCGCATGGAGGAGAAACCGGGCAGCGTCGCGCGGCGGCGGCCCGGCGCGCCCGCACCGACGCGGTCGCTGCGCGACGTGTTCCTCAAGGGGTTCATGTACTACTACTCGCGGACGCGCAGCCCGCCCATGCTGCCCGACGAGCCCAAGACCTACTACAGCTCCTACGGCCCCGCGCGCGTCGAGGCGGACTACGTCGCCGAGGACGAGGCCGCGCGCGCGCACCGCCGCGACGCGCAGCGGACGCGCGAGCCGCTCTACCGCTGCGCCGTGCCCTGGAAGCCCGGCTGGGACGCGGCGCGCATCCTGAGCTTCATCCGCGCCAAGGAGGCGGCGCTCGTCGCCGACGAGGACGAGGACGGCTGGCGGCCGCCGACCGTGCGCGTCGTCGCCGAGCGGAGCTCGACGCTGCCGTCTGTGCCGAAACCAACCACTGGTTTGGGTGGTCCTGACCAAACTTGAGAATTCTCTAGCTCGGTCAAATCAAAGTCGATTCGGCTGATTTTTGGACGGATCGATCGCTCTCGTCGAGTTCTCGAAGCCCAGCCGAAGAGCTTGTGTCAAAACATTCGAATACGCTCACATTGAAGTCGGGTTGAAGATTTGGTTTCGGCACAGGCTGCCGTCGGAGGACGTGCTCAAGGCCGCCTTCGACGTCACGGACCTCGTCCACGCCTCGGCGCTGCGCTGGCAGTCGCCCTCGCGGAGCTTCTACCCCGTGGCCATCGAGGGCTTCGGCGACGGCGCGCACCTCCGGCCGGGCGACCCGCGCGTCTTCTACCGCGCCACGGTCTCGACCGTCGGCCACGTCTTCGACGACGCGAAGGAGCGCGCCAAGACGCGCCACTGGGAGCGGTACCGGCGGCCGGGGGTCGTGCTGCAGGCCATGCAGGCGCACTACGACGACTGGGCCGCGCTGGGGCTGCTGCCGTCGTCGGGCGCCGTCGCGGCGCACCATTCCAAGGACGTCTTCGAGGCGCGCGTCGTCGTCCGCGAGTCGCTGGACAAGGACGAGGTCGGGAGCGTCGAGGTCCTGCGGCGCTTCGTCCTGTTGATGCGCGACGACCCGAGCGGCCTGCTCCGGGGCCTCGAGCCCGGCGGCGAGGGCCCGCAGCCCGTCCCCTCGCCCGCGATGGACGACGTCGAGCCCTTCCGGAACCTGCCCGCGGCGAAGCGGACCCTCGTCGCCGCCGCGCTGAACAAGCGGTACCGCGCCATCATCGCCTACGTGCTCAAGGACCGCGTCGCCAACGGCAGGGACCACAAGGCCGCGCACGCGGAGTTATTGAAGGCGCACCCGTCCTACGACGCGCGCAACACGTGGTCCGAGCAGCACCGGAGCCTGTCGCTGCGCTGCGCGCGCGACTACTGCGCGACGCTCGACGACGACGCGCGCCGCGCGCTCGTCGTGCCCGTGCTCGACGCCTACCTGGCGCTCGAGGTCGCCTTCGCGCCGCTCGAAGTCGCCATCGACGTCGACGCGAGGTGCGTCGGCGTCTGCGCGCGCTGCGCCGTCGTCCTCACGAAGGCGCGCAAGTGCGCGCGGTGCAAGGCCGTCCACTACTGCTCGCGGGACTGCCAGACCGAGCACTGGGCGACGCACCGGGCGAAGTGCGTCGCCGCGGACAAGTCCGAGAAGGCGTCGTAACCACCCGCCGCCGGGATTCTGTCGCGCGGCGGCCTTAGTCCCCCCCGCCGGCGAGGATCGCCGCGAGCGTCCCGGCGTCGACGTTGCCGCCGCAGACGACGGCGGCGACGCGGCGCAGGGGCCGCTCCGGGTCGTCGCGGAGCGCGGCGAACGCGGGGGAGAGCAGGCCCGCGAGCGCGACGGCGCCCGCGGGCTCCACGGCCTGCTTCAGCTCCGACGCCGTGAGCCGGAGCGCGGCCTCGATGGCGGCGTCGTCGACGGCCAACACGTCCCGCGCGTCGAGGAGGCCGTAGGAGAGGGGCCAGGCGAGGTTCGGCCCGAGCAGACGCGTCGGCATCGCGTCCGCGACCGTCGCGAGCGTCGGCCTCGCTTCCAGCTCCGCCTCGTCGAAGATGACGCGCTCGCCCGCGGCGAGCGCCGCGCCGAGCGCCTTGCCCGCGGGCTCCACGGCGATGACGCGCGTCGACGTGCCCGCGCACGCCGCGGCGACGCCCCCGAGCATGCCGCCGCCGCTCACGGGCACCAAAATCGCGTCGAGCCCTGCCACGTCCTCCAGCAGCTCCAGACCGATGGTGCCCTGGCCGCAGATCACGCGCCCGTCGTCGAAGGGGTGGACGATCGTCGCGCCGCCGAGCCGCGCGGCCTCGGCCTCGGACGCCGCCCGCCGCGCAGCCGGCGACGGCTCGCACTGGACGACGGCCGGCCCGTAGCGCGCGATGTTCGCGAGCTTCGCCGCGGGCGTCACCGTGGGCACGACGATGGCGCAGGGCGCCCCGCGCGCCTGCGCCGCGCGGGCCACGGCCGCGCCGTGGTTGCCCGTCGAATGCGCGACGACGCCGACGGCGGCCTCGGCGTCGCTCAGCGACAGGACCGCGTTGAGCGCGCCGCGCGCCTTGAAGCTGCCCGTGACCTGGAGGTGCTCGCACTTGAAGTGGACCTCGCAGCCCGCGAGCGCGTCGATGCGGTCGCTGCGCAGCACGGGCGTGCGCACGGCGTAGGGCGCGATGCGTTCTGCGGCGGCGCGGATGCTCTGGGGGCTCACGGTCGTGAGCGCCGTCTTCAGGCCGGCGATCTTGCTGGCGCGCGACATGCTGCAGACGATCGCGGCCAAGGTCGCGGCGCGCAGCAGATGCATGCAAGAGAGGTAGTGCTACACAAGGCAAGCGCTCGCAATTCAGCGAGCGACAAGTTGAACTACAACTTGATGCCACACTTAGCACACCAGCCTTCACCCCGAGAACGGCTTGCGGAAGATGCGCTCGGCGGCGTCGCGCGCCTGCTTGTTGGCGAAGCGGACCTGGAGCGCCGTGGCCTTCTCCGTGGCCTTGCGGAGCTGGTGCTGCGCGACCGCGAGCTCCGTCGCGTGGCGCTCCTCGCGCTCCCGCAGCTTCCGGATGGCCCGCGCCTGGGCGTCGGCGTGCGTGTCGCGGCAGCGGGGCGGCGTCGGCGTCGGCGCCGGGTCCGCGCGGGGCGTCGGCGACGGCGCGGAGCCGTCGGACGCGGCGTCGTCGTCCCCGGCGAAGAGCGCCTTCGCCGGGACGCCGCCGGTCGAGGGCAGCGCGACGTCGAGGGCGAGCACGGACGTCGCCTCCTCCGGCGAGACGACGGCCGGCGCCGCCGCGGTCCGCGGCGGCGTGCGGCTCACGACGCGGACGGGCGGCTTCTGCCGCGGCGCGTCCTCCGCGACGCCGAGCTTCGCGAGGCGGTGGAGCGCGGACCGGTGCGCGGCCTGGAGCCGGTCCCGCTCCTTGAGGAGCACGCAGACGTGCTTCTCCTTCTGCGCCTTGGCGTGCGCGAGCACCTCCTTCGCGCGCGCCTCGCACTCCAACGCCTTCTCGACGCGCGCGAGCCGCGTCTCCGCGCGGTGCACGCGGTCCGTGAGCTTGGCGTTCTCCGCGTCGGCGGCGGCCAGGGTGCGCGTCGACGCCTCCAGGGCCTGCGCCTTGGCCGCGAGGTCGCGGCTCGCGGCCGTCCACGACCGTTTCGCGTCCTTGCTTTCGCCGCGGCGAAGCGCGCAATCTTCCGACGCCATGCGCCAGAGCTCCTCGCGCTCCCGCAGCTGCTCGAGGCGCAGGAGCCGCTCGACCTCCATGGCGCCGGCCATGCCCGCGTCCGCGCGCCGCGCGGCCTCGTGCGCCGCGGCCTCGCTTCGCCACTTCGCGCGGTCCTTGCGCGACTGCAGCTCCGCGGCCTCGGCCCTCGCGCAGCGCTCGGCGAGGTCGCGGTTCTCCTTCTCCAGGGTCCGCAGCTGCTCCTCCTTGGCGCCCCAGGCGCCCGCGAGCACGATGCGCCCGTCGCCCACGGGCTTGCGCATGGCCGTCTGGCGCCGGTCGGCGACGACGACGTTGGACCGCGACGCCAGGGGGAAGCGCCGCGGCTGCGTGTTGACGGCGGGGGCGTGCGCGCGCCTCGGGGGCAGGCCCACGTCCACGGGCGGCGGCGGCGGGGTCACTCCGGAGCGGCGCATAGCTGCCCAACGATGGAGTTCGAATTTTGCAACGGATGGGCTGCAAGGTGGATGCAAGCTGCGCAAGTTGCAGCTATAGCTAAGCTACCGTTTATTTCCTCGCCTCGGCTTGAGCCTATCAAAAGCCATTCTCGAGGTGGAAGTCCACTGTGCGCTTGTCGTGCTCCTGGCGAAGGCGCCCGAGCTCCAGTAAGAGCTCGTCTTGCTCCCGGCGACCGCGCTCGTACTCATAGCCGTCGCTTGCCGTGAGCTCCTCGAGAGCGATGCGCATCGCCCTCCCATAGTCTTCGACGCTGGCGTGTCGCCATCCAGTCGATCCGGAGACGTCTTGATGGCTCAGCGCGGCGGCCTCGCCGCCACCGCGCGCCGCCTCGTCGAGCTTGTCGAGGAGTCCGAGGACGTACAAAGCGCCGCTGGGGTCAGGATTCCGAAGAATTGTTCCTAGGTCGTCGATGCGGTCCTCGATGATCTTCATCGACGCCTCTGATGCCGCCGTCGCCGCGTCGTACTTCGCCTTCCTCCCGAGCAGCGTCTCGTCGTTCGCCTCCGCGCCGCGATGTGGATGTGTATCCAAGGCTTCTATCTCCGTATCCATGGCTTCTATCTCCGCACGCATCTGCTTATTTTGCGCACGCATCTGCTTCTTTTGCTCCTCGGCGACGGGCGTGTAGCCTTCGGGAAGAAATTTCAAAGCGCGCTCTCCAAAGTTGACGTCGACGACGCCCGCCTGCATCGACATCGCCGGATAATACGCGCTGTCGACGGAGATGGAGCGGAAGACGAACTTGTTGCATTCGCCGTTGACGGAGAAGCGGATCTCGCGGCCGTCGAGGTCGAGCATGCAGCCGACGGTGTCGCCGGCCGACATGGGTGACTCTTCGGCCCATTCCTGGGACTCGTGCAGGTAAAAGCCTCCGAAGCCGGCGTACGCGTAGGAGAAACGGTCCTCGCCGCAGCCGTACCGCCCGCCCCCGTCCGGCTGCAAATGTTCCCAGCCGCGCCGGGCCCAGCCGAACGCGAGCGCGAGCGCGGGAGCGACGAACTGCGGATGATGGCCCGCCTCCGTGACCTCGATCTCGTAGAACCATTTGCCGCTCGTCAGCGCAACCTTCGGGAGCCCGACCGTCGCCACGATTCTTTCTTCTTCTGGCACGTCGTCCATCGGCGGATCCATGCACCACTGGCTGTCCTCGCAACGGCGCCGACCGGTGCAAGGGAAGATCCACGACAAAGACGATGAGAGCCCGAGACGCGACGTAGACTCGCAAAAAAAAGCAACCTCAAAGTCGTAGCGATTTCTGTCGTTGGCCTCCTTCGCCTCGTAGATTCGTTTCTGCTCCGGCGTCAAGGTTCGAAATAACTTGCCGAGAAAAAGGCCTGTGGGAAGGCATCATCGCGCGTAAAAACAGCTCCAGGACGCCGCCGCGCGCCGATCTCGCCGGGAGACATGCCATCCTTCTCCAACCGCGGGCGTTCCGCCATGGCCATAAAGATGCTCGCCTTCCGCGGCCGCTTGAGAGCGCTGACCTCCTTGTGCGCGATCTCCGCGGCCAGGCGTAGGTTTCTAGACCGGATCATCTTCCTGATCTCGTCCCCGAATTCTTCCTCCAGCCGCTCGCCTTGGTCAGTTTGCCTCAAGTGGTACGCAATGGCCTTCAACAAGGTCTCTCCCTTATGACTGCCTTCTTGAAGCGCTCGATCTGAGAAAGCGGTATGAGGAACCTTCTGCCACGGCTCGCTCTCGAGGATCGCTGCCACGGCTCGCTCCACCACGGCTTGCGTCAACGCCGTCGGCTCCCACCCGATCTTAATCATCGCATCGTGGAGGGCATCGTAGAAGACGACATCAACGGTCTCCTTTACCTCCGCGCCTTCGTCCTGCTCTCTGAGTCTGAGCACCACACCATGCAGCACGATGTCCGCGAAGCTATGAGTTTCATGGAAAAACAGCTTCTTGAAATTGCTCCGCGAGGCCAACTCGCGCACGACGTCGTCCACCGCGCGCCTCACGATCGGGGCGCTCAAAGCCACCGCGCCGTTGCCTCGGCGGAGCGCCATCTCGCGCCCCACCTTTGGCGGCTCTCCGCGTCTGCTCAAGCCATGCTGCCGGGCTGCTTCGCTGCAAGGATCTTGCAAGGTCGACCCAGCATCGCCGCCGCCGAGAGGCGGCATGGCCTCTTGGAAGGCCGCCAAGGAAGCCGCAGTCGCCAACCATGACGGCTCGAGCGTACTCGACGTGCTCACGATCTCCGCCGTCGCGCCGCTGTGCTTCGGCCTGCGGCTCGAGCTCGCGCGGCGCGGCTGGTCCGGCGCGCTGCTCGACGTCGCCGTCGTCGTCGCGCCGCTGGCCTTCGTGCTCACGACGGGCTGCGACGCCGCGCTCGCCGTCGCCTGTGCCGCCGGCGCGTGCCTCGCGGTCGCCGCGCGCGGCGCGCCGCCGCCGCGCGCGGCGGGCGACCCGGCCGCGGACGTGCGGCTCTTCCGCTGCGGCCAGGCGCTCGCGACGTCCGTGTGCATCCTGGCCGTCGACTTCCCCGCGTTCCCGCGGCGCTTCTGCAAGACGGAGACCTTCGGCGTGTCCCTCATGGACGCGGGCGCGGGCTCCTTCGCCTTCGGCAACGGCCTCGCGAGCCGCGCGGCGCGGGGCCGGCCGCCGTCGCTCCGGCGCGCGGCGCCGCTCGCGGCGCTCGCGGTCCTGCGCGCGGGCGCCGTCTGGGCCTGCGGCTACCCCGAGCACGTCACGGAGTACGGCGCGCACTGGAACTTCTTCGCGACGGCCGCCGCCGTCGACGTCGCGGGCGCGGTCTCGGGACGCGCGCCGCCGGCCGCCGCGGCCGCGGTCTGCGCCGCGGCCGCGGCCGCCGTCGCGGCGCGCGCCGGGCCCTGGGTCCTCTCGGACGCGCCGCGGGATTCGCTGCTCGCCGCGAACCGCGAGGGCCTCGCGAGCCTGCCGGGCTACGCGTGCCTGCACTTTTCCGCCGTCGCGCTCAAACCGACGGTCGACGCGTTCCTGCGCCGCCGCGACTGGCCCGGCCTCGCGGCGCTGAGCGGCGCCTGTTTCGCCGCGGCGGCGGCGCTCGGCCCGCCGTCGCGGCGCCTCGCGAATCCGGCCTACTGCGCCGTCACCGTCGGCCTCAACGTCGCGCTGCTCGCGGCGTTCGCGCGGTGCAACCGCGGCGTCGCGGACGGCCGGTCGCCGCTCCTCGCCGCCGTCGACGGCGACCTGCTCGCCTGGTTCCTCGTCGCCAACGCGACCTGCGGCCTGCTGAACCTGGCCGTGGACACGCTCGCCGTCGAGTCGGGCGTCGTCGCCGTCCTTTGCGCGCGGAGCCTCTGCGACTACGGCGCGGCGCGCGTCGTCGCGCCCTTGAGACGTAAGCGGCAATCCCTTTAGACGTCGCTCATGGCCTTGTCCGCCTCTTCGAGCTCCGAGAGGAGCGCGTGGTGCTTCGGGTTCGCGCGGAGCGCGGGGTAGACGTGGTCCCGCAACAGCGCCGGCTCGTCCGCGAGCGACGCCGCGAGGCGGCGGAGGCGGTTCGCGTCGTCGGACGACGCGAGGCAGGCGGCGTAGGCGTCGAGCCAGCGCGCCCGCGCGGCGGCGGCGCCGAAGCGCGTCGCGCACGCCAATCTTTCCTCGAGCGCGGCCTTGGCGCCTGTGCCGGAGACAACCGCTGGTTTGGGACGTCCCGACCAAACTTCCGAATTCTCGAGCTCGGCCACATCGAAGTCGATTCGGCCGATTTTTGGACGGATCGATTGCTCTCGTCGAGTCCTTTTTGAACAGTGAAAAAAGTAGGTCGAAACCGTTCGGATACATGAATGTTGAACCCGGATTGGCGCCGTCGCCGTCGGGCGCCGCGGCTAACAACGCGGCCGCGGACGTCGCGGCCGCCGCGCCGTCGGCCGCCGCGGCGAGGAGCGCATCCCCGGGCGTCGTCGACGTCGCGGCGCGGTCGTCGGGCAGCGCCGTCGACGTCGCGTCCGCGAGCTTGACCCACGCCGCCGCGCGCGCGTCCCAGGCCACCGCCGCGACGGGCCCCTCGGCCGCAAAGGCCGCGCCCGCGTTGCGCAGCTTGAGCGTCGGCACGCCCGCGGCGCCGATGGCGCAGCCCAGCACCTTGCCGCCCGTCGACGCGCGGAGCGGCGCCGCGGCCGACGCGACGGCGGCCGACGCGAGCCGCCCGCCCGTCCGCCTCCACGCGCGGACCGCCGCGTCGCCGCAGACGACCGCGACGTGGCCGCCGCCGCAGGCGACGTGCGCCGCCGGCGCCGGCAGGAGCAGGACCGGCGCCAACAGCGCGCCGCTCGCCGCGCAGAGGCAGTGGAGCGCGCCGCGGTCCGTGGCGACGAAGACCGCGCCGTCGCCGCCCGCGACGGCGACGGCCGCGCCGGCCACCACCGCCTCCCAGGCCGCGGCGTCGCCGCGGCTCGCGACGACGCGGCAGCGGCTCGTCCCGCCGGCCTTCTCCGGCGCCGCGGCCACCCGCAACCCGCCGCCGACGTCGCGCGACACGACGCCGCCGCGCGGCGCGGGCGCGGCGACGAGGTCGTCGGGCGGCGGCGCGCGCGGCGCGACCGCGGGCGCGGGCGCCGCGGGCGCCGCGGGTGGCGCGGCGGCGACGGCGCGCGGCGCCAGGGCCGCCGCCGGCGCGGCGCCGCCGAGGGCCACGGGCGCGATGCGCTTCTTCTTCTTCGCCGGGCCGGCGGCCGCGCCGTTCCGTCCGTGCTTCGGCCGCGCCTGGAGGATCGTCACCGCCGGCGCGGCGGCCGCCGCGGGCCGAGCCAGGGCGACGGTCTTCGCCGCGGCCGCCGGCGACGGCAGCGTCGGGTTCGGCAGCGCGATCTCCTCGCCGCCCGCGGCGCGGAACGTGTCGGCGAGGTACGCCGCGGCCGCGTCCGCGGACAGCGCCTCGCCCAGATCCGCGCCGACGTCGAAGCGGAAGGCGCAGGTGGACCCGTCGTGGGACGCGGCCACGAGCAAGGACCCGTCGCGGCTCCAGGCGAGGTCGGACACCGCGCCCGAGAAGCAGTCGCGGAAGACGACGACCGGCCGGGCCTTGGACGACGTCCAGACGGAAATCGTCGCGTCCTGGCCGCCGATGGCGACGACGGACCGCGGCGGCGCCCGGCCGCCCGTGTCGTCGTCGACGAAGAGCGCGGGGCAGAACTTGACGACCGTGACCGGGTGCTTGTGGCCGACGAGATCCGCGACGCCGTCCCACGAACCCCTCGCGACGACCGCGGCGCACGCCTGCATGGACTTGGCCGCGTTGGGCACGCCGAGCGACGCGCCGTCGGGCGCCCAGGACAACCGCTGGAAGAAGGTCTGGGACGTGACGCCCGCGAAGGGCTTCTCGATGGTCGCCTCGACGCGCCAGTCGCCCGACGCGCGCCACACGAGCACGCGCCGGTCCTCCGACGCGGACGCGAGGAAGCGGCCCGTCGGGTCCCAGGCGACGCCCTTGACCCAGTTCGCGTGGCCCCGGAGCGTGCGCAGGGGCGCCATGAGCAGCGCCAGGTTCCGCGCGTCCCAGACGCAGACGCTGTTGTCGATGGAGCACGACGCGATCATCGCGTCGTCCGCGGACCACGCGACGTCCAGCACGTCGGCGCCGTGGCCCCGCAGCGTCGCGGCGCGCGCCCAGGCGCCGCCCGCGCGCGGCTCCCAGACGAAGACGAACGTGTCGTCGCTGCCCGACGCGAGCCGATGCCCGGCGCCCGACCACCGCACCGACGTCACGACCGCCGTGTGCTTGGCCAGCGTCGCGGCCAGCGCCGCCTCGGGCACGGCCTCGGGCGCGTCGTTGCCGCCCCCGGCGAAGACGACGCCGCAGGACCAGAGCCGCACGAGCGAGTCGCCGCCGCACGTCGCGAGCGTGTCGCCGCCCGGCGACAGGTCCAGCGAGTAGACCGCCGACGCCGTGCCCTCGGCCTCGTGCAGGTTGAAGTGGCGGAAGCACCGCATCTCGTTTCTGCCGTCGCGGCGCGCGGCGCGGGTCTCGTTGCGCGTCGAGCAATGTACTAGGCCACAGTGGGTTTGGCGCCCATACGATTCAAGATCTCGGCGACGCCATTGGAGAGGTTTGCGCTCCTGTGCACGAGCGGCCGCGGTGGCGCGCCCGGCAGCGCCGATGGTTAGGCAGCCCGAGCCATCAGACCAGCGCCGGACGATGGGCGCGGGCGGATAGGATAGGACAAGACATCAGCCGATCGCCTGCGGCCCCAAACACACATTAAAGCATGCTGGCCCGCACGCAGTCGGCGGGGACGTTGGAGCTGTCGCAGTCCGAGGGCAGCGACGGCGGGGACGACTGCGACGGCTTCGGGACGGCGAACAAGAAGCTCTCGGAGAAGGCCATCGAGCTCCGGCGGCGCGTCGAGGAGCGGCGCACGGAGCGCAAGGCCGCGCTCGTCAAGGCGGGAGAGATGGTGCTCTACAACCAAAAACGCGCCGTCGCGCGGACCCTCGAAAAGCACGCGACGCGCCAGGGCGAGGAGCGGCTCTGGGGCGCGGAGGCGCTGGGCGACCACATGCAGCTCTACGCCCGCGCGGACCAGCAGTTCGCGATCCGCGAGGGCGGCGACCACCTCGCGCGCGATTTGCGGCGGTCGATCGTCGGCGCGCGCGAGCACCGGGACAAGCTCAAGCACCTCGAGGACCGCGTGCGGAAGATGCGCGACGACGTCAACGGCACGCTGCGGTCCCACGCCGACGCGGAGGTCGACAAGATGACCAAGGACGCGCGCGACGACGCGAAGATGCTGGGGTTGAAGGACCTCTTCGCGACGTGCGACAAGTGCCGGAGCCGCGTGCTCCGCGCGCAGCTCGCGGGCCACCTGCTGGTGTGCGCGGGCGCGCCCATGGAGGCCGAGGGCTCGTCGGAGGACGAGGCCGTCTACGACCCCAAGGTCGAGCGCATCGCGTGCGTCGTCTGCGGCTCGCTCAAGACGAAGGAGAAGCTCCGGGGCCACGTCGAGCGCTGCAAGGTCCGCCGCAAGTACCAGAGCGACCGCAAGCAGGCCAAAAAGTCCGTGGCCATGAAGCCCCAGCCGCCGCGCGACCTGCGCATCGGCAAGATCACGCCGACGCAGATCGAGCTCAAGTGGGCGCCGCCGATCCTCGACGGCGGCGCGACGGTCTACGAGTACGAGGTCGTCTTCAGCATCACCAAGGTGACCCAGATCGGCAAGAAGGTCACGAAGACCGTGAGCCAGCTGCCGCCCATCCTCACGTCCTGCTTCGCGTACGTCGAGCCCGTCGCCGACCGTGCCGGAAACAACCAGCGAGCTGGGACGTCGGGGCCGAACTTCAAACCTCTCTCGCTCGGCCAAATCGAAGTCGATTCGGGTGATTCTTGGACGAATCGATTGGTCTCCTCGAGTTCCCGAAGCAGGGCCGAAAAAGCTTGCGTCGAAACCGTCGAATACACTCACATTGAAAGTCGGGTTGAAGATTTTGCACGCAGGTCGCCGAGTACGGCCACACGCTCACGGAGCTCCGCGCGTCGACGGAGTACTCGGAGTTCGCCGTGCGCTGCAAGAATTCCATCGGCTGGAGCGAGCGCTGCGAGCCCCTCATGGCCTACTCGACGAAGGAGGCCGTGGCGCCGGGCAAGCCGCTCTACCTCGACGCGGGCGCGCCGACGGCGAACTCGTTCCAGCTCCGCTGGTCGCCGCCGCTCCGCGACGGCGGCGCCGAGATCGTCGACTACCTGATCCACTACGTCGAGGTGCGCCACCTGACGCACAACGAGTGGGTCGCGGAGTTCAAGAAGGACGACACGAAGGGCGCGGGCCGCGCGATGGCGTCGCAGTCGAAGACCAAGGGCGGCAACACGACGGACGAGAAGCACGAGGTCAAGACCGTCGTCAATCTGCGGGTCGGCGGCCCCCAGTGCGAGTTCAAGCTGCGGGACCTCCGGGGCGAGACGGACTACGTCAACATCGAAGTCCGCGCGAAGAACAAGGCCGGCCAGGAGGGCGACGCGGAGAAGATCGACAAGGTGACGACGCTGCCGCCGTCCATGCGCGAGCTCCTCATCAAGGAGCTCAAGCGCGCCGAGGCCGTCGAGGGCGACTTCGTGGACACGGACTTCTACCAGGGCTTCTTGCAGCGCGAGTACAAGCGCGACTACGTCGCGCGGCTCAAGGCCGACCTCGCGGAGGCCTACCAGATGGAGAAGGACATCGCCGTGCGCGACGAGGCCTCGGAGGAGCTCGCCAAGCGGCGCTGGGCCGCGTCCAAGTCCATCGTCGGGTCCGCTCGAATGTTCGCCATGGTCGACGAGCCGCCCGAGGAGCTCTCCGAGGAGGCGCAGATGGAGAAGGCCGTGCCCGAGTACAAGCGCAAGCGCACCCAGTTCGAGCACCGCCTCAAGCAGCTGGAAAAGCAGATCGAGAAGGCCGAGGCGGACCAGCTCAAGTGCTTCGCGGACCGGGCCGCGCTGACGCGGGCCATGGCGGACCAGCAGGAGCGCGTCTTGGAAGTCCGCGCGGAGATCGACCGCGTCGCCGGCGTCAAGGCGCCCTACATCAATTCCTCCGTGATCCACGGCAGCGTGCAGCGCTTCACGAAGCCGCAGCTGCAGCGCGACCTCCAGATCGAGATGGAGAAGTGCCTCGGCGAGATCGCCGACAGCAAGCGCAAGGTGCAGATCCTGGACAAGAACCGCATCCGCGCCCAGAAGACGGCGGACCAGAAGAAGACGGAGCTCCACGACCGCCAGGCCCAGTTCGTCAACGTCCGCGCGGACGTGCGGCGGCAGACGCGCGTGACGCGGCTCCAGTCCAGGAAGCCGCGGCTCACGCCCAAGGAGCGCGCGGAGCGGCGCATCGCGCTCATGCAGAAGTACGTCGAGCTCTGGCAGGACTTCCGCGCGGACCGGCGCCACGCGCGCGGCGTCGCGCTCCGCGTCTTCGTCGCGTGCGCGCGGCGCTACCTCATCGCCGCCGTGCACCGCCTGCGCTACGGCGTCTTCCTCGTCTTCGAGGTCGACGCGGCCAAGGTCGCCGGGCGCATCGTGGGCAAGGGCGGCCGCCTGCTGAAGCTGTCGGCGGAGCGACGCGAGGAGAACATCGCGGACGCGCGCGCGGCGCTCCGCGAGCTCAGCGAGCTCCGGGGCGCCGCGGACCAGCTCGCCTACTCGCGGAAGCAGCTCAAGACGTGGCAGGAGGGCAACCGGCGCGCCTACGAGACGTCCGAGCTCCACGCGCCCGTCGGCGGCGAGACCGTCGTCGTCATCCCGCCGGAGGAGACCGGGCTCGACCCCGTCAAGGAGGACGATTTGGAGGAGGACGAGGCGCCGCCGGAGGTCGCCTTCGTGCTCGAGGGCGACGGCTTCCGGCGCATGGGCCGCACGGACGAGGCGCTGGCCTGCTACGAGCGGGCCATCCGCGCGCTCTTCGACCGCGCGCGGCTCCGGGCCCACGGCCAGGTCGACGTCGCGGGCCTCGCGCGGGCCCAGGTCCGCATCGGCAACGCGCACTTCGACGCGGGCGACCACACGAAGGCGCTGACGGCGCTGGACCGCGCGGGCGACCTCGTCCGCGAGCTCGCCGGGGGCCTCGACGCGGCCCAGTCCATCGACCGCAAGGCGGGCACGGACGACGCGGCTTTGGTGCTCCTGGAGCGCCTCGACCCGAAGAAGGCGCGCTTCGTCTGCCTGCGGCTCCGGGGCCAGGTCGAGATGGGTTTAGGGCAGGCGCTGGTCGAGATCGCGGAGTACGACCAGGGCCAGACGGCGCTGGAGAAGGCGCGCGAGACCTACGCGGTGCTCGGCGACGTGCGCATGCGCGCCGAGGTGTCGCGCGCGCTCGCCGAGTGCGCGCGGCGCCAGCACCTCCGCGAGGACGTCATCGCGAGCCACGAGGCCGCGGCGTCCGAGGTCGACGAGGAGGTCGCGCTCCGCCTCAAGGAGGGCGCGGGCAAGCTGCTGCGCATGAAGGAGCGCCTCTTCTCCACGTCCGCGAAGCAGGGCAAGGTCACGCCGCTGAAGCGCCAGTCCGCGCGCGCGTTACGGTTAGTCAACGAGCAGCAGGCGTACAAGGACCGCATCGTCCAGTGCAAGGAGGAGCGCGGCGAGCAGGAGAAGACGACGGCCAAGGTCGAGCAGCTCCGGGAGCGCATCGACGCCCAGCTCAAAGAAGCCAAAACGTCGGACAAGGACGAGATGTCGTCGACGCTCGTCCACGGCCGCGAGCAGATCTTCGAGATCGAGGAGCTCAAGGTGCGCCTCACGGAGCGCCTCGCCGAGGTCACGAAGGAGGTCGAGGCGTCCTTCGCCGAGGAGCGGGCCATCGACGCGCGCATCGCCAACTACCTCGACGACATCGTGGTCGCGCAGCAGGAGTACGACGTCGAGGCGGGCGCGCTCATGCTCAGCGTGCTCCAAAAATCCAAACTGCGCTTCATCGCCTTCAACCCGGCCAACGCCGCGGGCAACGAGGTCCTCGGGTCCGCGTCGGGCGGCGTCGCCATGTGCGTCGCGGCCGAGGGCAAGTCCGTGTCCGTCTTCAATTTGAGGACGGGCGTGCTCCGCCGCGTCTTCACGGGCGACGAGGAGGGCCGCCACCTCGGCGCGCCCGTGGGCCACACGTCCCTCGTGTCGGCGCTCCACTTCTCCGGCGAGCGCGTCTACACGGGCGGCATGGACTGCCGCATCTTCGTCTGGGACGTGAGCGAGGGCAGCCTCGCGCGCGTCATCAAGGCTAACGACGACGCGCTGCGCAAGGAGGAGCTCACGGAGGAGCAGCAGCGGGGCATGGACGGCAAGCCCGTCATGTGCCTCGAGGGCCACGAGGCCACCGTGACGGCCGTCGCCGTCGACTCGCTCAAGATCGTCTCGGGAGGCGCGGACACGAAGATGATGCTCTGGGCCCGCGCGACGGGCGAGCGGCTCCGCGTGCTCCACGGCCACAGCCGCTCCGTCGTCTGCCTCAACGTGGGGCCCACGTGGGTCGCGTCCGGCGGCCAGGAGTCCGAGGCGCGCATCTGGTCCCTGCCCAAGGAGGCGGACCCGTCCGCGTCCGTCGGCCACGAGCGGTCGCGCGTCAAGGCCGAGGAGGCCCTCAAGCGCGGCCAGGTGCGCTGCCGCAAGCGCCTCAGCGCCGGCGGCGCGGGGCTGACGGCCGTCAAGTACGGCAGCCTCGAGCTCATCGCGGGCCTCGCGGACGGCCACATCATCGTCTGGTGGCTCCAGACGGGCGACATCCTGCAGCGGTCCAAGGCCCACGACGGCCCCGTCTTCGACCTCCAGTTCGACGCGACGCGCGTCGTCTCCGCCGGCGGCGACGCGCTCGTCGTCGTCACGGACGTGACGACGGGCGAGCAGATCCAGAGCTTGCGGGGCCACGACGGCCCCGTGATCCAGCTCCAGTTCGACACGTCGAAGATCCTGAGCGCGGGCGTCGACAACACGCTGCGCCAGTGGACCTGGGCGACGGACGCGGACAAGGGCAAGCCGAGCGACAAGTACCACGTCTACGACGCGGGCGACACCTTGGTCCAGATCGCGCGCAAGTACAACGTCTCCATCCCCGACATCGTCCGCTGGAACGCCATCGAGGACGTGCGCAAGCTCTACGCGGGCACGCGCCTCATCGTCGCGCCGGGCAACCCCGACGAGCCCACGGAGCCCGAGCGGGCCGCGGCGAAACGCGCGGAGCAGAAGAAGCGGCGCAACGCGGAGGTCGCGGACGCGGCGCAGCAGCGCGGCGGCGCGGCGAAGAAGGACGACGAGGTGCTGGCGAAAATCGCCGAGCGGGAGAAGCGGGAGAAGGGCGAGGACAAGCCCTTCGAGCCGCGGAAGACGCTCCGGGACCTGCAGTACGTCGACAAGGCGTCGATCTCGTCGCGCTTCGCGGCGTCCATGGAGCCCACGGCGCTGGACCTGGACGCCATCCGGCTGCGGAAGGAGGCGAGCGACGCGGCGACGGCGGCGAAGCGCAACGCGCTGGGCACGCGGATCCGCGAGGCCATCGAGAACAGCATCGACCCCTTCGGCGACGTCGCCGCCGCGCGGCAGAAGCGCGTCGACGAGGAGAATTTGGCCCGGGAGCGCAGCGAGCGCGAGGAGGCCCTCGCCCAGGCGCCCCAGGGCGGCCAGGGGTCGCCGTCGAAGCGCGCGGCGGCGCCGAAGACGCGCGCGGAGAAGGAGGCCTTGGCGAATGCCGCGTTCGTCTTCGAGTCCGTGCTCCTGCCCACGCTGTTGGCCGAGGAGTGCTACCAGCTCGCGGAGGCGGGCCTGCAGAAGATGACCTGGAACGAGTCGCTCGCGGGGCGGCTCTGCGAGACCATCGAGGACGGGCCCATGGACTACGACGCGCTCGAGCTGCTGCTCGCGCAGGAGCGCATGAAGGCCGCGCGGTTGCACGCGGCGGAGGTCCGCAAGAACCTGGAGCACGCGGCCCTCGCGGACCGCAGCGGCGCGGCCGGCGGCGGCGGCATCGGCGCGGCGCTCGGCGGCATCGGCGGCATCGCCATGGCGGCGAGCTCCGGATCCGTCAAGAAGGACGACACGCCGAAGAAGGACGACGACGACTACTCCGTCCCGGACTCGCAGCAGGACATCTCCACGGTCGTCTCGTCCCACTACTCCGACTTCCCCGACGGCGGCAGCGACGACGGGGGAGCGGGGGGGTAAGGGTTGTGAGGGAGGGGAAGGTCCGCGCGGCGGCGGAGAGGTGAACATGCCGCCAAGCGGCCAGCGGCAGATGGGCGGGGCCAAGCCCGGGCCGGGAATGCCTCAACGATGCTTCATGCAAATGGGTGAAGTAGCTGGCGCGAGCACTTCCGTGGCGGCACGAGGCCTGCAGGCGGCTTCTCGAGCAGGCCGCGCATCGTCGTACCCCCGGCGACAAATCGCGGCCCACCCGGCGCGGCGCAGCACGATGGCGCGCGCCCTGGCGCTCCTCGGCTGCCTCTTTTTCCGCCCCGGCGCCCCCCTCGTCCCCGGCGCGCGCCGTCCCCGGACTTCGCGCGCCTCCGTCGCCGCGGCGCCGGAGGACGGGCCGGAGGACGCCCCCCCGTTCGACGGCGCGGCGGACGCCTACGCCGGCGACGCCGACGCGCGGCCGCGGCGGCGGGTGAGCCGGCTGTCGGTGTCGAAGCGGCTCGAGGCGATCCGGTCGCGCGAGGCCGCGCCGCCGCTCGCCGCGCTCGGCGAGCTCGCGCAGGACGGGTCGGACTACGTGCGCACGCTCAACAGCGAGATCTGGGGCGGCGTCACGGAGACCGTGGAGGCCCTCGAGCCCCTCGCGAAGGAGGGCTTCCGCGCGGCGCGGCGGAGCGAGCGCGACCTCGTCGGGCGCCTCCACGACGCGTCGAGCGAGTTCCTGCAGTGGTGCAGCTTCATGACGCGCGCGAACACGTTGGGCCTCACGGAGGACCTCGACGTCTCCGAGCAGCTCGCGGACCGCGTCCGCCACAGCGTCAACGTCGCCGCGGGCCGGTCCGAGCCGCAGCCGCTGCTCCGCGACGACCCGCGCTTCCAGGACGACGCCGACGACCGCTACGCCGACGACGCGCTCCGCGACGACTGGGCCGCGATCCACCTCGAGGCCGGAAACGACGACGCGGCGCTCTTCGACGACGACGACGACGACGACGACGACGCGGCGCCGTGGCCGCCGGCGGCCGCGTGGGTGGACGACAACGACGTCGACGTCGTCTCCGTCGGCGCCTCCGAGTGGGAGGAGATCACGGCGACGGCCTTCGAGGTCGACACGCAGGTCATCGAGGACACGGTCCTCAAGGGCCGGTGGAGCGTCAAGAACGGCCGGACCGTCTTCGAGCGCGACGACGACGCCGCCGCCTAGGGGGCGGTAACTGCTCGTCTTGTAGCCCTGTTTCGATGGGTGTGGGAGGTCCTCGCGGACGGTGGCGGCGTTCATGTCAGTATGAACATGGCTGTAGCCTGAGTCTGGACAACTGGAGACGCCGGCTCGTCGCGGACCTCGCGGGCCGATGGTACGGCGAGAGAGGTCGGACCGTCGTCGAGCGCGGCGACGCCGCCGGCGCCGCCCCTGGCGTACGCCAGGGCGGCCCAGTGCGGTGTTGTCGGAACGGGGTTTTGGCTTGATTGAAGTTCAAGTTGAGCTCAGCAAATGCGAGAGCTTCGGCGTGAGAGCTGCCATAGCACACCAGCTTCTTCGTCGTCCCGCGGTGCATGGTCGCAGTACATCCGGCACCGGCTTTCATGGCTCGGGACTACGACGAGGATGAGGACGACGAGGTCGCGCCGCTCGATCGGCTTTCGCAGCGCGTCGCCGCCAGCGTCGAGCGACTTGCCACTGGGTTGGAAGACAGAAGAAATCCTCGACCACTCCCGGGTCGGAGGACGGAACTAACCGTCAGCGCGCGACCGCCGACCCACGCCGCATGTAGGTCGCCGCCTACGAGACGGACGAGGACCACAGCATGCACACGACGGACCACGAGGACCACACGTTCTCGGGCATCATGTTCACGGTCGAGTGCCTCGACCGGGCGATCCAGACCGTCGTCGTCCGCGCGGTCCACGTCCGCGGCGAGCTCGGGCCCATGACGGTCTGGGTGCACCGGGGCCGGTGGCACGCGTCGCGCGGCGCGCGCGAGGACGAGAGCCTGTGGACCAAGGTCTTCGACGGCGTCCGCGAGCCGTCGCGGCGGTCGCCGGCGGCGCTCGAGCTCCGCGAGCCCGTCGCGCTCGCGCCCGGCGACGTCGTGAGCCTCTACGTCCACAGCCAGCTCCAGAGCGACACGGGCGTCGTCTACGACAACGCGCGGGGGGGCGCGGCGTCCGAGGACACCTACTTGAGGGTCGGCGCGGGCTGCGCGCACCTGTCGCCCGTGCCCTTCGCGGGCTACCACCCCTGGGGCGCGTGGCGGAACCGCCGGAGCTTCGTCGGCAAGCTCTCCTACGGCGTCAAGCACCTGCTCTGGCAGCCCGAGCCCGCGGTCCACGCGGCGTTCCCCGCGCCCTTCCGGTCCATGGTCATGGTCCTGCTCATGGCGCGGAACCGGCGCGACAACTACCTCGCGGACCTGCCCGAGGACATCCTCTTCTACATCCTCCACATGTGCAACTCCAAGTGGGCGCCGCCGCCGCCGAAGCCGGGCCTCGCGGCCGCGCTCGCGGCCGCGCCGCCCGCGGCGTTCGTCAAGAAGAAGAGCGCGTCCTTCGTCGCCTCCGTGCGCAAGTCCCTCGCCGCCCTCTTCGGCGGCCGCCGCTCCGCGCGCGCGACGGCGCCCGCCGCGGCGTCGACGGCCTAGACAAACCCCCTTTTTGTGTACCCCCCTACCGCGCGCTACGCCGCCGCGCGGCCTGGCGCGCGCGCCGGAGGCTCGGCGCGACGTCCGCGAGGAGCGCGGCCGTCCCCGCCGCGAGGTCCGCGAGGTCCGCGCGCCGGTCGCCGCGCGCGGGCGCCGTGTTCGCGCCGTGCTCCACGTGGAGGAAGAGGCCCGCGTCGTCGTCGACGTCGTGGGAGACGAGCTGGGCCGCGCAGCCGTCCTCGCCGCGGTCGAGCGGCGGGAAGGGCACGTCGACGTTCGCGCCGTGGACGAAGGTCTCCGCGCGGCCCGTCGCGGCTTTGAAGTCGACGCGCTCGAGCGTGCCGGAGCCTGCCGAAAAAAAACGCTCGACGATCGCGGGAGCCCCCCCAGGACGCCGGTCCCTCGCAGACGCGGTAGTTCGTCCAGCCCGAGAGGCTCACGAGGTCCGCGCCGCCGCCTGCGGAACGGCGCGTTTTTCGGGCGACGTTTCTTGACGCCGGCTTTTGTTGCCGAGCTCCGCCGCGGCGCAGTGCGGGACCATGGTCGCGAGGTAGTCCGGCCCGTAGACCTGGGCAGCAAAAGGGTGATTCAACGTCGCTTCAACGTGAGTGTTCCGCGCGCGAACGTTCAAGAAAAAGCATCCACGCTTCGAGACCGTTCCGAGAGATGATCGCTCGTCCAAAAATCAGCCGAAACGAGTGGAAACCGGCCGAGATAGGAGCCTTTGAAGTTGGGAATTTCGCTCTCTTTTGCTGCCCTGCCGTAGACGTTGTCGTCGTCGAAGTGGGCGACCACCGTCCCCCGCGCGAGGCCCAGGAGGAGGCGCCGCTTCGCGCCCAAAGTCACGTGCGTCGGCGCGTGGACGTAGCGCGCGTCGCCGGCGTCGCGGAGCGTCGGCGACGGCGCGCCGCCCGTGTCGTAGACGATGAGCTCCTTCGCCGGCCAGGTCTGCCGTCGGAAGCATTCCAGGAGCGCGCCGTGGAACGCGGCGCGCGAGCCCATCGTCGCGCAGACGACGCTCACGAGCGGCGGCGCCGCGGCCGGCGGCGGGTCCGGCGCGAGGCGGCACGCGCACGACGTCAGGCAGCGGCCGCGGCGGCGCTCGAGGTCGCGGAGCCGGCCCTGGGCCTCGCGCAGCGCCGGCGACGGCGGCTCGTAGGCCTGGGCGTAGGACGGCACGTCGAGGTGCGTGGCGGCGAGCACGCGCGACGCCGCGGCGGCGTTGGCGTCGCCGCGCCGCATGGCCTGGAACTCCTTGAAGGAGGCCATCGGACTGCGGCGGGCTGCCAAAGTAGTAGTCTACCGCGGGGCTGCCTGCGATCAGGGTGCTGCCGCGGGCTGTCGCGGTCTGCCAAGGTAGTCTACCGGGGCTGCTTGTGATCAGGGGACCATGCTGCTCCTGACGATGAGACACAACTTGAGCCTCAAGATGTGGCCGGCCCAATCGACGCCTTGGAAGAACTGCACGATTCACCCCCGGCGACCTGTGTTTTGGTGCCGATGTGTAACACATCGGGCCCATAACTCGGGCTGCGTCGCGCGCGCGGACGAGCCCTTTTGCCAGGCCCTGGACACCCTCTCGGGGCGGCCCTCCGCCGCAAGAACGGCGGAAATCGACTCGGGTGGCGCGTCGATGTCGTCGCTCAAAGACGCGATTCGGGGCCGATTTTTGCCCGGGACGACTTTTTGACCCTCTAGGGCTGCCCGCCGCGCGCCGCGGCGGCGCCAAACTCTGCCCGGGGTACCGCGACGGCCTCGGGAAGCTCTCAAGCGGGGCAAACGACGTCGATCGCGCCGAGAACGGCCGGGGGGTACTCGGGATTGCCCGAACCCCCGAAACGCGTCCACTCGAGTTCGCATCGATGACGGCGGTTCCATCGATCCCTGGCGGCTGCGGAGGCCGTCACCATCCACACCAAGACCTGCGAAGCTCTGGCTGCGACTCGGAGTCCCATCCAGGTCCCGCGCCACGTTGGCGTGCTCGGGCCGTTTTCGGCCCCGAGAGGCCATTTTTTCGTCGACGAGAAACCGCTGCGATTGTGCCATTTTTTTGTCTGGACCACCGAGTATGGTCATGGGGAGACGCGCGCGGGCCTTGAAAGCGCGAAAAACGACTCAAAAGTCGTCGCGTAAGGGCCAGTCCAGGGCTTGAAATCCGCCTCGAAAACCCTTAAATACCTCCCGAAACGCGCCAAAATGATGGAGCCCACACTAGCTGCGCTGCGTCAACCTGGGTCTGACCTAGGGTTCCCGCCCGGTGGTCTTGGTTTGCCGCCACACGCCCAGGACGTCGCGTAAGACGGCGCGCCCCATGCCCAAAACGCAGGTCGCCCTCGGCGTTTTGTGTAGAATGCTCGAAACGAGCGACAAGCAAGGTCCACTAACTTTGCATCGTCGCATTCTTCGCGTCGCCCGACTTCCTCGAGCGCTTGCACGTCGCGTCGCGCATCCGCATCCGCTTCCACCGCCGTCGCCCGCCGCGCACCCACGCCATGGCGTCGCTCGCCTCGAAGGCCGCGAACGAGGGCTTCGCGCCCCTGACGCGCCGGCGCAGCAGCTCCTTCCGCCAGAAGCAGGAGTCGAGCGAGTTCGGCGACAAGAGCCGCCAGCACTTCCTCAAGGAGCAGATCGTCAAGGGCCCGGAGCGCGCGCTGCCGCCGCAGGCGAGCGCCGGCGCGCGCGCGGCCGCGGCGTCGAACGCGCTCCACTACAGCCTCAAGGCGCGGATCCCCGAGGAGCTCGCGGCGACGCCCGGCGCCGGCGGCCAGCAGCTGCGGCGCGTCATGCTCCACGGCGCGACCATCGTCTTCGTGACGCCCGGCTACGCGGGCAAGCGCTTCATCTACGAGCGCGCGAGGGAGCTCGGCGTCCGGTCCGTCATCATCGACGAGCCCGGGAGCTGGGCCGAGGGCCTCGTGGGCGCGGGCGTCATCGCCAAGTTCCTGCCCCTGAACCTCGAGCGCGACTCCGAGGCCGTGCTCGCGGACTGCGTCTCCGCGGTCCGGGGCCTCGCGCGCGACGCGGAGGTGGGCATGCCCGCGGGCGTCTGCACGTTCTGCGAGCTCTCCGTGCCCCTCGTCGCGCGCCTCGCGGAGGCCCTGGGCCTGCCCGGCCCGTCGTCCAAGGCCGTGGACACGGCCCGCGACAAGCACAAGACGCGCGGCGCGATGCGCGCCGCGGGTCTACCGTCGCCCGAGTGCTTCAAGGTCGAGTGCGCGGACGACCTCGCCGCCGCGGCCCAAAAGGTCGGCTTCCCGGCGGTGCTCAAGCCCCTCAACGGCGCCGCGAGCCTCGGCGTCAAGAAGGTCGCGTCGGAAAACGAGCTGAAGCGGTCCTACGACGAGGTCCGCAAGGAGATGGACGAGACCGTCGTGACGTCGGGCGCTTTGGTGAAGAAGGACAAGGGCGCGGACTCGCCGCCGCCGGAGAAGGTCGACTTCCTCTTCGAGGAGTACCTCGACGGGCCCGAGGTCGACGTCGACGTCGTCATGGCCCGGGGGCGGCCCGCGTACGCCAAGGTCGTCGACAACGGGCCCACCGCGGAGCCGTACTTCGCGGAGACCTGGGGCCTCTGCCCGTCCCTGCTGAAAGAGGCGGACCAGGCGGCCCTGGAGCAATTGGCCGTGGACGCGCTCGCCGCCTGCGGCTTCGAGGTCGGCGTCTTCCACGTGGAGTGCAAGCTCACGAGCCGCGGGCCGCGTTTGATCGAGATCAACGCGCGCATGGGCGGCGGCCAGGTCCGCAAGACGCACCTGCTCTGCTCCGGCGTCGACCTCGTCGAGGAGACGCTCTTCACGGCCGTGGGCATCCCCTGCAACCCCCACGTCGTCCCGGGCAAGGCCGTCGCCTACACGTACGTCACGTCGCCCGAGAGCGGCGTCGCGGCGGGCGTCGCGGCGCAGGCCGCGGCCCTCGCGGCGTCCGACCCCCTCGTCGTCTACGCCAAGCCCCTCGTCGCCGACGGCGCGGCCGTCGTCGGCGCCAACGACGCGCTCCCGGACTGGATCCTCGACGTCATGACGACGCACGACGACCCCAAGGCCGCGCTCGACCACGTCCTCGGCCTCGCGACGACGCTCGACATGGCCAAGCTCGTCATCCACTAGGCTGCCCTTCCCCGCCCCCCTCCCCCTGTAATCACATAGCGGACCTCTCATCCCTTGTTACATGCACGTCGCGGACCTAGCGTCCCTCCGAGACTCCCTCGTCCTTCTTCGGCCGGCCCGGCCGCGCGCGCACGGCCGCGTCGACGGCGTCGTCGCCGCCCGCGTCCGCGGCGTCGACGAGCCCCCGCTCGTCGACGCCGCCCGCGTGGCCGCCGCGGGTCACGAGCGCGTGGAAGACGGCGCGGCCCCAGCCCGCGGGCGCGACGACGTCCCAGCCCGCCGCGAGCGGCGACGCGGAACGCGCGCGGACGACGACGACGGGCATGTCCAGGGGCGGCCGCCGCTCGGCGAGGCCGCGCTCGGCGTTGAGCACGTCGTCGCGCACGAGCCGCACGGCGTCCGTGCTCGCGGCGCGCGTCGCGGCGTCGAAGACGCCCGGATCCGGTGCCGCGGCCGCGGCGCGGTCGTCGCGCGGGTCCCGGACGCGGAGCGCGGCCCCGGCGTCGCCGTCCGTCAGGGACGCGCGGAGCGCCGCGTTGACGACGGCCGTCGCCTCGGCGCCGCGGACGAGGAGCCGCACGAGGCCGCCGGCCGCGGGGCCCGCGCGGTCGCCGAGCGCCGCCGCGGCCGCGGGCCGGTTGTCGCGCCGCGGGAAGATCCAGACCGCGTCGCCCGCGGCGACGACGAGCGACCGGCCGGAGCCCGGCGCGGAGGGCGCACCGGCGACCATGGCCGCGGCCGCCTCCGGCCCCGCGGCGGCGGCGACGGCGGCCCAGCGCGCCGCGCCGTCGCCTCTAACTTCGAGCGGCCGGTCGTAGGTGACGTCGAAGACCAGCGCCGCCGTCGCGAGCGACGTCCGCGCGGCCTTCAAGCCGCGGTCGCTCCGCCGCTGCGGCACGCGCCAGCCGTCCGCGTCGACCATGGCGAAGCGTTTCGCGTGGTAGAGGTGCGTCTCGAGGAGCCGATGCTTGTCGCCGTCCGCGTCCGCGTGCGCGTCGCGGCTCGCGAGCATGAGCGCCGCCTTGCGCCGCTGGCGGCGGCTCGGCGGCTTGGCCGGGTTCGCCGCGGGCACGAAGGGCTTGACGTGCGATCGGTTCTTTCGGCGCAGGTGGCGCACCTCGGGCGGCGCGTCCGCGAGGCTCGCCTCGAGCGCCTCGAGCTCGGGGAGGCGCGCGCGCGCGAAGTCGACGACGTTGACGACGGCGGACATGGCGTGTTGCGGCGGTGGCTCGCGACACGTTCTCAGCGCTGGTGCCAGCAACCTGCCTTCTCGACTTGGACCGAGCACACGCTGCGAGCCGGGGGTCTCCAGCCGCCCTCGTCGGCGCGCCGCGATGACCGGCGCCGCCGAGGCGCCGCCTCGCTCCGGATCGCTCCGGATCGCTCCGGATCGCCGCCGGGACCCCGGTGGCGCCGGCCCTGCCGCGACGCGTCGTAGATCGGGCGACGTAGTTCGCCGGCGGGCGCGTCGTAGTTCGGCGCGATGCACATGAGCTCAAGTTGGCGAAGAGGACGCTGCCGGCGGCCATGAGGAAGCCGATGCCCGTGCCGCCCCAGAACACCTTCTTGTACGAGAAGTGCGGGAGGCCCGACGCGTGCCAGAGGCACAGGAGGCCGGCGACGACGAAGACGATGGCCCAGAGCGTCGGCCCGTCGATACGCCAGGTCAGGCGGCGATCGCGGTCCGCGAGCTCGACGAGGAGTACGCGGAGCGCAGCAATGACCTCTGCGCGCGGTACGCCGACCGCATCGAGGACGCCGCGTACCACGCGTTGCTCGCCCGCTTCGACGTCCTCTGCGACGACGACGGCATCCGCGACGCCGGCGAGTTCCGGGACCTCCGGGTGGCCGCTGGAATTCGCAGCCAAGTACAACAAGGCGCATCCTAAGCTAGGCCTCCCCCCGACGCCACAGGCGCGGCCGGAGCGCAGCGGTCGCGTCCACGCCCGAACGGGACGCGCGAAGTCGAGGAACGCGCGAGGAAATTTAGTGCAACAACTTGATGCGAGCCGAAGTTGCCCGCCGACGCGATGCGCACAAGCGTCGCCGCGATCGCGCTGCTCTATGCCACAGCCGTTTCCGCCGAGCTCGTGCACGTCAGCGATGCCACCTGGAAGACCGAGGCCTCTGCTGCTTTAGGCGCCGCGCGGCCGGCCTGGGAGTCCGTCGTCATTGGCTGCGTGCTGAGAATCAAGTCGACGCAGCCGGCGAAGCTAGGTCTCCGGAACGCGCAGCCGGAGCGCGGCGACACGGACACCGTCCCGCGGCTCTGCCGCGTCGACGTCGGCGACGGCGGTCCGCCGCCGGGCGACGCGGCCGCGGTGCTCGCGCTCGTCGACTCCGTCGGCTACCTCGAGGCGCCCGGCAACTGGGAGGCCTTTCTGAACAAGGCGGCCTACTGCAAGGCCACGGGCCGCGCCTTCTACGCCTGGGTCGGCACGCTGCCGCGGGAGACGCTCGACGCGCGGCCGGGCGGCCTGCCGTGGACGACGTGCCGCGAGGCGCCCGGCAACACGTTGAACATCTACAAGGCCATCGCGCTCCTCGCCTTATTCCACGGGCCGGACCCGCCGAAGGCCGTGCTCTATCTCGACGCCGACGCCTGGTTCAGCGACGCGGCCTTCGACGGCGCGGCGACGCCCGAGCGCTACCTCGCTTTGTCGGAAGGCGCGGAGCTGTTGGGCAACCAGAACCGCGTCGGCGGGCCCAAGATCCCCATGAACGGCGGGCTGCTGATGGTGCGCAACTGGCCCTGGGCGTCCGAGTTTCTGGCGCTCTGGTGGCGGAGTCGGTGCGGCCCGCACGACCAGCTGCCGCTCTGGGCGACGCTCTTCGCGGCGTGGGCGAGGGACACGAACGGGCGCTACGCCGTCGACGCGTCCCTCTTCGAAGACTACGACGGCGCTCGAGGGGCCATCGGCGCGCTCCGCCGCGACGCGCCGGCGATCCGCGACGGCGCGCACATGGCCGGACCGTGGGACGGAGGCGACTTCGGGGACACGGGCATTCTCACCGTTCCCCTCGAATTGCCGAAGGTCCTCATCCTCCCGTCGGCGCCCGTGGCGGACGCCGCGGGCTCCCTCCCGGCCGTGCGCTCCGACGTCGACGAGACGCGCGGCACCTTTGCGTGCCACACGCGGCCGGGCAAGCGCGAGGCGGGCGACCAGTGCGCCGGCGATGCCATCTGCGCCGGCGGCAAGTGCGCCGGTTTTCTCGGCGACCCCATGGCGCGCGGGGGCTTCCATCTCGGCGCGGCGTCGGTCATCGCGGTCGCGTTCGCAGCGCCGTTCCTCTGGGCGCTGCGGCGGCGGCCGGGCCTGCTCCGGTCGCTGCGGACGGCGTAGGTAAGGTGTGTTTTGTTTTTGTTTGTTTTCTGTGGCCGTCGGGGGCGGGGTTTAGGTGACATCGAGACGTGTCTTCGCTGGCAAGTCGCCGGCGCAAGCGACGAGTGGTCCGCCGCGCGGCGCCGATCCGCCGAGGCCGCCGGCTGCCGGGTCGGTCTGGCGACCAATCCGAAGCGCAATGGACGAGGTCGACCAACAAGACGACGTCGAGTCGAGCGCGGCCGACATGGAAGTCGACGAGAACGACGTCGTGCTCGAGGAAGAGGACGACGTCGCGGAGGACGAGGCCGTCGACGACGAGGCGGAGGCCGACGACGAGCCGGAGCCCGCGGCCGCGAGCGCGCCGCCGAGCGACGACGGCGCGGCCAAGAGCGACCCGCCGTCGGAGGCGCCACCGGCGAAAGAGCTCCCCCCGGCGGACATGGCCTGCCCCGAGGGCCACGTGCTCAAGAAGCAGAGCGGCTACCTCTTCTACAGCGCGCAGTTCCGCGCGTCGTGCAAGGCGCGCGTCGACGAGGAGAACGCCGACGCCGCCGCGGGCGCGCGGAGCCAGATGGTCATGAAGGCGCTGGCCGCCGGCTGGAGCGCGCTCGACGCCGACGCGAAGAAGAAGTACGGCGACGACGCGCCCTGGGAGGCGAAGAAGATCAAGGAGAAGAAGCCGACGAAGAAGGAGAAGGCCAAGGCCGCGGCGGCCGCCGACGCGAAGAAGGGCTGGGAGACCATGGAGAACGCGCTCGACGTCCAGGCCCTGCGGGACCTGAAGATGCTCTACGACGAGGGCGTGCTCACGGCCGCGGAGTTCGCCGCGAAGAAGGCGATGATCCTCGGCACGCCGCCGCCCGCGGCCGCGGCGTCGAACGGCGCGGCGAGCCCCGCGCCCGCGGCGCCCGCGGCGCCCGCGCCCGCGTCGACGCCCGCGCCCGCGCCGACCACGACCAAGAAGCGCAAGCCCAAGGAGGGCGGCTCCGCGGCCAAGGGCGGCGAGCTCAAGATCCCGACGTCCGCGCTCAAGCCCTTCCTCGAGGACGCGTGCCAGGTCCGCCAGGAGAACCCGAAGCGCGAGGGCACGAAATCCGCGGAGCTCTACGACAAGTACAAGGCCGGCGCGACGCTCAAGGAGCTGCTGGACCTCGGCGCGAAGAAGGCGGACCTCAGCAACGACATCGGCAAGGGCTACATCACCTTGGAGGACCCCGACCGCCACGCGGAGCTCCTCGACACCGCGCGCGCGCCCGAGCCCCGCGGCGAGGGCTCCGCCGCGAAGCGGCCGAAGCACGCGCCGCCGCCGCCGCCCGACGGCGACGACGCGCCGCCGCCGCCGCCGCCGGCGGGCGCCCACGCGAGCTTCCGCGCGCTCGCGGGCCGCTACTACGTCCGCCGCGGGGCAGGACAAGAGAGCGAAATTCCAAACTTCAAAGCCTCATATCTCGGCCGTTTTCCACTCGTTTTGGCTGATTTTTGGACGAGCGATCATCTCTTGGAACGGTCTCGAAGCGTGGATGCTTGTTCCGGAACGCGCGCGCGCGGAACACTCACGTTGAAGCGACGTTGAATCTCTCTTGTCCTGCCCAGGTCCGCCGCGTCCACGGCGACGCGTCCGCGGGCCTCGAGGACGGCGTCGCGGGCCCCGCGTCCTACGGCCGGGCCACGGGCGCCCTCAGCCTCGTCGCGGATCCGGCCGTGGGCGGCATGATCTGCATGAAGGGCATCATGGACGAGGACGCGGACGGCGGCCGCGAGCTCTTCACGCCGCGGCTCTCGCCCAAGGCCAAGGGCGGCGCGGTCTCCGCGGACGGCAAGTTCAAGTTCAAGCTCAACTCGGACCTCAAGAACGGCCTCACGAAGGCGTCCGGCTCCCTCTTCTTCAGCGACAGCGGCGTCGCCGACGCGAACGGCGCGCCCGTCCTCGTCGGCTCCTTCGAGTTCCACGCGAAGCGGCCCGGGACGGCCGACGCCGAGGAGCTCGACTGCGTCTGGGAGGAGGACGTCCGCTTCTTCCAGGCCGCCGACGACGCCGACGAAGACTGGCCCCTCTAGCGCGCCTGTGGTCCCCCTAAGCTCGCCCGTGTGTGACCGGCGGCGTCCGATGATCGTGACGCGACTAGTAGACTACCCGAGCAAACTTAGGGCCGATTCGCCGTCCCAGGCCGCGAGGGACGCGCAGGCGCCCTCGAAGTCGCGCAGGAACCGCTGCGTCGACAGCGCCACCGTGCCGACGGCCGCGCCGAAGGCCGCGCAGTACGCGTTCGACTCCGGGCACGCCGCGCACCACGCGTGGGACTCGCAGGAGGCCGTGAGGCCGTCCTCGTCCCAGCCCAGGGGCGTCGCCCGCGCCGGCCCCGCGTCGTGGGACGCGCTCGGCGGCGCGCCGGGCGCGTAGGTGCCCGCGCACGCGGCGTCCAAATCCGCGAGCGCGCCCAAAACGCACGGCGCGCCCCAGCTCGTCGCGCCGGCGTCGTACACCTTGCCGTCGGCCCAGTCCGCGTCGAAGACGCAGGCGTCGGCGCAGCCGAGCTGGTCGCAGAGGCTCCCGGGCCCGCAGTTCTCGTTGCAGAAGAGGACGTCGTGGTTCGTGCACACGTCGTTGGGATAGACGCCGTCGTCGTCGTAGCTCGCGCACTCCACGGGGAAGACGAAGGTCGCCGCCGCGTGGAGGTCCGGCGGCGCGTCCGGTGGTGTTGCGGGCGCCACGTTGCCGTCGCGGGCGCCGATGGCCTTCGAGGGATCCGCCGCGAGGACGCCGAGTCCGACGGCGACAACGGCGGCGATCGCGACGGCCGCGGCGACGAGCGCGCGGTCGCCGGCCGCCGGCCGCCGCGGCGTCTTCGGCGGCGTCGACGCCCCGCCCTCCAACAGCTTCCCAACGGCCATGGCCGGCCGCTCGACGAGGAGGCTCGCGACGAGGCCCACGGCGCAGCACGCGGACGTCGCGTGAAGCACGACGGCGTAGTAGGCCCCGACGCTCGCCGTCGCGTCGAGCACGTCCGGTGCGATCTTGAACTGCATGATCGCCGCGTACTGGAAGAGGTAGCCCGTGTAGCTGACGCTCGCGATGGGGTAGAAGCAGCCCGCGGCGAGGCACCGGCGCAGAAGCGCGAGGAAGCCGCGCGACTCGCCGCCGACGACGTCGACGACGACGTAGGCCGCGACGGCCGCGACGAGGAAGAAGCCGAAGACGAAGTCGAAGATCTCCCAGGACGCGTGGAAGTCGTCGAGGTAGGCGAGGCGGTACCAGAGGCCGTAGACCTGGACGACGGCCCACGTGCCGAAGACAGCGGCCTGGGACAGGGGCCTGAAGAGCGCCCGCCGCGCGTCCGGCCGGTCCTCGAGCGCGTCGGCGGCGAAGAAGGCCAGGATGCCGCAGCAGTACTCCGCGCCGCGGCCCCAGGCCGACACGTAGGCGAGCTCGAAGGCGTCGGACGCGCCGAACGTTTTGGGGTCGTTCCAGGGGTTCGACTCCGTCCAGCTCGGGTGGCGCGCGAGCACGACGGCGCGGTAGGCGAGGGACGCGACGAGCGCTAAGACCACGGCGCCCGACGCCGCGAGCTTGGAGGAGTGGCGGTAGGCGTAGATGAAGAAGGGCGTCAGCAGGTAATACTGGAACTCGCAGCTCACCGACCACGTCACCTGGTTCACGACGCACCCCGGCGCGTCCACGAAGACCGCCGACGTGTCGAAGAGGAAGAGGCCGTTGCGCAGGAGCGCGCCCGCGAGCTCGTTCGTGCCGCACGCGGACCACCAGGCGTCGTCGGGAAAGTTCCGCGCCGTCGCGTAGAGTTGGACGACGAGCACGGACGCCATGAGCGCGGGCCAGATGCGCACGAAGCGCCGGTAGAGGAAGGTGCCATAGGCCGGCCGGAAGGCCGCGCCCTTGCGCGCGAGGAGCCGGTCGAAGACGCGGCCGACGAGGAAGCCGCTGAGCACGAAGAACAGGGACACGCCGCACGAGCCCTGCCACACGAGGGCGTTCAGGATCGGCAGCCCGGTGTTCGCGTCCGTGATCGCGAGGGACACGTGGTACTGCACCACCCACAAGAATGCCAGCGCGCGCAGGCCGTCGAGCGGCGCCGACGAGTCCGCGCGGCCGCTGTCGCTCCGGAACCACATGGCGCGCAGGTGGGGCACGGGGTTCCAGGGGTGGCCGTTGGACGCCGCCGCGGCGACGGCATCGTCGACGACGCCGATGCAGCCCGTCGCCGGCTTCGCCAGCAGCGGGTCCGTGTCCACGGCCACCTTCATCACCCAAGAAGGCAGCCGAAACAGCCCTTTCCAACTCTTGTAGGGCGCCTTGAAGGAAAGACGACTCATTGAATCCCCCGGGTCCGACGACACGATGTTGTTGTTACGCGAGGAAGAAGCCCCGCCCCTCGAAAGAGCACGTTCCAACTCGCTGTAGTGCGCCCGAGCAGCGAAAGACGACTCGTTGAACGATGTTGTTGTTACGCGAGGAAGAAGCCCCGGTCGTCGCAGCGCGCGCGCTGGACCCCGTCCGTGCGCCCGAGGAGCGTCGCGTTCGCGGCGATGGCGTTGGTCCGGTCGACGAAGTCGTCGAAGCCCGGGAGGTCCGCGTTGAAGCAGGCCGGCGGGTCCGCATCACCACCGCCACAAAACCGCTCGTAGAACGCGTCGAGGAGGTCGAGCATCGCGCGGATGTACGCGTCGTCGCGCGGCACGCGGAGGAAGCAGGCGCCGCGCGTCGCGGACACGGACGCGACGACCGCGCCGCCGCAGAGCGACCCGGCCGCGTGGATCTCGAGCATGAGCTGGGGCACGTGCCACGTCGCGAGCGCGTCGTGGGGCCCGCGGTCCCGGAGCTCCATAGAAGCCGCGCCCGTCGCGCGCGAGAACGGCGCGACGGACTTGACTTCCAGCACATCGAGGGAGCCGTCGCCGTAGACGACGACGCCGTCGGGGCTCGCGCCGATGGGGACCGCCGTCGCCGCGCGCGGCGGGGGCCGCTTCGCCGCCTCCGCGAGGCGGAACCGGAGCGCCTCGAGGCACGCGACGCCGGCGCCCCCGGGCGGGAGCCACGCGGCCTCGAGGAGCTCGGCGATGGCCGCGTCGGCGTGCTCGCCGGGCAGCATGCCCGTCTCCGCGACGACGCACGCGCCCCGGTGCCGCGCGTCGATGAAATTCACGGCCGCCAAGACGCCGACGCCCTCCTGCGTCTTGCCCCAGGCCATGCGCGCCGACGACGGGTCGCGGAAGGCCCGCGCCGTGCCGTCCAGCCCGCCCACGTAGTCGACGGCGTAAAGGCCCCGCCCCGGCGCCCAGCACGACGCGTCGCCGAGCTTCTCGTCGTCGTAGTCGCCTTCCGCGAAGACGGCGGCGACGACGCCTTCCGCGTCGACTCGATGCCGCAGGTGCTGCGCGGCGGCGACGGCGCGGCCGTGGCCGCTCAGGGAACGGGGCACGCGGAGCTTCAAAGCGGCGTCGGCCTCCAACAAGCCGCACGCGGCGGCGACCCGCGCGCCCGTGAGGCGACCGGCGTGCAAGGCGTCCCACCGCCACGTGTCCTGCTCGAGCGCCGCGGCGACCGCGAGCTTCGGCGCATTCGACGACGCGCCGCGGGCGACGACCTCGCGCTGCGGCGGCAGGGACCGGTAGAGCGGGTGCGCGCGGACGGCCCGCATGGGTATGGCGCGCCAATACACGTTCGCCGCGGATCCGCGCCGCGGCTGCGCCTTGGGCGCCGCGCGCCGCTTCTTCGTCTTGGCCTTTTTGGCTTTTTTCTGGGGTGCGACGGGCGCGTCGACGTCCATGGCGTCGTCCGCGGCCGCGAGCGCCTCGCCGCGCTCGATGGCGCGGAAGACGACGGACGGCGGCGCGAAGCCGCGGACGAGCGCCGACATGAGCAGCGGTAAAGAAATGCGCATTCAGTAGCCCGGCGAGTCGCTCATGGTCGGGCGGTACCCGATGCGCGCGTCGCGCTCCTCCTTCTTCGTCGGCTTCTCGCCCTTGTCCTCCTTCTTGGTCGCCTTCTGCTGCGCGACGTAGGCGTCGAACTCCTCGATGTCCTCGGGCTTCATCTCGATGCGCGTCGGGTCGCGGCGCAGCATGGCTTGTGTTGCGTTTGGCCGCGCAGCGCGCGTCGGCGGCGGTGGTGGCGCTGGTGCGGTTGATCGAGCTGGTGTGCAAAATCGAGCTGGTCCGCCGGCCGGGCCGGCGGCGTCGTCGTCGGCAGGCCTTGTCGCCGCCCGCGCCAGCGGCGCCACGCCTCTCGCCACACCACGCAGCCACACCCAAACACCGCCAGCTAGTGCTCCCGCTCGAAGTGGTGCTGCTCCCCCCCCCTGGCGCGGTGGCGCGCGATGGCCGCGGCGTCGTGGTCGCAGACCGCGGACAGGAACGGCGCGGAGTCGTGGCGCGCGTTCGCGCTGCGCAGCGCGTCCCGCGCGTAGGGGCAGAGCCGCGCGACCTCGGGGCAGGTCGCCGCGAGCGCCGAGAGGTTCCGCGGGTACTGCGCGAGGGCCCACCAGGGCTTGTGGACGCCGAAGGGCACGACGCCCGGCGGCGCGGCGACGGCCTCGACGGAGAACGACCGCGCGGCCTCCGGGTCGGCGATGCCGAAGCCGTCGAGGCGCCCCCTGGCCTGGAGATCCAAGAAAAGCATCTGCGCCGCCGCGCCGGGCTCCGCCGCGCCGCGGCCCTCGAGGAGTTTGAGCGTCGCGTCGACGTCGACGAGGCTGAGCCCCGCGTTGCAGCAGCAGGGCCGCGCCCCGGGGCACCAGCCGACGTCCGCGGGCCAGGGCGCGCCGACGTAGGCATCGGCGCCGGCGAGCCACGCCTCGAAGGGCACCGTCGGCGCGCCGCAGAGCACCGTGTCGGACTCGAAGAAGAGGACGCGCGACGCGTTGAGGCCCGCGTGGAAGGCCGGCGACAGGCGCAGGCGGCCGTAGTGGGCCTGGGTCAGCGCCTCGCCGGGCTGCAACATCGCCGGCCGGAGCGTGCGGAGCCGGCCGCTTTTCGCCGCGGCGGCCGCGGTGCCCGCGGCATCACAGACCGGCGGCGCGCCCGCGGCCGTCGCCGTGTCGTCGTCCGTGAACCAGAGGACGGGCACGGTCGCGGGCAGGTTCGCCAGGAACGTCTCGACGACGCCCTCGAGGCCGCAGGACCACCGCGGGTGCACGAGCACCGCGGCCGCGGCGCCGCAGCCGCGCTCGGCGCACGGCCGCGCGGCGGGCTCCGGCGCCGGCCGCGGCGCGGGCGGCCGCGGCTGCGGCGGCCGCGGCTGCGGCGGCTGCGGCGCGGGCACCGGCGCTGCCGCTTTCGCCGCCGGAGCCGCGAGCTCGTCGAGCCCCCAGGCCTCGTTGATCTCGCCGCTCTCCGGCGCGGCCTGGATGTGGCAGTGGCGCGCGGGCTTGGACCCCGTGCAGCCGTGGCGCGGCGGCGGCGGCGCGCTGTGCGCGACGATGTTCTCCGCCTCGTTCTCGCCGCCGAGGGCGCAGTCGCGGAGGATCTGCGCCGGGTGGAGCAGGAATCGGTCGGCGTCGCCGCGGATCATGACCCGCCCCATGTCGACGTCGCCGCCGCAGCGCCGCTGGAGGGCCGGGTCGTCGCCGGGAGCGAGGGCCGTCCAGGCCGGCCAGCCCTCCGTCGAGGGGACGACGTCGGGCCGCATCCACGCGACGACCGCGTAGCGGCGGCCGCGGACGTCCTCGAGGGCCTCGAGCTCCTTGCCCAGGAACTCGAGGCCCGTGGCGAAGGCCGTGGCGCGCGCGAGGTGGCCCGGGTCGCCCAGGAAGCCCGTGAACCGCTCGCGGCAGCGCACGTGGTGCGCGAGGAGGCACGCGCCCTGGCACGCGGGCTCCATGACGATGGTGCTGCCGACGACGTGCGGGTACGTGGCCAGCGCCGCGCGGAGCGCGGCTTTCGAGACGTCCGGGTACGTGCGGTCGTTGCCCGTCTGGTTCTTCGGGCCCGGGTCCACGGTCTTTAAGAAAGCGAAGACGTCCGCGCCGGGATGGGGCCGCCGCTCCGGGTCCAGCGGCAGCACGAGGCGCTCGAGCAGCAGCTGGAAGGTGCAGAGGAACGTGCGCGCGTTGCCGCCGATGAGCACGATGGCTGCGGCGGGGGGGCGGCGGTCGGCGCGCGTCGCTCTCTTCTCTCTCTGCTCCAGGCGCCGCGGGCGCGCCGCCCTCCGCCGGCGACGACGAGAAGTCCGTGCCGTCGAGCGGCGCATCCGGCGCGGCGACGCAGACGAGCGTCGCCTGCCAGAGGGCGACGCAGGTCGCGAGCCGCCTCATCGTCGGCTGCCTTCCTTGGAGAATGGCACCATAGCTGCCCCGGATTTTGAAAGGGCATCATTGAAGAATTATTGAAGGGCAAGAAAAGAACGAGGGCAGCTCAGTATGCGGCGCTTCCTCTCCGCCGGCTTCGCCGTGGTGGGAGCACTCCGCTGCCTCGACGGCGAGCACTGCATCTGGTGCCTCGACGATCCCATGCCCATCGTTTCGATAGAGTGCGAATCCAGCGAGGATAGATGCTATCGATATCGCGTGGTGGACAAGACGACGCCCTCGTCGACCGATGCCTCCAGCGACGACGGTGGACTTGACGCCTACAGCGACGACGACGACGACGGCGACTGGAGCTTGGACGACGACGACGGCGCCGCGTTCGGGATCTACCACAACGCGACGCGCTACGGGTGCTGCGCCGCGTCTGGTTTGTGGCATGAGATGGCCCAAGCACATAATGAATCCTGGGCGTACGCGTCGTGCGCCTTCGAGGATTCGCGGGACCTGTCGACGTGCGCGACAAACGACTGCAACGCGCCCGACTACATGGTCACCGCGGCGCCCTCCGCGGCGCCGGAGCCGACCGCGGCCCCGGCGGCGCCCCGGCCGACCGCCGCGCTCCCGGGACCGACCCTGGCCCCGACGAAGGAGTTCGAGGTCAGCCATGCCGCCCACGCGAGGCACGTCGCGCGCACCGCCGCCCTGTTGGCCGCCGCTATCCTCCTAACGTGACCCGTTACGCGCGGCGCCTCAGGACGCGGGGACCTGGAAGCTCGCGGCGACGGCGCCGAGGATGGCGGCCGCGTCGGCGTCGTCGACGCGGGCCTTCAGCGTCATGATGAAGAGGCGGCCGTCGCGCACGGCGATGCGCGAGAGGAACTGGTTGTTGCCGCGGCTCGACTCGTTCTCGTAGGCGAGCTCGAAGTACGTTTCGCCCGCGACGTCGACCTGCCGCGCGTCGCGCAGCGTCGCGGACGTGACGCCGTCGCGGTTCCGCTCCGAGGCGACGACCTTGTCGCCGACGAAGGCCGGCGACCCGAAGTCGACGAGGCGGTCGAGCTTGACGCGGTCGACGACGACGCCGATCTCGCGCCGGTTCTCGTCCTTGTAGATGACCTCGTCGAGGTGCGTCTTCACGGGCTTGGGCTTCGCGTTGAACGTTTCCGGCGCGACGAAGGCGAAGGACCCGTCGGCGGCGACGACGCGGTTGCCGGCGGCGGCGCGGGCCGGGCGCGGCGCGGCGAGCGGCGCGGCGATCGGGGCGGCGATGACGCCGAGCGCCCGCCGTCGGTCCAGCGCTTTGAGCGGCGATGCATGCAATGGGGATGCGGGCGCGGCGAGCAAGGCGACAAGGCAACAGAGGCTCGCGCTGACGCGGTGAGTCGCCATCGTCAAGCGGGGCAGAGCCTAAATCAAGATTCACCCAAAACCATGCCGCAAATGCTGCAGCGCGCGGCGAACAGATCTGTGTCCACCCTGCAGCCCCGGAGTATTCGAACAAAAGGGGACCACGACCCGCGCCGAGCCTCGGTACCGCGACCCCCGAAAACCCGCCCGCCGCCGCCGCGCAGCCCCCGGAAGCCATGCCCGACATCCTCCATACGAAGGCGCGTCGCCGCAGCCCCGCCCCGGCCCCTCCCCGCAGCCCCGGGTCCCCGCGCGCCGAAACCCGCGCCGCGCAGGTCCCCGCGTCGCGCGAGGGCGTGCTCCCGTCCGGCGAGGCGCCGCCGTCGCGCGGGAGCCCGCGGCCCGAGCCGTCGCCGGACCTCGAGGCCCGGCTCGAGGCCGCGGTCGCCGCCGGCGCGCCCGAGCCGGCCGCGGCGCGCGCCGCCGCGCCCGCGGGGTCCCCGGCGCGCCGGGCGCGGGCCGCCGCCGCCGCGGCGGCGCCGCCCGCGAACGCCGCCGCGCCCGCGGCCGCCGCCGCCGCCGCCCGGACGCCCGGACCGCGCGCGCCGCGCTGGTACGCGGCCATCGAGCGGTCGCACGCGCGCGGCCCCGGCGCCGCGGGCGGCTACCCCTACCCCTGGGGCCCCGGCCCGACGCGCGGCGACGTCGTGCCCTGGGGCCAGACGCCCGCCGGCGACTGGGTCGCCCTGCCGTCCGCGGCCGCCGCGCCGGAACCGCGCGCGGCCGCCGCGGCCGCCGCGCCGCCGGCGCCGGCCCTCCTCGCGCCGCCGCCGGCCCTCCTCGCGCCGCCGCCGGTCCTCGTCCTCGCGCCCGCGACGGCCCTGCGCCTCGCGCCCTGGACGGCGGCGCTCGCGCGCGAGTCCGGCCGGCCGCCGTCGCCCGCGTCCGACGACGGCTCGGCCGCGGGCGCCGCGCGCGGCGCGAAGCGGCCCCGGAGCGCCGAGGGCGGCGGTTCCGCGGAGCCCAAGGCGAAGCGCACGCGCGAGCGCTGGACCGCGCGCGAGCACGAGCTCTTCCTCGACGGCCTCGAGCGCTTCGGCAAGAAGTGGAAGCTCATCAAGGAGCTCATCCCGACCAAGACCGTGACCCAGGTCCGCACGCACGCCAACGGCCACTTCTCGAAGATGCTCCGGCGCACCGTCGGGAAGCCCGACGCGCTCGAGGTCTCCCACGCGCTCCTCGCCCTTCGGTCCATCGCGGGCTGAGGGGCGCTCGCCGCGCGCGGCCGGAAGTCCGCGGCCTCGCGCCGCCCCGTTTCCCTGTTGTGTCCTACGCCCTAAGCCCCGTCCGATGTGCTCCCCGCAGAGTGGGGCTCTGCGCGAGGGGAATCGGGCCATGTTGCCGTCTGGCGAGGTATGGTGAAGCCTGTGGTGAGGCGCACGCCGCTCGGGCTGGCGATCCGCTCGGCTGCGCCTCTCCGCAGCGTCGTCGCGCAGCAGGATGGCCGGCGGCAAGAAGGGCCGCGGCAACGGCGGCAAGTCGAAGGCGTCGAACCCCTTCGAGACCGTGGGCAACAAGCGGAAGCGGCCCGTGGTGCTGAACCACCGCGTCAAGGGCGCCGTGCGCGACGTCGGGCGGTCGCGGGCCAAGGGCGACGAGCGGCGCAAGGCGGGCCTGCTCGGCGAGCTCGCGCGCGAGCGGCGCGAGAACGAGTTCGACGACAAGCGCATCGGCGAGGGCGAGCCGGGCCTGGACGAGGACGACAAGATGCTGCTCCGGTTCCAGCGCGAGCGCGCGGCGCGGAGCCGCGGCGGCGCGCGCGCGCGGCGGGGCGCCTACGCGCTCGACGACGGCGGCGGCTTCGGCGACCTCACGCACGGCGGCGTGCCCCTGAGCGAGGGCGCCATCCGCGCGTCCGAGACGTTCTTCTTCGACGGCGACGAGGCGGGGCCCGCGGACCGGCGCGCGGAGCAGGCGGCGCACTTCGGCGACGGCACCGAGGACGCGCGGGCGCGGACCAAGGACTTCATCGGCGACATGATCGACAAGACGAAGCAGGAGCGCGAGGAGCGCAAGGCCTGGGGCCAGCGCCTCGCCGCGGACCTCGAGAAGATGGACGAGGGCTTCGGCGACCTCGCGAAACTGCTCGACTTCCGCGACAAGGACAAGCGCGAGCTCGACGAGGACGACTACGAGGTCGAGCTCCGGTCCATGGCCTTCGAGAAGCGCGTGCAGGCGTCGAACCCGTCCGTGTCGCCCGAGGAGCGCGCGCGCGCGCGGCTCGAGGACCTGCGGCGCCTCGAGAGCCTGCGGACGCAGCGCCTCGAGGGCCGCGACGTCGGGCCCGCGAAGCGCCGCCGCGTCGACGACCCCTGGGCCCGCGACAAGAGCGACCCCTGGTACGGCATGACGAAGCCCGAGGGCTACGAGGACGAGGAGGAGGACGCGGAGGAACCGGAGGAGGCGGAGGAGGAGGAGGCGTCGGACGTGCCCTACGTCTTCGACGCGCTGCCCCAGACGGCGGCGGAGCTCGAGGCCCTCGTCGACGCCCACGCGGCGCGGGGCGGCGACGTCGCGCTCGTGCTCGAGCGGCTCGTCGCCGGCTTCACGCCGCGACTCGCGCGCGCGAATCTGCCGAGCTACGAGCGTTTCTGCGAGGCCGTCGTCGCCGCGGCGGTCGCCGCGGGCGACGGCCTCTGGCGCGGCGACGACGCCGCGGGCGCCGTCGCCGCGTACGCGTCGTGCCTCGGCAGCGTGCTCGAGGACCTCGACCCCGCGGCGGCCGCCGCGCTCGTCGAGCGGGCGCTGCTCGCGCCGGCGCTCGAGGCCGGCGGCGGCGCGCCGTCGCCGGGCGCGGTCCTCGCGCTCAAGGCGCTCGCGCGCTACGACGCGGTGCTCTGCTCCGCGGACGACGACGCGGGCCGCGTCGCGCACCTCGCGACGCTCGCGCTGGCCAAGGCTCTGGGCGCGGGCGGCCGCGGCGACGCGGGCGCCGTCGCCGCGGGGTGCCTCGCCGCGGCCGCGTGCCTCGAGTACGCGGGCCTCAACGCGCGCGGCCGCACGGCCTGGGTGCCCGAGCTCTTCGCCTTCGTCGCGTCGGCGATCCAGGCCCTCGCGGGCGACGAGCCGCCGCTCCTCCCGGGCGCCGTCGCGCCTAAAGCCGCCGCGGCCATCGTCAAGGCCGCGGCCGCGTGGACGCCGCGCGACGACGCCGCGGCGCCGCCGCGCCTCGCGCTCCGCGGCGCGGCGGCGGCGACCGACGCGGCCTTCGGCGCGGCCCTCGTCGGCGCCCTCGCGTCGCTCGCGGCCGAGGCCGTCGCCTTCACGGTCTGCGACGCGAATCGCGCCGCGGCGCCGGACCTCGCGCGGCCGCTGCGAAGAGGGCTCAAGGCGCTCCGCAAGGCCCTCAAAAAGCGCAAGGCCCACGCGGGCCTCGTCCAGGCCGTCGACGACGCGGCCGCGGCCCTCGACGCCGCGCGGCGCCGCGCGCTCGACCACCGCGAGGCCGAGGCCGCCGCGCGCGCGGAGCGCGCGGCCGCGCCGGACGTCGCGCCGACGCTCGAGCCGCGCCTCGAGCGGCGGCTCGTCGTCCGCAAGGACGCGCACCTCGACAAGACGCCCAAGGCCGAGCTCAAGAAGCTCAAGAAGGAGATGAAGAAGGAGCACAAGGGCGCGCTCCGCGAGCTCCGCAAGGACGCCGCGTTCCTCGCGGACGAGGCCGCGCGGACGACGCGGGCCGCGAAGGACGCCAAGACGACGGACCGCCAGAAGAACTACGCGTGGCTGCAGACGCAGGCGCAGCGCGGGTGGCAGTAAGGGCTCCGTTGTTTTCGTGATTTCGGCGACGTTCCCCCGAAGTTTCCCCAGAAGTTTCCCCAGTGCCCTCGCATTAACGAGGTGCAACAAAATGTTGATGTCGCCAAAAACCACAAAAACAATCGACTTGCAAACGTCGTGGGGCAGCGACCCGACGCGCCAACAACGAGCAGCCAAGACGATGGAGCCCGCCAACGACGCCGAGCGCGCCTGGCTGGCCGCCTGCGGCAACTTCTTTAGAAATAACGACGCCGAAGCCGCCGCTTTAATAGAATTCATCCAGTCGAGCGATCCATCCGCACCCGCCACAACGATAAACATGGCGCCGGAGACGCCGCTCGAGCGGTCCTGCGGCCTCCGCGCCGCGGCGGCGTCGCCGGAGCTGCGCGCGCGCTACCTCGCGCTCAAGGACGCGGCGCGCGCGGCGGCGCACGCCGCCGCCCTCGACGCGCGGCGCCGGAACTTCCTCGCCAAGGCGTCCGCGCTGCCGGCGGCGGCCGCGGAGCCGCCGTGCGCGTGGGCGCGCGTCCGCGGCGCCGCCGACGCGCTCGGGGCCTTCGGCCGGGCCTGGCGCCACGCGCCCGGCGCGAACGGCGTCGTCGCGGGCCTCGCGCGGCTCCTGCGGGACCAGGCCCAGTCCGACGTCGTGCTGAGGTGGACCGCGGACGCCGCCGCGGTGTTCGAGGCACCGGAGGGCTTCGTCGACGCCTTCTGCGACGTCGTCCGCGCCTCGCATGTCCTCTGCGTCGTGGGCGAGGACGACGCCCTCCTCCTCGAGCTCGACCCGGCCTGGTCCGACCGGAGCCTGCGCCGCGCGGCCGCGGCTGCGGGCAAGGTCGCCGGCGCGGCGCCGCACGGCGCCGTGGCGGCGACGGACCGCGCGCGGACGAACGTCGACGGCGAGCTCGACGAGACGCCGCCCTTCCTGGACCGCCTCTACATGGGCGAGGTCGACGCGCTCTGCCCGATCCTATAAGGATGGACGGGCTCGGTTTTATCAGACGAGGTCGTCGGGGAGCTTTGGGGCCTCGGCGAGGAGGGGCACGGCTCGCTGGCCGGGCGCCTCGGGCCGCGCCGGCGACTCCGCGGCCGCGAGGAGGGGCACCGCGAGGCCGGCGTCGCCGTCGAGCGTCCGCGCGCGCGGCTTCGCCGCCGGGAGGCTCAGGTGCATGGCGTCGGGGAGCGAGTCGAGGCGGTCCCGGGGCGACAGCGTCTCGTCCAAGGCGCAGAAGGACTTGGACTCGTTGGAGTCGTCGGGCCACGTGTGGCGGTGGTCGACGTTCGAGTCGTGCCACGCGTGCGCGGACGACCGCGGCGTCGGCGCGAAGACCTGGCGGATGCCCGACAGCGACCGGCCGCCGACGCGCTTGAACTTGAGCGTGACGTAGCTCAGGCCGCAGACGAGGCAGACGTTGACGACGTAGATGGCCAGCGAGTTGTACGCGATCAAGAGCAGCGTGTCGCCGCGCTGCGACCGCGCCGTCGGATACGCGACGGACAGCGCCGTCATGAGGCCCGCGTTCACGAGGGGCGGCAGCAGCGCCGTCGACACGGCGACGCCCGCGAGGGCCGACGAGATGCCCCCCGAGTAGCCCAGCGCGAGCGCGACTCCGGAAAAAGTCGCGACGAACGCCGAGAGCACGAGGTTCGACACGGGCGGGCCCCGGCTCAGGATCTCGCCCGAGTTGACGGTGATGGACCCCCAGGCCTTGCCGTGGGCGCCCGCGTGCATGGGCGCCGTCAGGCCCCCGACGCTGTGGGGCAGGAGCAGGCCGATGGCCGCGCCGACGAGCCCTCCCACGGCGACGCAGATGCACGCGTCGAGCGCCATGTTCCGCAGCGCCCGCCGCGCGAGGCGCCACTCGCCGACGCAGGCGCCCCAGGTGGCCCCCAGCAGCATGGTCATGAGCGGCGAGATGAAGAAGGCGGCCAGCACGATGGACGACGCGTCGCTCAGCAGACCGATCGCCGCGATGAACGACGCGAGCACGACGCAGCAGCAGTGGTCCGCCGTCAGGTGGCTCCCCGCCTCGATGGTCGCGTGGATCTCGAGCGTGCTCAGCCGGTCGCCGAGGCTCGGGCAGCAGCGGCCGCGCCGCGACCGCCGCGCGGCCGTCGCGCGCTCCGTCGTCGTCCGCACGTCCAGCACGTCGATGGCCCCAAAGTGCTCGCCGACGCCGACGCGCCGCAGGGCCTTGAGGGTCGCGCTGAGGTGGATGTCGCGCACCTTGAACGCCAGGATGCGCACGCCGACGCGCACCGTCTTGCGCATCTCCGGCGTGCGGCACTCGTCGCCGGCGACGTCGTCGCACGGCTTCGCGAGGATGCGCGACCCCGCGCTCTCGTCGACGTGGCCCACCCAGTCCAGGAGCATGATCTCCTCGACGGTGGAGTCGCCGTAGCGCTCCGGCACCGTCGCCTTGACGAGCCGCTGCATTGCGACGCCGCGGATGACAAGAACCTCGTGAATGAAAGCGCGCCTCATCGCCATGGTTCCCTCAAATTGCAGACCTCAAGCGGGGCAGCCCAGCAATCAATCCAGCTCTCAATCACGTCAAGCACTCTCCAACGCTCTTCGACAACCGCTCGCGTCATGGCGAAGGTCGCGCCCGGCGTCGCGCGGTCGCGACGGTCTTCCAATCACGAAGCAACTAACGAAAAAAATGACGCGTAGGTCAACCCCGAGATGGAGGTCCCCGCGATGGTGCAGGGGTTCGACGTGCCCCAGGTGATGATGGTGGCGGTGCCGCCGGGCACGCCCGCCGGCGCGCAGATGATGGTCGCGGCCCCGAGCGGCGCGCAGTTCACGGTCGTCGTGCCCCCGGGCCTGCCCGAGGGCGGCGCCTTCCAGGTGCAGGTGCCGCCGGCGCAGCCCGCGATGATGGCCGCGCAGCCCGTCGCCGTCGGCGCGGCGCTCGTCGGCGGCGTCGCGGCGGCCGGCGCCGCGGGCGCCGCCGTCGTGTCGGCGGGCGTCGCGGGCGTGAACAGCGCCATCAAGATGGTCATGGGCCCCGCGCGGCTCCACGGCATCGCCGGCATGGCCCAGATGCTCGAGAGCTCGCAGGGCGTCAAGATCCAGCAGAAGATCCACGGCTTCGAGGCCGTCTCCGGCGGCTGCTGCGAGCAGTCCAACGAGTACCGCATCTTCGGCGGCGGCGCCGACGCCCACGGCCGCGACACCCTCCTCTTCAACGCCAAGGAGCAGAGCGGCGGCTGCGACCGCGTCTGCTGCAAGCCGCACAACAACCTGCTCCTCCACATCAACGCGCACGACACGAACGAGACCCTCATCACCCTGGAGCGCAAGGGCATGAAGTGCAACTGCAACGGCCCGCGCCAGTGCCTCTTCTGCCCCATCCTCGGCGAATTCTGCGCCGAGGAGATGATCGTCCACGAGGGCCTGGTCCAGGGCGAGCCGGGCAACATCAACCCCGCGACGAAGCTCTCCCTCATCCGCCAGCCGGCGCCGCTGGGCGGCTGCCTCGTGCCCACGCTGGAGATCCTGAACGCCCAGGACCAGCTCGACACGAAGATGACGGGGCCGACGTGCTTCGGCGGCTGGAGCGAGATGTGCTGCGACTCGACGTTCGTCGTCAAGCGCGACGACGCGCCCGTGGCGACGATCCGCCACCTCGCGCCGCGCGACTGCGGCGAGGCCTGCAAGGCGCTCTGCACGGACAGCGACAACTTCGAGGTGACCTTCGACCCGTCGGTGAGCGCCATGGACAAGGCGAACGCCATCGCGACGAGTCTCCTCGTCGACTTCATGTTCTTCGAGATCGACCAGGGCCTCTGCCACGTCGAGGGCAACGTCATCTACTGCACGCTCTGCCTCTGCTTCTGCGCCGGCGCCCTCGTGCCCCTCAACTGCTGCTGCGCGCTCAACGAGAACGGCGGCGGCGCGCCCGCGGCGCCCGAGACCGCCGGCGGCGCGCCGACCGCGGCGGACGCGGAGCCGCTCCTCGCCGCGCCCCGGGCCCAGCTCCTCCCCATCATGCGCCACAAGATGGAGCACCACCTCGACTAGGGCGCGCGGTGCTTTAAGGGGCGTGACCCGGATCCGGACACCTCCCGAGACGTTGATGTAAACTTGAACTCATATTGCAGTCTGAGTCTGGCCCGCGTCTCGCAGCCGCGCGCCTCACGCGATGCGCGAGCATAAGGTCGAGCTGCTCTCTCGCAGCGCAGTGCACGACCTGCGCCTCACGTCTCTCTCGCAGCGCAGTGCTCGAACTGCGCCTCACGCAGCGCGCCGAGCTGACGATGATCGCGGTCGTCGACCAGCCGAGCGGCGACGTCGAGCTCGGCTCGACCATGGTGTCGCCGCTCATTCCTGCCGCCGTAGCCGTCGACCTCGTCGCCGCCGACCTGGAGAAGATGCGCGGCGTCGTTGTGCGCCAGGAGACGCAGTTCCTCGAGTCCTTCGCCCAGGGCCTCGGTCTGCCCTACGAGGCCAAGAACAGGTACAAGGTCTCCGCGCTGCCCGAGGGCCGCGCCGTCGCGGCGTCGCCGACGGACGCGGCGCGCTGGCGGCCGACGAACAAGGATCTGCTCGCGCTGCCGGCGGCGCTCGTCGCGCACGAGGAGTCGAAGTGCGGCTGGCGCGCGGCGCTCGCCTGCTGCGGCTGTCTGAATTTCCGGGCCCTGACCATGCACTTCTTCGAGTCCGTCGACGGCTCCGACGAGGGCGCGGGAATCGAGCGCTTCCGCCTCGCGCGGCCGTTCCGCATGGGCATCAAGGCGACGATCGGCTTGTGCGCCGGCGTCGGCCTGTTCCTCGGGCGCGTCGTGACGTACGCGCTGCCCTTCTTCGTGGCCGTGCCGCTGGGAGGCATCGCGGAGCTCGTCTTCGGCGTCCTGGGCGCGTGCGTCGGCCTCGTCCTGGTGCGGACGCGGCCCGAGAGTCTGCGCTTGCGCCTATCGCTCGTCGAGGAGGGCGGCCGCGTCGTCGGCGAGGTCGTCGAGGCCTTCGAGCCCGCGGCGGGGACGTCGTCGTTCGACGAGAAGTGGTGGACGTGCTGCTGCCTGTGCACCTTCTTCGCGCGCGTGACCTCTGAGACCGAGCCGGGCTTCACGCTCCGGTTCAACTCCTGCTGCTGCGGCGAGCACAACAACTGCTGCGGCGCGACGTGCTGCCGGCCCGACCTCGTCATCGACGTCCTCGACGAGTCCGGCGCCGTCGTGAGCCACGTCCAGAAGACGTTCGCGCCCGCCGGCGGCGACGAGTCCTGCTGCAACACGCTCTGCCGCTGCCTGAACCAGTTCGACAGCTTCCTCGTCGAGTTCCCCGCGGGCGCGTCCCAGCGGCAGCGCGCGCTCCTCGTCGCGGGGCTCTTCTCCGTCGAGTACGAGCACTTCGAGCGCAAGGGCGGGTCGTAACGTGTCTGTACGACGCGTCTGCGAGGCGTTCTGCGCGCCGCGGCGCGCGGGCGGCGCCCGGCGCGGCGTTCGAGCCAGGTTCGAGCAGAGGGGGCCGACCACCAGGCATACACCAGCCACGGCATACACCAGCATAGCAGCCGCATAGCAGCCGCATAGCAGACGCATAGCGGGCGCATAGCGGGCGCATAGCGGGCGCATAGCAGGCGCATAGCAGGCGCATAGCAGGCGCATAGCAGGCGCATACCACCAGCATAGCAGGCGCATAAGACCAGCATAGCAGCCGCATACCACCAGCATAGCAGGCGCATAAGACCAGCATAGCAGCCCACCAGCATACCACCAGCATAGCAGGCGCATACCACCAGCATAGCAGCCGCATACCACCGGCATAGCAGACGCATACCACCGGCATAGCAGACGCATACCACCCGCATACCACCCGCATACCACCAGCATACCACCCGCATACCACCCGCATACCACCCGCATACCACCCGCATAACACCCGCATAAAGCCCGCATAAAGCCCGCATAGCGGGCGCATACTACCAGGCATACCGGCGGTCAACCCCCTCGGGGTTCGAGCGGCTCGAGACGACCGCGGAGCCACGGAGTGCGGAACGCGACGCCACCGCCGCCGCCGCGCCTCGCCCGCTCCCGGCCGCCGCCCTAGGCGTTCTCCGCCGTCGCGGCCCGCTTCGCCTCCGACGCGTCGCGAAGCCTCCGTCCGCCACGATGCGCGTCGGCGGCGCGGCGGCGCTTCTCCTGGCCGGAGGCGCCTCGGCGGGCTCGACGCTCTTCAACATCGCCATCCCCGCCCAGCTCAACAAGGACGGCGGCTACGCCCACGTCGCGGCGCTCTTCGGCCAGCCCAAGTACGACGAGTCGCTGAGCCAGAGGCTCGTCTACGCGAATTCGACGCTCTGCGACGTCGACGCGAGCATGCGCGGCGCGGTCTCGTCGCCCTACCTCATGTTCGCCGAGCGCGGCGGCTGCACCTTCGTCGTCAAGGCGCGCAACGCCCAGGCTCTCGGCGCGTCGGGCCTGGTCATCGCGGACGACCGCTGCGTCTGCGGCACGGCGTGCGAGCCGCAGGCGCGGTGCGAGGGCCAGGAGCCCATCATGGCCGACGACGGCTCCGGGAGCGACATCTCCATCGCGTCGGTCATGCTCTACAAGGAGGACGGCGACGCGATCCGCGACTACTTCAGGTGCGGCGCGTACCCGGGGCAAAAGTGCAAACGCGACCCCTGGATCGTCGAGTCGCTCGTCCAGGCGTCGCTGGAGTACACGGTGCCCGCGCCCGACGCGCGCGTCGAGTGGGAGCTCTGGACGACGTCCATCGACGAGGCGAGCCTCGACTTCCTGCGCGACTTCAAGGCCACGGTGCTCGCGCTCGGCACGAAGCAGCTGTTCACGCCGCACTTTTACACGTACAACGGGTCCCACTACGGCTGCGACCTCAAGCTGGCGTCCGACGACGAGCTCTGCGGCAATTTGTGCACGAACGGGGGCCGCTACTGCGCGCCGGACCCGGACGGGAAGCGCGCGGACGGCATCGCCGGCGCGGACGTCGTCGCGGAGAACCTGCGGCGCACCTGCGTCTGGAAGCGCTACGGCGGCAAGGACCAGGCCGAGTCCGACCAAGTCGGCGTGGGCGAGACGTGGTGGGACTACGTGGGCAACTTCTCCGAGCTCTGCGGCACCGCGGAGGATTTCGTCGACGCCGGCTGCCGGTCGCGGGCCATGCGCGAGGCCGGCGTCGACGAGGCCTACGTCGACGCCTGCGTCGCGGACAGCGGGGGGCTCGACGGCGGCCCCAACGCCGTGCTGGACCACGAGGTCGCGGAGCTGGAGAACAAGAACATTGTGTACGTACCGGAGTGCATCGTCAACGACGCCGTCGTCTGGGGCGGCCTGAGCCCGCTCAACGTGCTGTCGACCGTGTGCCACGGCTACGCGCGCGACGCGCTCCCACCGGCCTGCGACTGCGTCGAGGCCGCGGCGCTCGTGTCGTCGGACGCGTACGCGAAGTGCCTCGCCGACTCCGTCGCGCCCTACGTCACGCCCGAGGTCACCAAGACCAAGGAGACGGTCAAGAGCGGCATCCCCTGGTACGCCGTCTTCCTCCTCGTCGTCGCCATCGTCGTCGTCATGCTCCTCGCGGGGCTCGCCTACTGGAAGCACACGCAGGCGCAGATGCGGGACCAGGTCCGCGGCATCCTCGCGGAGTACATGCCCCTCGAGGACCTCGGCACGTCCAACCCCATCGGCCTCGGCGGCTCCGCGCCGGACAAGCCCGCCGTCTTCTCCGTCAACGCGTAGGCGCGCCATACGCGCGCCCCGCCACGTCAAATCTGTCCATGAGTCGGCGGTCGCGGCGCGGGGAGGTCGGGGCGCGCGGGGGACTCGGCGCGTCTCCGCCTCAGGCGGGGTCCTGGAGCGAGTCCACGTCCGATGGTTGGCTCTTCCGGGGCTTCCCCGGGCCGGCGTGTTGCCCGACGTCGACCGTCGTCCGCACCTTCGCCCAGAGCGAGCCGCGGTGGGCGTCGTCCGTGGTGATCGCGATCTGGACCTTCGAGGCCTTGATCCCGTAGGCGGCGCAGAGCCGGTAGTTCTTCGGATCCGTCGCAGTGTCGAAGCAGCACCAGGCGTGGCAACCCGGGAACTTCTTCTTCTCGGCGCGCGTGAGGGCCGACTTGATCGTTCCCAGATACCAGCCGAATTCGTCGCGGGCGAGGGGCGCGCCTGCGAAGGCGAAGAGCACCTCGTCCCCCGTCTCGACCTCGCCGCGGGCGTCGATGTCCAACTTCCCGATCTTCAAGTATAGCGTCGGCCCGTGCAGCGATGGGAGCGCCGCCGCACAGCGAAGGTCCGCTTCGAGCTCCACCGAGGTGACCTTGCCAAAGCCGCGCGGGTGCACGTCGTCCGCGTCCGCGTCCAAGATGTCCGCGAGCTCGTCGTGGTCCACCTGCTCGACGTCGTTGTCGTGGTAGAGAATCCGGTAGAAACGATCGCGGGCGTCGTAGTCGACGACATGACCGCTGAAGACGTCCATCACGCCATTGTCCTCGCGTGCGAACGCCTTGGTCACGCTGCGACCGACGTAGCGCTTGGAGCCGCGGGGCAGCGTGTGCGTCTTCTTCGAGCCGCGGGGCAGCGGCGTGTGCGCCTGGCGCTTCTGGCTGCTGTGTTTCATGGTGGCTGCCGACGACGTGCGAGAAGGTTCGCGCTCCGGAGCGTTTCGCAAAGTGTTCAAACGTGCCGTCAACTTACGATGCAGTCCGAGAACACCCAAACTGCAACACAACACACGACCTTAGATCTCGACTTCGACGGGCTCGTCGTCGAACTCCGTCGCGCCCTCGCGGATCTCCTTGACCCAGAAGTCGCGCTCCTCCGTCGTGAACTCGTCGTCCTCGCCGATCTCGAGGACGCGCTCCCAGGCCTCGCGCTCCGCCGCGGCCTCGCTGTCGGGGCCGAGCCCCCCGTCGTCGCCGCGGTGGAACTTGTCGTCGAGGTAGAGGTGGGGGTCCAGCAGGTCGCAGCCGTCGTCGTCGTCGTAGTCGCAGGGGCGGAACAGGAGGTCCGCGGCCTCGCCGAAGTCGTAGCGGTCCCGGGGCTTCGGCAGCTGCCCGTCGTCGAAGAGGTGGACGCAGCGGCCGGCGATGTCGTAGATGAGGGGCACGCCCGTCGGGATCTCGACGTTGGAGATGTTGGCGATGGGGATGTCGCAGAGGTGCATGAGCAGGCCGCGGATCGCGTTCTCGGACGACGCGATGAGCACCGTCCGGTTCTTCGCGATGGTCTGCGGGTAGATCGTGTTCTGGTAGTAGGGGATCGTGCGGTCCATGCAGTCCTTGAGCGACTCGGCCCGCGGGAACTTGCGGTGCAGCTCGAGGCGCCCGTGGCCCAGGGACCGGATGAGCGACTGGCGGAGCGAGATCGGCACGTCGGACACGTACTTCTGGTAGCGCTCGTCGTTGCCCGGGTAGAAGGGGCTGAAGGGGCTCGCCGGCGGCGGCCGCTCGCGGTAGCCCCGGCGCCACTTCATGAACTGGTCGTCGCCGTGCTTCTGCTTGATCATGCGCTTGCTCAACCCCGTGAGCCGCCCGTACATGCGCTCGTTGAGGCGCCAGCTCTTGTGGATCGTCACCCAGAGCGCGTCCAAGGGGCTCAGCACGAGCCACGCCGTCTCGATGGCCCGCGTGAGCCACGACGTGTAGACGACGTCGACCTCGACGCCGTGCGCGCGCATCAAAGCGCCCGCGGCCGCGGCCTCGGCGCGGCCCTCGGGCGCGAGCTGCGCGTCCTCCCAGCCCGTGAAGAGGCCGAGCTTGTTGTGCGTCGTCTTGCCGTGGCGGATGATGACGACGAGCGGCGGCCGCGCCTCGCCCGGCGCCGGCGGCCTAACCGACCGGCGCCGCCGCGGCGCGGCCGCGGCCGCCTCGAACGCGTCCTTGTAGACCGCGGACGACGCGGCCGTTTTAGCACCGGGCGCGAAGGACACCTTGCTCGCCTTCTCCCGGGCGACCTCCTCGCGCAGCGCGCCGCGCGTGCCCTTGAAAACATTGCTCGCCTTCTCCCGGGCGAGCTCCTCGCGCAGCGCGCCGCGCGTGACCTTGCGGACGACGTCGTCCGCGACGCGGTATTCCACGGGCACGTTGAACTCGGCCGCCGCCGCCGCCATGAGCCGCCGCTCCTTCTGGAGCTTCGCGAGGCTCTGCTCCAGGGGCGAGAGCACCGTCGACTTGTCGACGCCCCAGAGCCGCGAGATGTCCTCGGACGGGTCCGCGAGCGACTCGGGCCGCGTCCGCGCGCGTTCGAATTCCAACGCCTCGCGGAGCGCTCCTTTCTCCTCGAGGAACTCGCCGCTGAGCTGGCCCTCGGCGTTCTCGCCGGGCACGGGCACGAGGTCGCCCGCGGCGCTCCGCGCGAACTCGTAGACCAGGGGGATGCCGTTGGGGATGGCCACGTTCTCGATGACGTCGTCGCTGAGGCCGTCGATGGCCTTCACTAACCCCCGCAGCGCGTTGCCGTGCGCGACGACGACGACGTCCTTGCCGTCGAGCACGTCGGCCTTGATGCGGTCCTCGTAGACGGGCAGCGCGCGCTCGAGGCAGTCCCGCAGCGACTCCGTCAGCGGCAGGTCGTCGGCCGCGACGCCCGTGTACTTGCGCTCGCGGAACGGCGACAGCGCGTGGTGCCGCGGCAGCGCGGGCGGCCGCGCGACGAAGCCCGCGCGGTAGTCGCGCACCTGCTCGTAGCCCAGCAGCGCCGCCAGGCCCGGCTTGGACCGCCCCTGGAAGGCGCCGTAGTGGCGCTCGTTGAGCCGCCAGTCCTTGACGACGGGGCGGAACGACTGCTTCGACTCGCGGAGGAGGATCCACGCGGACCGGATGGCCCGCTTGAGGAGCGACGTGTAGACGACGTCGATGGTGAGCCCCCGCTCCATCATGAGGCGCGCCGCGTGCTCGACCTCGCGCTCGCCGACGCCGTTGAGGTCGACGTCGACCCAGCCCGAGAACGTCTTGTTCGCGTTCCACGTCGACTCGCCGTGGCGCACGAGCACGAGCTTCCCGGGCTCGACGTTGCGGCTCCGCCGCCGGCCCAGCCAGGAGAGCACCCGCTCCTTCAGCGACAGCTCCTCCTGGTCCGGCGCCGCATCGGTGAGTACCTCGCACTCTCCGTTGGGGCACCAGATCTCCTCCGCGGCGTCGACGGGCGCCGCGGCGCGGCGCAGGCTGCGCTGCGGCGGCGGCGGGCGCGGCGCGACGAAGGCGGGCGCGGCGCGGCGCAGGCTGCGCAGCGGCGGCAGCGGGCGCGGCGCGACGAAGGCGGCCGCGGCGCGGAGCAGCAGCAGCGCTGCGACTCGGCAACGAGCCATGCTCCGACGAGATCCGAGTGCAACAATCGCACTTGTTGAACACAGGTTTGTGCTTTCCCTGGCTTGTGCGTACACCCGTGGGGAATGCAGGCGAAAAACCTAGCTTATAGAACGCACCCCTAGAGCATTTTTACTATGGCGAGGCAGGGAGTCGTCCCGGAGCACATCTCCCTCGAGGGAACCAAGCCCAACCCCACGCCCGAACGTCCGGTGGGCCTCATGGGGCTGCCCGACGACGTCCTGCGCCTCGTCCTCGCCCACGCGCCGTCGATGCCGGCGTTCCAGAATTTGTGCACGAACTCGCGCATGGAGCGCGTCTGCGCCTCGCCGGACCTGCGCGACACGCGCGCGGCGCTCGCGCGGCGGCAGCGGGTTTTGGCCGCGGGCCTCGCGGGCGTGCGCCAGTCGCGCGCCGCGTCGTCCAAGGTCGCGCCGGACGAGCGCAAGGACCGCGAGACGCGCAAGGTCTACGACGACGCGGGCTACGTCCTCTACCGCGAGTACGTCGTCGTCCTCGCGCCGGGCCCGCTCCGCGCGGACTTTGAGCGCGGCGCGCCGAAGATCGCCCGGATCGCGGCCGCGTCGCCGCTCCTCGGCCGGGTCAAGGTCGGCCACACGCTCGTCGCCGTCGACGGCGAGCCCGCGACGGCGGCGACCGCGAAGCGGCGGCCCTGGGAGCAGGCGCCCTGCGAGCTGCTCTTTCGCACGACGGAGCCCACGGTGACGTCGGGGGACGTGGCAAAAGCGAGGACGGCGGGCGCGCTGAGCCTCGCGTGTGACTGCTTGCTGCGGAGCTTCTGGGGATCCTCCGGCGGGTACACCCGGAACCCCCACGACCTCGATCGCGACACGCTCATCTAACACGTGACGACGTAGCGCAACACGAACCGGTTCGAGGCCGCGCCGGGCCGCGGGAGGAGCTCGAAGGACAGGGACCGCGCCGTGGACGCGCGCTGCGCGGCGTCGTAGCGGCGCCACGCGCTCTCGCACTGGCGCTGGTCGCGGTCGCAGGACGCGGGCTTGTGGGCCGCGAAGCGCAGGGGCCGCTTCGTCGGCGCGCCGCAGGCCGGGAAGCAGGGCGAATAGCGCGGCGGCTCGACGCAGAGCCGCGCGTACTCGGTCTGCGACGCCGTGCCGCCGGGCCGCGACGCGTTGAGGACGGCCGCGTTCTCGGCGTCGCCGTCCACGACGACGCGCACGGCGCCCATGGACGGATCCCAGGACGCGAGGAAGCCGACGCCGACGACGGGGTCCCGGCCGTCGGGCGGCGTGTGAACGGTGAAGTTCACCACACCACCATGCGCGTCGTCGACGATCCAGCCCTTCTTGCCCGGCGCGTCCTCGCCGAAGCGCCAGGCGCCGTCGGACGACACCGCGGCGGGGCTCGCCGCGAGCTCGTGCGCGTCGAGGTCCGTCAGCGGCGCCGCGCAGACGACGTCTGACCTGTGTGGAAATCAAATCTTCAACCCGACTTCAATGTGCGCGTAATCGAACGGTTTGGACCAGACTCTTTCGCTGTGCTTCGAGAACTCGACGAGAGCCATCGATTCGTCCAAAAATCAGCCGAATCGACTTCGATTTGACCGAGATAGAGAGTTGTAAAGTTTGGTGGGGACCCCCCAAACCAGTGGTTGATTTCCACACGACGTCCGACGTGTCCGGGCTCCGCAGCGGCGGCGGCAGCGGCGGGTCCGACGCGTCGACGTTTCCTCGGAGCGCCGCGGCGCCCTGCACGCCCCACTCGTAGGCCAGCCAGTCGGCGATGAGCTGGTGGAAGGCCCAGTTCGGGTGCCGCGCGACCGACGACTTTTCGTCGCCCGCGACGCCGCGGCGCCAGGAGACCATGGGCACGCCGAGGTGGCGGCAGACGGCGGCGTGCGTGGGCCAGGCGTCGGACTTATCCGGCACCTGCATCTCCACGTCGACGACGGCGACCTTGCGCGTGAGGAGGAGCCGCAGGAGCGCCTCGTGCGCCGCGGCGATTTTGGCCGTCGCGGCCGCGTCCGTGGCCCGCGCGACGTCGTTGTCGACGTAGTTCACGAAGGCGACGTCGACGTGGCCCGCCTCGAGGGCCTCGAGCTCGCCGCCGAGCATGCCCAGGATGGACCGGCTCGTCGACGCGCCGACGGCGTAGTTGAGCACGCGGACGTCCGTCGCCGGGTAGACGCGCGCGAGCCAGGCGCCGAGGCGCGCGGGGAAGGCGCAGGGCTTGCAGTCGCCCGTGACCTCGTGGTCGCACGTCGCGTAGGACTCCGTCGTCGTCGCGTTCGCGCAGGCGCTCGACCCGTAGGCGACGCGCGCGCCCGCGGCGAAGAGCGACGCCTGCTGCCGGTCCGCGCGCGCGTCCATGCGGCCCGCCGTCATGGAGCCGCCGAGCACGAGCACCGTGAGGACCGCCTGCTCGCGGCGCGCGAGCCGGGCGAGCACGCGGTGCCAGGCCGCGAGCCGCGCGCCGGGCAGCACCGTCGACGCGCCGCCGAGCGGCGCCCCCAGGGGAGCGTCCGGCGACCGCCGCGACGCGTAGCCCGGCGCGAAGGCGCCCAGAGGCTCCATGGCGAAGGCGTCGTACGTCGGCAGGCTCGCTCGGCACCACGGCAGCACCAGCGCCAGGCTAACGAGCCGAGCCATCAGCATTTATCGTAAAGGCAACAACGGACGTTTTAGGATCTTTTTAGGGGCTGCCCAACTGGCATGGTGGCGAGAAGCCTCCTCTTCGGCGTCCTCGCGGCGGCCTGCGCGCTGCCCGCGTGGTGCCAGCGCACCGTCGCGGCGGACGTGCTCGTCGGGCGGCCCGAGTGGTCCCAGCGCGCCTTCGCGGACTGCGCGCTGCCCGGGGCGCTCTGCCACGCGACGCTGCAGCCCTGCTGCGGCAACGGGACCTGCGCGACGCTCGCCACGGGCGAGTCGGCCTGCGACCCGTCGGCGGACCAGCGGGCGCGCGCGGCGTCGACCCTCGCGCGGCGCGTCGCCGCGCGCGGCGACCGCTGCGACGCGCTCCTCGGCGGCGGCGCCGGCGCGGCGCTCGGCTTCGCCGTGCCCGCGCACGTGTCCGACCGGCTGGGCCTCAAGGTGCTGCTCACGGCCCTGCGCACGATCCGGGTGCACCACCCCGCGGCGCCCGTCGTCGTCGTCGACAACGCGTCGCCGCGCGCCGCGCGCGTGCGCGACGCCGTGGAGGCGGACGCGGCGCGCCGGCGCGACGGCGCCGTCGCCGTCGTCCGCGCGAA